CCGAAGTTGCAAATTGACATTTTGAAGAACGACAAAGTTGCTCCAGGCAACAAGAAGAAATTCAATGCTAAGTGGATTGTTGGTTATGAAACAGAAGCGATTTGGAAAAAGGAAAACAGTTGCCGCACCACTGAAAGCGGCTGCTCTTCAGATTTGAACATGACGAGAAAAAACGTTGAAAATCGCAAAAATCGAGACAACAAAAGAAGAGAAGATCAAAGATCAAAAAGAAGGAATCTGAAAAAGAATCGGAAGATGATGAGGAGAAACCAAGATGTTACAAGTGCCAGAAGTACCGATCATTTTGCATCGAAGTGTCCATTGAAAGAAGTTAAACGAGTCAAAACAGTCGAAGGAGACCAGATTGAAATCAAGGAAAAGTCGAAAATTGCCGGTAAAATGGTTGATATTTTGATTGATTCGGGAGCTGATGTTTCGTTGATGTCCCAACTGGAATGCTCGAATATTTGAAAGAAGGATTGAAAAATTGGCAAGAGAAAGTTCGGGAAAAGCCTGCGGAAGATATGAAAATTTTTGATGCAAAATCAAAAAATCATCAAAGTTATAAAACAAGTTGAAATTGAGGTTGAAATCAAAGGAAGAACATCGCAAGTCAATTTCGAGATTGTGAAGAACAAATCCAAATTTGTTATTTTGGGATCAAATTCGTTTGGACAATTTGGAATTTATTTGGCGTGGAAATCCAAATATTGTGGTTTCTTCCGGAGAAGTAGAAAAGAATTGAAAGAAATTCTGCGAATGTTTCAAGCAGTTCAGATCAAAGAAGCGACAAAAAAGTTCCTGAAAGAAAAAGCTGGCAGCGAAAAATAATGTTGAAAGAAAAAGGGAGTTTTCCAGATTTGTTCCAATGTAATTATTTGAATTATTCCAGCTCGAAATCGAGAAAAGTGGCTACGGCTGAGAGATATGCAGCGGATTGGCTGTTGGAAAGTTGGCGGGATCCCGGTGGTTCAGGTGTCGAAGGTCGACCGAACAAGGAGCCAATTGCACTAGTTGGTATTTCGAAAATGTCATTGGATGTTGTGGTTCGCAAATTCATTGATGGTCTGGCTGACGAGGTGGCTACTCAAGTTTTGGAGCGATTGAGCCACGAAGCTGATATTTATGGTGGTGGAGATTGGGTAGATCCCGAGACAAGCGACATCCGTTGATCGAGGAAGGAATTCGATACAGCTGGTCCAATTTAGATTTATTCCAAGTTTTTTCCTAATAGGTTTTCCCTCCCCACATTTTTTAACTTTTTTTTTCCTAGGACCCCTACGAGCCGTGGACGTCTCGCTTGAAGGAGGGGAAGTAGCTTAGGTCTCCTGATTCAAACTTGCGCCGTGTGCCACAAAACTTACGTCCGGTGTCACTTCACTGACGCGTTTGAGTGCACACAAACGCGTCCTCGTTTTTCATTTTGAATTTAGTTTTTGTTTTTGTGTTTTGCGAGTTGGATTACTCGTGCACATTTTTGTTGTAATATCTAGGAATCTAGGTCAAAGGTTGGTGGTACCAATCCACATTGTTGTTTTTGTTTTTATTGTTTGCATAATCCAGTTCCTGAGAATAAATTATCGGGAATCAATTGTGTTTCAAATCTTCACGATATACAAGTGGTTCTCTCCACTTTCATCTTTCTTATCGCGGTTGGCTAAGCAACAACTTAGCACCAGCCGACTTTAAATTTGACTAAAAAACTTCGACGAAGAATTTGGACGAAAAACTTCGACACGAAAAAAGTTCGACGAAAAATTTGGACGAAAAATTTCTGACGAAAAAGTTTCAAACCCATTTGGGCATAGCGTCTTTGCTCCTTTGAAAATTCAAAAATTCTACCTAGTTCCATTAATCCGATCTCCATTCAGAACATTCGGAGCCTTCGATGTTTGAATCGAAAACGAGACTTCCGAATTCTCCAAATTCCACGCATCAAAATGCTCCGTATCCAGTTTACTGTAGGCATCTTTGGTCTCTTTGAATATTTGCACAGCTTCTAATTTTTTGAGCCGAATTTGTGATGACACAGTGGAATTTTAGAGTTTCTTCTCTGCAAACAAATTCAGATGGTGGAAAAGTTTGAATTTAGGCCAACCTTTTTTGAGAAACACTGATTTTCCCTGGAGGATCACTGCAAACTACAACATAACTAGAATTTGCGATATTTCTTTGATGTGTTGTGATATCACCTCTGAAAAATTCAAAATTATGCTGAAAATCAAATTTTTGATAAAAATAACTCACATTTTCGAATTAGCCCACCAGTTTGAAGATTGTCTGTTGAGATTTAGGCGAATTGTGGATTTCTGGAAAAAAAAATGAAAATTTGGGCATAGCTTCCGCGTCTTTCTAAAACTCGTCAAAATTGACTGAAAATTTTGGGATTTTCACAATTTTAAGCAGTTTCAGAGAAGGATCTTTAGATTTTTGAGGTTCTAAAGGGACATACAATATTCTAGTATTATACTAGAATACGGTATGCTCCTTTAAAAATTACAATATGGGCATAGCTTCCGCGTTTACCTGAAACTCCTTAAAATTGACTGAAAATTCCAGGATTTTCACAATTTCAAGAAGTTTCAGAGGAAGATTTTCAGATTTTAAAGGGGCATACAGTATTCTAGGAATTTTAGAATAAGGTATGCTCCTTTAAAAATCAAATCATCGACACAGCTTAGCACAATCTTCAGCAGTTTCAGAGGAATTGCTCACCGTTGGATTACTAATCAATATTTCCTGCACCATAACCTCTTTTCGAATTCGATGCGCATAAATCGAGTTCACAACACATCCACATTCCGAATTTTCCAGTGAAAAACACTTGAAAATTTTCAGCACACCATTTCGAAAATCCGTCAAAACAGCCTCTTCTTCTTCAATTCCGGTTACTCCATCGATTTCAATATTTAGACCTGGGAAAAGACCGGAACTTTGTTTCAAAAATGAGCCGAGAACTAATTCGCCATTTGGATCCATGCCAAAAAATCCATTTCCAACAAATTTTATCGCATCCTCATTGAGTCCCATATCAAAATCATCGATTTGCGATTGATAAAACTTTAGTTTTTCCTGTGTGCAAACACCGATTTGGTCTTGACGCGAATTTGCGGACGATTTTTTGCCGCCCGAAAATAGGTAGATCAAAAATATGACGAGAGAAACGGCTGCTATTAGCTTTCTTCTTGGTGATTGGCGTCGAAACTTTTTTTCGACGTCGAGATTTTGAATTTGGCGCCAAATTGTGCGCCACGTGATGGCACCGCTCATCTGAAACATTACTGTATGAGCCTTTAATATTTTTCTAACATTTTATTCAGAAGAAATTCAAAATTTGGGCATAGCTTCCGCGTCTTTCTGAAACTCCTTAAAATTGACTGAAAATTATAGAATTTTCACAACTTTAAACAGTTTCAGAGAGGGAAATTCAACTTTTAAAGGAACACACAGTATTATAGAATACGGTATGTCCCTTTAAAAATTCAAAATTTGGGCATAGATTTCGCGTCTTTCTGAAAGCGCTTAAAATTGACTGAAAATTCTGGGATTTTCACAATCTTAAGCGGTCTCAGAAGGGTATTTAAAAATTCTCTAGATACTAAAGGATCATACAGTATTCTAGTCTAGAATTTCTAGAATACTATATGTTCCTTTGATTTTTTTTACTTATTGGAAGATTTTCAGAATATTTTCAAGCAAAAAAATTCTTGCGAAATTCATAATTTCGCTATTTCTAAAGCAAAAAATCAATAAAATTTCGAAATTTCTCATGAAAAATCCCCAAAACCCATCAAAATTCAGAAAAAATCCCCATTTATAGGTTTTTCGAGAAAAAAACTTTTTTAAACAACAAAAAAATAAATAACCCAATTCCCTCCCCTTTTCCCCCGAATCCAGCAAGTCGAGCAAATGCGCTCCGTCGAAAAACGGGTCTCGACGCGTTTTTATTGGCTGGCCGGGGTCTATGTCTGATTGTTGGTCTTGTGTATGTCGATTCGACAAAAAATCAACTTTTTTTAACTGGTCGCACATTTTGGTAGTGTTTCAGAGTTGTTTGGTGTTTGTTTTGCGGTTTGGTTTTAGATTTTTCGGGTTTATGGGGATTTTTCTAGAAATATTGCTGAAACTTTATTGATTTTTTGAAAAAAACTTCAAGATATGTTGAAACTTTTATATTTTTGATATATTTTTCAAACTTTTATGATTATCGTTAGTTTTTTTTTCAATTCCTCAAATTTAATGTTCACTATTTGCTGGAACTATACTGCAAAATCATACATTCTCAATATTCTCACGAATTACCACAAAAACTATCAATTTCAACTCGAAAAACGATTGAAAATCAATTTTCTCTAATTTTATTCAAACCTAATTTTTCGTTGAAAAACAAGATTTTTCTGAAAAATTTCACGTTTCCCATATAGAAAACTACTTATTCCACGATTTTCAGCATCAAAAATCAGCCAGAAACCTTCTAAACCCCCAAAAAACCCACGTCCCGCAAAAAAATAAAAAATAAATGAAAAATAAAAATCAAGGCACACATAATTTCTCACGCGGGTCTCGCCACGACGTGTACTTCTCTCGGACTTCTTTTCATTTTTTTTTCGAAAATTGTCATTTCTCGCCCAAAAACCAAGAATTTTACAGCAGCAACCATGGGAATCAGCGACAATGATGTTCAAAAACAACTCCGTCACATGATGGCGTTCATCGAACAAGAAGCCAATGAGAAAGCCGAAGAAATCGACGCCAAAGCTGAAGAAGAATTCAACATCGAAAAAGGACGTCTCGTTCAACAACAACGTCAAAAAATCATGGAATTCTTCGAGAAGAAGGAGAAACAAGTCGAACTTCAACGAAAAATTCAAGCTTCCAACTCTTTGAACGCCGGAAGACTTCGTTGCTTGAAGGTTGGTGGAAAATTTTGATTTTTTTGGAGGTTTTATCGAAATTTGATGATTTTAGGCTCGTGAAGATCACTCACACGCTGTTCTCGAGGAGGCTCGTAACAACTTGTCCAGAATTTCTGGAGATGCTGCTAGATATCCAGCTATTTTGAAGGGACTTATCATGCAAGTGAGTTTTTTTTTCGAAAAATATCTATTTTTGGTATCAAAATGATCAGAAAAACATGAATTATCTTTGCAGGGTCTTCTCCAACTTTTGGAAAAAGAAGTCACCTTCAGATGTCGTGAAAAAGATCTCAAATTGGTCGAACAATTGTTGCCAGAATGTTTAGACGCTTTGCAAAAGGAATGGGGAGATCGTACCGCTGTCAAAATCGATAAGAACAATTATTTGCCAGCTGAATCGGCCGGAGGTGTTGAATTGATTGCTAGAGGCGGAAAAATTCGAGTTTCGTCGACTTTGGAAAGCCGATTGGAACTTATTGCTAGTCAGGTGAGTATTTTCGGGAAAATCCGGGGTTTTGAGCTAAAATTTTTGGATTTTTCAACAAGCCCCGCCCCCAAAACCATGCCGCAACCATTTGTTTTGCAGATTGTCCCACAAGTTCGTACCGCCCTCTTCGGACCAAATCAAAACCGTGCTTTCTTCGATTAGGCCACGCCCACAATTTTTTGCAACCTTTTTTATTTTCCCCCCAATTATTTTTATTCTAGTTGTCCTAGAATCACTTAATTCTTATGATGTTTCCCCAACTTATTTTTTTAGCTGTGATTTTTGAAAATGTAAAAAAATTCGAATTTTCGAGCCACCCAACATTCCATAACAACAAAATTGTGTTATTTCCATTTGAAAATGAAATGATTATTAATTCTAGAAACCCACCCACTTTTTCGTGTAGATAACCCTTAAAATTGATATTATTATGCAAATAAAGTTTTACGATGAAAAATTGTGTTTTCAAAATTTCTGAATTTAAAATGAAAATATTTAAACGTGACCCAAGTTATCGAAAAAAATCGGCCCGAGATTTTTATTTATCGAAAAAAAATCGGCAATTTGATCCCTTCAAACATTTAAATACACCATTTATTTCGAAAATAAAGATAAAAAAGCAATGAAAAATACATTAGAGAAAAAATGTATATAAATTAGAATAATTTAAAGGGACAGGATGGGGGAAAAAGCGGGAAAAAAACATAAATTCAATTTTTTTGGGCTATTATCACAAATTTCTGGATGGGTCTCGACTGGAAGAAAAAAAGAGAGGGATTCAAAGGGACAGCAAAGAAAGTGGGGCCAAAAATTGTTACTGTAGTAGTACTGTAGTGTTTATTCATTGTCTTGAAGCGAAAGATGGGTGATTTTGGTGAAATCAAATTCTTGGGTGGTTCCACGTTGGAACAAGTTCAACACATCCTGCAAAAAAAAAATAACATGAAGAGATTAGGGCCTGAAGGGGGGCCTGAAGGCCTGAGAGGGCCTGAAATGACCCGGTTGAAATTCTTGTTTTCAAGTTTCAAAAAAATCGAGAAATTTTTTTTTTCCAAAAAAATTACTGTTTCAAAATTTTGTAAATAAAAATTTAGAGTTTTTGAAAATTAATGATAATTCGTAGAATATTTTTGGACTAAAAAAGCCTAATAGATAGGGGGCCTGGAGGGGGCCTAAAAGGGTCCGATTTTCAGGCTCAATATAGGCTTGTTCATTCTCAATTTCAGGCTCAATATAGGCTTGTTCAGGTCCGATTCTCAGGCTAAAAATAGGCTTGGTTAGGCTCAATTTTAGGCTTGTTCAGGCTTAAGCTTAGGCTTGTCAAGGCTCAAAATAGGCTTGTTCAGGCTCATTCTTAGGCTCAACATAGGTTTGTTAAGGCTCATTTTTAGGCTAAAAATAGGCTTGTTTAGGCTCAATATAGGCTTGTTTAGGCTCATTTTTTACAGAATTTTTTTTTTTTGAAAAACTAGCCCACAAAATCTCACCTTGCAAGTGGTCTCAAAATGAGTGGTCGCATCATACGATGTCGAGATGAAGATTTGCGAATCGCTTCCCAAATCAGTCGGCTCAAAGACATCGGAAACCGAGATGAATCTGAAATATTGTGAAAATAGACACACTAGGGGCTAAAATGGCCCATTTCAGGCCAATTTTTAGGCCAAAAAAGAGAATTTTCAAAAGATAAACTCACTTCTCAGTGATTGGTCCCAACAATTGAAGTCCTGGCAAAACTTCAGCTTCTGGATTGGCAGTTTCGACGGTGGTTGACACCATTGCCAAGAACCATCCTTTTGGTGTAACCATATTGGTGTTTGAGCAGCACGAGATGTAAATATCTGCAATAAAAAACATTGGAAATTACTGTATTTAAAGGAACATGACAATTTCCAAAAATTAGACATTTTTCAGATCGAAAATATATTCAATGAAAACATCAAATTTTATTCAAATTCCAAAAAATATACAATATTTTTGAAACGTATAAATTTCACCTTGAATTTTTGGTTCGGGGAGAGCAAATTAGGCTGAAAATCTCAAATTTCAGCTCATTTTCAGGCGGAAAAACTCGAATTTTCGAGTTTTTTGCTTTATGACCAAAAATTCAAGCTGAAAATTCGAGTTTTCAGCTGAAAATGAGCTGTAATTTGGGATTTTCAGCTCAAAAACTCGAATTTCAGGGTTTTTTGCTTTATGACCAAAAATGAAAATCATCAAATTTTGAAAACCCATAAATTATACGTTGCAAAATTATTGTATATTTTAGGATTCCGAATAAAAATTGATATTTGGCCAGTTCATCTGCAGGAATAATGAATACAAAAAAAATCAGAAAATCTAAAATTTCTAGCCAAAAATCATAAATTTCATATTTTCCAGCAAATTTTTGGCTACAATTTTCAGATCTAAAATCCAGAACCTAAAGAAAGAACGAAAAAAATAAGAGTGTGTGTCAACACCGACTTCCCGCAAACACGAAATCCTACGCGCAACCTTGACGCGAAATACGCGCTGTGTGTTTTCTAAAACGAAATTTCTCGGGATTAAAAAAAATGGGAACCCCCCCCCCAGATTTTAGAAATGGACACGTTGAAAATGTAACATTTGGGAACTCTGAGAATCTTTCCAATGTCACTTTTCACCTGGAGAATACTAGTATATCCAGAATAACAAATTGTTTTTAATTTTGAAAATATATACAATATTTTTGAAACGTATAATTTTCAGCTTGAATTTTTCGGTTCGGAGAGAGCAAATTAGCAAACCTCACCCAAGACCTGGAATTCCAGGTGGGCAAGTTTTTTTTCGAAAAACCTAGGTGGGCAAAACTTTTTAGGGTCTTTAAGGCGAGCCTCAGGTGGGCAAAATTTTTTTACTAGGTGGGCAAATTTGGTTAATAAACCCAGGTGGGCAATTTTTTACCCACTTCTCCAGGTTCTTGGGCGAGGTTTGGCAAATTAGACTAAAATTCAAGTTTTTGAGCTGAAAATCCCAAATTTCAGCTCATTTGCAGGAAAATAATAAATACAAAAATAGTTCAGAAAATCTAAAATTTCCAGCTAAAAATTCTAGCTGAAATTCATGAATTTTAACAACATTCACAAAAAAATGGCTCAATTTTTCTGATTTTCCAGCTCCAAGACCGCTTTCGGCTTGAATTTTTAATAATATTATTGGGTAGGAATTTTAGAGAAAAAAACAAAAATTGAAGTTGAAAATCAATTTCTAGCCAAACATTTGCTGGAAATTCATGAATTTTAATAAAAATCCCCTAATTTTCCACCCCAAAATCTCTCAACTCACCATAATGTCTTCCAACTTGTTTTTGTGGAATAATAATTTGACAACTTTGTGCATCATTAGTGTTTGGAATCGGATGATTCAACAAACAAATTGCTCGAACAACTTGTCCAGTCTTCTTCACTTTGTCTTTTGCATAACTTGGATCACAATAGATTTGTTTTCCTTTCACAATCTCTTCACCGCATTTCACACCGACAGCTTTGCCATTTTCGATTACAATTTCATCGACAGCTTTGTCCAACATATAGGTTCCACCGTAGATGGCAGAAAGTCTGCAGAAAATTGAGATTTTTGATTGGAAATTATAAATTTTTTCTTAAATTTTAAAAATTTCTAGAAGTTTCTCGTTTTATTTGGTCTCATGGGAGCAAATTTAGAGCAAATTGAGTACAAATGTCAGATTTTTCGTCATTTTCACAGTATTTCAAAATTGTTGAGATTTTCCAAAATTTTCTAGCCCAGTTCTATAAATTAGAAAATTTTACATCGTTTAGAACATAGGGGCTCAACTTTGGAGCATTTTGAGTAAGAATTTCAGAATTTCGTCCTGAATTTCGTAATTTTCAAAATATCGCTTCAATTTCAGAGGATTTCGAGATTTCCTAAAATTTTCCAGGCTAGCTCTGAGAATTAGAAGATTTTACATCGTTTAGAACATAGAGGCTCAAGTTTGGAGCATTTTAAGCCTAAATTTCAGAATTTCGTCAATATTAGGTTAAATTTCATGATTTTCACAGTATTTCGATTCATTTTTCGAAAATTTCAAGATTTTCAGACCACCAGGGCTGTTTTCCCACAATTTCTTCCATTTTCTCACCTCGCAAAACCTTGTGGCAATTCTCCCAATCCATAAAGTGGATACAAATATGGCGATTTTCCATATCTGGCCAACGAATCCGAATACAATCGGATTTTTTCGACAGCCTGCAAGAATGGCTGATTCTTGTGCTCGTCGTCACGGAACAAGGCCAACGCGTGTCCGGTGAAGTCGGCCGTGTTTTCGTCGAGTCCGAATTTCTCGTAGACTTGTTGCATTGTATTGTTGTGTGGATCGAGTCCTTGCCAAGTGTCTTGCTTGTTTTCGTCAAATTGTTGAACCCAGCAGAGGAATTTCTGCAAAAGTGGGGAGTTTTAGGAATTTTTCAGATTTTTTTTCTGAAAAATTTTTTTTTTTGAATTAAAGTTCTGGAATTTTAAGACACTTTTCATTTAAATTCCAAAATATATAGAAAATTTTTGAAACAGTGAAATTTTGAATTTAAAAGTTTTTATATCAAAATATTGAAATTTTAATGGAATTTCCAGATTTTGGAGCAACTTTGGTTGAAAATTCAAGTTACACAAGTTTTTTGGTCCAAATTTCGTGAATCTTTCAATTTTAAAGTTCAAAAATCCAGAAAATTCCAAATTTCTGGATGAAATTTCATAGAAATTTTCTCCATTTTCTGAAAATTCTAAAATTCTAAATTCACAGCTTTGTTGAAGAAAATTCGAATCAATAAAACACAAAATCGAAATCAAAAAAAAATATTTTTTCCAAAATATATAGAAAATTTTTGAAACAGTGAAATTTTGAATTTAAATGTTTTTATATCAAAATATTGAAAATTTCATAAAATTTCCAGCGTCTGAGCAAATTTGGATGAAAATTCAAGTTCAACAACTTTTTTTGGTCCAAATTTTGTGAATCTTTCAATTTTAAAGTTCAAAAATCCAGAGAATTCCAAATTTCTGGATGAAATTTCATCAGAATTTTCTCCATTTTCTAAAAATTCTAAAATTCTGAAAAAATCACAGCTTTGCTAAAGAAAATTTGAATGAATAAAAAAATTTTTTTTATTAAAATATTGAAAATTTCCTAAAATTTCCAGAAAATTCAAGTTCAACAAGTTTTCGGTCCAAATTTTGTGAATCTTTCAATTTCAAAGCTCAAAAATCCAGAAAATTCCACAAATTCTCACCTTAAAACGTCTCTTCTCAAACATTCCCATCAAACTTGTCGCCAATGCTTCCATTTCATCAGCCGGAACTTTGTAGATCTTTCCACCTTTGCAAACATACGAGGCTTCGATCGATTTGAATTCCAAATAACGAGTGACACCAGTGTGAATCAAGAGTTTGACCATTGAACTGGAAAAAAATAAGAAATTTTTGGGAAAAATTTTGCGGCATGGAAAAGGGGGCGTGGCTTAAAATTCTGTTTTTGTCTGAAATTCTAAATTTCATCAATGAAAATTCAAAAATTGGCAAACTCAAGGCACAGAAAAGGGGGCGTGGAGCTTAATTTTTGTGAAAAAAGCAATTTCAGGGCACAGAAAAATGGGTGGAGCCTAAATTTTGTGAAAATTGCAATTTCAAGGCATAGAAAAATGGGTGGAGCTTTATTTACTTGAAAATTCTAGAAATTGCAATTTCAGGGCACATAAAAGTGGGCGGAGCATAATTTTCTACAATTTAATCCGAATTGACGAGATTTCAGCTCACTACTCCAAAATTTTGCAATTTCAGGGCACAGAAAAGTGGGAGGAGCCTGATTTTCGTGAAAATTGCACTTTCAGAGCACAGAAAAGTGGGTGGAGCCTAATTATCGTGAAAATTGCATTTTCAAGGCCGCATTTTGCTCCTTGGTTCCAAATTCTTCAAAATTTTCAAATTTCAGGTCAAAATTCATCATTTTTCTCGATATTTGGCTAAAAAACCCTTACCCATTGGCCATCAAAAATTTGGGAATCAAATCCACATTCCAATCGCGTCCACGTCCCATTTCGGGTTGTGGTTTTCCGTTTGGACCATGGAATTTCTCGTAGAGTTGCTCCAATGGTGTCAACGACGCACTTTCTCCACCGTAATAATTGTTGCGATCAATGTGGAGGACTTTTTTGCCGGAAACCGACAACATTCCAGAAATGATGCATTCCTGCAAAGAATTATCAAGGGTTACGGTATGTTCCTTTAAAAAATTGAAAATTTGGGCATAGCTTCCGCGTCTTTCTGAGACTCCTTAAAATTGACTGAAAATTTTGGGATTTTCACAATTTTAAACAGTTTCAGAGGGGGAATTTCAGATTTTTAAAGGAACATACAGTAATCTTGCCATATTCTAGAATACGGTATGTTCCTTTAAACTCACATTTTTCTAGAATTGAACTCATCAAAAATGATTTTTTCTAATTTTTTTTTCCAAAAAAAAATAAAAAAAAAATTAGGTCACGTCAGAAAATTTCTAAAAATTTGTGAGTTAGACTTAAAAATTCAAAATTTTCAGATTTCAAGCTGAAAATCTGTTTCAGAATCAGAATTTTGAGTAGATGAGAGTTATGGATTTGGAAATTGAGGTTCTAGAGTCAAAAATGCTGATTTTTCAACTTTTGAAGCTTTCAGAGTCAAAACTCCATGAAAAATCTAATTTCTCAGCTCCAGAAGGCCTAAATCCATTTCCAGAGCTGAATTTTCGTGAAAAATCCCATTTTTCTAGATACTGGAGCTCAAAATGCATTTCTAGACTCAAAATTTGGTGATTTTCCAGTATTTTCAACTTCCGGAGCTCAAAATTCACCTCCAGAGTCAAAATTTCATGAAAAATCTGAATTTTCAGTTCCGGAAGGCGAAAATCTACTTTCTAAGCTGAAAATCTATGAAAAATCTGAATTTTCAGCTACAGAAGGCCAAAATCCATTTCCAAAACTGAAATTTCGTGAAAATCCCATTTTTCTAGATCCTGGAGCTCAAAATTCACCTCCAGAGTCAAAATTCTTCAATTTTTCCGAATTTTGAGCTCCTGGAGCTTGAAAACCACCCCCAGAAGCTGAATTTTTTGCTCTTCTAGACCCCAAAATGCATACCTTCAATCCAGTTCCAAGAACAATGGCATCATATTCCTCATCCATGTTTTTCGGAGCAAAAAGAGCAGCGAGAGTTGAAGCCTGCAAAAATATGCAAAATTCATATGAAAAATCATGGGAAAAACGAGAAAATCACGAAAAACGGGATAAAAACGGTCAAAAACCATCAAAAATTATGAGAAAAAGAGGAAAAAGTGGGAAAAATCTATAGTTTATGCGCCAAAATTGCATAATTACACAAATTCGAATCGATCCATGTCCAATGATTTCCAATTGGATGGAAAAATAGGCCGGAAATTGCGGAAACTTGGCAATTTGCCGATTTTAGATGGGTTTCGAGTTCGGCGGGTGTTGGGAATTTGTTCCAATCATGGACACCGGGTGGGACGAGTCGCAGCAAGTCCTGGAATTGAAAATAGTCTATTTTGAGTATGGGTAGAAAAAATGCGCCAGTGAAAAGCTCCTTGGCTTAAAAATTCTGAAATTTGAAGCATTTTGAAACCAAATAAGGCTAGGCTACAGAAAATGTGTCAAATTGTTTGCTGACGCATTTTTTGTAGACAAAATGATGAAAGTTAGGCCAGCAAAAAGCTCCTTGGCTCAAAAATCGTGAATTTTGGAGGATTTTGAACCCAAACAAGGCTGGGTTACAAAAAATACGTCAAGGAATTTCGCTGGCGCATTTTTAGTGCAAAATTCATTGAAATCTGTGTGTTTTAGTATTAATACACATCTTTACTGTAATTTTTGAAGCTACAAAAAATGCGCAAGCAAACTTTACTGACGCATTTTTGGTACCCTATCATATTAAGTCTCAAAATGCTCCAAATTTCGAGCTACAAAAAATGCGTCAACAACCTTTACTGACGCATTTCCGACTCACCTCAGCCAACCAAATCGCCGCCACCTTACTCGCCAACGTTCGATTGATTGTGGTCAAGAAAATCGGAGCGCCAGGTCGTGCCAAATCCGCCAAACTCTTCACAAAACCCGCCAAATCTGCCACGTGTTCCACAATTTCCGACGCGACGACTGCATCGAATTCTGCAAAAAAAATCGATTTTTTTTTTGAAAAAAATGGGGAGAAGAAGGATTGTCGGATTAGAGCGGGGTAGATCAAAAATAATTTGTTGGGGAAATAAAAAAGAATTTAGGCTAACTCAGAAATCGATAATTTGATTGTGAAATTTTACAAAAAAAATTGAAAAATCAATAATTTCAGCATGAAAAAAATGGTTAGGCTTAAAATTCTGATTTTGAACCATAAAATAGGATTTTGCGGTCAAGTAGCCGAGCCTAGAAAATCTAACTGTCTAGGAGCAGAGCCTAGAGATTCATTGTGACAAGGAGGCGCGCCTAGAGATCCATTGTAACAAGGAGCCGAGCCTTGGAATCTTCTGTGGCAAGTAGCCGCGCCGAGAAAGCCTTGTCGTCAAGAAGCCGCGCCTAGAGAACATGATTGTCTAGGACTACCGCCTAGAGATCCACTTTTTTAAGTTTCTTGGCCTAGAAAGCTTGAAAAATGTGGATTTTTCGGTTGAAGTTGCGAAATTCTTTGAGAAAAATCGATATTTTCGAGGAAAATTCTTACATTTTCAGCCTGAAACTAGGCTCAAAAACCCGGTAGAAAACTCTTTTCCCCTCGAAAAATCGATAATTTCAGAGTCGATTTTCAGCAGAGCGCCGCAAAAAAAACCACGTCAGCAGCAGTAGCGAAAAAAAACTGCGCGAGAGAGACAGCAAGCAAAGGAAAACAACACACAGAAAAATCGAAATGAGGCCAGTTTTTTGGCCGGCGGAAAAAGGATGACAAAAAAGGGAGAGAGTGTGGCGAGACGACGAGAGAAAACAACAAGGAAAGAGAGAGTGCGTGAGGAGAGGAGAGAGACGCAGAGAAATCGATGAGGAACGGGGAAGATGAGAACGGGGGAAATTGTGCTGAAAATCGATTTTTGAGCTGGAAATTGGCTGAAAATGGAAATTAGGAGCATTTAGAGCCTATTTACAGAGGGGAATGTGCTAAAAATCGATTTTTGCGCTAGAAATTGACTGAAAATTGGGATTTTAAGCCTATTTTCAAAGGGAAATGACTGAAAATTGCTGAAAAAAAAATGAAAAAATCGATTTTTTCCACAAAAAAAACATCAAGAATTACAACGCCCGGGTAGATCAAAAACTATTTCGAAACGAATATTCTGTGCCTATTTTCAGCCTGAAATTATTGGAAAAGCCTATTTCTGAAAAAAAGCCACGTCATGGCTCAAAAACCGGTCAAAAGTTGAAAATTTAGGATTTTCAGCTATTTTCAGCCAAAAATCATCAGAAAATGAGAAAAATAAAAAAAATTAGCCACGTCATAAATCACATGATTTGAAGGAGATGAAAACAAGATTATGAAATTGTTGCAAATTTTAGAAATTTGTAATTTTAAGGCAGAAAATGGTGCTGAAAATCGATTTCTAGGCTGAAAATTGGTCTGAAAATTAATTTTAGGTTAAAATTAGCGCTGAAAATCGATTTCTAGCTCAAAAAATCTGAAATTTTTCCAGATTTTCTAACAAAAAAATTACGAAACTTTTGCTGATTCAAAAAAATTGGGATGCATTTTTTGTGCCACGTCATAGCAAAAAAATTGATTTAAAAATTAATTTTAGGTTGAAATTAGCGCTGGAAATCGATTTCTAGGCTGAAAATCGGTCTGAAAATGAATTTTCAATTCAAAAAAATTGATTTCAGGTCAAATTTCGAGCTGGAAATCGATTTCTAGCTCAAAAAATCTGAAAATTTCCAGATTTTTGGTCGAAAATCCCAAATTTCTATCAAAAAATTGCTACAAACCTCGAAAAAACAAATATTTGTTTACAACAAACCTGTGGCTGGTTAAATAGCTGAACACCCCAATTCGTCTCTGCGTCTCTCACTTTCTCTAACTCTCTAACTACATAGAGAGAGAGAGAGAAAAATAACAAAAAGTGTCCTTTTTGGGAGCTCTCGGAGCTGGCGCCGAGAGGGGCTCCCCAACAAAAAAAATCGATAATTTGTGAGAGCAGCAGAAGGCCGGCTGCAGAGAAAAATAAAAATGGGGCGAAAATTTAATTAGGGCAAGAAAAATGAGGGGAAAAATATGGAGGGGAAGGTATTTTTGGAGCGAAGTTTGAATTTTCTGGTTAAAAATTGGATTTAGGGTGATTTTTATAGTAAAAATTTGAATTTGTTGAAGATTTTGAGCTCCAAATTTAAATTTTCTAACTAAAAAATTGAAAAAATTTAAAATTTCTGCTTGTAAATTGAGATTTTCAGGAAAAATCATATATATAGGCTTATTTTTGATGAAAATTCGAAATTTGAATTTTTCTTCGATGAAAAATTGGATTTCGGATGATTTTTAGCGCTAAAAATAGAGATAGAGCTAATTTTGAGCTCCTAATTTAAATTTTCTAGCTGAAAATTGAAAAAATTCAAATTTCTGATAGAAAATTCAGATTTTCAGAAAAAATCACACTCATAGGCTTATTTTTGCTGAAAATTCGAGCTTTGAACTTTTCTTTGATGAAAAATTGGATTTTTTAGGTTTTTTGGGGCCAAAAATGTGCCAAGGTTCAATTTGAGCTTCAAATTTGAATTTTCCAGCCAGAAATTGAATTTTTCATGTGAAAAATCTATACTTTTGGTAATTTTTCGCTTTATGGTGAACAATTTGAATTTATTATTGAAGTATTCAGAAAATCTTATAATTTTGAGAAAAAAGCAAGTCTCAGGTAATTTTTGGCACAAAAAATCGCTCAAAATCAATTTTTCAGTGGATAATTCAGTCTAGGTCCATTTTTAAAGCTAAAAATGACTTTTCCCCCCAAAAATCCGCCTACTTTCTCGATTTTCGGGTTTCGCACTGAATTCCTCAACAGTTGTGTGCAAAAATCGGCAATTTTGTGAGACACCAGTCAATTTCAGCGGTTTTGATTTCAGCGATTTTGTGGCAGCTTCAACCTGAACATTTTTTGAATTCGGGTCAAAAAATAACACGCTTTTACAGAACAAAGAAATTTTAACGAAAGTGGGGGAGCCTAATATAAAGGTATAGGCAGAGCGCAGAGAAACGCATCTTTCATGTATATATCTGTTGTCTACCTATACATGTATGCATGTATATTAGGCTCCGCCCATTTTCGTTAAAATTTATTTGTTATTTAACTTTTACTAAAAAATATAGGTTTTAGGGTAATTTTCGTGCTTAAAATTCAAATTTCCCGGAAAAACTCACAGCTTCTTTGGTTGCATCAATTCCAGTCACTTGAATTCCAGATCTAGCTAATGGAATCGATAAAAGTCCTCCGCCACTTCCAACATCCACCAATTTTGGAGATTTCTGCAAAAATTTGTGATTTTTGTGATGAAAATATGCCTTTTTCTGGCTCATTTTTCATGAAATGTTCAATTCCAATACATATATTGAACAAATTGGTATTCTCAAATTTATTTATATCAAATATTTGAAACATAGAAAATTCTGGATGTTTTTTTTTCTAACATTCAGATTTTTTGAACGAAATTCAATTTTCAGCTCATTTTTCATGATTTTTTCAAAAATTCCCACCTGTCCCTTTAAATTTTGCACAATCCATGGAACTCGGAGTCGATTCAATGAGTGGAGAGCCTGAAATGGACCCAATTCATCGGCCCATTCTGTAGATAATTTTCCAAAGTTTGCAATCTGAAATTGGCTGAAAATTAGCTGAAACTAGATATTTTGCAAAATTTTTAATTAAAAATTCAAAATAATTTTTTACTGTTTCAAAAATTTGCTGATTTTTGCTATTTATTTTGAATTTTATTTTTTTCAACAAAAAAATTATAGAAATTATAGACTAAAATTTTTTTTTCAAAATTTTGATCTGAAAATTACTTGAAACCAGGTTATTTGGCAAAATTTCAATTGAAAATTATTGAAAATTTCACTTTTCAACAAAAAAATTATAGAAATTCTAGATTTTCTTTAAAGATTACTCATGTTAAGCTGAAATTTCAGAATTTGAAATTTTTCAAAACAATTTGAATTTCCAAGAAAAATTCTGAATTTTTTTGAAGAAATTGGCTGAAACTAATTATTTGGCAAAATTTTCAGTTAAAAATTATTGAAAATTTAAATTTTCAACAAAAAGTTAATCATTTTTAGCTGAAATTTCAGAATTCGAAGAAAAATTTCCATTTTTTCAAAACATTTTAGATTTCCAAGAAAAATTCTGAATTTATTTTGATTAAAGTTTTTTATTCAAAATTTTGATCTGAAAATTGGCTGAAACTAGATATTTGACAGAATTTCAATTGAAAATTTGAATTTTCAACAAAAAAAATTATAGAAATTCTAGATTTTTGCTGAAATTTCAGAATTTGAAGAGAAAATTCTGAAAAAAAAATCAGAATTTTCCGATTTTTGGATGAAACAATCTGAAATTTTTTGAATTTTATTTTTTTAAACAAAAAAATTATAGAAATTCTAGTTTTTCCTGACAATTGCTCAATTTTAGCTGAAATTTCCAAATGTTCAGAGAAATTTTGAATTTCCAAGAAAAATTCTGAATTTTTTCAAATAAAATTTTTTTTTTCAAAATTTTGATCTGAAAATTGGCTGAAACTAGATGTTGGGCAAAATTTCAATTAAAAATTATTGAAAATTTAAACTTTCAACAAAAAAATTAGTTTTTCCTGAAGATTTCTCATTTTTAGCTGAAATTTCAGAATTTGAAGAGAAATTTTCAAAATTCAACAAAAAATGATTTTTTTCAACCAGAGAAATCTGAAATTTTTCAAATTCCAGCTCAAATTTTCCAGATTTCCCCAAATTTTCCTCCCAAAAACCACTCACTTCTTTCAAATCCACCGAAGTTTGATGAAACCTTCGAAAAACTTTCTGCATCTAAATAACCTTTCAAATTTTCCATAAAAAATTCCAAAAAAATATGGCGAGAAGCTAGAAAACTCTGGAAAAAACCACAGAAATAGCCGAAAAAAATACAAAAATTTATGGATTCTAGGCTTAAAAAATCGAAATTTCAGCGAAAAAAAATAAAATACACAGAGAAAAACTGGCTGAAATTATTCCTTTCCGTTGAGGAATTTCGACAAGAAATCTTTGGGTTTCGGTTCGATGTTTTCGGCGAAAAGATAGTTGCGAACATGGTCTGGATTGTAGAAGGCGTAGCGAATCGATTTCATGTGCTGAAAATTGATTTTTGATGAATTTTTGGCTGAAAATCATGATTTTTTATGAATTTTGATATAAAATTCTGAATTTTCACTGAAAAAAAATTTTCAGACTTTTTGACGGAATCAATTTCATGTGCTGAAAATTAGGCATTTTCAGATTTTCAGATGAATTTTGGTATGAAAACCTTGATTTTTATGAATTTTGATACACAATCATCAATTTTTCCGACTTTTTGATGAAATCGATTTCATGTGCTGAAAATTGAGAATTTTCAGATTTTTAAATGATATTTGGTGTGAAAATCGTGATTTTTGATGAATTTTTTTGAAAATAAAATTCTGTAATTTTCAGACATTTTGACGGAATCGTTTTTTTGGACAAATAAATTAAAGACACGTAGAAAACTAGAAATCGTTCAAAAATCATTATTTGCATGTTTTTATCATCCTTCAAATAGTGGAAGTACATAAACAAAAGTGAAAAATATTGAGTTTAGCGAAAGTCAAAAAAGAAATTGCCTTTTTTGAAATCGCTCAGCCGACGCGAAATTTGGTGTTTGCACAAATGTCCGTGATTTGCCGCACATGTGTGCATTCTTAGCATACCGTACCACCACTTTTTATTTATTTTTTGTTTTTTCAAACGAACAACACACAACTTTGAAAAAAGGTGCGCGTTCAAATTTTGAAGATTACGAACACACATTTCTAGGTTTCTACGTGTCTTTAAAGGAATCATTTGGTTCACAATTTTTTCTAGTTGCAAAAATTGTGAAACGTATTTTTTACAGTTTTCGAATTTCTGAAAATGAAACACTTCGCCACGTGGACAAAAATCCACATTTCTAGATCAAAATTTCACCAGAAATCCAAATTTCACCACTAAAACCACCCAAAACCTCAATTTTCCCCACAAACCTGATGAGTCTCACCAACAAGTCGATCAACAACTCGAACATCGGTCAAATGCGCGTTTTTGGTGAATTGTTTTTTGATGACAGCGCGGAAAACACCGAGTGGCATGTCGTGAAGACCGAAATCCCACCAGAATTTTGGTGTGAGACGTTGGCTAGAAGAATTTTTTGGGATTTTTAGAGTGAAAAATGGGTCTGGGAGCTTACTTTCGCCCTCAAAAAGCCCCCCAAAAACTCACAATTCCTTATAGGCTTCCAAGACAGCAATTCTGGCCTCTTTCGAATTATTCGACTTGATTGGCGCAACAGTTCTCACGGCGTGCGCAGTAGTTTTGGCAACTCTTCCAGCAGTTTGAGACATGTTTTTAGTTCAAAGTTTCTCCTTTGGTTACACTGGCTTCCAAGAATTCGACTTTTCGCTCCAAAAGATTGATTTTATCGCCGAGTGTTGCTAGTTTACTTCTGCACGACAATTCAAAGCTCGACAAGAAATTGGCGATGCTTTTGATGTTGTCAGCGATTACCTGTAAAAATTGAGGAATTTTAAAGGGACATACAGTAAGTTTTCGAGGGATAATTCAAAATTTGGGCATAGCTTCCGCGTCTTTCTGAAACTGCTTAAAATTGACTGAAACTTCAGGATTTTCACAATTTTAAGCAGTTTCAGAGGAAGATTTTTAAATTTTTGAGGTCTTAAAGGTACATACAGTAATCGAGCTAGACTACTTTATGCTCCTTCAAAATTTGAGCATAGCTTCCGCGTCTTTCTGAAACCGCTTAAAATTTACTGCAAATTTCAGGATTTTCACAATTTTAAACAGTTTCAGAGAGGGAATTTCAGCTTTCAAATGGAAATACAGAATTCTAGCTAGACTACGGTATGTTCCTTTAAAATTTGGGCATAGCTTCCGCGTCTTTCTGAAACTCCTTAAAATTGACTGAAAATTCAAGGATTTTCACAATTTTAAGCAGTTTCAGAGCATAGGAACTTGAAATTTTTATTTATTAAATTTCAAACGTGGCCCACTTTTTTAATCAAAAATTCGGAAAAAAATGGTATTTCTCATTTTTCAAAAAACAAATTTGAAGAAATGCTAGGTTTCTAAGAAAATCAAAGGAGATGTGAATTTTTCAGGAAAAAAATGACCAATTCTAGAAAAACTGTATGCTCCTTTAAGAAAATTGGAAATTTGGGCATAGCTTCCGCGTCTTTCTGAAGCCACTTAAAATTGACTGAAAATTCCAGGATTTCCACAATTTTAAGCGGTTTCAGAGAATAAATTTTAGATTTTCTTGAAATTGCAATTTTTTTTCACACCGCTGCCTGGAGGAGCCTGTGAAATTGTAGCTTATCTATAGCTTAATACTTCCGGGTGTGAAATTTGAACCATTTTCATCATTTTGATTCAAAAAAAGATATTTTTCGAATTTTTTGTCCGTCAAACGCTTTAAATTTGCCACGTCGTCTTTTTAAAATACAAAAAAAAACTATTTTTATTCGAAATTTCAAGTTTCTCACGAAAATTACACAAAAAACGAAACTTCTACCCTAACAGAACAATTTGCGAAAGAAATACTATATTTTCTCGAAATGATTTTTTCCACGTTTTTCTCTAAATTTCCAATGCCACGTATTAATTTCTCATCTGTTTAATTTTTGTGTAGTTCTCTTGGAGAATTACACAATCAACAAAACTTTGAAGTAAACAAAAAATTGATTTTGCAATCTTGCTGACTCATGCAAAACGTTTTATCTAAACTATATATCAGTTCTCTGATGAAATATGAATTTATGATGAGAAAACCATGTTTTCCATCAAAAATTCATTGATTTTTGACGAATTTATGTAATTTTTCATGTGGAATTGAGCTAGAATGGTTTTTCACATATTCACCGCAAAAACCAAGGATTTTCATGATTTCAGAGTGAAAATTTAATGATTTTTAGCAAAAACCATCCCAGGAGTGATTTTTGATGAAAATCACTATTTTTCCATCAGTTTTCAGTGAAAATACCCGCCCCACCCTGTAAATTACCTGCTCAAACTCTCGATTATCCCAATCCTCTTTCAATTGTCGTTGAACAACGTCCGACGCGTTCATTCAACGGCAAAACGCAAAATAAAAAGCGAGAAAAACAGCAGGGCGTCCATCGCACGCGTCGAAAACCCGCCGCTGCGGCCGATTTTCGTCGCGTTCCACACGAGACCCAACCCGGAAAATCGATGCGCCTTGAATCGTTTTCATTCGATTTTTTGCCGTTTTTTCAGCGTTTCGCAATAAACTTGTGATTTTTAAGGAATCGAAGATGTTGGCGATGGTGAATAAGGTGTTGGATTGGATCCGAAGTCTATTTTGGAAGGAGGAAATGGAACTCACATTGGTTGGACTTCAAAATTCCGGGAAAACCACTTTTGTCAATGTTATCGCTGTAAGTTGCTCAATTTCAATGATTTTTACACGAAAATATGTGTTTTAGAGCGGTCAATTCACTGAAGATATGATTCCAACTGTTGGTTTTAATATGCGCAAAATCACCAAGGGAAATGTCACCATCAAATTGTGGGATATCGGAGGTCAACCGCGTTTCCGATCAATGTGGGAGCGATATTGTCGTGGTGTGAATGCTATCGTTTTTATGGTTGATTCAGCAGACGAGGAGAAGTTGGAGGTATGGAAATTTCACATCAGAAGCTCTGAAAATCATATGATTTTTGGCTTGAAATTGATTTTCCAGGGTTCTCGCAACGAATTAATGCAACTTTTGGACAAACCACAACTCGAATCAATTCCAGTTTTGGTTTTGGGGAACAAAAAAGATTTGGAAGGTGCTTTGGATGAGCGACAACTTATTGAAAGAATGTGAGTGGTTTTTTTTTAATGAAAAATGAAAAAAAAAACATTGCAGGAACTTGTCGGCAATTCAAAATCGCGAAATTTGTTGCTATTCGATCTCGTGCAAAGAAAAGGAGAATATTGGTGAGTTTTTTGGGGGAAATTTGAATTTCTGGAATTCGCCGGGGAGTTTGAGCGCGGGAGATGGGAAAATTTGAATTTCCCGCGATTTTTGACCTAGAAATGTACATTTCCTGTACTCCCAGAAAATTTAATTTTTCGAACTCCCGCGTGATTTTGAGCGCGGGAAGTCAGAATATTTGAATTTTTGATCTAGAAATGTCCATTTCCTGTACTCCCACGATTTAACTACCAGAAAATTGCATTTTTCAAATTCACGGGTGATTCGGAGCGCGGGAGATAGGAAAATTTGAATTTCCCGCGATTTTTTACCTAGAAATGTCAATTTTCTGTCCTCCCACGATGTAAATACCAGAAAATTGAATCTTCCGGATTTTGAGCGCGGGAAATCAGAATATTTGAATTTTTGACCTAGAAATGTCCATTTTCTGTACTCCCATGTTGTAACTATCTCAAAAAATCAACATTTTCTTCCAGATATCACTCTCCAATGGCTTATCGATCATTCAAAGGCGCAACGCTAATTTGTTTTTTTTTTCTTTCCCACCAAAAACTTAATTTTTCTCTCCCGCAATTTACGAAAATGTATAATCTAATTTATTTATTCACCTATTTTTCCCGCCATTTTTGTAGATATTTTCTTTTCTCTATCCAATTTTAGTCACTTTTTCCCCTTTTTTCTATGCTGAAAATGTTGTGAAATGCTGAAATTTTCTTTATTTTTGACCCAAGTAAATCCCTTTTTTCTATCAATAAATTAGCTCGAATTTGTGGAAATTGTCGAAAATTTCCATAAAAGTGTGGATTAGTAGATGAGAAGCGACGAAGGTTATGGTGGTTTGGATGAATTCCAGCAAATAGAAGAAGGCGTTAACTGCAAAAATTGATGATTTTGGTTGAAAATCAGCTAGAAATCGAGAAATTTGGTGAATTTTGACCCCCAGAGTCAAATTTTTCAGATTTTCAGTCAAAATTCCAGATTTCAAAAACTCACAAAGCTTCTTGACAAAATGATCCTCGCCAAGTGCTCCAATAAAAACCATAATATCATTTCGAACATCCGGATTGATTCCAGCTGTCGAAAATCGCAAAAAAATCGAAAAATACAAAATCATCCATAGAATTCCGATGTTTATCGGACCGGTGAAGAGCATTAGGAATCTTGAGGCCAAACCTGGAAAAAAATCTGCATTTTGGTGAAAATTGGGCAAAATCTGCAATTTTGCCACACCTGACGAGAGAGTGTCCCAAAATTTTTGTGCAGCGTGAAAAATTTTTGCAAAAAAAAATTGTGCAGCGTGAAATTTTGAATTTTTGAAAATTTTCATCAAAATCGGCTGAAAATCAATGAAAACTACACTTTTTTCGTGAAAAAATGTACAGCGTGACCTTTGAAAGCTTTTGTACAGTGTCCATTTTGGACACGTCTCGTCTGCATTTTTCTTGAAAAATCTGCATTTCTGCGTCAATTTTCATGTTTTTCTGCATTTTCTCCTCGAAAAATTGCGGATTTCTCAAAATTTCAAATATTTTCAAAAACCCACCCAAAACAAATGCAAAAGCCGCGACATCAAAGTTCTTCTTTGGTGCCACAGTTGGCGTAACACTTGGCGCATCGCCAGCAATAATTGGTGCAAAAGGTGGCGGCGCAAATTCGGCAATCTCGTTGGATTTTTCAATTTTAAAGCATTCTCCGCCTTCCATCGCCGGTGGGAGCCGATTTTCTCCCAAAATTCGCTGAATTCTTCCCTCCGGATTCTCCAGTATCTTCGCCATTCTTCTTTGTCTTCTTTCCTCGGCAGTAAGCGTCATTTTTGCTGGAAATTTGCTGAAATTCTCTTAAGAGGATGAGAAAAAAACGTGTAGCGTGGCCTAGGAAGCCAAGGGGGACTAGAAAATGTGTGTAGTTCTCCCGGACTTCTTTTCTTTTTTTTTTTCGAGGCGTCCGTTTGTTTTCCCTTGTTTTCGCCATTTCTAGCCTGATTTTCCGCGCTGAAAATAAAGAAAACATCTAAAATTGATAAATTTTTATAGGTAATGTTCACCACATCGCCAATCTTCAAGGAGCGAGCGTTGGCACGCGGAAAATCGATTTACCCTAAAATCAAGACATTTTCCGAGATTTTACCGCTTGCCGGGAAAAATCGTGTGCAAGCTGGGCAAAAGCAAAGAGCAGCCAGTGAGTTTCAGGGATTTTCAATTTGAAAAATGAGATTTTCTTAGAAAAAACGTAAATTTTGCCAATTAATCACAAAAAACGTGATTTTTCACCGGATTTCTCCCAAAAACCCGAATTTTCAGGCTCTTCTTGCACTCAAGAACTTCAAGCATTATTCGGTTGTTTGAAAAAATGGGAATTTGACGATAAACCATGTGCCAAACAACATTCTTCTTATATGGATTGTGTTCATAAAGGAGCGGAAGAAGCTGCCGAATATATGGAAGCTGCTAAGAAAGTATGGGTTTTTGGGGATATTTTGGGTAAAAATTATATTAAAATTCGTGTTTTTGAGTGAAATTTTCACGAAAAATCAATAAATTTCACAGGGAACTCTTGGAGATGGCGGAAGTTCGGGAAAATCGATGACAAGTGCGCAATTCAATAAAATCATGAAACTTTTCCCACAACCCGATTTGGGACAACAACCCTATCGACAAATGAAACGACTTCCGACACAAAGTTATGCCGAAGACACGTTTCATCGAAAACATTGGGCTGGAAAACGGAGTTAGGCTAATTTTTGAGATTTTTCATAAAATTTGAGCCCGGAAACTTTGTTTTCATTGAATTTTCATCAAAAATCTCAATTTGTTTTTTTTTGTTTTGTTGTTTTATTATTTATAAATAGATTGATCTACAGTACCCCTGGATTACTGTATCTTTTCAAAATTTAAAAAAAAATTTTTGTTTCCAAACCCCAAAACGTCATCAAAAATATTCAGTAGATCAAAAAAAATAAATTGTTTTTTGCATGTCTGCGTCTCTCACTCTCTCGTCATGATGTGTCACCGTTTTTTCAATTAACATCATTTTCCTGGACAACACACTTTTATTTTATTTTTTTTCTGCTTTTTTTGCTGCCCCAGCAAAAAAGGCCCTTTTATTTGTTTGCGCATGAAGTTTGATCTAGATTCTTGCAGACTACTGTAGTTTTACTACTGTAGGCAAAAATTAGCTGCCGTAAATAATCTAGAATTTTTCGAAAATTTTTCTGAATCCACGTGTCTTCCGGGTTACTGTAATTGTGACGAATTTTTTGAATTAAAATTCTATTCCACGTGGTTTTTAGAGTACTGTAGTTCGAAAATTTGGCAGCCTACAGTAATCCAAAATTGCAAAAATTCTGATTTTTTATTTTGTAGATTTTTCGCCCCAAATTTGATCTACAGTGATCCAGAGTTGTTTAGGTTACATCCACGTGGCTTTTAGAGTACTGTAGTTGTAAAATTTGGCAGCCTACAGTAATCCAAAACTGCAAAAACTCTGATTTTTTATTTTGTAGAATTTTCCTGGACTACTGTAGATTCTTCGCCCCAAATTTGATCTACAGTAATCCAGAGTTGTTTGCGTTACTGTAGGTCAGAAAATCAAGTTTTCTCAAATTCAAAATTCCACGTGGCTTTTAGAGTACTGTAGTTGTAAAATTTGGCAGCATACAGTAATCCAAAACTGCAAAATTTCTGATTTTTTATTTTGTAGATTTTTCCTGGGCTACTGTAGATTTTTGACTCTTTTTGGAAATCTGAACCTACAGTAACCCAAGAATTTCGGAAATGTGAAACTACAGTAACCCAGAGAAATTTCTACTGTAGTTTGTTGGCGCCAAGCTCCTCCCCTTTTCTTCCTTCGGCTCCCAAAACTAAAAAAATTTAAAATTCCGCTCATGCTCTTTTTTCCCCGCGCAGCCGCCGGCTACTCTCGTCTTAATTAAAATCTCTAGCCGCCTCTCTCCAATTCGCGTGCTCTCTCGTCGCGCAGAGATCACGGGATTTCGAGAGAGCCGCCAGACATTGATACCTTGTTGTTTTTTCAGAAGAGTGAAAAAGTGTGTTAGGCAAAAAAGGCGCGAGAAAAAAATATTCTTTTTTTTTTTCATTTTTTTTCCGCCCGTCGCCTACTCATAGTTAATCTTTTCGAGCTATGTATGTATACATTTTATATTATGTTTTATCTCATGTTTTATCGATTTTTTAGAATAATATGAGCAATGCACCGTAAGTGCGCTAGCAAAATTTGTTGACGCAAATTTTGTAGCTTTGAAAATGCTTGATTTTGAGACCAAATATGGTTGGGTACAAAAATTGTGCCAGCAAAGTTTGTAGCTCAAAATCGAGCGTTTTTCAAGCTACAAAAGGTGCGTCAACCTTTCACTGACGCACTTTCGGTGCATTTGAACTTTTCAATGAAAAATAGAGTGGCTATTTTTAGAAAATGTCAAATTTCTACTCCCTAATCCCCTTTTTTCTCCGTGTGATAAAAGAAAATGATAATTTTCATTTTCCCCCATTTTTTCCAGCGAATTTTGCTATAATTTTTTGATTTTCCGAGGAAAATTTCAATTTTCACCTGGTGTTTATCGTGACTTTTTGGACGAAAAATTTTCCAGCTGCTGGAAAAAGATGAACTTCTAGAATATTCTAGAACATTTGGCAGATTGGCGTGATGAAAAAAGTTCAGAAAAAAAATGTTTGCGGGGGCTGGGGGTCGAACGGGACCTTGAGATCAGAAATGGAAATGTTGATTTTGTTCAGAATTTCTTGATGATCATTTTGATACCCTAACTTGTATTTTTTGGAGTACTGTAGGGTACGGTACCTCACTTTAAATACTCTCAGTTTGTAGGGCCCAGCAGGGCTCGAACCCTGGTCGCTCACCCAGTAATTTTTATATCGTTCTACGCCAAATTTCACGCTCTACAACCTCATCGCCATGAAAATCTTTAAAAAAAATTTCCAGATGTCATCAGTGGCCTCATTCCTACGTCGTTTCTCAATCGATATCGATTCCTCATCATCTCCCTCATCTCCACCTTCATCCGCCGGTTCAATCGCCTCAAAACCGCGACGCAGCCGCATCGCAGCAAGTCTAGATTCGGCGCGTCGTCGATTCTCACTTCAACACGGTCCGGCACCGAATGGCCCGCCCACAAGTCAAGTTCAACCACAGGAAATTGCTACGCGTACTGGAAGGTCTCGCAAGGAAAATGGCAGTTTGCCAGATTTGGCCGAAGTGAGTCATTTTTTTCATGCTCTACGTGAAATTCTGATTATTTTGATACCCCACATCGCTAATATGAGCAATGCACCGCAAACACGTCAGCATTGAGCGCTGACGCGTTTTCGGTTCCAGGTTTTCTTCCCTGTGCCCTGGGCTTTAGTTTGACACCCATATCTCTTTAGCCACCACCGTTTTCTAAAAATGCACCGCAAACGCGCCAGCAACCCTTAGCTGACGCATATTTTGTAGATCACTAAAACCACTTGAAATCGAACGCTTCTAGATCAAAAAAACGTGAGGAATTCAATGATGTTTGACTCATCTGATAAAAGTGCACCGGAAATGCGCCAGCAAGGCGCATTTCCGGTAGGGATTAGGGGGAAAAACTGAATTTGATCTTGAAATGGAAGAAATGTTTGGAAAGGGGTCTACAACATTGCTCATGCTACAAAAATTGCGTCAGCAGGTGATTGTGCTGACGCATTTCTGGTACCCTATCATATTCGGTCTCAAAATGATTCAAATTTTGAGCTACAAAAGTTGCGTCAACAAAATTTGCTGGCGTATTTCTGGTACCCCATCAAATTCGGTTTCAAATTTCGGCGGAGCACCAAGAAAAAAGTGTCTCCCAGGAATTATTGATTCATTTTTCATGGCCCAAGAAAAAAAATTGCAAAAAAAAACTTTTCCTCGTTTTTTTATGTTGTTGTATATATAAATAAGATATTCTTCTCCTCTTTTTTTGGAAAAAAAAGGGAACTTTTTCCTCTCCCAGAAAATAAAAAAACATTTTGGCTGGCCGCCAAACTTTTTTCCATGAGAATATGTGGATTTTGTTGGCCGAGAAAAAATGAGGTGGGTACAAAATTTGGAGCTCAAATATGATTGGGTACCAGAAATGCGTCAGTCAACTTGTTGACGTATATTTTGTAGCTCGAAAAATGCGTCATTTTGACCCTAAATATGATAGGGTACCAGAAATGCGTCAGCAAAAATTTGTTGATCTACCAAAAATGCGTCAGCAAGTCTCCTTGACGCATTTGTGGTGCATCTTCAAAACTAGCCATGTTTGATGTCAAAATAAGCCGAATCACATGAAAATTTCGAAAAATCTACCAAAAATGTGTCAGCAAGCCTCCCTGGCTCAAAAAATCCCCAATTTTTATATTTTTTTACAGAAACGAGAAATGCCAGCACCGCCAACGAAACGAGTTTCCGTAATTGCCACCGATCGAGACCGGGCCTATTTTTTACGCCAGAAACACATGAGGACACACAAAAATCATGCGGAAAAGGTGGGGGAGCATTTTTTTTTACAAAAAATTTGGTTCAAAAATGAGAAATCCACCCACATTTTATTTTTTGTTGACTTTTCGGATTTTTTGTTGATTTTAAAATTTTTCTTGGAAATATAACTTGAGATTTTTGAGCTTCTTGAAATGCGTCAGCAAATTTTGTTGACGCATTTTTTGTAGATTGAAAAATGCTTCATTTTGAGATAAAATATGATAGAGTACAAAAAATGTGTCAATAAATTCTACTGGCGCATTTGAAGTAGCTGCAAAAGGTTCTATTTTTCAAGTTACTAGAAACGTGTCAACAATTTTGCTGACGCAATTGTTGTAGGTTGAAAATGAAGCAATTTTTGAGCTACAAAAAACACGCCAGCCTAAACTTAACTGACGCAATTCCTGTACCCTATCATATTTGGACTCAAAACGCCGCATTTTTCTAGCTACAAAAAACACGTCAACACCCAAAATTTGCTGACGCAAATCTCGTTCATTCTCACGCTTTTTGTTTTGTAGTTCTCTCGGAAAATCTGAGATTTTTCTGTTTTTGCCGCCCCTTTTAACTTGTCAATCATTCATTTTTGACAGGTTTTTTCGGCGGGCCCCGAAAAAATCAATTCGGTTTTTTTTTTTGATTTTTTTTTTCGGAACAGATAAGAAATGCATTTTTATTTTACACTGTGTGTTCGGTTTTTTTTGGAAATTTTTTGAATTTTTCTGAATTTTTGCCTGAAAATTCCACGTGGCATATGGAATTTTGAGCGCTGCCAAAAAAAAAATTCGGAAAGTGTCCCATGAGATTTTGAAAATCCTCTCGCGCCCTTTTTCTTTATGGTCGAATGATTTATTTCTTTTTCCCATCTTTTTGTTCATGTTTCTTTCTTTCTCTAACCGCCTCTCTCTCTACCCGTCTCTCATTTCCACACACTCTCTCGTCGCCTGGTTTTTTACACTCACACCACACTCGTTTTCCACTTTTCCATTTTATTTTTTATTTTTTTTTGGAAACCAATGAAAAAATAGCCACTGGTTTTGGGTTTTTTGGAAATTTTTTAAGCTTCGAAATTTGAATGCCACGTTTTTTCCCACCATTTTCCACGTGGAATTTCGATTTTTTTCAAAAATTTTGAATTTTTATTTTGAAGTTTTCGGCTCCAGCTTTATAGCTTAAACTGTTGTTCTACCTGGATTTGTGAAGCTGAAATTTAATTTTTTCTGAAAATTTACTTGCCACATGGAATTTCAGATTATGAAATTTCAAAAAAACTTGTTGGAGGCAAAATTTTTGATTTTGAAAGTTTTCCACGTTTTTCAGAATTTCGAATTCCCCATGTGGATAGATTTTCAGATCAAATAAATTTCAGAAACTTTTTTTGCCACGTGGATTTTTGAACCTAACATTTTTAATTTTTCTGAAAATCAACTTGCCACGTGTGTGTGTTTTGCCACGTGGATTTGTGAAGCTGAAATTCAATTTTTTCTGAAAATTTCAAATTTTTATTTAAAAAAGTTCCCGTATTTACCATACCACGTGGATTTTCAGATTATGAAATTTTTAAGATTCAAAAAAATTGTTGATTTTGAAATTCTCGACTTTTAGCTTAAACCTGAAATTCAATTTTTTTTTGAAATTTACTTGCCAAGTGGATTCTGTACTAAATTTTCAGATCAAAACTGTGTTTTGCTACGTGGATTTATGAGGTTGAAATTCAATTTTTTTTTTTGAAAATTTGGAAATTTACTTGCCACGTGGAAATTCAAAACATTTTTAGCTCGAAAAACTCGGATTTTCACCAGGTTTTCTGTGTCTGCCACGTGGCATCTGCATTTTTTGGCGCCAAAATCGACCACTCCCTTTTGATTTCTACTTAGTTGATAATAAAATCAAGTCTTCTTCTTCATCATCATCTCATTTCTCATTTTCTCATTTTTCCTTCTTCCGTTTTTCTCTAACCCTTTTTTCTCTGCACTCTCCTCATTTCCCACATTCTCTCCTCGATTTTCGCTTTTTATCATTTTAACTTCTTCATCTTCTTCTCCTATTTTCTTCAACAAATTTCTTCTTCTTCTTCTATTTTTTTATCCGCATCCCAATAGAAAAAATCGATTTTTTGTGGAGAAATAATGAGATTCTGCAAAAAATTTGACGCTAGAAAATTTGAATTCAGAATTTTGCCACGTGGAAATGTGAAATGTAGTTAAAATTCTGAATTTTATAGGTGAAAATTCTACGTGGCAAGTAAATTTTCAGAAAAAACAATTGAATTTTCACTGTAGCAAAACACAGTTTTGATCTTGAAAAAATTTAATTTTAGGAAAATTTCAAAATCAAATTTTTTTTTTGAAATTTCATAATCTGAAAATTCCACGTGGCAAGTTGATTTTCAGAGAAATTAAACATTTTAGGTTCGAAATTCCACGTGGCGAAAAAGTTTTTTAAGTTTTTTTGATCTGAAAATCTCCACATGAAAAATTGGAAATTCTGAAAAACGTGGATTTTTCGAACTGAAATTCAATTTTTTTTCAAATGTCTTTTCACAAAATTTCGAATTCAAAATTAATTTCTAAAATTTTTTTCCACGTGGATTATAAGTAGAATTTTCACGAATTATAAAATTCGAAAATTCAATTTTTTTTCCAAAAATTTCGCCAAAACACACATTCCACACATCAGAACCCAAAAAAAGCGAAAATCTCCACTCAACTACTCAAAAATTCAAATTTTTTGCTCGCCGCGGCGCGCGCGAAAAAACTTTTTGATTGCTTTTTTTGCCAACTCGTTTAGTCTCATCCTCTTCCTTTTCTTTTGAAAAAAAAAGTTTTTCAACAAATTTTTCTCGTTTTTTTTGCTGTGAGCAAGATAAATTGTAGTACTATTTTTTTTGTTACTCAAAAATTTATGAGCAAAAAAAACTTGTGCCAAAATTTCTAGGGCTCTGAAAATCCACGTGGCTTTACCGTAACTCTGAATTTGTACTGTAATCTAGAAAACTCAACATTTATTCATGATCTACAGTAACCCTAAATTCCTACTGTACCATGAAGAATTAGGCTATTGTTTTTAAATTTTATTAAATTTCTGATCTACCGTACTCCTACAGTAACCCAAAAGTTAGGAACTTTCTGCTGTACCTAATCTAATCTACAGTACACTTTTGAAACTCCTACAGTAACCCAAGAACTACGAAATTTTCCAAACCTTCTGAAAAATACAGTAACCCTCTACATTTCCTGATCTACCCTATTTTCTTCTTCCTACAGTAACCCAAGATCTACAGTATCCAAATATACTGTACTTATAACTTCAATAAAATCTTCTTTTGATCTACCATAACAGTAACCCCACAATTCTACAGTACTATATTTCTAGAGTTTGTGAAACTTTTTTGATCTTTTTTGACCTACCTTCTTATTTTTCTACCGTACCTCCCTACAGTAACCCCTCCAATTCTACAGTACTTCCTGCTCTCCTTCTCGTCTCCTAATTCAAATTCAATCCTGGATCGTCGAGTCGGACTTCCAGACGCGCTTTCATTGTGTCTGAAAGCGGCCACATCGAGAATGTCCTCCTCCTCCTCGTCAGAAAATCAAAAAGATTTCGAATTTCGGCCGGCAAAAGAGACGCAGCGAAGCAAATCGCCAGGCGGAGTCATCGGAAGATTGAGCAATTTCGCGCGCAGCAAAGCCCGATTGTCGCTGTCCGAAAAGGGATCTGGCGGAGTTCATGGAAGTCGAGGAGAGAATGGAGCGGCGAGTGGAAGTGGAAATGGAAATGGTGGAGCCGCTAGAAAGGTTTTTCTCTTTTTCTACTCTCCAAGTTTACTCTAAACTCAAATTTGCACCAAGAATGCGTCAGCAACCCATAGCTGACCCGTTTTTGGTACCCCAAAACACCATAGTTTTCTTCTGCTAATCACGGGCTTTCGTTTGATACCCATATCTCCCTATCTATCCCTCCATATAAAAGTGCACGAGAAATGCGTCAGCAACCCTTAGCTGACGCAATTTTTGTAGATCCTCAAAACTCCTCAAAATTGAGTGCAAAATGATCCCCGGGACCTCACAAAAACCAATTTGATATTCAACACCTTTGAAAAATGATAGCTACCAAAAAGACGCCAGTAAAAATGTGCTGACGCGTTTTTGGTGCACCTAGCGATTCTGGAATTCAATCAAATGTCTTCTTCTGACCATGAGCTCTCGTTTGATACCCATAATTCTATAGGTTTCTCCAAGTTCAAAGGTGCACGAGAAATGCGCCAGCAACCCTTAGCTGACGCGAATTTTGTAGATCCTCAAAACCCCTCAAAATTGAGTGCAAAATGATCTCCGGGACCTGAAAAAGATGAATTTGAACATAAAAACTGATGAAAATCCGTGATTTTTGCAGGATCTACTAAAAGAGTTCCACAAATGCAAAGAGAATCAAGATCAACGTTTGGATTTGTCAAGCATCGAAATCACAAGCATTCCAGCTTCAATAAAAGATCTCACACAACTAACAGAGCTCTTTTTGTATAAGGTAAGAGCCTTAAGGACCTAAAAATGACCTTAAAATCATTTTTCAGAACAAACTTACAAGTCTACCCAACGAAATCGGTGCATTAGTGAATTTGAAAAAACTGGGACTCTCCGAAAACTCTCTAACATCTCTACCCGACTCTCTCGCTTCTCTGCACTCTCTCGAAACTCTTGATCTACGTCACAATAAATTGGTGGAAGTTCCAAAAGTGATTTATCAAATTGAGAGTCTCGAAACACTGTGGCTCAGATATAATCGAATTGTGGCGGTTGATGAGCAGATTGGAAATTTGAAAAAGTTGAAAATGTTGGATGTGAGGGAGAATAAAATTCGCGAATTACCGTGTAGTATTGGAAAATTGAGCTCGCTTGTTGTCTGCTTGTTGAGCTACAATCATTTGCCCAAAATTCCTGATGGTGAGTTACAAAAAGCGGTTGATTGACGCATTTCTGGTTCCAGCATAGCTAGAGCTCTCGAATGAGACCAAACATGACGCATTTTGCTCACCTACCAGAAATGCACCAGCAGTTCTTAGCTGACGCATATTTTGTAGGTATATAATATTGTCATCATTTTCATCCTCTAGTTATAAGCTTTCGTTTGATACCCATATATCTATACTTGTCTCTCATCTCAGGAATGCACCAGAAATGCGCCAGCAATCCTTAGCTGACGCAGATTTTGTAGAGAATTTTGTCAAAATTTTTATCCTCTAGTTATGAGCTTTCGTTTGACACCCATATACCTATACACATCTCTAATCTCAGTGATGCACCAGAAATGCGCCAGCAAGCCCTTGCTGACGCATATTTTGTAGATGCTCTAATTCTCTTGTTTTTGAGCGCAAATTGATTGCGAGAGTCTCAGGATAACAAATTTACAGAAATTTTTGCCTTAAAATCTTACCTACCTAAAAAGCGCCAGCAAACCTTCTTGACGCGTTTCTCGTTCTTCCAGAAATCGGCGATTGCGTTTTGCTCACTCAACTCGATCTCCAGCACAATGACCTAACCGAACTCCCAGCCACCATTGGAGGTACAGTTTTTGTTAACCTGAGCAATCCTTAAAAAAAATGACTTCAGGTTTAAAAAATCTGGTACGAATCGGCATCAGATACAACAAAATTCGAAATATCCCACAAGAATTGGAACAATGCGAGTTGCTCGAAGAATTCATTGTGGAAAGCAATCATTTGCAAAGTTTACCAGTAAGTATTTTGTCTGCACCGCAAATGCGTCAGCATTGAGTATTACAGAAAAATTTCATAATTTTCGAACTCTCCAAGCGATAAGCTTTCGAATGACACCCATATTCGTTATATTCAAATGTGCACGAGAAATGCGTCAGCAACCCCTTAGCTGACGCATTTCTCGTGCAATCCTGAAATTGCTTAAAATTAGATGTTTCCGGCGTAGAATTGCATGGTGAACTCGAAAATCGTATTTATTTTCAGCCAAACCTGCTAACAACCCTGACAAAAGTGCATACAGTGAATTTGTCGAGAAATGAGCTGACAGCTTTCCCCGCTGGAGGACCTCTACAATTCACATCGACCGTGACAATTAATATGGAGCATAATCAGATCGCAAAAATTCCAATCGGAATTTTTTCGAAAGCCTCGAAATTGACCAAATTGAATTTGAAGGAGAACGAATTGATCAGTTTACCTTTGGATATGGGAAGTTGGACATCGATCACTGAGTTGAATTTGTCGACTAACCAGTTGAAAGTTTTGCCAGAGGATATTGAAAAATTGGTGAGCTCAAAAAACGCGGTAGAATGATACCAAACATGACAACTTTTAGTCAACTACTAGAAATGTGGCAAGGGAGGGTGATTGACGCATTTCTGGTGCATTTTCCGAGTTTGAAAATGTTACTGTAATGTTGAGAGGAGTAAGAGCTTTCGAATGAAACCAAACATGACTTATATTGGATACCTACCAGAAATGCGCCAGCAACCCTTAGCTGACGCAATTTTGGTAGGTCATCAAACTGCCTCAAAATGTGCCTTGAAATATTCAGAAAGATGAGGGCTTTCGAAAGAAACCAAACACGAGGCATTTTGCTAACCTACAATAAACACGTCAGCAACCCTTAGCTGACGCAATTTTGGTAGCCCCTCAAAACGAGTCGAAATTGTGCTCAAAATGCTCCAAAAATTGCGAATTTTTCGAAATTTTGCAGGTCAACCTGGAAATCTTGGTCCTTTCCAACAACCAGCTCAAAAAACTGCCGACACAAATTGGAAATTTGAAAAAATTACGCGAATTGGACCTGGAGGAGAACGATTTGGAGACGATTCCGACTGAAATTGGTAGGAAAATTTTAGATTTTATTGATTTTTTCTGTAAAAAATTGATTTTTTCAGGATTCTTGCAAAATCTGACAAAACTTTGGATACAAAGCAACAAAATCGTGTCTTTGCCAAGATCGATTGGAAATTTGTATGCACTTCAGGATTTGCGATTAGGAGAGAACAATTTGACGGCGATTCCCGAAGAGATTGGTGAGTTTTGACTCAAGATTTTTCCCGTAGTTTAATGAGAATTTTCGCGAAAATTCGATCATTTTGATATCCCATTTGCTGACGCATTTCTGGTGCATTTTCGCGGGTTCTTCATACTCCAGAGTTATTGCCCAGATTAAGAGCTTTCGTTTGATACCTATATCTATAGCCTTTTCAGTGATTTTTGAAATGCACCAGAAATGCGTCAGCAACCCTTAATTGACGCATATTTTGTAGTTTACCAATTCATAGCAATATGGGTATCAAAATTCGTCAAATTTCACGCTGAAAACGCCAATCACTACCAAAATTAACATGAAATAAATTCCAGGCCACATGCAATCACTCAAATCGCTCTACCTCAACGACAATTCCTCACTCCACAGTCTTCCATTCGAATTGGCCCTGTGCGCCGCTCTCGAAATCATGTCCATCGAAAATTCGCCACTCTCTCAAATTCCGCCCGAAATCACGGCCGGCGGTCCGAGTTTAGTCATACAGTATCTGAAAATGCAGGGACCATATCGAGGTGTGATTCTCAACAATCAATAAGTCTTTGTTTTTTTTTGCTAATCAATTTTTTCCTGATGATTTTTGAGCATTTTTATTGGAAAGGGTACTGAAAAAGCGTTTTTTTTTGAGTGTGCACCAAAAACACGCCAGCAAATTTTGCTGACGCCTTTTTCGTGCGTTTTTTGGTCACGAAAATCGTCCCATTATATTTTCCAGGTCAAGACGAGAATTTTGAGCCCCATATTTGATATATTCCAAGATGCACCAAAAACACGCCAGCAAACCCCTTAGCTGGCGCAATTTTGGTAGATTCTTGAAATACGTCAAGATTAGACTTGAAATTCTCGCAGCGACCTGGAGAAAGAGAATTTAATATTTTCACATTGAAAAACTCGCGTTTTCGGTACCCAAATCCCCACATTTTTTTTGTAAATTCCTACGGGTTATCATCACTTCTATAATGCTTCCGTTTCTTTTTATTTTTTCGAATAAAATCTATGAAAATGATATTTTTGCAAAGCAAAAATGCGGCGAAAAATCGCATAAATCTGCAAAAAAACCTATTTTGCTTTTTTTCTCCCAAACTTTTCTCCCTTTTTCCTATTTTTCGCGATTTTTCTTTCGAAAAATTTGAGAGAATCCATTGTTCCTTATGTTGGGATATTCTTTTGTGTTTTTTTCACATGTTTTTCAAATTTTTTAGGAGAGGAGGAAAAACAGATTTTTGGAAGGATGCGCTGCACTTTTGACACTGATTTTTCTTGTTTTTCTGCACTTTACTTGGTCTGGTTTGAACTCTAAAAATTTCTAGACACTGGAAAATTATTGCTCAGATTAGGAGCTCTCGTTTGATACCCATATCTTCCATACTCTTATGAGATCAAGAAGTTTACCAAAAATACGTCAGCCACCCTTAGCTGGCGCATTTTCAGTGCATTTCCCAAAGTTTTGACTACTGGCAAAACATTGCTCACGAAGTGTGTGACCAGTCCCCGGAGATTTTCAATGAGACCTATGTTTTTTAGGTCAGTTTTTCACGCTGATAAAGCTCCTGTTTTCAGTTTTTGCTGAACGACTCTCTGAAGAGCCCAAAAATGAGCCAAAAAATGAGAATTTCCTGAAAATCGGGTTTTTAGGAGCCCTTAACTCATGTTAGAAATTATTTTTATGGAAAACGGAATGCATCACGTTGTTCAGGAGGGTCGATTTACCAAAGTCACAAGTTTTGACAAAATTTTCCAAAAATTTTCAAATGTGCAATCCATGACCTGAGCCTATTTTCTGAGCCACAAAATTTTTTTCTGAAAAAGTATGGACTTACTAATTAAAAATTTGTGACTTTGGTAAATCGACCCTCCTGAACAACGTGATGCATTCCGTTTTCCATAAAAATAATTTCTAACATGAGTTATGGGCTCCTAAAAACCCGATTTTCAGGAAATTCTCAACTTTGGGCTCATTTTTGGGCTCTTCAGAGAGTCGTTCAGCAAAACTGAAAACAGGAGCTTTATCAGCGTGAAAAACTGACCTAAAAAACATAGGTCTCATTGAAAATCTCCGGGGACTGGTCACACACTTCCCTCGTCAGCTCAAGAGCTCTCGTTTGATACCCAAATCTATACCCTTCTCTGAAGTTTCAGGAATGCACCACAAATGCGTCAGCAACCTTAGCTGACGCGTTTTTGGTAGATAACCAAATCCAAAAGTTTTTGGGTGGAAAATGATCCAAATTTTGAGCCGATAAAGAATTTGATATTCTCAAGCCTTATTTTTGACTAGCTAGCCTAGAATTTGTGGGTCCCTGGGCTTAAAATAATTGAAAAATACTGAAAATTTCTGTAGAACATATGGTTCTTATTATGAGCAATCATCTGGTGGATTTGTGTTATGTTCTCTTCACAAAAAAAGAATCCACTATGTTTTGGAGCAAAAAAAACATGGAAAAACACATAAAAATATGGAACGAAACCTAATAATTAAATAAAACATATGACGAAAAGCAGAGGAAAAAACTGGAAAATAAAAATAATAATTTCTTTCTTATGTCTTGTTGTTTTCCCACCGAAAAATAGCATTTTCTCGTAGATCAAAGAGCTTTTCTGGTTTTCGAAACTCAACGCTGACGCATTTCTGGTGCAAAACCCGAAATTATCCATTTTTTCTCGCTCGCCGTGCATAGTTAATTAAAATTTTGTGAGAAATTTTCCATATTCATAAAGATAGAAAATTGTTGTTTTCATTTCTTGATTTTCTCTCTGGGAAAAACCAAAAAACCAGATTTGGTCTAGCACCAGAAATGGGCCAGCAAGTATTGTTGACGCAATTTTGGTAGCTACAAAATTCTCCCCGTTTCATGAGCTTTTGAATGATACCCATTTTCCTTATATTTTCTCGAAATCTATACATGCACCAAAAATGCGTCAGCAACCCTTAGCTGACGCGAATTTTGTAGAGTGCATTCTAAGGTTTTGAAAACTACCCCAAAATGACCACTGAGTCACGAGCTTTCATTTGATACCCATATCCTTATAGTTATCTCTATCCTTCTAGATGCACCAAAAATGCGTCAGCAACCCTTAGCTGGCGCGTTTTTGGTAGATCACCAAATCTAAAGGTTTTTGGGTGGAAAATGATCCAAATTTTAAGACGATAAAGAATTTGATATTCTCAAGCCTTATTTTTGACTTGCTGACCCAGAATTTGTAGTTAAAAGGTCCCTAGGCTTGCAATAATTGAAAAATACTTTGAAAATTGACGTGAATTTTGTAGATGCTCAAAACCCCTTGAAAAAAGGCGCAAAATTATCGGAATTTTTTAAAAATTAAGAATGCACTGAAAACGCGTCAATAAACGGCCAAATTGACACCAAATTAGTAGATCAAAAAGTACCCTTTTAGCGCGCGCGCGCGATTTTCCCCAGCCAGCCAGCCAACCTAATTGCCATCCATTTCTTGTTGAATGAATGAATGAAGAAATCTCATCTAGGCCACGCCCACATTTTCTCACTGAAAAAAAACAACTTTTCTCTATTTTTTTCTTCGCTTCACACACAACTTGTTATTTTTTTCTGAATTTTGATGTCGAAAAAAATTTGATTTATGATTTTTTTTTTTCATTTTTCAGAATGAATTTCACCGAGGAATTGGGAATTTTGGAAGAGGAGGATGAATTTTACGAATTATCCACTTTAGAGTTGGTAAGTTTGGGCTATGCAAAACGCGTCAAGCAATTTGCTGATGCGTTTTTTGTAGCTGGATTCATGATCTTCAGATTTAGAGGAACATTTTCCACCCAAAAACTTTGAATTTTGACGACCTACAAAATATGCGTCAGCTAAACCCTGCTGGCGCATTTGTGGTGCATTCTTGGGGCTAGAGATTCGTTGAGGAATATGGGTGAAGCCTAGAATCTAAGGAACATTTGAGGACTACCAACATTGCGTCAACAAAAATGCTGGCGCATATTCAGCAGCATGTGTTTTTGTAGTGTGAAATTTCTTCTTAAATAATTGCTGCTGAAAATTACTCGCGCAGAATTTCAGATGAGCCAAAAGAAAAACGAAGATTCTCAAAAAAAAACACAGAAAAAATTCTGACTTCAGCTAACTCGATAAAGTGCGCGAAAACAAAAAGTTCAAACTACATACACATGAAAAATTTTTGATTCATATGAAAAATTAAAAATAGTTTTTGCTCGGCAAAAAATTATGTGAGAAAAACTTATTTTTATTTTTTCTCTTAATTAAAATGACGAAGTTTGCTTCAATTATTTTTAGCGGAAGAGGAAGTACTAGAAACGCGTCAGCAAATTTGACTGACGCATTTTTAGTAGCTATGAGTTTTGGAAAAATGATCTTCAAGTCATACGCTTTAATTAGACACCCATATCGTTTAACTAAATATGAATTCTAATAATGCACCAGAAATGCGTCAGCAAGCCTTAGCTGGCGCAATTTTTGTAGGTCACCAAATTCAAGAGTTATTGATTGCAAATTGTTCCAAACTTTGCGTAGAACAAAATTTTAACACTTATTTTCGTCAAAAACCCATTTTTCAGATAATTTGGTGCCTCCTCTATGCAATTATCGCAGCAATGGCAATTATCGGAAATTCCATGGTACTGTACATCACAATTTTCAGAATACGGTAGGCTACAGTACTCCTAGTAGTACTGTAATGAGATTTTGTTGCAGAGTCAAATCGATCACCACCTATTTTATTCTGAATTTGGGATTTGCCGATTTGTTCACCGGCATTTTTGCGATACCCTTCAAATTTCAGGCCGCACTTTTTCAGGTACGGTAGGTCAAAAAATATATGTGGAATTTTCCAAAAGTTCAGTTGAGGGTACTACTTTTCATAATTAAAAATAGGAAGCTTGAATTTTTTATCAAGGAACTAGAACATACATGTTTTTGGTCCGGAAAAGTATAAAATAGGGTCGTTAACTTTTTTATTTTTAATGAAAAATAGGTCCTTAACTTTTATGAAAAATTACTATTAATTTCTCAAGTCATCAAAATTACCTCTGCATCAGCTTCTTCTTTCAAAGAGGAGCAGGGTTTCCACAAAAATTTCGCCTTGTTTCATCCTGCATCACGCGAAATATTTCAATATCTCTCATCGCCGACAGTTCGCTGGTAGCGCCACACACCATATCTCTCATTGCACCTGGCTCCGCCCACATCATTTTTCTTTTCTTTTCGTTTTTCACAGACAATTCAAATCAAAAGCAAAACTTAACAACTTAAAGGCAACCAAATGAGCTAAAAATTTTCACAGCTCTACTTCAAGATATTTCGCAGGGTTCGAAAACCTAAAACTTTCAAATAAAGACCGTTTTAAGGGAAATAAAGACCTATCCGGAAAAGTATAGTGTCATCCTATACTTTTCCGGATAGGTCTTTATTTCCCTTAAAACGGTCTTTATTGGAGGTTTTTAGGTCTTCGAACCCTGCGAAATATCTTGAAGTAGAGCTGTGAAAATTTTTAGCTCATTTGGTTGCCTTTAAGCTGTTAAGTTTTGCTTTTGATTTGAATTGTCTGTGAAAAAAACGAAAAAAAAGAAAAAAGATGAGTGCGTGTGTTGCATAACAAGGGAAAACAAAGGAGAAGAAAACAACGAGAGCATAGAGCAGGCGGTTAGACTCGCGCTTTCTAATCCAGCTACAAAGGTTCGGTTCTGGGCTAGAGCTTTTACTTTGATTTTTGGCAGTATTTTTGTTCTTCATTTTTCCGGTGGATGGTCTTTAACTTTTTCATTTTTGACAAAAAGGGGTCTTTAACCCGAAGGGCCTTCCGGATAGAAAAACATGTATGAACTAGAATTTTTCACTCTTTTTTTGCGTAGATCACACAATTTATGAAATATATGGTTAATATGAGCAATGATGTTATTTTGAGTCAAAAACCAATTTACAAGATTTTTTAAAATTAAAAACTAACATGAGCAATGCCTCAAAAACTTCAAGTAGATTAAAAAAAATGAAATTTTCAAGATTAATACGAGCAATGCTCAAAAAACTTTTCTAAATATTTGTAGTTGTAGATAAAGTTTAACCTGAGCAATGCTCAGAACCATGAAATTGTTAAGAAAAATCTAATCTGAGCAATCATCTACTAGCATGAGCAATGCCTCAAAAAGTTCAAGTAGATAAAAAAATGAAATTTTCAAGATTAATATGAGCAATGCCTCAAAAAACTAGGAAAAATTGTAGTTTAGATAAAGTTTAACCTGAGCAATGTCTAAATCTTTAGCTTTTTGAAAATTTTAATTTCCTTAGTCTAAATCAGAAAATCCCTCTAACCTGAGCAATCAGCTTTATTTGGTATCAAAATGCTCCAAATCCCACGTGGATTCCAAATCTCTTCCCATCTAACCTGAGCAATCCCCTCAATTTGTTTCCAGGAATGGTATCTTCCCAGCTGTCTCTGCCACATAGTTCCCTACGTCGAAACCGTCGCTCTAACCGTCTCCGTCTTCACTCTGGTCACTTCGGCCGTTCACGAATTTCGCACCATATTTTTCGCCAAATACGCGCAAATGTCGGAAAAAAGTGCCAAAATTTGGGTGTTGTTGATTTGGTTTATGTCGATTACTGTATCCATTCCACACGGATTATTTCATAGTGTACATGAGTTTGAAAATGGAACTGTGGTTCAGGTTAGTCTGGTTTAACATGAGCAATCATAATTTTTTTGTTGAGAAAGATAAGGACTGATGCTCGTGTTAAAAATGTAATTTATTGGAAGTTTTTTGAAGCATTGCTCATGTTAATTATCTTATAGTTTAGAATTTTCCAAATATTTATTAACCTGAGCAATGCTCTAAAAAATGATTATATTTGAATTAAAAAAAAATCCAATGTTTCAAGTTTAACCTGAGCAGTCTCCAAATTTTCTTAGGAAAACTTTTGAAGCAGTTAAATGTTAACCTGAGCAATCTCCCGCAGAAAATTCAAACATTTTCAATTTTCAACTTTAACATGAGCAATGCTCCCAAGATTTGTCATACTTGGTTTCAAAAAAGTTCCAATTTCTCAAGTTTAACCTGAGCAATCTCCAAAATATCTTAGAAACACTTTAAAAGCATTAAAATTTTAACCTGAGCAATCTCCAAAATATCTTAGAAACACTTTAAAAGCATTAAAATTTTAACCTGAGCAATCCCCCGCAGAAAATTCAAAATTTTCTAATATTCAAGTCTAACATGAGCAATGCCTCAAAAAATGATCAATAACCAGTGAAATTTGTGAGAAAAACATGTTTTTCTTCTTCCAAAATGGATAATTTGATGTTCTCAAATGAGATTTTTTTTCTGGGAGCTCTTCATCAAAAAATTTTCGGGAAACTTTTAGGGATTGCTCATGTTTGTATTTTTTGAAAATCAAAAAATCTTGGACAATTTTTAACCTGAGCAATCCCAACAAGTTTTAATCAAAATTTTTGCGCGAAAAGCCCTCCCTGACTCATTTTTCTTAAAAAATCCAAAATTTCCAGTGTCTCCCTGTCTACGCGGAAGAAAATTGGTGGAAAATCTACAACGTCTACTTGACAATCATTCAATATTTCGTTCCAATGATCATACTAGACACAGCCTATACAATGATTGCCGTGAAAATTTGGACGATGAGTCGAAGAATCGATGTGGATACGTCGAATCAGAAGGTTAGGCTGATTTTTGAAGAATGTTATAATTTTCTACGCGAAATTTTATGCATTTTGATACCAAGATGCTTTACTGACGCGTATTTTGTAGTTAGCTACAACAACGCGTCAGCAAATTCGCTCCGGTAGCCTAACCTAACCAATTTAGACGTTCTTCTTCTACAATCACAGCATGTCAGAAATTAACATGGTCTGCTTTTGTGTTTTTTTTTGCGTGCTTTTCTATTTTGCATGATTTTTAAAATGTTTGTGTGTGCCACGTGGCAATTTTGGCGGGAGATTTTTTGATCTACAAAATATATAGATTGCTCAGGTTAAGACCTAATTTTATGTCAATGTAGATCATAAATTTCCCGCCAAAAACTCACGTTTTGCCACGTCATAACTCAAAATTTTCAGCTAATGCGCGTTCTAATTATCGTAGTCGCGTGTTTTTCGCTGTGCTGGTTTCCACTCGAGACCTATTTGCTGTTGAATGAGGTGAAGCCGGAGATCAATGAGTGGAAATACATCAATCTCCTTTTTTTCTTCTCACATTGGCTGGCGATGAGCAATTCTTGTCTGAATCCCATCATTTATTATGTTTATAATGTGAGTTGGGTACTGTAGATGAGGCTACAGTACCCGAGAGTACTGTAGAAAATATTGTATTTAATGATTTGCAGGAAAAATACAGCGAGGAGTATCGACGAATTTTTGCGAAAATTTGCTATTTTGCTACTATTCGGCCGAAGGTTAGTTGGGCTAAACAAAATGCGTCAGCAAGATTTGTTGGCGCGTTTTTTGTAGCTTGGAAATCTGGTTATTTTGATACCGAATATGATAGGTTTTGCTTGGGATACAGAAAATGGGTCAATCAAACTTGTTGACACCTTTCGTGTAGCTCTTGAATCACCTTTTCCCAATCTACAAAAAACGCGTCAACAAAAATTGATGACACAATTTTTGTACCCCACCATATTTTATCTCAAAATACATCAATTTTTGAGCTGCAAAAAACGCGCCAGCAATCCTTGCTGACGCATTTTCTGTAGACCGCAAAATTCACAATCCCCACAGAGTTCCGCTAATTACCTTTTTCCCGTTTCCTGTTCCCCCAAAAACCCTGTAATTATCAAAACAATGGCTTTTTCCGGTAATTATCCAAAATTTTTCGAAAATTTATTAATTTCAGGTCAAAAAAATCGAGCGTCGCTGGAACGAAAAACTTGACAAGGAGCCAGAAACCACCGAACAACATGTCCCTTTAAATGGTGTACTGTAGACCTAGCCTACAGTAAGATTTGTGTGCCACGTGTATTTTCGGGTTTTTTTTGGTGGAACATGAAACATTTTCAGAGAACTTTTTTGTGTTTAATTTCCCAAGGGATCCAATTTTTTCTGTTTGAAAAAAACCAAAAAACAAAAAAAGTTTTTGGTGTTCGTTGTAAAGCTCAAAAAAATGCGATTATTAAAAAGTTACAAAAATTTTTTTGATCTTTTTTATTTTTAGAAATGAAAAAGATAGGAGTACTGTGGATTTGAAAAAAAAAATTGAATATTTTTTTCAAATTTTGGTTTATGTTCCTTTAAAAATTCCCGGGTTACTGTATCGCTTCAGGACCAAACCTGCTCAAATGTTAATCAAAAATATTTATATTATTTCTACAGTAACCACATCTACCGTACTTTAAAACCACATTTTTTCAAATTTGAGAACAATTGTATATCTTATTCGAAATGCTCCTTTAAAAATTCCCCGGGTTACTGTACCACATTTCGCTTTAGGACCAATTTTAAAAAATGTACATCAAAAATATTCGCATCTCTACAATACCCACATTTACCGTACTTTAGAACTACCCCGGGTTACTGTGCCACTTTTCGCTTCAGGACCAAACCTGCTCAAATGTAGATCAAAAAAGCTCTTTTCCCCTCGCATGTTCCTTTGAAAATCCCAGGTCTCCACTAATTACTCATATTATTCCCCTATTTTCACCCGTTTCCCGGTCCATTTTTCCACACACCTTATAATTATGTATAGATTTTTATTATGAATATGACTATGCTTCCGGTGACAGGTGTGAGCTGCTCGCTGAGCTTTGACTAATATGAGCAATAATGCACAAGAAATGTGTTGGAAATGCGAAGAGAGGGGATTAACGCGAAGCGAAATGAATGTGAAGAATTTTAGAGCAGCTATGTACCACATATAAAGGAAGTAATTAGGGTAGAATTGGGGGCTACCAGATTTGCGCCAGCGATGTTTGCTGGCGCTTTTTTGGTAGGGGATCGCATAGGAATTTGTTGCTCAGTGTAACAAATATTTTTTTCGAAGGGGAGAAAATCTCCAAGGAGATATGAGCGTTACAAATATGGCGTCAGCAAATATTCACATTGACGCAGATTTAGTAGCCTACAAATTCCGTGTCAATGACTATGAGGTAACACCAAAAATGCGTCAACATACCTCAACGCTGACACACTTTTGGTAGGCTACATAAGCGCATACAAATTTCGCGTCAACCAAGCTCCTGACGCATTTTATGAAGCCCAAATTCAGCGCAAGCTAAACTTTGAGCACTTATAGTTGACGCAACTTCCGGTGCTGCTCATAATCCTCAAACTATATATTTTTTATTTTTCTTCCCCCCTTCCTGCTCAAAAAGGGCTCTTTTCAGCGCGAAAAAATCTCATCTTCCCTCAGGCGTTCACAAAGTTTCAGATTATTGTTGTTGTTTGGGCCCCTGTGTGTCAGCGGCCAGCCAGCCAGCAACAACTCAGAATCGATCGTTAGCCGGCTGTGTGCGCGAGAAAAATGTTGCCATATCTTTTCTCTACGTCTCTCTTTCTCTCGTCTCTCTCTCTGCCCCAAGCTCCGCCCATTTTTTTTCTCACAGCCATTTTCCTCCGCTATCCCCCCTTTTCTATCTTCTTTCATTTCATTTTCAAAAAAAAAACATTTTTTGACTTGATTTAGCTGAAATTCGACGACGAAATGCGATTTTTGGTGGTGTTGGTGGCCGCCGCTTCTGTGGTTTTAGCCGAAAGACCGAAGGTGAAGGGATTCGATTCGAAACTTCTTGTTGAGATCAGGTATGGTTTCTATGTGAGGGATGATTGCTCATAATATAGTCTAGACCCTGGAGTCGTTAGATTTCTCATGTTATATTTCTAGAGTTTCCAAAATCCACGTGGATTATGATTGTATTTGATTTCGGAAATCCTCAAAGTTCTGATCCTGCTCCTTTAAGAGCTGATGACTGAGGTATTGCTCATGTTAAACTAGAAAAACTGGCTTGAAATCCACGTGGAACCTCCCTTTAAGGGGATCTAAAATTTTTGTGACCCCCGCAGACTTATAGATTTTGAGGGATTGTTTATGTTAAGCTTCAAATGCCACGTGGAAATTTTACTGCATACATAAATTATTTTTAAAGGGGGATTACTCATGTTAAACTACAATTTCCCCCAAATCCACGTGGATTTCTGAATCAAATGATTCAATTTGAGGAGGGATTGCTCATGTTGAACTTCATGAGAAAATTTTACGAGCTTGAATCCAGTTACACGCGAGACTTCCGAAGTTGTTTTGTTTTTTTTTTCCTGTTCAATTCTCGGGCTTGTCTAAACATTGCTCATATTAAACTGCACACATTCAACTTTTCTAATTACTAGCCTAGGAATTCAGAATTCAATTAACACACACATACACGGCCTCCTCCCTCACACCTAACTCAATTTAAATTTATTTTCTCTCCGCGAAAAATATTTTGCTAGGAAAAATGCAAAATTTCGCCTATTGATGAAAGAAAAAACGGAAAACTCCAAAAAATTTCGCATTTTCTCTACATAGTTGTTGTGTCCAAAAAAAAAGAGTAAAAACGGCCGATTTCTCTTCTCGTTTTTTGTTGTCAAAAGGGACGAATGTGTTGAAATTCAAAACCTTTTTTCCCTTTTTCTGTTTTCGAATTCGAAAAAATGGGCAATTTTTCGGTTTGAACACAAAGAGACTATAGAAAATTTATATATTTCTTTGAAATGATGACAGATGTAAAGAATGTACAGCGCGACACCTATTTTTTTAATTGGAAAATTTTTGTGCGAAAAAATAAATTGCCTTTTTTCGATTTTTTTCGCAGAAAAACAAAAACAGAAAAATTTTTATGAGGGGTGACTCATTTTAACATGAGCAATGATACCATTAAAAATCCATTTTAATATGAGCAATAGTTTTTGGTTTTTAACAGAAAGAACATTTCTTAACATGAGCAATAGCTCTTCGTTTTTTCAGAAAAAAAAAAATTCGAGTCACCTATAGTTTCTAACATGAGCAATGTCTGTAGAACCACAAGATTTCAATCTAATCTCGCACAAAAATGTGTAATATGAGCAATGCCCCTGAAATAACACCCAATGGGACTTCTTCAATTTGAACACCAAAATCTTAGCACAAAATCTCCTAACCTGAGCAATGCCTCACAAAAGGTATCTTCCTATTCAAATATGTAAATGAATAAATAAATAAACAATGTTTACAACTTTCGAGTGGCCACCCATCCGGTAATCAAATAAAAGAAGAGCAGTAAAAAGGAACCTCACCAAACACTTATTATAATAGGACAAGCACCATTGACTTCTTCTTTTTAAGGGTAAAATGTGGAATGAAGACAGGAGTTGAGTTATAACAAGTAGACTGCTAATTATTGGGGGGGGGGGGGTTAGCATTGCTCATATTTGTTGGGTTTTTAAGGGATTGCTCATGTTAACAAAAGAGAAATTATCGTGCTTGATAGAATTTGGGTTAGAATGATATATGAAACTTACATGTATTGAGAAAAAATTGAGTATTGCTCATGTTAATCTGGTTTTTAAGTTGCAATTTTAACGATTTTTGAGAATTCTATTGAATTTGGAGGCGAATGATAATCAACACCACTGTGTTTTTTTCTAATAGAAAAATGCAATTCCGAGGAGACGCAGACGGAGAGAGAAAGAGGCTGGTCTCGACACGATGTGTGTCTGCCACACACTATTTCTCTCCCTTTTTCGGCGAGAGATTTGTCTGCCCACGTTTAAGTCTGCGTCTCCCTCGAATTGCAAAAAAAAATACAGTGACACTTCATAAATTGCTCGAAATTTGTGTAGTTCTTATAGGACCCTAATTTCAAGGCATTGCTCATGTTTAGCTATTTTTCTTGTGGAGATTTTACGATTTTCGAGTTCGCCTGTTTATTTGGAGTCGAATGATATACAAAACTTCATAATTTTGGGAAATTTTTTTGAGTTCTTAAAGGATCCTACCACGTAAAGGTTTAGAAATATTTGAATTTTCGGGGTATTGCTCATGTTAAACACAACAAATCCTGATAAATTTCAAGATTTTTGGAATCTCCATCGAATTTGGTGTCGAATGATATACAAAACTTTTTTTTTTAGTTCTTAAAGGACCCTTCCACCTTAATGAACCATTTTGAAATTTTGAATCTAAGCAGCTCGGAATTCCTCAAAAAACCCATAAAACTTCGATCAAACAACAATAAGACGAAAAAACCTCTTCTTTGTGCCTCATCTCCTCTTTTTTTTTGCAATGTCCGGAAATTAATTTTTCCCTTTCTCCTTTTTTATTTTATTTCATTTCTTTTTTTCGTTTCTCAATTCTCAAATACATTTTGAATGAGAAAAGAGACGAAAAAAAGAACTGCGGAAAAATACAATTTTTTGAGTGTTCTGAACAAACAAGAGTGGATGGATATGTGTTGTTTATTATATTTTTGAGGAGGCGCAACAAAAAAAAACGGGGAAAAAATCAAAGTTTGAGGGGGGTTTGAACTAGTATGAGCAATGGTTTTATCGGATTTTCGGGGTTTCCATTAACCTGAGCAACTTTAACGCTTTAACCTGAGCAATCTAGTTAATAACACCAAACCTCTGGGATTTTCTAACATGAGCAATGGTTTTATGGGATTCTCGGGGTTTCGAGTAATATGAGCAACTTTAGCCCTTTAACCTGAGCAATCTACCAAAGCTTGAGAATTCTAATATGAGCAATGGTTTTATCGGATTTCCGGGGTTTCGATTAATATGAGCAACTTTAACGCTTTAACCTGAGCAATCTAGTTAATAACACTAAAGCTCTGGGATTTTCTAACATGAGCAATGTTGTTTACCATTAATATGAGCAATCTCGGACCTTTAATGAAGGAGGTAGACTTAAAGTGAGATTTTCTGACATGAGCAATGGCTAATCACATTTCCGGGATTAGTATGAGCAATTCATAAAGATTCTCTCATCCTCCAGTCAAATGTACAGAACTTCAAAAGCCTTGCTAATATGAGCAATTCTTAGTACATGATACCAAATCTCCAATATAACCTGAGCAATACAAAAAAATTACAGATAAATGTGAATACTTCACATTTTCTCAGTTCACAGAAACTCACTAACATGAGCAATGCCTCCAAAACTATAGATCAAATCCCTAGAAAGCCCCAAATCCTGAGCAATACCATTTCAGCTCTCTCCCAAAAGACTACTGTGGTGATGACGTGTATTTCGGGCTCGGATTGATGAATGGAAGTTTGGAACGATGTGCGGAATACGAAAAAATCGGTCAAAACGCGACTGCCGACGAGGAATATGAGAAATGGAAGTGCGCGAATTTGAGATTGCCAAATTCGGCTGCTGTCAAGGATGGAAAATGCTCATGCAATTGGTCACATAAAGGTGGGGTACTGAAATTCAAATGAGTTATGACGTGGCGAGATTTGCGCCAACAAGTTGTATACTGACACAATTCTCGTTTCAGGACCACTCTGCGAAAAACATCTCTCATGTGAACCGTTCGAAAAATACGCTGGTTCAGGGTGAGTTTTTTTTTGTGAAAACCAAAATGGCGTGTCGTAACCAATATTGACAGATTTCATTTTTGACATTTTTTCGCAAAGATGATTTTAAAACCCAAATCGCTGCGCGAAACCAGATTTTTTCGGCCGCGAATAAAATTTTTCTTTCGGATGATGATAAAAAAGGGCAAGAGAACTTGATTTTGGAGAATTAGATCAAACTATAGAAAAGGGGTCAGTGATTTATACACCTACGCATATGTTTTTTTTGAGAAGAAAGAAGAGCTCATCATAAATTTAGGCTTCGGAAAAACATAAAATGTTTTGACGACAATAAATACCACATGTTTTGACAACAACTAGAAAATAGGGGAGGTAGTTTTGAGAATATTTGGGATTTGGAATAGGAATTTTTGAAAAACATTGATTTTCAGCTTTAAGGCGGATTTCCCAGCTATTTTTCACTGAAAAAAGATCCGTCAATTTCAAATTTTTATTAAAATTCCTCTTTTTCCAAATTTTTTAGCCTAACTTTATTGAATTTTTAAAGATTTTTTTCATAATTTTCATATATTTTTCAAATTTTCCGAAATCCCTCCCCAAAAAACTCACCAATCGCTTCTATTTCTCAAATTCACAATCAAAATCATTGAAAATTCGAAATCCTCCAAGTTTTCCACGTTATTAACATCGAAATCCAATCCTCCATCAATGTGTCAAGCTGAAAATCAGAAAATTATGTTTCCATAGGGCTTTCTGCGTCTCACAACAATTTTCCAGCTATTTTTCAGAGCAAAATCTTACCCAAATCCATTGTCCATCGATTTTTGATTAAAAAATCACAAGTTCTTCGGCGATTCCATGAATTTGACATAAAAATCAGCGATTTTCGTCAAATTTCCATCGAATATCGCTTCAAATACATTTCTGACCCTGAAAACTCAAATATTTCCATCAAAACAGTGTTTCTCTAGAAAAAACTCACTTTTATTTGATAATCCTCGGATTTTCTGTTGGAGGCGATGATTTCAGCCTTGTAGAACATCTGAAAATTCAATTTTTGACCGAAAACCTGAAAACCCAGCGAAAAAAAGGAAAAATGAAAATATTCTCGTGTTGCGCTAAACAGCGGGCAAGCGGACAAGTGGAGTGTCGTTGTAAAAAAAGAAACATTTCGAAAATGAAAAAAAAACAAAAATAAAACTACGACACTCCACTTGCCTGTTGTTTATCGTATTTCAACAGAGCGGCGGTTTAAATTCGATTTTTTTTTGCAAAAATTGTAAATCAAATGTTTCCAGTTGCACGCCAGTCTGCAAAAATGGTGGAACCCCCGCAATCGGCACCAAATTCGAATGTACCTGCCCGGTTCCATGGGATGGCCTTTTCTGCGATCGTTTGGCGTGTTTCCGTAAATCCGATCATTTGGCAACGCAAAGATTCAGAAATAGTGCAAATGGCGAGTGTATTTGTAAAGAGCAATTTGGCGGAAAAGATTGTGAGACGATTTTGAATTGTGGACCCAACGGAAATTTGACCGACTCGAACACTTGTTATTGTAATGACACGTGGTATGGAGAGATTTGTGATCGAAAGTGTCCAAAAGGATTGCAGACGTAAGATTTTGGGATTTTGTTTCGAAAATGAAAAATTTTGCTACCTGAAAATCCACGTGGCAAACGATTTTTCCTGCCATTTGTCTTTAAAACCCCTCAAAGTTTCCCTCCAAAAACCCACGTGGCAAATTCAAATTTTCAGCTGCTCCGCCTTCTCAACTTCCATCATCTTCACAATTTTCGCCGTGCTTTTTGCCCAAGTTTTCTAAATTTTTCAAAAATTGCCTAGGCACCGCCCATTTTCTTTCTAAAAAATACAAAAAAAACTATTCTTAAAGGCATCCATGTCCCTTTAAACGTGTAATTTATTGATTTTTTTTTTCAAATTCTCAAATATTCCCGAATCCCAAAGCTTCTTTCCTTCTCGACGAAAAAATTTCCTTTGGCACCAATTTTTGTTATTATATAACTCATATAAGTATTAGGTCCAAAGTATTTTTAAAAGCGAATTTTTTTTGTAATAATAATTATAATTATAATAATTTTTAATTAATTAATGAATTTTATTGCTCCGAAGACTATAATTTTTGAGCTTAAAAATCAGCAAAAAATGTGTCAACATCCACTTTTTTCCAGCATTTCAAATTGAGGCTCTGCTGGAATTTGCTGTCGAGACACAAAAAAAATGCAGAGCAAAAAAAGATGAGCACATCGTTCCGAGAAACCCATCAATTATTTCTGACAGTTGGCAGCAGATGGGACAGAAAAAGCTGAAATTTATGTGTTCATGGCTGAAAATGCTTTTCGAGGGACATTTTCCGAAAATTCTTGCTGTATTCTTGCTGTATATAAAAATTGTTTTTTTGTTGGTTCAAAAATCATTTGCCACGTGGAATTTCGAATTTTTCCCGCGCCAAATGACTGTTGTGTCTTTAAAACCTGGAAATTCTCGATTTTTCCCCAGACACATTCATTTTTCTCTGATCCTAGAGAAAATGTTCATGTTCATTTTTATTTTCCTATCGATTTTTGGCGCTACAAATTCTCTAAAACCGAGATGTATTGCGGAATTAGTAGAATTGTTGAATCAAGAGAGACAAAGTGCTGTTTATTTTTATCAGGTGGCGAATATGCGAAAATTGGTGGGTTAATCCGAATCCACGTGGAATCCAAAACATGGAGGTTTTCTGAAGGTTTTTTGGACCACGTGGCAAAATACTTTTTAGAAAATCAAAGCTGAAAATTATCATGAAACTTGGGCCGAATCTCCACGTGTCAGTTTATTTATGAAAAATAATAGAATTTTTGCTGAAAATATCATTTTAATGAAAACCAGCTCTGAATTTCGTCCTCACAAAATTAATTTCAGATTTACTCCACTAGACTTGAAAGCGACGCACTCAATGCGACCATACCATTTATGGATTTTCAAGTTAGAACTAGCACAGAATATCCTTCTCCAAGATCACCTACCATTCTTCACCATCAGAGCCTTAGAATTAGACCATTCATTTTCGACGATGCATTTAATACATGGTTCGAAAAACTTGCTAGAAAAGTTCCGAATTTCGATCAAACCAATCCAAAAATTCTGACAAGAGAATGGAAAAGAAGAGCTCCAGAATATTTTCAAATAATTTGGCCGGAAGCTTTCGAAATCGGATGCGTCCATGTAACTCGACCGGATTTGCACTTATTTTTGGCTTGTTCTTTTGATGCTTCTCCAGTCATTGATCAACATATTTTTGAAACCGGACCTCCTTGTTCAAAATGTCCACGTGGAATGCGTTGTGATCACGGTTTATGTATGTGAAAAAAATTAATTTATTTTTCAAAAATCATCCAAGATCAATCACAGTTCTAAATATATTACAAAGTATTTATAAAATCATCGACACGGTCCATCATTTTTTGATACAATTCATCAATATTCTCCAAGAATGCCAATTTTAGACCGGCTTCGAGGCTGGGATCTTTGCTTAGAAGTGCGCGAGTGACGATCGCGTAGGTTTCGCAATCTGAGCGGTAAGCCTGGAAAATTTTGGAGCTTCGGGAAGGGAGAAAAGGGGATAGGGGTGATTTAAAATATCAAGTTTAGGTATCAAAATGATCAGCAGAACATTTGCAGTCGAATGGTATATAAATCTATAGATATAAGGTTCCCCTCACCTCCTCAAACTTCTTCTTCCTCACAGTCAATCTCAAAACCTGTTCCTCATTGAGTTTCGCCAACTTCAACTCTCTCAACAGCGCCTTCTCCTCCTCATCGACCTCATCCAACTCATTTTCAGCCGACAATTTCAGCGTTTTCAACTCCTCCGCATCCGTCTTCTTCTGATATTTGATAGTGTAGAGTAGATTGGTTTGGAATTCTTTGAGATGTCCGAAATATTTGCTGGTTGTTGGGAAGGATTCGGGAATTTTTGTTGGGGAGGGCTCGGCGGCTTTTGGCAATTCGGGCTCCAGTTTTTGAGCGGTTATTGGTTGGAATTTGTTCATCGGATAGGTGTCTGTATCAGGGACCTCGACCTGGAAAAATAGACGTTTGTGGAGAGGAGGGTTGGCCTAAACAAGCCTAATAAAATGGCTAAGCCTAAGATGAAGGCTAAGCCTAACCAGATTGCTAAGCCTAACATGATCGTTCAACCTAAGCCTATACCTAAGCCTAAGAGAATGGCTAAGCCTAAGAGAATGGCTAAGCCTAAGAGAATGCCTAAGCCTAAGAGGGTGGCTAAGCCTAACATGATTGTTTAGCCTAAGCCTAAACCTAAGGTTAAGAGAATACCTAAGCCTAAGAGGGTGGTTAAGCCTAACATGAACGTCTAGCCTAAGCCTAAACCTAAGGTTAAAAGATTACCTAAGCCTAAGACAATGGCTAAGCCTAAATGATTGTTAAGCCTAACCAGATTGCCAAGCCTAACATTCTGGCCGGTCTAAGCCTAGCCTTACCTTCAAATTTATCTTTATCTCCTTTGGTTGAATAATCGGAGCCACCACCTCTTCAACTTTCTTCCGCTCCGGAACCGCAACTGCAACTGCAGCCACAGGCAACGGAATATCCTTCGGTGCAGCCGCCACGGTCGACGCAACACCAACACTCTGCGAACGCGAAGACACCGGCGACAAGCGTCGCGAGGAGGCCCGCGACGAATTTCGCGAAGATTCGCGCGATGACGACGATGATGTGCGACGTGTGCTTCGCGAGCGAGTGCGGGAACGACGCGGTGGAGCGGCGGAAACTGGCGGCGAGTCTGATCGCTGACGACGTCGCGGTGGACTATTGCGATCCTCCTTCATTCGCTGATAGGCGGTGAAGCGACGAATGTCGCGGAACCATGTTAATTCGCAGCGATAACCCATGAAATCGTGGTCTTTGTATCTGGAAGAATGTGGTGTTCAGTGGAGCGCGTTTGGATATTTGTTATAGATTTTGAAAATATAAATTTGACGCTATGTGTTCAATAGAGCGCACTTGCGTATTCTTTAAAAGTCAATAGTGTTTGGGTTAATTTTACTGCAGAATTTGAAATTTTTACTTTAGAGCCTAGTGTTCATTGGAGCGAACTTGCATTTTTTAATAGAAGTCGGCTGTATTTGACCTCATTTTGCTCGGAATTTCATGCACTATTTGGAAATGTCAATTTAGCGCCCCATGTTCAATAGAGTGAACTTGAGTATTCTCAAAAAATTTGAAATTCAGCACCTAGTGTTCATTGGAGCACTATTGTAATTTTTAATTAATATCATACCAGTGTTGCTTCTAAGCTTAACAAATTTCTTAACAGTTTAGCGCTTAGTGTTCATTGGAGCATACTTGGACATTTTCATACAGTTCCGTGAAAATTTGAAAATTTAAATTTTTTGCCATAAGTTCAATGGAGCGAACTTGCATTTTTCAATAGAAATAAGCCTCATTTCGCTCGGAATTTCATGCACTTTTTGAAATTTTCAATTTAGCGCCCTATGTTCAATAGAGCGAACTTGATAATTTTCCGACTCACCTCTCCATAAATTCTCTCGCCTCATCGCGACTCTCAAATCTCACCGCCACAAATAACTTCGATCGATCCGCTGTGAGTTTGACAAAATCAAAAGTGATTTTGCTCAATCGATCCTCTATATAATCCCTAAACATTGCGGTGGAATCGATAATTAATTAATTAACTAATTAGTAGAGATGATAATTATGTATAGAATTAATTAATTATAATTGATTGGAAATTGATTGATAAAAAGAGAAAATTGGAGAAAAAATTAATGAAAAATGAAAAATAAAATTGGAGAGATCTGAAGTTGGTGATTTTTAGAGATGGAAAATATATATAGCGCTTTGAGACCTGGAAAAGCGTCAAGGTTCACTGCTGGCGCAATTCTGGTGCAAACCCAGGCTTGTTTGGTATCAAAATAAAGCTCCAGGTCTCGCCGCGAATAACCCACAGTACCCCGCAAACCTACTTGACTTCATCGGTAGTAAGATCTCCGGGTAATCCACGTATAAAAATGGTATGTTTTGATTTAGGCACATCTTGCTCATTTATACGATTATTGTTATTGCTGTTGTTGCCACGATTATTGTTGTAGTATGACATCTGAAAATCTTGAATTCTAAGAAATTCTGGAGAAAATCAAAGAGAAAAATACACACAAATAAATAAACACAAGAAAATCGAGGGATTTGACCTGAATAGAAAGATTTTATCTTAAAAAGAAAAGAGGGGGGGAGTTAGCCTAACTAAGTTAGATATGAAAAAGAGGAAAAATATATATAACAAGAAAATATAATGAAAAATGTGATATATATCTGAATTCTAATTGTTAGTTGGGGTTTCCCTGGGTTACCGGCTGCGCGACGACGGCTGAAAAAGCAAAAAACATCACACAAAAAAAATATTTATATTCTGATTTTGAGTTGATGACGTTGGAAATTTGGGGAAATGGGGGCATTGCTCATGTTAAACGTGAAAATTCGGGGTTTGGAATTGGTTTTGTACATAGGATTGGGGAAAAGATTTGGAGTCGAATGAGATTTTTTTTATTTAAAAAAATTACTCTTCTCTTTAGGTTCTCACGTTAGGAAATTGCTCATGTTAAACTGAAAAAAAAACATTTTCAAAAATAGATTTGAATTTCAAACAAATTGATATCTCACAACCCTAATTTCTACAGAAAAATTTTAGTCAAAGTTACAGGAACACATTCTTCAGGTTTTCAGAGCATTGCTCATGTTAAACGTGAAAATTTCGGTTTGGAATCGGTTTTGAAGAATCCGGGATGAGATTTCGAGTCGAATGAGATCTCACAAGCCTATTTTTCAAAAACATTGCTCATATTAAACCTTGATTTTTGCTCACGTCAGAACTTGCTCTAACTCGCAGAATTCACAAGGTTCTTAAGGCATTGCTCATGTTAAAATTGAATAACCTTGATTTCCTTCGATGCTCCACGAAAAATCCGAATCAAAAGGCATTGCTCATATTAAACTTTTTCTTTTCAATATCCACCCACACGTGTCCAAAGATGAACAAGGAAAAAACTAGGAAATTCTATTTTCGACATTTCATTTTCCACCCGAAAAAAAACAATTCATCATCATCAAAAGTGGGCAAATGAATGAGTTAGTGGACCGTATCCACACAAATTTTGCTATATTTTTTTTTTGGCCAGAAAATTTTTCCCATTTCACTTTCACTATACAAAAATACCATGGGAAATGAATTTCTCCATGAAAAAACACATAATAATGCATTTTTTATCATTTTTCCCGCTATTTTTTGTTGCTTTTTTTCCTGGTAAAGACTTTTTTTGGCTGAAAATCTGATCTGAAATCTGAAATTTCATCAGATGTCCTCTTCTCTACTTGGCCCAACAATTCTAATTTCGCTGATTTTTTGTCTCTGCGTCTCTTCACAACACAACAATGATCTCTATCAACGTAAAATTCGAAGTTTTCCGTATTCGGTGTCTTTTTATAAAATGCTCGGGTATGATCGACATTTGAGGCCTTATTATGGGCTGAATGATGAGGTAGGAGTGGTTTTTGGGAAAATTTTCGAAATCAGCGTGAAATTTCGGACCAGGCTACACTTTAAATTTTTTTTTTGAAAAATTTGACCCTTGGGGGTCCTTTAACTCGAAAAAAATTTCTCCCAAACCTGGGCTTGTGGTATATCAAAACACGTGGAATTTCACGCTGATCTCAAATATCTAGTTTTCTTTTTGGAAATTTTGAGTTTAACATGAGCAATGCCTCAAAAACCGAAAATTTCAAAAGTTTCTTGTGGTTTTTTGAGAGTTAGAGTAAGTTCCAAGAAGAAAAAAGGTGATTTTCAAAATCAGCGTGAAATTTTGGACCAGGCTACACATTTCAAAAAAAAAAAATTTTATGTGACCCGGGTCCTTTAACTCAAAAATAAATTTTTCCCAAACCTGGGCTCGTGGTATATCAAACGGCGTGGAATTGCATGATGATCAAGAAAATCAACTTTTAACATGAGCAATACCTCAAAAAACAAGATTAATATGAGCAATACACTTACAAGCATAATTCTAACCTGAGCAATTCAATTTCAGGTGGCGGCTCTAATAGATTCGATGAACAGAGAAGATGGCGATTTTTTGACAGCACAAAGAAATAGAAGAAGTCCACAGAATGAAGGTTTGTGTATTTTTTGAGCACCAAAAATATGGATTTTTGGGAAGTGCAAAAATGTTTATTTTCCATATAGAAAAGTATCAAATTTTGCTCTTGGTTTGAAAAATGTTTGAAAAAAAGTTTGTTTTTTTTTCAGAAGTGGAAGTGATCAGCAGTGGACCAAAATGGAAAAGTGAGTTGCTCATTTTAGAAAAAACATTTTTTTTGAAATTGGCGTGAGATTTGCAACCTATTGATATCCAACAAGCCTAGATTCAAAAAGATTTTTAGGAATTGCTCATGTTAAAACCTAAATAGATTTCAAAAAAAAAATGAAATTCAAGTACATCCTTCCACTTTTAGGTGTTGCTCATATTAGAAATTTTCAAAAATAATTTTTTTTTCCACCATTGCTCATATTAACCAAACTTCTTTCAGGATTCGCATGTCGATTGAAGTTCTGTAGAATCTACTAATTTTTTTCTGGTTTTTTTTTGGAAATCTGCAGCTCTCATCTCATGTTACATTGAATGAATGAATGAATATTTTTGTGTAGGGTTAGGTTATGACGTGGCAAAAAGATTTTGCAGAGATCAAACATTCAATTTTTTTTCGCGTGCGCAAAAGAAGTTCAAAAAACGATTTTTCTTTGATCTCGCGGATAATCCTGTTCGGGTTTAAAATATTACAAAATTGTATTTTTATTTTTATTTGTGTTCTGTCATGGTTCTGACCGTACTATTCTTCATAACTTTTCTCGGAGCCGCGCAAACCGCGCCAACCACAAATATGACAGGTTGCACAAGTGCCGACACTCAAGAGTTCCTCGAAATCAACGCGCAACTATTTTTCCTCAATGCTGACGATGAAATCTACCACAACATTCTTCGAATCTGCTCGAATTTCACCGCATTTTTCGACAAAACTAATTGCTCATATTTGAAAACCACTATGCGTGATGCAATTGAAAACTATTGCAACTATATTGAATTCGAGAGCACTGATTTTCAGCCTTGTTTTCTGAAATTGGTGTCGGATAGTTCACCGTGCTTCGAGAAAGTTCTACAAAGAGCACCACCACTTCTAGAGAGAGCTGTGAGTTTTTTCCGAGCGTTGCTCATATTAACCATGATTTTTTCTAGAGTAACAATACTTTGGACAACGATTCCTATTGTAAAAACTACTTTGGCGCCGATAATTGCATGAAGAAAACTGTAATTTCGACATGCGGCTATGAAAAATGGACAGAGTACAAAAAAGCTCGGATTTATCGCGAGAAAACTTGCGATTTTACCGAAGGTGTTAATCATTATGCGTTTAATTGAAACAATAATAAATGTGTTTTAAAGGAAGGTACCGTAGTTCACCTGAGTCGAATTATGTGTAATAATATTGGGTTAGAGGTGCTGGTTCGATGCCTAATGCCTGCGAAACTTTTTTTTGAGAATTAGAGCTTTAAAGGGAGGTACCGTACGTACCACAAGAAAAATCCAAATTCCACGTGACCCAATTTTTTTCGCCCCAAATAAAAACGTCATCAGAAAAATCTCCCAACCATTTATTTTTACCTCGAATTCTAATGAAAAATGGCTGGAGTATGTCGCAGGGTTAATAGTGAGTTCGAATTCAAATTCACAAGAAATCTATCCATTTTTTGCAGGCTAGATGAGCCGAAAAATATCAAATCCTGCCGTATTTTTATTTTATATCCGAACTACATACATGAAATCAGAAGAAGTTTAATCGCTTTTTGATTTCGTATTTTTTGAATAAATCATTTTGAAAAGTGTTTACACTACCATGAGCAATCGGGCGAGCAAAGTAATTTCTTTTAATATGAGCAAATTTAAAATTGCTCGAGAAGAATGATTTTTCTAATATTTTTCTAAGCCATGCTAGACTGGCCTGAGCAACCCCCCAAAAATTATAATCTGAGCAATCATTTTTTGTACTGTGAAATCTTTTTTGAAATTCAAAAATAAAATTTATTTTTACACTAATGGAGTGGTTCAAGGTGAAAAAAAATGAAAAAAAATTCTGTCAAAAATTTTATTTTTTTTCCTATTTTTTGACAACTTTTTCCACACAAAAATGAAAAATATCTCGCAACGAAAATGTCAAAAATTGGAAAAAATATAGTTTTTTTACTCGAATCACCCCATCATCATTCTGAGCTGAAGCTTGAGAAGATTCTCTTATTGTTAGGTACGATATCTCCCTTTAAAAAAATTTCCTTCTTCTCAAAGAATCTAAGCGTCTCATTCCCCCAAAAAATCAATAATTTATTCAATACACATTTTCAAAAATCAAAAATTCCTGCTCGCTTTGACACCACAAATCACACCATCTTGCTTGCTCTCCCCATCCACATCATCAAAACCTCCATATCCGCTGATAATCACGAATCGCTTGCCACGTGGCTTTCCCTTTGCCCAATTCCAACCCCGATTGCCACGTGTCACACCATCAGTCCACTCATATTTGTCACCAACGTGCTCGCCACCAATTATCAAATTTTTGGGGAGATAATTGGATTGTTTGGCGAGGATCGGAACAATTCTGATGATCTCCGGGATATTCTCGAAGCCCGTGGGGACTGCGAGGGAATTGCCTTGCTGTTGGCAAGTGGCCAAGGCGGTTTGGGGGGTCACTTGGGAGTCCAGGATGGGTAGCATGCACCAAGAGTAGCGATGACGATGAAAGAGAATCCAATCAGGAGTTGGACACTTGGCCAAGGGATCAGGGGTGTATGGGGGTTCTTCGGTGGTGCTCTTGATGTTGGTAGGCTTCTTGGAACCATTTTCTGAATCTCCTTTGTGATTCGGGCCTTCTGCTGAACCTCCTGAGCCAGAATTTCCATTTTCAGAATCTCCTTTGGTGTTTGAGGTTCCTTCCAAACTTCCTGAGCCAGAATTTCCATTCTTGGAACCATTTTTAAAATTTTCTTTGGTGTTTGAGCCTTCTACTGAACCTCCTGAGCCAGAATTTCCATTTTTAGAATTTTCTTTGCTGTTTGAGGTTCCTCCCAAGCTCCCTATACTGTCAGGTCCCGTAATTCCATCAGTAACATTCTCCGAATCTTCCTCAATATTCGGACCTTGATTGATATTTCCAGATCCACCTCCAGATGTTTTCGAAGCTTCTTCTAGACCTCCCGAGCCTCCTGATACTGCAGGTCCAAGATTTTTGTTTGTAGTATCCTGTTTGATGTTCAAACCTTGAGTCTTTCCAGTTCTACTAGGACCATTTCTATGACTGGTATCCAGATTGTGTGTAGCGTCACCAGATAGATTTTCAATGGTCCCACCAGATCCAGATTGTTGTTTGCCACTTCTCACATCGCCAGCTAGATTTCTGGATTCTTGAGTTATCCCAACTGGATTTTTCTTGATATCAATTGAAGTTGGTGTACTAGTAGATCCTGTAACTCTTTCAAATGAATTTTTCTCCCACCAAAAATTTTCTCACCTCTCAAAAACCTCCTCGAATCCGTCGCGGGATGACACAATTCGCCAAACTTGACTAGAAAAACCAACGCAAAAACTAGGCTTCGCATATTTCACACAGTCTTCTAACAAATGTTGATCTAACACCTTTTATACTATAATTTTTACAAAACCCGCTAAGTTTTCTGGAAATCTTTATTTGTAACACAAAAATGATTGACGAGGGTGTCATTTATCTTCATTTTATCATTAAAATGGGTAGATCAAAAGGGAAGTGAGAGAGATAAATTGTGGGCTTGGATGATTAAAGATCTGCTATGCAATATGTGTTTGTACTTTACCCGGAAATTTTGTGGAATTTTTGGGGGGAAGTATTGCTCATGGGATTATGTGTTTGAAAACGATTGAAAAAAACGACATTATAAAAGGAAAAAAATAAATTCAAAACTGGAAATCTGGAAATCGCGTGCATAAAACTTTGAAAAATAATTCTACGTGTAATTCAAAGCTTCATCTAATGATTCAAACATAGTAATTTGAAAACGAAAAACTTTTAGTTATGATCCCACCCCCAACCTCAAAATAAACTAACTTGGCTGGCCCGTTCCCTGAGAAGTTGTTGTTGATATCTTTGAATTTCCTGTCCAAACAAAACATCTGGATTATCGGAAGCCTGAAACTTCTACATTCTTTTTCTCAAAATGTTCGCCTATTTAAGAAAACTTACATCAGAAAATGATGAAAATTGTGAATTTGATGGGAAAAACCCTCGACGGTTGTTTCTGAAAAATAAGAAAATTAAAAAATGTACCAAATCACTCCATTAAAAGGGGGGAGGGGTAAGACGACAAAATTTTATTTGCTCAAAAGATCGGGCCCTCTTTGAATAGTAAAAGCCCCAGGGGATTTTTTCTCGAAGGGCCTAAAAAGGTCCGAAAAAAATATTCCATGAACTTTTTTCAACGTATAGCTAGGGGCACCGCCCTAGGCGAAACCGACCTTTCGCGTGCTGTAATCAATTTCAAAGACAATATTTTCTGATTCTGATTTCACAAAGTTGTTCAGTAGATTCGATTTGGTGAGTTAACCAAAAAGAAACATAAGCCTGAAAAAATATTCAAAAAGTAGAACAAGAAAAAATATTGACGTGAAAAAAAACTTGTCTAAACTAGGTCACGTTTTGTCTATAAAAAGAGCTTCCAGAGTCTGTTTGATCAGTTTTCTTATAGTTTTTTGCAAAATAGAAAAATAGCCAAGGAAGATCGAAAAATGGTGGCTAAAGTCGAGTTGAGCAAGAACTTGAAGGTATGATTTTCAAAAATTGGCGCTGTATGGTACAATAAGATTTTTGTAGTATGTTATGATTGGATTGGGTGCGCTGGTGCTTATGAGTTGGTTATTGTTGGTGGTGCAGTGTATTAGGTGAGGATTTCTGTAGTTTTATGGCTTTTAACAAAAATAACTTGAATTTCGGAACAATAATCAGAAAAATATGGATTTTCCGGCTTTTCCACAGTCTTGAGAGTCAGATGATCAAAATCTGAACGCAATCTGTTTTTTTTCAGAGAAGGATCTCTGATAAGCGACATCAGAAAAGAAATGAAAGACATTAAAGAGGATAGTAACGACTTCGAAAATAATACAATGGTGCCATCAGTATTTGCCCCATTTATTGTCGCAATAGCCTGCCTACTTTTTGCATTTGTCTCAATATATTTCATTCTTTTTCCCATTGCTATTTTTTCTCCAATCAGTATCGGATTATCAATTTGGTCCATGGCAAAAGTTATCAAAGATTTAGACCAGACTAAAAAAGCAACTGAAGATCTTAAAAAAGTTTTGGATGTTCTGAAAGATATGAACAGACAATTTGCAGCAATAAAACATAGATTATCAGAGTTGAATGATATTATTAGAGAAGTCAAAGAATATCTTGATCAACATCGAATTGATACTACAGAGCTGAAAACAGCAGAGTTAGCCGAATTATTACCTAAACTCGATGGATTAGAAAAATTTATTAAGCTTGTAGAAGACATTCCACCCATTTATAATTTCAATCTAGTCGTTTTGGGATTTAATATTTTTTTGTGTATTGTCACACTTTTATTTGCCGTATTTCTCATTTTGTGAGTTTACAAATGTTCAGCAAGAACACTTTCTCATCTTGTTTTTTCAGCAAGTACAAACGTGGTAATGTTGGAAATAATAACAATAACAATAATAATAATAATAATAATGGTGGCAATAATTTCAACGGCGGAAATAATGGTAATCTCGGAAATAATGGTAATGGCGGAAACAATTTTAATGGCGGAAATCATTATAATGGGGATACGAAATCGCCTGGAACAAAAGGTGGAACTGGCAAAACAGATTCGCACAGACACTATAAATGAAAAGAAATAAAACGATTTTGAAGAATTGTTTTTTTTTGTATTTTTTCATAAATCTACTGACTCACTCAGAGATTCGCTGGCCAGCTCGCCACTAGGTCGGGAGGCTGGCTGACCTGGAAACCACATGGGAACCATGCCGCCCGGTTTTTTTCGCTGGCAAGGTGGCCAGGCTCTGGTTAGGTCACGGCCACATGGCTACCACGTGGTGGCCACTTCGCCTCGTTAGAATGAAAATGTCAAAAACACGTGTGAATCGGCGCCTTTTCGAAAAAATTGGCTTGTTTTCTGTTTTTCGCAGCACCTGAAACCTAAGGAAGTGAAAAAACAGTAGAAAATGCAGTGATTTGAGTACAAACCACCGTCTTGCCAGCCTTTCAGATTTTTAAACACACAGGCCACGTCGCCGGAAAACTCAAGGCGACCTGACAGCCATGCGGTTTCCAAGTGGCCGCAGCGATCTGGTGGCGAGCTGGCCAGCGAATCTCTGACAAGGGAACCTTTTTTACTCAACACTTAAAATCATGATGAAATTTTGTCCAGAGATAGCTTTTGGGGCCATAAGAACACCCTAAAAATTTTAGTCTCCCAATGGACCTCTGAGCCAAGTTCTGGGCTCTCAAAAACTCAAAAAAGGCCAAAAAATGGTCATAAAAGTCATCATAGCTCCATTTCAAAATTTTTTTGGGAGAAATAAAGTTTCAGATATTGATCACCATAGTCGATTACCTAAAAGTAAATCAATAAAAAATATTTTTTCGAAAAATGTTGAAGTTTTTTATTTTTCGGCTGAAAATTCATGAAATTTCATATGTGCCCCTGCTCATTCTTTTTTTCAAAATCAGAAATTTTTCTGAAAATAAGCTTTAATGATGTTTTTTGGGTAAATCGACCACGCTGATCATAATCTGCTACTCAGTTTTACAAAAAATTGATCGAGAATTGAGTTATGACGTGTTTTATGAGCCAATTTTGGCAATTTTTGAACTTTTGAGAGCCCAGAACTTGGCTCAGAGGTCCATTGGGAGACTAAAATTTTTAGGGTGTTCTCATGACCCAAAAGCTGTCCATGGACCAAATTTCATCAAGATTTGAAGTGTTGAGTAAAAAAAGGTTTCCTTGTGAGGAATTCTAAAAAAGATAACTTTGAGCTATAACAATGATTTAAAATGTTACAACCTTCTTGGAACAAAAATAAATACTTTTTCAGTGGGAAAGAATGAGTTTTTTAATTAACATAATAATACAATGTGTTGATTACAAAAATATAGACATTATAAGTTGAATTGCATTGAAATTACAAGACGCATTTTGATAGAAATCATCGGTGTCATCTCTTGCGGGATAAATCGCCGATTAACAATTCATTGGAGTCATCAAGTATAATCCTATTCTCTTACTTATATATTTTTTTCTCCAATAAATAATATAATTTAACATTTATTTATTTATTTACGATGAGCGGAAAAGTACATCGTGAGAAAAAATGTGATAAAATGAATAGTCATATCACGGGTGCGGTGATCACAACTTAACCGGTAGGGTTTAATTTTTAAGAATTATTTACGTTATGATGGCGGTGAGAAAGAAGAAAAAAAGGAAAAATAATAATAGGGGGGGTGCCATCTCACCTGTTAGCTCCCACCCTCCCCCAACCTCAAAATAAACTAACTTGACTGGCCGCCCGTTCCGTGAGAAGTTGTTGTTGATCTTGAATTTCCTGTCCAAACGAAACCATATTCTTGTTCGGAAGCCTGAAACTTCATTTTCTTATAATTTTCGCCTCTTCTTAAACTTACATCAGAAAATGAATGACAATTGTGGATTTGATGGGGGAAATCCCTGAATCTGTGACGGTTGTCTCTGAAAAAATAGGAAAATTTTTAAAAAATATACCAAATCCAATTTAAATTCGGATATGAAAGCGAAACAACGATACAAAACCTAGAAAAAAAGCAAAAAATAAAAAGTGTCGCGCAACAAAAAATAAAAGCGACACAACGATACTCCGCGTGCCCGTTGTTTAGCGTGTTTTTTGTTTTGTTTGTTTTGCACGATAGATGAGAGAGTGTGGGAAATGGAGAGAGATGGTTAGAGAGAAAGCGAATATGGCATTTGTTTTTTCAAGCGTGACCTTTTTTGAAAAAAAATTATAACGCTCTAATTTTTGCACAGCTCATTTCTATTTCGATGAAACTATCAGAATTTTACCGTCTTCTATTTATATTTCTAATTCTCTTCGCCGCTTTCGAATTTCGAGATCCACAATGTGAACAACGCGAAGCTTATATGAAAATGAAGTTTCCCAACACTTTGATCATTTTTGTTAATTATTTCTCGGACCCACAAGATGCTATAACTGTGAGTTTTAGGCGGGAGCTCCTAGAAAATAGAAGAAACAATGATGATAAATTATAGGATTTCAAAATTCAATATCTGTTGAAACAAGTCGTTTGCTCAATTCCTCAAAATCGTATAATTGAATATGGAACAATTGAAAAAGATATGTTCACAATGTTTACAAGTATATCTCAACTTATAACTCGCTTACAAGTACCAGTTCCCGAAGTTCAAACTTGTGAAAAAGCAATATCGAATCTAGCCAAACCATTATCCGAATATGACGCGCATTTTGATCGTGTTGAAATCATTTTTTTCGTTCCCGGTTTTGATGCAACCGAACAATGTGATTATGTCAAAGAATTTCAAAAATTGCCGACTTTTGCTAACTTCAATTTGATTAGATTTGATAATTTCAAGAAATTCTGGACGAAAACTATGAATTTTCCCGGGATTAAGGAACTTGATATGAATCAACCAGAAGCTAGTGAGGAACTCAAGGAAAAAGCGATTAATTTGTGAGTTTTCCATTTCGCTGTGAGACCTGAATTTTGAATTTTTACAGTATCAACGATATTCTTGGAATCAAGCCGCCCGAAAATCCAGAAGTATGTGAAAACCCAAATTTCACATTATATTCTGTAATATCTGCTATAATTTCAATGGTTTTTGGATTCCTCATCACTTTTTTGCTGATCTTCACTTTGGGATATTTCCGAAAGAAAAAGACTCAAGAGCTCATGAAAATTCCAAATCCAATGGTGAAAAAAGATCCGAACTTTCATGATGATGATTTGGGAGAAATCAGTGGATCAACTAGTAAAACTCAATCTTCTGGGGATACTGGAAAGGTTGTGACGGATTTTGATGAGGTTTATGAGCACAATGAGAAAGAGAAAAAAGTTGCTCCAAAAGTTGCACCAAAACCACCGGTCAAACCTGAAGCTGTGAAAAAAGAATTGCCAAAAACGATGGCAAAACCGGAGAAGTTCGAGGAATTGAGTGATATTTCTAGTGTTGCAACAACAATGAAACTAAAAGATTTTGATGATACTTATAATGGAAAAAATTTGGATGTCACTTATAAACCAAACGAGAAAGCGATCCGAAAATAATAAATTTTTGAAATTAATTAATTTTTACGTGACCTATTTTAATTCTCATCATCATCATAATTTTCAAAATCAAAATCATTTCTGCCAATTTCTACAGGGTGGTCGCGAATTACCCGTACAAATTTAATTTGTAGTCATATTTGAACGGGGAATGTAGACATGATTTTTGGTTTTAAAAAGCCTTCCCAGATATTATCTTCATCATTTTGACATAGAATATTCTGATATAATTTAGTCATGTGGTAGCTGAACTATCGAGAATGAGTTTCACAAATTCACTTCAGGCACGCAGCTTTTTTCAAAAAGATCCAGATTTTTCTATACATGTGGGGTTTGAAGTTATATGTTTCTAGATCAGAATTCGAAGATTATCCCTAGATGTGTTTGATTTCTGAAGGACATGTCCAGAAACGTTCTCTAACAAGAATAGGAAACAGTAAGCTGGACCCCTCAAAACCGAATTTTCAACTCAAAAAACACGATTTTTATGATTTTTCTTGTCCACCACCAGGGTGTGTAACTAATTTTCGGTATTTTTTGTGCAAAATGTCCCTAGTAGACCTGTTTTCACTATTTGGCTCTGATATCTCATATGCTACACAACATTTTTGATTTTGGAACCACTTATTAAATTTGTTGTGAAAAACAGTGAATATTCAAAACAAGCCTAGAAATAATCTCATAAAATTTTTCAAGAGGGTTTCATCTTGTGGAATACCTTTTTTGAAACCCAAAAAACACTTGGAAATTCAGCTATGCTTCTGAAATGCCCATATTGTTTCAATTTCAGGAGCCAAAGTAGAAAAATTAATAGAAAAAAAGGTGCGTACAAAAAATCGTGTTTTTTTGTTTTGAATCGTCCCGGACAACCTCTCTAACTTGGCCCAAACATGAAGAATCTCTATGAGTCTTGGAATATTATCTTTAAAATATGTAAAACTTGATAATTAGTGCCACCGAAACAAGATAGGAAGTTTTTGAAATAAAATTTAAGCGGGTAATAGAAAAAATTGGTTTGTACGGGTAATTTGCGACCACCCTGTAACTATGAAAATAGTCTTATCAATTCTACTTTTTCTAATTAATTCTTCATTTCAAACTTGTAATCAACGAGGAAAATTGAAAAATCAAGAATTTGTTGAAACTTTGTTCATTTTTATTGCTCCATCGGATTCGAAAAATAATCGATATCAAGATGATGATGTTAGTTTACTTGAAAATATATATTTTCAAAAAAATAATTTTGCAGATGAAAAAAATCAAGATTTTATATGAAGAAGTGATGTGTGCGATTCCAGAATATGAGAAATTCAAATATATGACAGTCGTAAATATACACGAACCAAATCCAAATCCTCCAAAAATCACTGTTGCAGATCTTGGAACTTTTGAGGAAAACAAAATAAAGCAGAAATTTGAGCTGGAAAAAGATTGGAACTCTGCGCGGAAAAAAATAAGTTCAAGTTATTGTGAGTTTGTTGAAATTTTCTCTTTTTGAATCATGTTTTTTTCAGCACCGGAAGATAATTGCGATGGTTTCATATTAACTCTCTGGAATATTATGAAATTGAAGTCTGATTATACCCGCATCGAAGTTGTTTATAATGTTCCCAAATTTGGTTCGAATTCAGGTTGTGCATATTTTTATATAGTTAGATACATGCGAATGAATGGACATGTAAATTTTATTCGATATGATTCCATCGAATATTTTGGATACAATTCCTTGAATTTGCCAGATATTTCATTGAATATTCAAGAAGTCAAAAAATTGGCAAGAAATTTGTGAGTAATCCTAGATTTTGTGCAATTTCCATTATTTTTTTGATTTTCAGGGTTGATTCAATTCTTGAAATCAAATCTGAATCTGTTAATCAAAAAAATTGCTGTGATTATTCATGGAAAATATTTGGATTTATTATAATTGGAACTATAATTGGCTTGATTTCTGGAATTGGTTTGGCTGTTGCAATTGCTTGTATTATCAAGAAGGTTTCGAAAAAGAAAATCTGAAGGAAAATCGAAATCAGTGGAAAGTGCTGAAAACCTTGGGATTCTGAAACCTGTTGAGATTTCAAAGATTCCGACAAAACAAACTGAAGTTAATACGGGAACAGAAAGTGGATCGAGATCAGTGGGAACTGCTGGAAAATCAGGAAATCTGAAAAAACTAATAGAAATTTCCAAACCTGCTAAGAAAGATGAGAATTCAAAGATTTCGACAAAACAAACGCTCAATACGGAAACAGAAGGTAGAACTACAAATGCATCAGTTTCGAATCAAGCATCAACAATCAGAAGCACAAGTAAATCTAACATTCATTCTCAAAAACAACCAAATATCGAAGGAAAACGAAAGAAATCTGATTTCGAAGAAGACACCATATAAAAACTCAAATATTTTGAAAATTATAAGAATTTCCAAAGATTTATCGTAAATTTATTACCAATTTTGTGCATTAAAAAAATGAAATTATTTTATCAAAATCTTATTTTTATTTGCGTGACCGACCAATTTTTGTTTTTAAACCAGCACATATTTTTTTCGAGCGGCTCATTTTTTATTAATGAAACTATCGAAATTTTACCTATTCATATTTTTGCTTTAAAAATCCAAAATTCAAAATGTGACGAAGAACGACGAGAATTTCCTTGATTTTTTGAATTGAATATGAATAATTTTATTTGTTTTTTCGAGAAACTTTTCTATGGCGTGGCAAAATTTGATCTACAATTTTCCAGAAAAAATAGAATCTTGAGGCTAAGCCCATTCAGGCCGGGCTAATTAGGCTCATTTTGAAGCCAGCGAAAAACTATGGTACCTCCCTTTAAAGCGATTCAAGTTTCCAACAAAATCACACACACTTCAAAAAAAAATTCATTTTTCATCAGGATTCTCAATTTTCGGTTCAATCGACTCGATTTGTGTTCGATCTTCTTCAAAACCCTCAATTTTCTCACTAATCTGTGTTTTTTCAACTTCAGCTTCTTTATTATTCATCTTATTTTTCGATTTTTTCGATTTTTTGCTCGAAATCGCCGTTTTTTGCATGGGCTCACTTGGAATTTTCAGATTAATCTGGGCAAGTTTTTTGGGAGGTTTCTCGATTTTGTCTTTGTCACATTGCGATTTCAATGGATCCGACGAATTTCCGCCGATTATCAACGATCTTTCAGTGCGAACTTTCGAAACTTCCAATTTCTTCTCTTTTTTCTCATTGTTTTTGGTTCTTGCCGATTTTTTGACAGATGCTTCTGGAAAATTTGAGCTATGAAGATGATTTTTGGAGCATTTTGAGCTCTACAACCCGAGTTATCCTAACTCACTGGCTTTTCTCCCAGTTTTCGACGCTTTTCGTGCACTTTTCGCGTTTTTCTTGGTTTTTGTTGCTGCTGGCTTGTTGTTGCTCGGTTTTTTGCTCTTCTCGTTTACAATTTCTGCAAAACAAAAATGGTGGGAATTTTCTGAATTTGAGATTTTCTGAAAACTCACTGCTTTTCATTGTAAAAATCTATAAAAATGAGGGGTTTCTGGAAAAAGTTGGGTGAAATTTTTATTTTGAAATAGGTCACGTATTTTTAGTACCAAAAAATTATACCGCGTGGATTTTTTAGGCTTCTAGGCCTTTGGGTTTAGCCTTTCAAACTAGGCTTGTGCATTTTTTTGCCACGTGGATTTTCTTGAGCAAAAAAAGTGACGTGGAATTTTGAAGATTCCACATTCCAAGCAAAGTCCAAAACATTTTTTTTCGACAGTTTGCAGGGGGCGAGAAAAACTGCGTAACAGACATTTTTTGGACTGAAAACAAAAAAATCCACACAAAAATTCAGGTTTTCCTGCAATTGTTCCAGACTAAAAAATCGGATGTTCTTCACACACACAATCAATTTGTGTTCCAGATCTTTATGCAGTTCAAACTAGAGATTCTGATTTTCTAGGGGATTTGTTTCGAGCTTTTAGCAAAGTTTCTCGCGAAAAACCAATTTACCAAATAAAAATTATTCATTTTCAGTTCAATTCAAAAATCAGGGAAATTCTCGTCGTTCTTCGTCACATTTTGGATTTTGGATTTTTGAAGCAAAAATATGAATAGGTAAAATTTCGATAGTTTCATTAATAAAAAATGAGCCGCTCGAAAAAATATGTGCTGGTTTAAAAACAAAAATTGGTCGGTCACGCAAATAAAAATAAGATTTTGATAAAATAATTTCATTTTTTTAATGCACAAAATTGGTAATAAATTTACGATAAATCTTTGGAAATTCTTATATTTTTCAAAATATTCGAGTTTTTATATGGTGTCTTCTTCGAAATCAGATTTCTTTCGTTTTCCTTCGATATTTGGTTGTTTTTGAGAATGCAAGTTAGATCTACTTGTGCTTCTGATTGTTGATCCTTGATTCGAAACTGATGCATTTGTAGTTTTACCTTCAGTTTCCGTATTGAGCGTTTGTTTCGTCGAAATCTTTGAATTCTCATCTTTCTTAGCAGGTTTGGAAATTTCTATAAGTTTTTTCAGATTTCCTGTTTTTCCAGCAGTTTCCACTGATCTCGATCCACTTTCTGTTCCCGTATTAACTTCAGTTTGTTTCGTCAGAATCTTCGGATTCTCAACAGGTTTCAGAATCCCTGGGTTTTCAACATTTTCCACTAATCTCAATTTTCCTTCCGATTTTCTTTTAGTAACTTTCTTGATAATACAAGCAATTGCAATAGCCAAACCAATTCCAGAAATCAAGCCAATTATAGTTCCAATTACAATAAATCCAAATATTTTCCATGAATAATCACAGCAATTTTTTTGATTAACAGATTCAGATTTGATGTCAAGAATTGAATCAACACTGAAAATCAAAAAAATAATTGAAATTGCACAGAATCTAGGATTACTCACAAATTTCTTGCTAATTCTTTGACTTCTTGAATATTCAATGAAATATCTGGCAAATTCAAGGAATTGTATCCAAAATATTCGATGGAATCATATCGAATAAAATTGACATGTCCATTTATTCGCGAATATTTTAAAAAGAAAGAATATGGACACTTTGTAACCGAACCAAATTTGGGAACATTATAAATAACTTCGATGTGGGTATAATTGGGCTTCATCTTCATAACATCGTTAAGAATAATTGTGAAACTTGTGCAAGCATCTTCTTCGGGTGCTGAAAAAAACATGATGAGAAAGAGAAAATTTCAACAAACTCACAATAACTTGAACTTATTGTGTTCCGCGCAGAGTTCCAATCTTTTGCTAGCTCAAATTTTGGTCTTATTTCGTTTCGCTGAATATTGTTTTCATTTATGACTGTCATATATTTGAATTTCTCATATTCTGGAATTGCACACATCACTTCTTCATACAAAATCTTGATTTTTTTCATCTGCAAAATTACTTTTTTTGAAAATATATATTTTCAAGCAAACTAACATCATCATCTTGATATCGATTATTTTTCGATTCCGATGGAGCAATAAAAACAAACAAAGTTTCAACAAATTCTTGATTTTTCAATTTTCCTCTTTGATCACAAGTTTGAAATGAAGAATTAATTAGAAAAAGTAGAATTGATGAGACTATTTTCATAGTTAAAAATTGGCAGAAATGATTTTGATTTCGAAAATTATGATGATGCGAATTAAAATAGGTCACGTAATTAAGAATTAAAAATTTATTTAATTATTTTTGGATCGCTTTCTTGTTTGGTTCATAAGTTGTATCGCTAAACTTCTGAAGTACGGTAACTCCCTTTAAACTTATCATACAAAATCTTGCTTTTGAAAAAAAAAACCAGATCTCAACAAACAGGTTCAATAAATCAGTTTCGTAATAATTTGTGACAAGATCATTCACCAAAAATCTTATGACGTGGCAATTTTTGGCCCAAAAATAAGTAGACATCGTGACGTGGCAAATGAAGAATCTTCGCGTCGAGACCAATTTTCCACGTGGAGTTAGTTTGGCAAAAAATCAAACTACATTCGAGTTTTTTCCCGATCGAAAATAAATCAATTGTTTTTGCAAAATCACGCAACAGGAGAAACATGATAAGAAAATCTGACAGAATTGAATTTTTTTGGCTGAAAATCTTGAGACTATCCAGTTTTTCTTGTTCTTATAAAATGGCAAAATTACATGGGTGGCATTGTAGATCAACATGAAATATTTCCTGATTTTCTTGATGTTTTCCCTGAACTTCAAAGTTGAATCCTGCCATCCATCGACGAAAATCAGTTCTTCAAGGATTACCAGTGGATCTGGATCTGGATCAAGTTCAACTTCAGGACCTTCGAATTTACAAGATCAGGGCACCTGCACACCTTTAAAACCCACTGTTTTGGACGTGGATGATTATGAATACAAGGTGCATAGTTTAGTGACTGATGAAGATACGGCTACAGCGACTTGTGAATTGAAAAAGGTGAGATTTGGGAATTTTCGGCTCCAGGAGCTCGAAATTCCTATTTTTCTTCGAATTTATATCAAAAATCTGATTTTTCATGAAATTCCAGCCAAATCCACGGTTCAAAGCCGAAATTTCATGAAAAATCCATAATTCAAACTTCTGGAACTTGAATTTCAGACAAAAAATCTCAAAAATCTCCCATTCCACTTCCAGGAAATCGAAGATCAAGTGGTTCAAGTTATCATAAATGAGATTTTTGGGAGTGAAGGAACAAGCACAAAAGCCACCGCGATTTTTAATTGCGTAAATGGAAAATGGAATTGGAAAGGGCAGATTCTGGATGTTGAGAAAGTTTCGTGTTTGGTTGGAACAAGTTTGGATGAACAGAGTTGATAATTAATTAAATTAAATGAATAAATAATAAATTGGAAAAAAAAATAATCAAAATTCGCCGCGCACAAAATGCTTCATTCAATGATCACAATAATGCATTCCTTTAGAAATCCTTAAAAAATGTGATTTATCCTCAATCTGCAAGTAGAATCTCTTCTTTCTCCTGCCCCATTTCAAATCAATCTGCCATTTCTTCCCATTTTCAATCACAATTGCATCATCCACCTTTGGCCGATATTTAACATCACATTTTGTCATAAATTCATCAAAAAACTGTGCAGAACTTGAGCTCTTCCTTCGACAATCGTCGCGAAACTCGAAAGAACTATCAAAATAATGCTCCAAAACTATATTTTTGCTCTGATTTTGCATGAGTTCAAAAACAGTGTTCATGAATTTTTGGGTTTTCAGAATTGGCGCGTAGTTTTTAAATGTGATTTTGGGATGTCTAGTTGGTTTACGCAGTCTAGAATCGTATAGAAAACCTCTTGTAAATCCTGATAAAACGAAATAATCGTAAAGGACTTCCAGAGCAATTCGAAATTCTGAGCCAGGGATTTCGAAATCAACTAGCCATTTTTTCCGAAAACGTTTTACTTCGATTTCAGAAGCACTTCGAAGTTTCAGTCTTGATTTAGGTGTCTTCAAAAGCTTTTAAAAATTAATGCTGAAATTTTCAGTCCATGCTCACCTTTCCCAAAATATATTTCTCAAAAAACTGTCTTCCATTCAAAATAGTTCGATTTCCCTCAAAATTTTCAGTAAATCTAAAATAACTCTCGAAATCTGACCCAAATTCGTTCTTATGCAATAACCTATGCAAAATTCTTCGAAATTTTCCTATTGGATAATAGTTTTTGGTGAAAAATTGGTCAAATTCACTGGTTTCGGCTGAATTTGATCTGATTAGGGAGAGAATAAGAAGAAACTTGCTGAAGTTCATGAAAAATCTTGAAATGTGGAAGTTTTGGTCGATTTTTTAAATAAAAGCTTATTAGGTCTAGACAAAATGATGAATTCTGCGATAAATTTAAATAAAAAATTTATTACCTTTTATCTCAAATACAATGCATTACATATACAGTATACCACATACTCAATTCCTTTTTCTCAACGATTTCCTCGCTTTCTTTTTCTGCTCCTCTTTACACGCTCTTTTCAATTGTCTTCTCTTTTTCACTTTCTTCTCTTCAACAATTTCATCCTCACTTTCCTCTTCCGCATCCGTCATTTCTCGATCAGTTTCAGGAAGATCGAATTTACGTTTCATGGCGCGATAAATGTGAACTTGTCGATATTTTTCCGCTTCCGGGAGGCCTAGAGCTTGCGCCAATAAATTCGTTTTTCTGACATCTCGTGCTTGTTTGAAATTTATTACATCTGGCACATTTACAACACATTCTTGACATTGTTTCATGAGTTCCTCGACAGTTCTGGAAAAAAAAATGTGAAATGAAAATAAAGCCACGTGAAACGTGAAAATTTCACGATTAAAATTAAATTTTGTGCAATTCTTAATTTTGAAACAAAGTATTTTGGTAGAAATTCTAGATTTTCAAATTTCAGGCCGGTTTTTCAGGCAAAAGAGCTTCTGGAGCATTTTTTAACAGAAAACTGGATCCAGGTGAATTTTGACAGCAAATATTTGAGATTCAAAGCTTCTAGACCAATTTTTCCCAAAAATCTCGAATTATCTAGTTTCAAATCTCAAAAATGAGCTCCTCGAGCATTTTTTGATGAAAACATGAATCAATATTTATTTTTAGGCACATTTTTTTGGAATCAAAAGCTTCTAGACCATATTTTCACAAAAATCTCGAATTTTCCGGTTTAAAAGCTCAAAAAATGAGCTCCTGGAGCATTTTTGATGAAAATATGAAGCCATATATATTTTTAGGCAGATTTTTGAGATTGCAAGCTTCTAGACCAATTTTTCCCAAAAATCTCGAATTTTCTACTTTCAAAGCTCAAAAATGAGCTTCTGAAGAATTTTTTAATCGCAAATTTTTGATATTCCAAGCTGCTAGACTAATTTTTCCCAAAAATCTCGAATTTTCCAGTTTCCAAGCTTCAAACCTCCCCAAAAAACTCACCCCTTATAAACCACTTTCACCGCCTTTTTTCTCGGACTCTTCCTAACCGGCGGTGTTTTCTCTTTCTTCTTCTCTTTATCCTTCTGTTTATCCTTATATTCTTGTCTATTCCACAAATCAGGTCGTCGAATTCCCCTCAAATATTTTCCACCAATTCTCGTTTCTCTCATCGGCTCTTCTTCTTCTTCTTTCTTCTCTTTACATCTTCTCGATTTTCTAGCTTCTATTTTAGCGAGCAATTCTTCATCATCGGATCCCGGATAGAAAACTGGTTCAGTTTCTCGATACGCCAAATCATCCCAATCTTCTTCTGATGAATCCGAGTAGACCACTTTCCGCCCTTTTTTCGGTTTCGCCTTTGATGTTGATGCAGGCGCCGGGCTTGGAGAATCTGGCGTTGGGCTTGGAGATTCCGAAGTCTTCTTCGGGTTCCCAAAAAATTGCTGCAAATTCTGCGGCACCGAATCGATGTCCGGCTCCTCATCTGACGATAATGTGATCCATTCTTCAACCACTTTTGTCGACGTGGAAGGCCTAAATTAAAATATTTTCGTTACGTGACCCAATTTTGTGTGGGTGCCTCTATAAAAGCAGCCTGAACGGGATTTTCAGTCACTTTTCTAATAACATTTTGGCGCTGAAATAGAAACAAGAATCAAACAGAAAAATATGACAAAAGACGATAAAATCTTGAATGCACATGATGATTTGGTGAGTACCGAAACTGAAATCTTTAATCCTAGGAAACCTCAAAAACCTGGTCAATAACTGGAAGAAAACTGACGAAAAGAAAGGCCTGGAATTTTTGCAGATTCAAGCGAGAATCAATCAAGTACTCGTTCTGCGTAAGAAACCCTTCCCAGCGGATCTCATCGAAAAACATCAAGTCGTCGTCAAATTCCGCAAAGACGAAAAACAACTCGGCCTCTCGTTACGTCAAGGAATGGTGACACGTGTCGTTTTCGAAAGTCCCTTCAAAGGTTCACTTGTCGTCGGCGACATTTTGATAATGATTAATGGAACAGTGGCCGCGTTTGAGGGCGTGTCTTTGACACCGAAATCCAAGCCTTTTAATGTTTTGGTACACGATGCGCTGTCGGATAATTCGCCAAAAATCAGAATCACTTTTGTCAGATTGAAGCATCGGATTCAGAACGGTCCCATTCCCAAAGATGTCACACCGATCGAAGGTCACACAATTGAAACGGCTATGATCTATCAATTCAAATATCTCAAACTCGGCATCAATATTCAGCAAGTTGGTGAATATGTGGTGGTAAATTACACCTCACCAGACACCACCACAAATATCTCGTTGAATATTGGTGAAACGATTCTGGCGATCGATGGGATTGTGATGAAGACGATGGAGGAGGTGAGAAGGAAGATTCTCGAATCATCGAATCAGAAGGGAATGGCTGTGTTGACGGTGTCGTTTCCGACGAATGATATGTTGCGGAATTGTGTGCGCAATCAGTTGGCGGTACGTCTCTAGCTTCTCTACCCACCCTCCCACATTCCTCATGATCTCTAATCCAGGCTGCTTCCAAAGATGCGCCTCGACCAGTTTTCGCCATCTACGACGACGTGCGTCAGTATGCGGAGGACGGCATCCGCGCCGCAAAAACCGCCGCCGAACCCGATCCGATTTTCCCAGCCGGCGTCACAAAAACCGTGGCGGGAGGTGCGCAAGAAAAAACGCAAGATCTTGATTTGGCTGAGCGACCGAGTCCGCTTTCGGGAGGCACGGCGAATTCGAAAGTTGACAAACCGAAAAAACCCGGAGGGCTATTCAAAGTTAAGAAGATGTTGAGTTTTACGAAGAGGTACGATGCTCCGGATTTACACTGGACTATAAGCATTTTTACACTCGAAAAATGCGCAATTCTCCGGTGTAAACCTGGAGTATCGTTGTAATTTCTTTCAGAGACAACAAAAAAGAGGGTTTCGGATTCCGTGACACTGTTGGAGAACACGATATTCCCAGCGAATGGAACTCCAAACTATTTGTCTATCTTCCAAAAATGAAAACCGTCGAAACTGAGACGAATGGCGCGCAGCAAACGAGTGTTTACAAGAAGACGTGAATAAATGTTTGATTTCTTGTTTTTTTTGCTGAAACTCACCCAGGTTCATCATTCTCAATGGTTTTCGCCACAAAATACACTTCCATCCATTTTCCATCGATTTTTTGGCGAATTTTTGAGGGAGATTTGAGAAAGGAGAGTTTGTCGCCAGTGAAAATTGAGATTTTCGACAAGAATTTGCAAAGCGGCGAATTTAGCGCAAGTTGGATTTTGTAGGCACTGGAGTCGTGGATTTTTCTGCAAATTTTGAATTTTCATTGAAAATCCACTATTCTTCCAGAAAAGCACAAAAAACTCACATTTTCCACACGGAATTTTGCGCGCGCACCGCTTCCGCCAATTCCAGCGCGTTCTCCACGTCATCCGTCAAACTTCCGCGTGTCCGCCACTCTTCCGCAACCGTTTTCGAAAATTGACAAACCATTATGTGATCCAAAAGTCGTTTCGCATTTTCGAAATCGATTTTGCAGTTGGCGCATTGTAGTGGTGCATTCTAAATATACAGAGGTGAGGTTTTTGAGTATATTCAAAAACTATTTAGCAAACTCACATAAACTTCAGCTTCATCTTTTTGTTTTCCACAATCTCTGATGATTTTCACATCATTTTCATGCTTTTTCAGCGATTTTTCAAATTCTCGAAACATCGAACACCTGGAAAATGAAGAATGGCCGAAAAACAAAAACAACGCGTCCCCCTTTTCTCTCTTCCACTCTCTCATTTCCCCGTGCTCTCTCACTTGTTTGGTTTTAGGAGAACAAGAGGTTTTTTTTAAAAAAGTAAAACTGGAGTTTAACCTCAGAGAACTTAAAAAACAAAACAACAAAATCGAATAAGAATGTTCATTGCACCAGAAGTTAAAAAATATTTTCCTAATATAAATCAACCGCCTTCCTTCTCTTCAGAATTATTTGGCAGATCTTCAACTTCATGTTTAGCACTTTCATCCTTCTTCTTTTCTGATTTCTCCTTTTTCGACACCCCATCCTTCTTCTTTCCATCAATCTTCGATAAATCCTTGGTTTTTCCACCGTTCTTTACCAATTCTTTCGAAGTTGCTAATTTACACGTCAATGCCTTGGTATTTCTGATAGCCGTTTTATTCGTACTATTGTTGGATGATAAATTCGAGGCTCTCGAACTCGCAACAGTGTCTTCCAAATCGTCCCCAGATTTTGTGCTTGGTTCCAATGAGACGTCATCAATGTCGTCACCAACCAATGTTAATGTATTCTTATTCCTGTCAAAGTACACCTTGGACACCACGACAATGTCTGCGCGTGGCGCTGAATCTTGGTGGAGCTGAAATAATATTGTTTTTTTTTTCGCCACAAGTTATCAAAACTCACATATCCTTGAACGTTTCGCGGAATATATATCTTTGGAATTAGACGCGCCATTTTCGTCCAAGCGTCCAGTTTCTTTGGTGCCGCTTTGTCATCATCTAAATATTTCTTGTGTCGCTTCCTCCAAGCAGCATCATATTTTTCGGTCTTGGCTGGAGTTGGTGGTGGTTTATTGTCTTTATCATTCGCTTGTGCGATATCAGTATTCGGTTTAACAATTATGGTGTTATCATCATCCGATTTTTGTATCTCAAGAGGCCGAATTTCTTGTTTTTCTTCCTCCACAGGTTCTTCCGGTGCTTGCGCATCGAATTCTTCACGACACATCGGTGCTGGCGGTGTTTTTGCCTTTGGTGGTGACACTTTTTTGGCGACAGGAGTTGCTGGTTGGGAAGAAGATTGAACTGGAGTAGGTTTGACAGCTGATTTGGCGACTGGTTTTTGAGCAATGGGCACATCCTTATTCGAGTTTTCTCGGGGCTTTGCGCAATTCACAATTCCAACCGTGAATAGAATTGCATAAAAAATTGTGCAAAAGGTGGTGATCTCATTCATAACTAAGTTATCACAACACTTCACACCTGAAAATTTCAGGAATTTTGGAGTGCTGTAAATAGTGGGAAATCTTACCTTTCACACAATAAATCATGAATAATATCAACGGGCAGAACCCTTTTTGATTCAATAATATTTGCATAGATTAGTATATAGTAGATGGTCAATTATCTAGTAGGTTAGTAGTAAATCTAAACTGGCAAAATCGGGCGGCGCTATGCCTTAAATACACGATTTTGACACGTTTCCCGAGAAAACAATTGGGTCACGTTTTAATTTTTTTTTTCTTAAATTCTTTTTTTTCAAAACGATTTTTTTGGTACGTGACCTAGATAATTTTTTTGCCAGATAAAAGTAAGTGCAGACCTGAAATCCAACTATTTCTAGTCAGTTGTCGTGTACCAATCAAACGAAAAATCTTTCGCCAAAACAAAATATGTTTGGCGATAGTATTAGTTCAGCAAAAAACATTATACTCATTGGTTATCAAATGGTATTCGTGCCAATATTGCTCACATTATGCAAAGGTGGCAAAAAGAGCAACCAGTCGACGACGAATTGCTCTGCCACGTCATTGAGTTTGGCGCAAGGCCAACCGCAACAACAACAGCAGCAGCAGCAACAACAGGTTTTGACGCCGAAATCAAGCTTTATTCTCGAGAGCGAGGATGTGGAAAAGAAGAAGAGAGAAGAAAGGGAAAAATTGGAAAAGGAAAAAGAGAAAAAGAAAAAAGAGGAGGAGGAAAAGGGAGGAAAAGCGAGTAGAAGATCTGAGAAGGGTGGAGAAGGGGGTAAGTGCGGTCTATTGAGAATTTTGGCTGAGAATTTGAATTTTCTGGTGCTAAATCACGATCTGCTACGTTGAAAAACAATTTAGAATAATGTGCCACGTGGATTTTGTGGTGAAAAAAACGATAAAAAATCCTCCCCTTATAAAAAACGAAATCACTGAAAATTTGGCGTCACATTAAATGTTTCTTTTTGTGCAAACACCGCTCCGTTTTTTTGAAAAATCAACGCGCGTTGTGAGACACGGGAGAAAAATTGTGTGCGCCTTTGAGGAGGGGTACGGTAGAAGTATTCGTGAATTTTTATTTATTTATTTTCTTTTTTTGGGGGTTTGAGCGCTGCAATTCTTGGAACACGCTTATTGTAACTTTAGGGGATTTTTTTCTTCAAAATGGGAACCCCCCTCACTCTGACTTTGAGAATAGATCACATGAAAAGTATAACAGTTGGGAACCCTGAGATTCTCTCCAACTACACTTCACGAAGAGTATACTAGTTTTGCGAAATTCGAAAAAAAATGACCATGGCCGAGAAAATCATCGAAAAACTCGGCCACCCGCCTGAATTTCTTTTTTTTGTTGCGCGCAACATGTTGGAGAAACTGAAAAACCACGATTTTCACCCTAAAAACCCTTATTTTTTCAGAGGATGATGACAAATACGACGAATATGGAAACATCCAACAAAATGAGCCAAAACACGAAAAAACGGTTCGCATAGAGCTCAACGACGACCCCTCAAAAACCAATTCAACACGAACTCAAGAAGGATTGAAAGTCAAGGATCGTTTGTCGGATATTGGACTTTTTGAGACGAAGGAAGTGTCAGAAATGGAAAAGAAAGCGGCCAAAGAGCCGCCGAAAAAAGCGCGAACAATGAGTCCGACGCCGAAAAAACCCGACGATGACAAATTGGACGTGACTCAAGAGTATTGTCCCGAGGTCGAGTGATTTTTCTAATAAATTTTTTTTTTGTAATCTTGCAATTAATTTAACGTGACCAATGTTGACCCGGAATTGAAAGAAAAAAGTAGAAAAAAAAAACAATTTTTCCGCCAGTCTTTATAAATCTACTACTCGAAAATGATGAAATTCATTGTCTCCTCTTATTTTCTACTCGTATTTTCAGTGGAATTCGGGAATTCCGGTGAGACTTGGAAAAATTCTCAATAGAGCGCATTTGACTATTTTGAACCGGAAAAACTCTAAATTTTCAGAAAAACTATGTGATGAGATCTCGAGAGTCCCCCTTCACTCACAAGATTCTTGCAACTCGAGCCAAATCCAAAAAACGCCGTGTCAAAATTCCAAAAATCAACTCGGCTCTTGCATTTCCGGACATTGTTGTCCAAATTATCGCAACAATTTCAAAACCAATAAAAAATGCGACGAAAATGTGAAACTCGATGGGAAATTTGAGAAAAGTTATTGTAAACACGGATTTATTTATGTTGTTGGATCGGAAAATGAGGAATTTGCAAATGGCAGTTTGGCTAACTCGAAATCTTGTGATTTGAATAAGGATTGTGGAAATGGATATTGTTTGAATTTTGAAAATCGATCAATTTGCATGGAGAAGAAGTTTATTACGAAATTTGATATTGCAGAGGAAGCTGAGGTAATTTTAGTGCCTGAGAATCCCAAAAAAATTGATTTTGTTTGCAGGAAGCCACCAGCAATCTTTGGAGTACAGTTGTAGCTGGTTCAGTTGTTGGAATTGCCATCGCCGTCTTCATCGGCGTTGTGATTCTCATAATTTGCATGAAAATTGCCAAAATTTTTATTTGTATCGCGGTTGTTGTTCTACTCGTTGTGATTGGAATTGTAGTTGGACTATATTTGACAGTATTCCGTTTTTAGAACTCGAATGAATGAAGTTTTGGAGAGAATTTGAATTTACTGAGGTTTTGCGGCAATGGAAAACTGTTTGTCAGTGGAGCGCACTTGGAAATTTAGGTATTTTTGAAATTTCTCTAGAAAAAGTGTGTTTATCATTAGAGCGCACTTGAAAATATTAGATTTTTGAAATTTATCTAGAAAATGTGTGTTTATCATTAGAGCGCACTTGAAAATTGTACTGAAAATGAAAATTCAGAATTCAGGAGGTAAAATTGAACCTAACAATACGTTTTGGCAATACAAAAATTTGCCACGTCATAGTCAATTTTATGTCTGAAAATTGTCAGGACCAATTTTCACATGAAATATCTAGAAAAAGTGTGTTTATCATTAGAGCGCATTTGAAAACTTTAGAATTTGAAATCACACCTCGGCCAAGCCGTGGCTGGCCAGAGTACAATTTTTGGAAAAATCTGAATTTCAGTTTTTAGAGGTCAAAAATTGAAAAATCACGATTTTTAGAGTACAAAAACTGAAAAATTCACAATTTTTGTACTGTGAAAAGTTAGCGTATAATTTTTTGTATTGGAAACCACGATTTTGGCCGAGGTATGTTTGAAATTTAGAGTTCACAAAAAATTATCCTTGGAGCGCATTTGGAAATTTTCAAAATACTAGAATTTTTCGAACTTCTCGATTTCAAACCAAAAAACGAACAAACAAAAAATCCGTTTCCATCATTTTATCTCTGCGTCTCTCACTCTCTCCTCATATTTTCTGGGTCGTCGCAGGTCTGTCGTAAACAAAACAACAACGATGTTTTTTCTGCCGCTAACTTTTGCCTTTTTCCTGCATTTCACGTAAGTGATTCAATTCAATTCATGAAAAAGTCACGATTTTTAAAGGCACACAGCTCGAGGTCTCGACACGATCTACGACTACACGGCGAAGAACGCGGCGGGAAATTCGATTTCGCTCGAAAAATATCGCGGGAATGTGGTGATTTTGGCGAATGTGGCGAGTTATTGCGGCTATACACAATCGAATTATGAGGATTTCAAGTATTTGGAGGAGAAATATTACGAGCGTGGGCTGAGAATTGCGCTTTTCCCGTGTAATCAGTTTGGACAACAGGTGAGGAGGAGGGACTAGAAAACCAACAAAACAAAACTAGGCCACCCAAGGGTATCTTTAGAAATTCCAAAAGGTCTTGTGGCCTAGAAAACCAATAGAAAAACCTAGGTCATGTCATAAATAACCCCTGAAAACCTTAATTTTTGCAACTGCGCTCCACGGCAAATTCCCCCGCCAAACCCCCAAAATTCAAATATTTCCGCAGGAACCCGACACACTTCCGCAAATCTCCACCTTCATCTCTCAAACTTTCGCATACGAACCCGAATTCTTCGACAAAATCCACGTAAGCGGCCCGAAATCCAGCGATTTGTTCGATTTTCTGCAAAGAGACGCCGAAATTTCGTGGAACTTCTGGAAATTTCTGGTGAATCGTCAAGGAGTTGTTGTCAAAATATTGGACCATTCGAAAAATCCCCGAGATTTCGAGCAACAAATTATCGATTTATTGGGCTCAGAAGATGCGGCAAAAATCGAGCTTTGAGTAAATTTATTATGAAAAAATTGAGAAAATAAAGAAAATAGTTAGATAATACATGAAAAATAGGGGGAAAACAATATTTTGCAGTGAAAATCGAAGAAGAAAACCCGCGCAAAATTAAAAAAAAAAACATTTTTGGAGGAAAAAATAATTATTGATGCAAATAGATACGACATGTTGGTTGCATTTCGAGCGCTTTGTAGGAAAATGAAAGACCGGTTGAATAAATAACACCATCGTCACGGACCAAACTAATTGGGACCTGGAAAAAATGCCATTCTTTGAGTATAAATTTCGATAGAGTTTGAATTTTTAGGGTCGTGGCCTAGAAATCCAAACCTCGGCCACCGAAACTCTTACCTCAACATCATTGGTTTGTGCATTTTCAAACAGCCAACTCGTGTGCTCATTTTTGACAGCCGAAATCGGCGGAATTCCACACATCAGATTCTCGTCGGATCGGAAGATGGTCTCGACGGGTTGAGCGCCGAACCAGATTTTCAAATTCGGTTTGAAATCGCGGCCGTGCAATTCGACGCGGGCCGCCTCGTTTGCATTGGCGCCGTCGAGTTCGAGACTTGACACGACAGGGCATGGTGAAATTGGTGACGCCACGGGGCCCATCGCCTCGAAAAATCGATATTCGGCCTGGAAAAAGCAACAATTTGAGGAAAATAATAATCCCCATTATTTTTGCTATCAGAAAAACTGTGCCAGACTTGCTGGAAAATGGGCGGGGCTTAATCTATTTCATATTTTATATCGAAACGCTCAGAAAAACCGTGCCAGGCTTGTAAAAAAAGGGGAGGAGCTTCTATTTTATATTTGATCTCAAAGTGTTCAGAAAATCTGTGCCAGGCTTGCAAAAAAGGGGCGGGGCTTAATCCCTATCATAGTTGTTATTAAAAATATCAGAAAAACTGTGCCAGGCTTGCTGGAAGTGGGCGGAGCCTAAATTTGCACAAATTTTCCGTAAAAATGCCGATTTTCACATCCCAGCTCAAATTTTATTCAAAATTCCAGCTTCCAGGCTCAAAATAATCCAAAAATCCCGAATTCGGGCTCAAAAAATCTCAAATTCTCACCTTATCCGTCGAAATAATCGTCCACGCGGCTCCGTCATTGATTTGATGTCGATGCGCGTCGATAATTTGTGCCTGATGTTGAATGATCTTATCGTGGCTCAGACACAAGTAAACACTTTCATTTTCAATCATTTGAAATGCGCATTTGTGGAGTTGGGAGACGGGCTCCTCGCTGACCGATGCATCCAAAATTACCTTAAAATTCAAGGGTTTTAGGGTTAAAATTCATGATTTCTGGTCAATTTTGAGCCAAAAAACGCTCATTTTTACCTGCTGCTTATCAACTTTTCGAATTCTCAAACGAGGCAACGCGATTCCGGTCACACTATCCACCAATTTCACAACCGAACCGTAATAAACAAATCCATCTTTGACCGCAAAACTTTCCGATTCTTGTGCATTTCGTTCGTCGTCAACTGGAAAAATGTGAAAGTTCGAGGTGGCCGAGGTCTGGATTTCTAGGCCACAGCCAATATTTTTGTTGTGAAAATGAATTTTGAAACGTAAATTTTTCATGAATTTTTTTGTGAGAAAAATGAGGTCAAAAATTGGTACCAGGCTGGTTTTGGGGTCCAGAATCTGAATTTTTCTCAAAAAAAATCGATTCTAGCCCAGATTTGGCCCCCATAATTCAAATTTTCACTCAAAATTAGCCCATGGGATCAATTTGAAGCAAAAAATCGATTTTGGCCCACAGAATCCAAATTTCCACCCAAAACAAGCTTCAGAGCTCATTTTTCATCAGAAAAATCGATTCCAGACCAAATTTTCACCCAAAAAATGCTCCAGAGCTCATAAACTCACATAAATGAATAGTAAAAGCTCCCCATTTCGTCGAGCTCGCATGAAATGCATTTCCTTCCACATGCAAATATCTGGTGCTAACAGTTTGACTTCGCAATCGATTGAATAATGCGACTTTCGTTCCGCTGGCAATACACAAATATTTGCAATCCGTGTTTTTCATCGATTGTTTTTTCTTGGATGGTTTTGAGATGACTTTGATGCGTTGCGAGATGAATTGTCCGATTTCCATGCCGCAACCGTAGAAGAATTGAGCGGATAATTCGAAATATTTTCGCTTGTCGCTGTCCGAAATGTAGAGCGTTTTGGCGGCACAATAATCCTGCAAAAATCGGAATTTTTTTTAATTTTAGGACATTGCTCATGTTATTTACTTTTTTTGAATGAGGATTATTCAATTTTTACAAAAGCAGTACAAAAATCCCACTCTAACATGAGCAATATCAAAAAATCAGAGGTAAAACAAATCTTTGAAAATTGGATTTTTTTGCCGAAAATCTGGGGAAATTTGAGAAATCTTCAGCTAAAAATCCATAATTTTGGAAATTTTTAATAACTTCAACAAGTCTAAAAATGAGCAATGCTCCTAAATCAATGAAGATGGATTTATAGGCATTGCTCATGTTATAGAAAAACCTGAAAAGTTGGAATTATCGCTTTTGAACTTTAACAAGCCTAATATGAGCAATACTTTAAAAAATCAAATTTTCGTTATAAAATCCGAATATTGTGCTAGACTAACATGAGCAATGCTGAATAAATTTTCAAAATACAAATTGCTCAGGTTAGACAATGATTTCAGCAGCTACAAAAAAAAACGCAAAGCATTTGCTGGCGCATTTCCAGCTTCCAAAATTGCGTCAGTATAGGATTATTTGGTATCATTTGAGAGCAAATTTGTTGGCCTTAAAAACTCACATGAATATTTGGATCCTGCCTTTGATCACTGGGATGTCTGACTTTTCCCGACGAAAAATCCAATTGTTGTTTCTCTTGCTCACTACTTCCAATTCCAATGTAAGCAACTAATTCGGCCGAATGTTGCTCCTGAATTTGCTCTTGTTCGAGTCCGATTTCGGGCTGTTGTCCTTGCGATTTTTGATGATTTTTGTAGGCTTTGAGCAATTGAAATATTCGCTCTTTTTTCAATTGCCAACCTCGACCCAACAGATATATACATGGTGGTGGACAGAAGAATCTGCAAAAAATTTAGGTTGTGGGGAGTTAGGACGTGGCAAAATAGTGTGTCTTGAGCTGAAACTAGGCTAGCTAGACATTCAGCCTAACCTGAGCAATGTCTTATTGATTTTTCTAGGCTTAGACAATTAGATAGTTCTTCTAGGCTCGACTCTTTTACTCCTCTACTCTTCCTCTAGGCGCCATCGCTTGACATATCTTTTAATCTAAGGCTGGGTGCCGTGACATTCAAAAACCCTCTATAGGCGCCATCCCTTGACGCATAAACCTTCCCTCGTTCCCAAGGCTCGACTCCTTGACAGCCATTTTCCTCTCAAGGTTCGACTCCTTGTCCAAACTTCCGCTCCCTTTAGTAATAAAACAAAAACTAATATACTCTCTTTTCTTTGCTCGGAAAGAAGACGCAAAAATTTTGTGTTGGCCGAGCCGTGGGAAAAATCTACCGTATGCTCCCCACTTGCATAACAAAAACGACGAAGAAATGTGACGAGAGAGAGAGAGAGTGGAGAGAGTGGAGAGAAATAGACGAAAAAAGTGAGGGCTACTGTAGAATTTCAGGAATTTGCATGTTTCAACAGCAAAAAATCCCCAGTTCCTGACAAAATCTCTTCACCATATGCTTCTAATCCCCATTTAGTAGCTCAGCTGAAACATAATATTACGTATGTAGTGCAAACATGAGCAATTAGCTAATCTCCCCCCACTTTGGCGCACTTATGGTCTGGCACTAATTGACACAATATGAATATAAGTGGCGAGATGGAGTTCTGCTGGATTTTGGGGTGAATTCTAGATGTGTAGATGTACCAGATCTCAAATTTTTCCATGATTTTGGGTGGAAAATCTCAAATTTTGGGAGTAAAATTCACCCAACCAGCATATTCAAAATAATTTTGGTAAAAAATAAAATTTCAGATATTGTTCATAGTCGATTTACTAAAAATACATCAATAAAAAAAAAATTTTTCAAAACATTTTGAAGTTTTTTATTTTTGGGCTGAAAATTCATATGTGCCCCTGCTCATTCTTTTTTTCAAAATCAAAATTTTTCTGAAAATTTATTTATTGATGTTTTTTTGGGTAAATCGATCATGCTGATCATCATCTGCTACTTAGTTTTCCATAAAAATGAACGAAAATTTAGTTATAATGTGTTTTGTGAGCCAATTTTGGCAATTTTTGAACTTTTGAGAGCCCAGGGTGTTCTTATGACCCCAAAATTTGTCTTTGGACAAAATTTCATCAAGATTTGAAGTGTTGAGTAAAAAAAGGTTCCCTTGTTAGCTCATTACTAATTAACAACACCTGACACACAAATAAGTGTATCAATTTTGTATTATGTGAGCAAATATTGAGTACTTCTTGGCTCTTCTTCTTCTTATTACAGCTGGCAGGAGAGAGAGACAATTAGGAAAAACTGACCGTTTTTCGTTGCCGTACGATTTTTGAGCCACTTTTGCGTGAAATATCGAGATGACGCAGTCGAATTCGTCGCGTTTTGATAGGTATTCGAGCATTCGTTCACTGGAAAAAGAGACAATGAGATTTGTGGTCAAGCAGTGGAGCCTTGAGGGGAAGCGTGGGGTAAAGGTTGGCGCCTAGAGAGGTATTAGTCAAGGGTTTGCGACTAGAGAAGTATTCGTCAAGGGTTGACGCCTAGACAGACACATTTCCTCTCAAGCAGCCATCCCTATCCCATCCCAAAAATCAACTCACGTTGTCAATTGCTGCGACGTCTCTCCAATCAAGTTATGCAAACTTCCCAACTTATTCTGAAACGCAATCGTCGAATAATTCGCAGCGGCCGCTGCGGCTGCCGCAACATTCGATGAGGCGGTCGCCGCGGCGACGAACGGACTGTTCGGATCCAAAAATGATGAGGAGGACGGTGTGGATTGGGTCATTTGATAGTATTGATCGGCTGGAAAATAATGGAATATTGTTTGGGGGAAGCTTGAAACTCTTAGGGCCTCTTAGGGCCTAAAAGTCTACCCTTGAGCTCTTGAAACCATGATGAAATTTCTAAAGACCTATTAAAGCCTTTAAAAGCCCAGTGAAGATTCTTAAACCTTACTGAACCTTACTGAAGCCCTTAAGCACCCTTTAAAATTAATAAGGCCTTCACAAATCCTTACAGCTCCTAATGAAAGGCCCTTAAGAACCTTAACCAGCTTTATTTAGCCTGAACAAACTCACGATACACAAAATTCATATTCACTAGACAAAAAATAACAGTGATTTTCACAAAATGCCGCTTCGTTTTTTGTTTAATTCGATTACAAAATGGGGCGAAGCTCTGGGAAAATATGTTCAAAATGAAATGGTTATCACACGAGAATCAGACTGGGAGATTGCGTAATTTCAAGTTTGCAGGTGTTCTTCAAGGTTGGGGAAATTTATTTTGAAAACTTCGTGGGTAGTCCGAGACAAATTTGTGAAAACTGGAAAAGAAGAAGCTAACTAGAATCAAATGATCTCTATAACATGAACAATATCTTCAGATCTTGTGAGAATTCAGGCTCCTAGAGTCAGGAAAAAAGATTTAAGAAACTATAATCTAGTTGAATTATTTCTGAAAGCTTTTGAAGCTTCCAAAAACCCCGAGCAGACTTAGATAAAATCAGGTTTGACTCGAAAAGCTCTCTTTAACATGAGCAATGCCTTTCTAATATGAGAAGCCTGAAAGACTGCTAGAAAATTGCACAATTTTGTTTTGCAGGTGTTCTTCAAGGTTGGGGAAAATTTTTTGGAAAACTTCGTGGGTGGTCCGTAGAAACAAGAACGGAAAGGAAACATAGAATCGATTAATCCTCTCTATAACATGAGCAATATCTTCTTCTTTTTGTCAAAATTCAAGATTCTGAAGTCAGGAGAAAATACAAAAATTGTTCCGGAAAGCCCTTGAAGCTTCCAGGAACCCCGAACAGACTTTAGGAGAAAAGCTAACTCTTTAACATGAGCAATGCCATATGAGAAGGCTGGAAGACTGCTAGAGAAGATTCCAGTGGCCTTCTAGAGCTCCCAGAGATCACTTGAAAGTGAGCTTCCCAGGTCTGCCTAGATGTACCAAGGCTTCCCAGATTCCCAGACTTTCCCGCTCGCACTCACCAAATCCCGTTCCCCCGGTGCCATACAACGGAAAAGCGCCCGTCGAACCTGCCCCGCCACCATTGTATACCATACCCCATGTGGGATCGAATTGCGATACAACCGGTGCGGGTTGCGGTGCCGGATAATAGTAGTCCTGCGGAACTTGCGGAGCATACATTTGTTGTTGCTGCTGCTGCATGTAGACATTGTTGAGCAGCAGTTCTTCGGCATACTTGCCAGCTGCACCCAAATCATGGTGCTGCTGCTCATTTTCTTGTGGCTGAGGCTGCGTGGCAGCGTGAAGATGTGGTTGGTAGTCCATGAAGCGATGGGGTGGGGTGGGGACCCGTGGGAGCACTCTCACGATCCTCTTTTGCTAAACGGCCCCGAAGACGAGGAATATATTTAGATAGAGCGACGCGCACGGCTGTCAGCAACCAAACACACACAATATGAGCGTGTGAAAAGGGGGAGGCTTGCGACGAGAGGATCATATTTGTCTCCATATGGGATTACTGTAATTGAAGGGGGGCGGGGCGAAGAGCTGGCAGTGGGAGGAACGGGGGGCTCTTGATACCTCCTATCAGAGAGGGAGGGGTGGGTTCTTGGAAACAACATGGCTTCCGGAATTTTCTAGCTCTTCAGCTTCCTGATTCTCTGTCAGCTTTTGAGTATAAGTTCATCTTGATGTTCTTGATTTCTCTCTAGATCTACTAGTTCCTGAAGATCACTAACTTCTAGAGATCCGAAAACTTCTGCAAATCCAGTAGATTCTCTTCTGATCTTATAGCTTCAGAAAAATCCGTAGATCAAATTAATATCGGTGTGTTCCAGCAGCTTCGAGAATCATTATATCTTCTAGCTCTTCAGCTTCCTGATTTCTCTGATTTTCTCAGCCAGCTTTTGAGATCTATAAGTTCAAAACCAGCCCAATGATGTTCCTGATTTCTCTCTAGATCTGCTAGTTCAGTTCCTCAGATTCCTAAAGATCACTAACTTCTAGAGATCAGACAACTTCCACTTGTACCCAGCTCTACTGGATTCTCTTCTGATCTTATAGCTTCGGATTATCAAATTCTGATAACTCCAAAACTATTATTTTGGATTCGAAGAAGCCTTGAAAATCCATAGATTCCTAGATCTCCAAAATTCTTGTGGATCTTCTAGCCTGTTTAGATTCCTGAGTTCTACTATTTCTAGAAGCTTCAGAACTTCCTGAGCCGGAATTTTCTTCAGATTCCGGACCTCCACAAACTTCCTGAAATCCAGCAGAAGCCCCAGAACACCACAGAATATCTGAATCTAGATTCCAGGCATCAGATCTTCAAGCTTCAACTTCTAGAGCTCTAAGAAACCTAGGAACTCCTCGAACCTAGAGTTCCAGGAACTTGACAGAATCCTTGATTTTCAGGCCGGGCCTTTCTAGTTTATCTAGGCTTTTAGGATATTTTGGGCTTCTTGGATTTTTTTGAAAAATAATTCCAAATGTCACCCCAATTTCCACCTGCTTCAGAATTTCTCCACTTTTTTAAACTCACATTTTCGAAATTTTCAAAACATTGAAATGAGCAAAAAAATTTGCAAAATGACGTGAAAAACCATATTTTTCACGTCAGTTTTCTCAATTTTTCATGCGTCAATCCAAATTTGCTCAATTTATTTATTTACCCATCAATTTCCACTTATCTCCTTAATATCCCATGACTCTTCTTTCAACCACCTGTATTTGTCCAATATCTCACAATAACAACTTGTTGTTTTTTGATCTTGGTTAATTGAGCCGCCCGTCTTTTCTTACTGTACTTACTTGTTAGTTTGCGGGGGGAGAACAAGGGGATTAAAAATTGAAAGTTTTTGTTTTGAATTATTAAATTCAATTATGGCGTGAGAAATTTGAAAATTGGTGAAAACTTTTGGGAAAATTTTTCGGGAATAACAAAAAATTTGAGAAAAGTCGGGGATTTCAGGCTTCTAAATCAAAATTTGAGCTTCCGGGCCACTTTTCCAGCCCCTGGACCAAAATCTGGATTTCTAGGCCAAGTTTTTAGGCGTTTCTAGGCTTCTCGGCTCTTTTTTTTTGGTGTTTCTCACAAGTTGTCAGTTTTAGGCTTTCAAAAATTCCCGTTCCCACCCTACAGTACCTCATAAAACTAAACTAAAACTAATTATTCACACACTTAAAAAATGTGTCCCCTATTCTATTTCAAGGGTAATAAAACAAAGTTTTCTTTTCTCTTTTTTTTTATTTTTGTTTGATAATTTCCGCCCGTTAGTTAGCACATAAACCATGGGAACTTTGCCTATTTTTTTTTTTTGAATAAATTTTGAACAAAAAACATTTTTTGAATAGAATAGAAAGGGGACTTACAGTGTTTCGGTGATTTTTCGGCATTTTCCGATGTTGATGTGGATGGTTCATCGTCGATTTTGAGGCGCTTTGCAGCTGGCGGTGATTCGGCGGTTTTTAGGAACTGATTTTGAAGCTGTAGCAATGCTTGTATCTGAAAATTTCGATTTTTCATGAATTTCTCTGGAAAAATTAGGGGTTTTACCTGTTGCAAGGCGGCTAAATTGGTGTTGGCTGCTGTTATATTCTGTAGTGGTGAACTTGTTGTCTGCCACATTCTGGAAAACGTTCAATTTCCGGTGAAAACATTGAAAATCCAGGAAAAAATGAAAAATTCAAAGTTGTCCACGAGAAATACACGAACAATGTTTGCAATGGAGCATGTTTGCTTCATTGACTTTTATTTTTTCCTTTTTTTTAGGAGGACAGGGATTCCCCCAAAAATCATATGATTAAAGGAAGAAATCGGAAGAAGAAGAAGAAATTGGTGGTTTGATTGATAAGATGGAATTTATGATGACGTCACACACGAACATTTTTGCAAAGTTTTTCGTAATTTGGGCAATTTGTAAAATTACTAGACTTGTTCGAGAGAAGTACACGGATAAGTTTTTTTTCAAATTTTTCGCGCCCAAAAATTCCGTGGAACAGGAAAAAGTAATGTTGTTTTATTGTTGAAAAAATCATTCATGATTCATTTTTGAATGAAACATTTCGGAAATTGTGAGAAAATAGAAATAGTGTGGGAAAATGAGAGATCTAGAGAAAAATAATAGTACAAAAATTAGATAGAAGCAGAGAAAAAATCATATCACTGATAGAGAGAGAGAGAGACGCAGAGATTATGGCGCGAGTTCTAAAAAATTCAAAAATCGTGGGAAAACAGTGAACGAGGCGCAGAGAAAAATGGTGAATCAGAGACTGTAGGAAATCTAGAGACGCAGATAAAAATTAGAGAAATTAAATAAAATGAGAAAAAAAGAAAATAGTACAGAAATCAGAGAGATGCAGAGAAATCACCAAAATTTTCCAAAAAAAAATTGTACGAGAATTTCAGAAGCGCAGAGAAAAATCACAAGAACTGTGAATCAGAGACTACGGGAAATCTAGAGACGCAGAGAAAATTTTTAAATAAAAAACATAGAAAATAGTACAGAAATTAGAAAGACGCAGAGAAATCCCCGCAATTTTCCAAAAAAAAAATACAACAAGAATTGCAGAAGCACAGAGAAGTCAAATCAGTGATAGACAGCTGATAAGATGAGAGACGCAGAGAAGCCTAGGAGATTTTGGGCGCGAGCCTTGAAAAATTCAAAAATTCCCACACAGCGCGTCATTATTTTGTCTTTTTTGTGTGTGTGTGAAAAAAGTGACTAGTGGGAAAACGAGGCGTGGGAAAGTGACACAAGTGAGAGAGTGAGAGAGTGCGACGAGACGGTGAGAGAAATTGACGAGAGAGTGCGGGAATGCGGGAGGGTGGGCGAGAGAAATTCGAAGAGACACACCACACACAAAAAACGCAGGGGAAGGTCGTTTTTTCTCACGGAATGGAAGAAGAAAAAGAGGAGAAAAGCAAATGTTTTATGTTTTTTTTTTGTTGGATGGTGTGGGAAAATCGGAAATAGTGTGGGAAAGTTGGAGGGTGCTGGAGAAATTGTATGGGAATTTGATTGAAAATCCACGTGGCAAAATTTTCAGGATTTCAAAAGTTTTTCAAATTTCCAGAAAATTTTTGGCCACGTGGCTTTTTTTTGAAAGAAAAATTATTAAAATTATTTTCTGAGTCTCAAAAATCCACGTGGCAAAATTTGTGAATTTAATTTTTTCAGCAACAAATTCCATGTGGAGAATAAAACTGGAGGTTACTGTATTTCTCGAAAACCACGTGGTAAAATTTCAGAATTTCAAAAAATTTCCATTTTATGAATTTTCAAATTTCCAGAAAATTTTGAAAAATTGAAATTTTACCGAAAGAAAAAATTTAAAAATTATTTTCTGGATCTCAAAAATCCACGTGGCAAAATTTGTAAACTAAAAATTTTCTATCAAATTTTAAGCGCTCAAAAAATTCAGTATATAACATAAAAATCCACGTGGCACAATTCTGAAAAATTAAAAATCGTATAAAAACCGCACAAAATTATTGACACAAGGTCAAAAACATCGGGCACACTTTTCGAATGTTCCCAACCAATTTTCTGGTCGCCAAATAAAATCATCCTAACAACAAAGCAGGATAACGAAATCCGATCTTTCATGGGAAAATCTGATAGATCAAATCAAAAAATCGACGGGTGCGCGCGAAAAAAAGTGAGAACGAAACGAAAAATGATATGGGAGAACCAAACGAGTACTACATATCTGGGAAAAAAACACAAAACTGATTTATTACCATCGGAAATCTGAAAGAGAGAGACGCAGAGAAGTTTCGAACTGCAAAGAGTACTGTGATCGAGAATTTTCTAATGGTTCCACGTGGAAATTGAATTTGAACTTTGATTGACCTCAAAATTCACTTGAAATTCCCAAAATCTGAGAAATGCACGTGGCAAAATCGTCGGTTTTTTGTTTGAATTTTCAAAATTTTCAAAAAAAAATCCGAGCTCAAAAAAATTTAAAAAAAATTATTGAAACTTGTGCCATTTGAATTAAAATTTTTATGAACACCCCGAAATCCACGTGGAAAAAAAAACAACATCTTGGAAAATCTCAACAATTTGAGGAGAACAGCCACGTGGCATTTTTTTCAAATCAAATTTTCCCAATTTTAATTCTGGCACCTCCAAAGTTCCACGTGGAAAAATTCTCAAAAAAAATGTTCAAACCGAAAAAAAAATTCCAGGAAAATTGTGCCACGTGGCAAAAGCCTTCAGAACAAGAATCTCCGGATTCGAAGGATTTCAATAATTATAAGGCGTTATCTAAGCCTAAGGTCCTACCTAAGTCTAACGACCTAACCCAGCCCAACAAACAAGTACACTAAAAATAATCGTGCTTTGCACTCCCGTTCCAATACATTACAAAATTCAGCGAGACGCAGACACAAAAGACGGGGGTTTCCCCAAAAACCCCCTCTTTTGATTGATAACAATGCAAAATTGTTTCGAATTGAAAAACAAGTCAAAATTTGCCTTATCTTATCAACAACTGAAATTTTTCCCCCATAATGATGATGATGATCAATAATGTAACAAAATATACACTGAAGGGGGGTTCCCCGAACTATTCATTGAAGAGAGTTAGGCTAACTTTGCGCCAAAAAAATAAATTTATTATACAGAGAAATGAAAATAGAATACAAAAAAAAGTCACCTAGTTTCTCGGGTCGTAAAAATATCCGCCAACTTCGCAGGCCTCCAAAAATAGCTCCGCCTTCTCCTGACTGATAATCTCTTTTCGTCTTCCGAAACTTGGCGGTGTGCCAAGTGGCAAAATCGCAAAATTCAGAATTGCTTTGAGAGCGTTTCTGTAAAAAAAATAGGATTGTGGGGGGAAAAATGATGCGAAAATTTTTGACATGGCCTAGAAACCCAAAATTGATGGCCTAGAAACCCAAAACTATGATTTTGATGGCCTAGAAACCTAAAATTATGGTTTTTGTGGCATAGAAACCCAAAAATATGATTTTGATGGCCTAGAAACCCAAAAACATGGTTTCAGTGGCCTAGAATTCCAGTAAATTGCATAAATTTGAAAATAACCAAATTTGGTGTCAAAAAATCGCAAAAAAAAAAATCCCCACCTCGTTCTCTGCACCACCCGCCTCTCTTGAAGATCCAGCAGTGGTTCACAGTAAACCGCCATCACATATTCACAACACTTGATGTGATTCTCATAGTCCTCGCAAATCGTAACCATTCGCCATTTTTCGGCCTGGAAATGTGGAAATTTCTGATCATTTTGATATCAAATATAATAGGTTTTGAGCCACGCCCCTTTTTGCAAGCCTGGCACAGTTTTTCTGATTCTTTCATCAGCAAACAAATTAGACCACGCCCACAAAACCATGCCGCAATACTCACCGGACTAAACCACACAAAATTGGTGATCAATTGCACGCCAAGTTCAACTCTGGCCCCCGTCATTCGCATATTCAAATTGATCTCCGGCCAATGTTCCGAATCTCGTGGGGACGACGAATTGGTGAGATTCAGATTATATTTATCGGAATAGCGCGGAAGGTATCGCATAAAATAGCCGAAGAATAGCGGAAGATTTTGGGGTCGGGCGTTGAATTGATTGTTGGGACGATCGAGACCGATTTTGGCGAGACTCTGAAAATATTTGTGGATTTTTTGAGATTGAATGTGACTTGGATTACTTTGTGATGTTTTTAGGGCTGATTCACGAGTCAAAAAATGTCGAAAAACATTGTATAGGTCAAAATTAGTTTTTCGAGTTTTTCAGCCAAAAATGATGACAAATCAATATTTTTCAAGCTTCTGGAGTAATTTCTGATGAAAATAAGCTTCGAGAACAATATTTTGCTTTATTTTATGAATTTTTTCGAAATTCATCAAAATTTAAAATTTTTTTCAATTCACTATCAATTCACGAAAAGTCAAAAAATTGTACTTAAAAAATTAGTTTTTCGAGTTTTTCAGCCAAAAATCATGACAAATCAATATTTTTCAAGCTTTTGGAGTAATTTTTGATGAGAATTAGCTTCGAGAATCCTATTTTGCTTTATTTTATGAATTTTTTTGAAATTCATCAGAATTAAAAAAAATTGGATTTTACGAAAAAATAGCAAAACCGAAAAAATGATTTTTGTGAAACTTCAGCGAAATTATGTTATTTCGAAGCCACGTGGCATTTTTGTTGTTCAGAATTTAGAAAAAAATTTCGAACTTTAAAAATCTTCAAAATTTGGCTGATTATCGAAAAACAGTAATTTTCAGCACAAAATTTTCAGTACGTAGCGTGTAAAATTCAAAATTCAGAGCAAAAACCACTCACTATAGCATATCTAACACGAATAACATCATCCAATCCCTCATTCAACAAAATCACATCCGATTTCTTCAACATCAATTCCAAAATGTATTCAGTGCTCACAAAACTGATCAAATATTCGAGTGGTTCGAAAAGCGCATGTGTAAGTGGCAAATTCACGGGCTCGAATTTCGCCAAAAATTCCTTTTCCCAATATGCGCTGAAAGTTTCGCGAATTTCCGTCATAAAATGTCGACTGATAAAATCATTCTTCTCACAAGTGGCCATCAAATTTCCCACTTGAGATTTCGGAGCGGCTCGGAAAAATCGGATCAATTTTGCGCCCAGATGAGGTGCCACCAGGGGATCTGTTTGAATCACTTTGCAAAAATTCAAAATGCCTAATTCATTAAATGGCTCCTTTTCGTACGCTTGAATAAGCGTTTCAAAGAATCCCAGCTTATCCAAAAATTCCGAATTCTTCAAGCGTCGCAAAAGGGCGTGTGATTTCTCCGCCGCCAAATTTTTCACCAAATCCAGGCTGATCGACAAAATCAGCGCTTCGAAATCCTTTTTTCGATGCGGATTTATTTCGGGGTCGAGGAAATCGATAAATTTCGCGCATTTTTCGTCGAGATCCGTCATTTCGGAAATGTCGTTGAGATGGGCGGTCCAAACTGTAAATTTTTCGGGATTTCGGGATTTTTTTTGTTCTTAAACCACAAAAACTCACCTTTAAGCGTAACTTTCGGATCGATCATCATCTTGAAAACGCTGATTTTGTTTTTGGAAAATAAATTTTTTTTGCAAACTCCAAAAAACAATTTCTTTCTCCGAAAAAAAAATTTACGAAACTTTCGCGGGTAGATCAAAAATATTTGGCATTTTCTGAAAAAAAACGAAAATTGGAGTATTGATATTTTTAGTCACGAGAATGAAAAGTGCAAAATATTATTTTTTTCGAGATTTTTTTGAGAATTTTTTTTGAAAATAACTTTTTCTCTCGGAATTTTCGAGAAAATTGAAAATTCTCGAACAAAAATGCCACGTGGCAATCAAATAATCTCAAAAATTTGAGTTTTACAAAATTTTGTTTCGAGAAACCAACCGAAAAAATAATTCGTGAAAATTCGAACAACGCGCCGCATTTTTGCATAAATTGTGTGTAAGGTTTTCCAGAATTTGAAAAGTGGGCGCGGCCTATTTTTAATTTTTGAAAATTTAAATTTTCTCGTTTTCCCCAGGTTTTTCAGCAAAATGTGATATTTTCAGACTAACAATGCAATCAAAATTGCTAATCGTCACGATTTCTCTACTAATCGTCTCAATTACATCTGCAAATAGCACGGACTTCAGCACAGAGCTGGAAACAAAAAACGAGGTTTTCGGTGAGTTTTTTCTCATTCTGTGTTATTTTCCAGCCATAGAAACTCAATTTTTTCAGTTTTTCCTACGAGCTCCGGTGATGAACCCGAAGAATCAGTTTTTCCTGCGACCGAAGATCGAATTTTAGGCGCTGCTGAAGAAGTTGGCACATTTTTCGGCAGAAATTCAATATTTGCCGGGATGCTTCTTGGATTTTTGAGTGGAATTATCACAGCCTCATTTGTTATTTTGTTAAAGTCGTGGTGTTCAAAGAGAAGGTGAGTCTAGGCAAAAAATCCTCTAAATCTGGAATAAATTGCAGATTCCGTGTCAAAATGCAAATGAAGGACGATCTCTACAACACCACAATTTGCTCACAAAATTTCGGCGGGAAAACGATTCTTCAAGAAGTCACATTGATTTCCCCTGAAAATTCGATGGTCTAGAATATTTTTAAATTTGTCAAATACTTCGCAAAACGGGTTTTTTTGAAAATAAAAAAAATTGCACGACTAGACCAGTTTTATTATTAAGTAAAAAAAAAGTAACACAACAAAAATGAGTATCTTGTACACGAAGTATGTATAATATGAGCAATATATTTAAATCGGCAGCCATTTCTTCAATTTCAATCCCTGATTTTGGCATCCATCCAAAAACGGCGGGCAATTCAAATAAATACACCAGGGACAATCAATCTCAATATTCCAAATGAAGCAAATCAATAAAATTGAAAATAAGTGTGTTGCCAGCAAAAATGCCAATAATTTCGAGATCAACCGTTTTCTCGATTTTTTAAGAGCCATAAAAACCCGCCAAAATTCCCAAAAACATCCAGATTGCGGGTCTTCGGGGATTCCGGGACCACCTGAAGTTCGCGGGACCATTAGGACTGGAGAGATCGATGAAGCTGGAGCAAGGGGTGATGAACTCGGTTGGATTTTCCACGTTTTTTGGGCATCCGGTGAGGATTCGGGTAGAAAATCGATGTAGGGAAAGATGACGATTGTTGTGAGGCCGCCGAAAATGAAGCCGAAGATATGCGACCAATTATCGATCCATGGAAATATTCCGGCGATTATTATGACCAAAAATGTGCAGATGTTTATGAAGTAGACTTGTGTCATATCTTGAATCAGGTGGCGATGAGTGTAGGCTGCAAATAAAAATTTGAATTTGAATTTTTTAGCGGTAAAAATTGTTTGGGTAGATTTTATTGATTTACTAGAGAAGCCCAAAAGGCCCAAAGAACTTTCTATACCGGATAAAATTCCAATTTTCGAGCTACTAGGCTAAACTGTGTTCATTTTGACCATGAAAAATGCAAAATTACGAACCAAAAAATGCCTCGAGTGAAAATTAGTATTTTTCATCAGGTTTAGACTCATTTCATAGAGAATTCGATGAAAAATTTGAATTTCTCGATGAAAATTCAAAAAATTTAATTTTTCCCATCAAATTTCGGCTCATTTTGATCGAGGTGAGAGCCTAAATTTTTTATTATAAATTTTGGTTGATTTCGATCAGATTTCCAACAGAAAAATTCGACGTGGCAAAACAGTTCATTTTTGGGTGAAAATTCAAATTTTTCATCAGGTTTAAAGGGTTGGTCCTCCGCCAAGGAATCTTGCTTGGTTTAGATAAGAATAAGGTGCTCCTGGAAGGTTCCAGTTTTAGAAAAAATTCTAGTATCAATTCAGCCCATGTTTTTCCTCAAAAACACAAGCGAGTTAAAACCTACGAAATAAAGCATGTAAATGCGCTCTAGCGCACAACTTGTTTTTGAATTTTTGTGTGTGTGTTTGCACACAACTTTGAAAATAACACGGTGACGCCTTTTTGCAGACGATTTTTTCACCAGGAAAGCACCAACCCTTTAAAGGTAATTTTACTCAGAATTTGGTGAAAAATCTAAATTTCTCGATGAAAATTCAACATTTTCGAATTTTCGTATCTAATTTAGGCTCATTTTGATCGAGGTGAAAACCTAATTTTTTGAATTATAAATTTGGGTTAATTTTGAGCAGATTTACATGAAAAATTCAAAATTTCCAACCAAAAAATGCCAACAGCTCATTTTTGGGTTAAAATTCCAAATTTTCCTCAGGTTTAGAGTCAATTTATTCAGAATTCAGTGAAAAATCTGAATTTCTCGCTAAAAATTCCAAATTTTTAAATTTTTGTATCAAATTTCGGCTCATTTTGATTTTTGGGTTAATTTTTACCAGATTTACATGAAAAATTCAAACTTTTGAACCAAAAAAATGCCAACAGCTCATTTTTGGGTGAAATTTATTCAGAATTCGATGAAAAATCCGATGTTCTTGATGAAAATTCAAAATTTTCAAACTTGGGTTCGGGATGAAATTAAACATTCAAAAAAAATTGAAAATCCAAATTTCCTCACCTTCAAAAAGCACCGCCGAAAACACGCCACACTGCGAACCAGACGGTCCAACTTCGGGATGAAATGGCATAAAAATCGACGAGGCCAAATTGCCACCAATTCCAGCCGTCATATACACCAAACCCATTCGTTTCCAGCCCAACAACTTCTCCAAATCTGCCATGATTGTTAGTTGAAAAATGCAGGTGAGGAGAAGATGAAAAATGCCGGCGTGGACGAAGATCGGTAGAATTAGGCGGATTCGTTGATCGGGATGATCGCCGAAACGCGGTGTCATACCGCAAACATCGTCGAAACAATTGACCTGGAAAATTGGGGGATTTTTGGCTGGAAATTTTGAATTTTTATCGAGAAATTTAGATTTTTCACCAAATTCTGAACAAAATGACTCTAAACCTGATGAAAAAATTTGAATTTTCACTCAAAAATGAGCTGTTTTGCCACGTGGCATTTTTTGTTGGAAATCTGGTCAACATTAACCCAAATTTGCAATTAAAAAATTTAGGCTTTCAACTCGATCAAAATGAGCCAAATTTTATGGGGAAATTTGAAACTTTTGAATTTTTATTCACTCAAAAATAAGCTGTTTTGCCACGTGGCATTTTTTGGTTCGATAATTTGAATTTTTCATAAGTCTGCTCAAAATGAGCACTATTTCTACGAAAAATCGTTTTACAATTTTTAATTGGAAATTCTAAAATTTCAGATTTTCAGGTCTGGAAACGCTCCGGACCTTAAAAATCCTAAAATATTGATACTGAAACCTTGTAGAGCTGAAAATTAAAAATTTTCAGATTTTTTAGATCTAGAAAAGCTTGGAAACACCTAAAATTTCAGATTTTCAGGCGTGGAAAAGCTGAGAAATCTGAAAATTGTGATCCTAAGACTTTCTGGACCTGAAAATTAGGAATTTTCATATTTTTCAAGCCTAGAAAAGCTCCAGGCCTAAAAAAATTGAAAATTGTGATCCTAAGACTTTCTGGACCTGAAAATTAGGAATTTTCATATTTTTCAAGGCTAGAAAAGCTCCAGGCCTAAAAAATTTGAAAATTGTGATTCTAGACCTAAAAATTAAGCATTTTTATATTTTTCAAGTCCAGAAAAGTCAAAAATTCAAGTTTTTCAGATTTTTTCATATTTAGTGTCAAAAGTGCCTCTTCTACATTTTTCTACGTAGACTCGTTTTATAATTTTTAATTTCAAAATATATTTTTTTGGGATTTAGAAAGAGCTGAAAATTAGGAATTTTCAGATTTTTCTGGTCTAGAAAAAGTTCCAGGCCTACAAAATTCGAAAATTGTGATCTTAGACCTAAAAATTAGGTATTTTTTTTATTTTTCAAGTCTAGAAAAATGAAAAATTCAAGTTTTTCAGATTTTTTCCGCACCAACCTGACTACAAAGCGTCGCCTCTTCATGATAATATCCTCGCACAAAATCACAATACTCTTTGGTGGCAATTCGACACAATCCCTGCAATTGAATACAACACGGCCTTCCGGTCACTTGACACGTCATCCATTCCGGTTGTCCGCTTCCGCCATGTTTTTTCTCGCAGATCGGCCATTTTGTGATATCTTCTGGTGGCCATTTGTGAGCGCCTGTTGAGATGGGAAAATCACAATAATCCGGATCCTGACCGCAAACACTGTTCTTTTTGGAGAGTGAGAGGGAGTTTGAATTTTTGAGCAGGAATGATTCACTTTGAGTTCTTCGGAGGCCTGAAATTTTCTGATTTTTGAAAGATTTTTAAGGTCCAGGAGCTTTTCTAGGCTTGAAAAATATGAAAACCTAGAATTTTCAGATCTAGAAAATCTGTAGACAATGATTTTGGGTTTTTTAGGGCTTCGCAGCTTTTCTAGATTCGAAAAATTTGAAAATTCTCAATTAACAGGTCTAGAAGGCCCCATAAGCACAATTTTCAAGTTTTTAAGGCCCGGCGCTTTTCCTTAACCTGAAAATCTGAAATTTTAGGTCTTTCCAAGCTTCTCCTGATCTAAAAAATACGAAAATTCCTAATTTTCAGGCCCAGAAAGGTTTCAGTATCAAAATTGTTGCATTTTCAGAAGCCTGAAGACCTGAAAAATTTGAAAACCTAGAATTTTTCAGATCCATAAAGTCTCAAGACCAGAAACATCCCGTTTTTCCGTCCAGAAAGTCTGTAGACCATGATTTTGGGGTTTTTAGAGCTCCGGTGCATTTCTAGACTAGAAAAACTGGGAAAATCCAAATTTTCAGGTCCAGAAGGCCTCAGAAGCACAATTTTCAAGTTTTTAAGGCCCGGAGCTTTTTCTAGACCGAAAAATTTGAAATTTTAGGCCTTTCTAAGATTCTCCTGATCTGAAAAATTTAAAAATTCCTAATTTTCAACTCTAGAAGGTTTCGGTATCAAAATTTTGGGATTTTCAGAAGCCTGAAGCTTTACTGGACCTTGAAAAAATTAAAAATCGAAATTGTTTGGTGCAGAACGTGCCAGGACCTCAATACTATGATTTTCAGGAAGCTGGACGTTTTTGAACCAAGAAAAAAGTTAGAATTTTCAGTTTTTGCAAAAAATCTTACCCGAAACCGGTTCTCTGGTCAAATTCCTCGCCGCTTTATAAAAATCCCATCGATTCCATCTCGCATATCCTTCAGGACACAAATACCGTGTAGACTGATAACATCCACCGTCATTTGTTACACAACATCCTGTCGAATTCTCTTTTCGCCGATCTTCTTCAATCGCCTCGATTAATTGTCTTTCGGCTCGCATACATGGTGAATATTTGGCGCCAAGATGGATGAGACTACTGTAGCTGGGTCCAAGCCAAAGATTGCCGGGTTCTTCGAAGGAAACTCGTCGTAGGGTTAGGGTGATGTCTTGAACATTTCCTGAATTTTCGACGACTCCCGCTGCGAATGGTCCGATTCCGTAGATCAGAATTGAGAGGAGACAGACGATTATTTGAATTGTGGTGACGTAGTAAGTGAACCACGGTCTGCAAATTGATAATTTTGTGGAAAAAACAATTATTTAACTGTGCTACATAGAGAAACGTGGCAGTAAATTTGATAATTCAAAGGTTTTCGAAAAATGCGCTCTGCTTCTAGAAAAAATCGCGGGAAGTTTGTGAAATTCAAATTTTTAAAGAAATTTTCAAACTCGCTCCACTGAAAAACTCACGGGAAACTCAAAAATTCAATTTTTTTCGAATATTTTAAAATCGCTTCATCGAAAAAATTGCGGGAAGCTCGGAAATTCAAACTTTTAAGAGCTTTCAAACACACTCCTCTGCTAAACCTCGCGGAAAACTTAAAAATTCAAATTTTTTCGAATATTCCAATTACGCTCCATATCGCAGGAATCTCGAAAATTCAAAATTTTTTAATATTTCAAATTTGCTCCTCTGCTAAACCTCGTGAGAATCTCGAAAAACTCAAATTTTTCGCGAGTTACTTTTCAAAATTTGAATTCTCGAGTTTCCCGCGCTATTTTGCAGTGGAGCGCATTTGAAATATTTTTCCACAAAAAAAAACTCACTTTTCCTCCGGTTCATCCTCAATAAAAGCCATAACCTCTTTGGGCAATTGTTTCTTGAATTCCCGATCGAAAAATCGTCCAATCACTCCAATTCCCCGTTGTCTTTTCTGCGATTTCATCTCTCCAACATGCCGTGCCATTTTCGACATTGCCATCCGCTTCCGTTCCGCAAGCATTTTTTGTCGCGCTGCTGTCGATGGAACCGCAAGCGTTTGCGGTCGATCGGGACGCGAGTCGGGTTTTTCGGCGATTTTCGGCGCGCCGAGTCGAATCGGTGACAAATGCGAGATGTGCGAATGACCAACATCTATATAGGTTATACCATCAGCGTATCGAAATTGTTCGGTTGCGGCAAGCTGCGCGGAAGTCGGTGGGCTTTGCGCAATATCCGGATGATAGTAATCGACTTCCGGCGCAACCACGTCATAGAACAAATCATCCACAACACTTTTCTGACGTCTCAAGCTCATCCGCGGTTGCGGCTCCTCGCGTTTCTCCGATTCCGCATACAACGCCTCGAAAATCTTGTCGGCTTCCTCAGCGGCGCCACGTGGCAACGGCTGCGACGCACTCATCAAATCGCAAGGTCTTTCGACGGTCGGTTTTCTTCCCGGTTGACGAACCGAACTTTTCGCTCTGCGCACTCTTGCGGTCATCCGCGGAAAGGCTTGCGGATCGACTTCCGCCTCGTCGGACGATGATTTTTCGGCGAGTTCCATCTCGAAAGTGGTTTCTTCGGGTATTTCGGAGATTGCGGCGGGTTTGCCGGGTTTTAGGCGGCGATGTGTGTGGGGTAGGGGCGTCATTTCGAAGGATTCGGACATTGAAGTGGTGGCGGAAGAGGATGGTGGAAGATCTGAAGAAATTATTGAGATTTTTGGGGATCCTGGGAAGGCAAACCTCACCCAACACCTGGAATTCCAGGTGGGCAATTTTTTCGAAAAACCTAGGTGGGCAAAAATTTTTAGGGTCTTTAAGGCGAGCCTCAGGTGGGCACAAAATTTTAAGGTCTTTAAGGCGAGCCTCAGGTGGGCACAAAATTTTAGGGTCTTTAAGGCGAGCCTCAGGTGGGCAATTTTTGAAAATAAACCCAGGTGGGCAATTTTTATCCCACTTCTCCAGGTTCTTGGGTGAGGTTTGCTGGGAAGGTTCAGAGACTGAAAAATCTGGAAAACTAAGATTTTTGGGGTCAAGAAGGTATTGGAAACAAAATTTCAGAGCATAGGAATGTTCTAGAGCTAAAAATTCAACTTTTTGAGCTTGGAAGATCTCAGAAACATAATTTTTGGTGAAATTTCGAATTTTTTTTAGATTTTTGAAGCTCTAGAATTTTCCAGTTCTAAAAATTAGATTTTTTTACACCTGCAAGGTTCAAAATTCAATATTTTCGGATTTTTGTGCTTCAGAGAATTTTCAGCCCTGAAAATTGAATATGCTAGGTTTGCAAGGTTTCAGAACACATTTTTTTTGGATTTGTTGAGCCTGGAAAATCTCAGAAACATAATTTTTGGTACAATTTTGGACTTTTTCGGGTTTGCAATTCAATTTTTTGTATTCTTAGAGCTCACGGATTTTTCAGCCCTGAAAAATGAGATTTTCTAGGTCTGCAAGGTTTCAGAAATCTGTTTTTCAGATATATGGAGCTCAGAAAATGTCTAGACAGGGAAAACCCAGTTATTTTGGTCTGGAACAGTTTCGGATCTGAATTTCTAGGTCTTGAAACATTCTAGACCGGAAAAATTAGATTTTCCAGGTCTGAAAGGTTTCAGAGTTCAATTTCTTCGATTTTTGGAGTTCAGAGATTTTCCAGTTCTGAAAAATTAGATTTTTTGGTCTACAAGGTCTCAGAATCCAATTTTTTGGATTTTTGGGGTCTAGAAAGCCTCAGAATCTGGATTTTCAATCCTGGAAACTTTCTAGACTGGAAAATCTTTTTCGATTTTTCAGAGCTCAGGTTTTTTTTTTAATTTTCCAATAATTTTTAACACCCTAAGTTTAGGCTTAAAAATCTTACCAAAAGTGATACCAGCAGGCGACTCTTTTTCCTTCTCCAACTCCTGATCTTCTTCATAATCCGGTGTGTCAAACAAAATCGAATCCATATCAAAACTCCTCTTTGACGCAAAAGATGCCTGAAGTCTCAATTTATTCTTATCAATCAATGATCCTTTTTTAATGAGTGTGGAGAATGAGTCAAAAATCGCGCCAGAAATCGATTCCTTTTTCGGTGCGAATTTCTTATCCAAATTCGACATTCGTCGCATTGAAGCCGAATTATTTGAATCGATGCTTTCTAGTCGAACTTGTGATTGATTTATTTGGCTCAGAACCATCGGAGCTCCGCCAGCAGCTCTCGAAGTCTCAGGTGTTTCGGGTGTTAGAAAGATATTCGAAACATCCGGATTGATTTCGATCGTATGATTTTTGACCAGTTTTCTCGCCTCTTCTGGATCGATGTTTTTCATGGAGACGAATCGGCGCAACGCTTTTTTGTCCCATTTCTTCTTCTTCTCCTCGTTTTCGTCCTCATCTAGACCAAGAAATGTGGAGACTTGTTGAATTCTGGAAATATTGAACAAGGTCACGTTTTTATTGGGAAAAATCTACAAAGCTGATTTTTCTGGGTTTCAAGAGGACTTTTCAAATGTCCTCTTCAACATCTGGATTTCATAATATTGATTTTAGGTTTGGAACTTTTATCAATCAAAAAATGTGTAATTTTTAAGGTTCACACTAAAACCCAGCCAAAAAACCACGTGGCAGCTCTTAAAATTCGCCCTCCCCCAAAAATGACTCACAAACTCGGCCTCCTTCTAATTTGCGGTGTTTTTTCTTGCGTCGTCGAATTTGGCGATGAAAGCGGCATCATTTCCTAAAACAACGAAAAATCCTAAATTTTCAGCGATTTTCAGCCAAACTCACCAAATTCGTCGTCATCCCAATATTATATCGATTATATATTTTACTTTATCTAAAAATCATGCAAGTGTCGAGAAAGGTAAATAATAGAAACTCTTTTTTCTGACAAGCAAGAAAAGAAAAGAAAAAGATAATTCGCATGGCCTAGGAAATGTTTGGTTTTCTAGGCCATCTTCATTTTTTTCTTTTTTTTTTTCTGTTTTTCTGGGGAAAAAACAAAAATTTAAAGTTTATTGCATAAAAAAACATCAACGAGTAGAATTTGTTAAAGCTTGTGCAAAAATAAAATCAAGGTAAACTAGAATTAATGTTTTCTTAGAAGAGTGGAGTCAGAAATTAAAAGTTTTTCGAGTAAATTGCGTCGAGAATCCGATTCGGAACATCCATTGATTGATCGTCGACGAGAACAATGTCGAAATAGTTGAGATATTTGTCGACGAGTTTATCGATCTGTAAAAAAAACATATCGTTTTTGGTGTCAAAATGCTCCGCGCAAAATTTCCACGTATTTTCGCGTCAAGACCCCAGAAGCAAACTTACATCATGATTAACAAATCCAATTTTCAACGCTAATTGTTCCTCCTCGACCCCAACATCCATAAAAGCGTCTCCAACACTGTCACCCATCAAAATCACATTTCGTCGTCCATGAATCTGCTCGGAAAATGTCTGATCTTTCGGAATCACCGACGAATTCTTGCAGAACACATGAATCAGCGGTTCGGAAAACGAGGTTACTTGTCCAGCCTCATTGAATCCCATCATATTCGAAACAATGTGTGTGTTCTGCTCGACTTTTCCGAATTTATGCTTCAAATACATTTCGATGATTGTGCCGATGCCGGCGGAAAAAATGATAAAAGGCACACGGTTTTTTGTCATTTCAGCCATCAGAATATCAGCATTGTCTCTCAGTTGAATATTGCATTTTGCCACGTATTCATCGATCGATTTTTTGTCGAAACCTGCTTGAATTATAAGTTCGTGTGATTGTTGCCACCATTGTTCCATAAAGGGAACCTTTTCTTCGATGGTTAATGAATGATCGTGTTCAATTGGTCCGTATTTGTGGTAAAGATCGACGAACTATGAAAAATATTGTTTTTAGTAAGAGCAATGGGGTTTTTGATAACTTAAAATGGGCCAGCAGAGCTTGCTGACGCAATTTTTGTAGAAAAATACCCGGATTTTCCTCACCTTTTTACACCATTCTGGATCATTTCTACCAACAGCATTATCAAAAACACAATAACAAGACGAGCATCTTTGACCACTGGGATCCGAAAATCTCGAGAGTGTAAAATCGAAATCGGAAATAACCATCAGTTGCTCAGCTCCACCGCCAACAAATTTCTTCAATTTTTCCACGGTTTTTCGAGATTTCTTTTACGCGAACTTGCGGAAGTCCCAAAATCTCATGAAGTTCTGACATTTTACTGCAAAAAAATGGTTGAAAATAAAAATAATGGAAAAAAAACACATATTGGGTCAAAACTGGCTAATGGATTTTGGATTTTGCATTTTCGAAATGACATATCACATAAAATTCGGATTTGCATTGAATCGAAAAAATGACCTTGATTTTAGGCAAAATTTTTTTGGGAAAAATCACGATTCTTTTTTTTTTAATAATAAAAGTTTTTGAAGCGCTCTTAGACACGACAAAGAATGAAAAAACATTTTTTTTTGCAAATCAAAAAAAATTGGGCATTGTTACAGCACAAAGTGCAGAAAACGATTTTTTAATCGAAAAAAAAATTGGTTTTTACAAAAATGATGTAATCGGATAGCCACTTGTGAACAAAAAGCCAAACTTTTTTTCTTGTATTTTTTCTGGGTTTTCGAGTGAAGAACAAATATGATGGATATAGGAGGGGTTAGGGGACAGCAAAACATTTTTGGTGCTAAAATATGACACGTGGCGAAATTGGAAAAATGTTTTTTTTAGTCTGAAACACACAAACTTCCGTGAGAACCGAGAAAAAACGAAAAAAATGTGAAAAATAAAAATAAAAATGAGGCCACGCCCCTTTTTCAAATTCTGGAAAGCGTTGCACACAGTTTATGCAAAAACGCGGCAGGCTTTTGCAATTTCTCAATTATTTTTCAGTTTTTTTCAAAAAATTTATTATCTCAGAGAAGTTGGACGATTAATCGCCTAGTAACTTGAATTAGCTGCTGGCTAACCGATTAATCGCCTGTGTTAATTTAGTTCAGGCGATTAATCGTAAGTTCACTTTACTCGGCGATTAATCGTCCAACTTGTCTGAATTTGCATCAAATAAAACCAAATTTTTGCAACAACTCGGCTAATCTTCCATTTTTCTCCGCTTCAATCGTATCATCACATCCTCCCAAACTCTCCGAGCCAATAAAAACACGTGGCACACTTCTGGCACCTGTCAGAAATTCTAAATATGTCTGAATCTCTTGACAATCCTTTCTCAAATCAATTTGAACAATTTCCAGGCTTTCTGGATTTATCGGATATTCTTCAATGATTTGCTGAGCCTGGAATTTCGAAATTTTCTATTATTTATCAAATTTTCCATACCTGCTTACAGTGCGGACAATAAGTTTTGCTGAAAATCACAATTTTTTGACGGGAAATTAGCGCGTCAACAAATTCAGCCATTTTTTTTTGGAAAAAAAGTGACAAAACAGAAACGACCTTGAATGTTTTCCCTACTCAAAAATAATTAGCGCGTATGCGGAATTGAACTTTCGACCTTTCAGCACCCAGGTTTTAAAAGGAATGTTCAGTAGAGCAATGTTGCCTTTTGAATTTGAATTTTTATTCAATCATTCATTTTCCCCCTGAAATTAATACAAATTCTCATGGCAAACATGTCTCGTCTCCTCGCTAAAAATAAATTTCTCCCCAATTTTTTCAAGTCGATGAATATTTTGCATATTGAAACCTTGCGTTCGATACTCCAAAATTTTGTCATCAACAACCCATTTTGCAGCGAATGCAACTAAACCTAATCCAAAACTTGCATCACTTCCAATCGGATAATCGAAATCATCGCGAATTACATCAACTTGCGTGGTTTTGAGGCGAAATTCATCATCACACCAATGAATTGTATAGGGTGTTTTGAAGTTTTCGCGGAATTTGGTCAGATTTATTGATAGAACAATATCATTGAAGAGTTCCATGTGTTCATTGGCTAATTCTTGAAGTTGTCTGGTGGAGCTGTGGATTGATGAAATCCACGTGGCAGAGAGGAAAATGAGAATTGGTATCATTTATGTTTGAAGAGAGAACAGTTTTTTTGATCGGGGAAAAATAGATTTGAAAAATGTCTAGGCATTATGAAAATTCGGGGGATGGGAAATTTCAAGTCCTATTTTTGAAACTTTCGATTTTTGTTGGAAAGTTCATATTTTTAGCCACAAAAATCCAAAAGCTCAGAAAGCAAGTTCATTCAAAACAAAATCAATACAAGTAGATCAATTTTTAAGTCAAAAAAATTGTTTTTCGAAAAAACGTGAAACCTGGTTTCAAAAACATGACGTGGATTATTTTGCCTATAAAAGACAAAATCCACATCAGAAAATCAGTTTTTTGATAATAGCCTAGTTAATTTGGCAGCATTCTCGAAGAGAAATTGTTTAATAAATTGATCAGTTATGAAATTCTTGGTTTATTTCGGATTATTATTGATTGGAGCAATAACTGCACAACAAGACACATCAAATCCAATCTGCACACCAACTCGAAAAAGTGCCAAACATGCTGATACACTTATTGTTTTCGCTTTGGATTATGAAAAAGGCCAAAATGATGTGAGTTTGCTTGAAACTTATGAAAACTCAATTTTGAAGTTTTCACTAAGTAGTTTAATCTTACAAGGAATGATCGATTTAGTGATACAGTGATTCGAGCTGTGACTAGGTGGACTTTTGTCCATATCCAAAAGTAGGAAAAACCCCAAAGGGATTTTGCAAGGCAAGGCTTTGTTCCCTGATTTCGGGACCCCCTAATTTTTTGTTCAGAAAAATTTGAAAAATGGCCTTCATTTTCAAAAATTCATAACTCAGCTTAAACATCATGAAAATGGACAAACTTTGGGCCATTTTGAAGCTTTAATGTAGAACTTTTAAAGGTACTACTGTTCCTATTTTTCAGATTTTTTCAACTTATGTAAAAAATGAGAAAAAAAGGGAAAAAAATCAAAAATTTTTTTTTTGTTTTTTTGTCATTATACGGTACCGGGCGGAGTATGAGACCTGATTTAAACTTTTCAGCGTCAAAAACTATGCCTAGTACCATATTCCAATGTATCTATAGTCAGCCTTTTCGGAGAGTTATAATACGATTTTCACTCGAAACGCATAGATTTTGACAAAAAAAAATAGTTTTTTTGTTGTTTTGAAACAGTAAAATGTTTTATCGCAATATTTTACTAGTAAAAAAGCACGATCCATCATTTTTTCACTGTTTTCCGTGATTTGTGACACATCACTTAAAAAATGGTTAGTTTCAAATCTTCAAAAAAAATGAAAAAATATATTTTTTGATCGATGACTTCATCCTTGGCAAAATTTGGAAGCCTTCCTAATTTAGCCACGAATCATTTTTCGATCAAAAAAAAATCGGCCCGAGTTTTCCGATTTGTTGGTTCAGCGAAAAATTCACTGTTTCAAAGTTTTTTCAACAAAAAAATCGCTCCGAGTTTTTTCAAAAAATAATCGGCCCGAGTTTTTTCAAAAAATAATCGGCCCGAGTTTTTTCAAAAAATAATCGGCCCGAGTTTTTCAAAAAAAATCGGCTCGAGTTTTTTCAAAGAAAATTTTTTTTCAAAAAAATCGGCCCGAGATTTTTCAAAGAAAATTTTTTTCAAAAAAATCGCTCCGAGTTTTTTCAAAGAAAATTTTTTTCAAAAAAATCGGCCCGAGATTTTTCAAAGAAAATTTTTTTTCAAAAAAAATCGGCCCGAGTTTTTCAAAAAAAAAAAATCGGCCCGAGATTTTTCAAAAAAAATCGGCCCGAGTTTTTCAAAAAAAAAAAATCGGCCCGAGATTTTTCAAAAAAAATCGGCTCGAGTTTTTTCAAAGAAAAATCGGCCCGAGTTTTTTCAAAGAAAAATCGGCCCGAGTTTTTTCAAAGAAAAATCGGCCCGAGTTTTTTCAAAGAAAAATCGGCCCGAGTTTTTCAAAAAAAAAATCGGCCCGAGATTTTTCAAAAAAAAATCGGCCCGAGATTTTTCAAAAAAAAAAAATTCGGCCCGAGATTTTTCAAAAATTTCTCGGCGCGTTTTCCAAAGATGCAATTTATCCTACACATCATACCAAAACCGTCTCTCCCAATTCAATCTAATCTCTACCCAACATAGGCAACTCATTTTTATCACAAATATGTATTATAAAATCATAACTAACTCTAGTCATTTCCCCTCCCTTCCCCTATTTGTTACATCTTCCACCTCTCAGCGCTACCCCTTCAACTAAAATGTATTGGCTCTCGCAAAAACAATTCATTTATTCACAAACACATGTCTCTCTGGAATAAAACCTCAAAAACACTAACCCATTCTCGTCTCCCTCATAATATAATTCCACATCTGAAGTCTCTGCCATCTAGTCATTTTCTCTAATCATAAATCTCACACTGCACATTTGGACTACCGTACTCTTGCGGGTATGAATAAATAAATAAAAAAGCCCGAGTTTTTTCAAAGAAAACTCGAGCCGATTTTTTTTTTGAAAAAAAATTTTCTCTGAAAAAAACTCGGGCCGATTTTTCTTTGAAAAAACTCGAGCCGATTTTTTTTTGAAAAATCTCGGGCCGATTTTTTTTTTGAAAAACTCGGGACGATTTTTTTTTTGAAAAAACTCGGGCCGATTTTTTTTGAAAATACTCGGGCCGATATTTTTTTGAAAAAACTCGAGCCGATTTTTCTTTGAAAAAACTCGAGCCGATTTTTTTTGAAAAATCTCGGGCCGATTTTTTTTTTTTGAAAAACTCGGGCCGATTTTTTTTTGAAAAAAATATTTTTTCTGAAAAAACTCGGGCCGATTTTTTTTTTGAAAAACTCGGGCCGATTATTTTTTGAAAAAATTCGGGCCGATTATTTTTGGAAAAAACTCGGAGCGATTTTTTTGTTGAAAAAACTTTGAAACAGTGAATTTTTCGCTGAACCAACAAATCGGAAAACTCGGGCCGATTTTTTTTTTTGATCGAAAAATGATTCGTGGCTAAATTAGGAAGGCTTCCAAATTTTGCCAAGGATGAAGTCATCGATCAAAAAATATATATTTTCATTTTTTTTGAAGATTTGAAACTAACCATTTTTTAAGTGATGTGTCACAAATCACGGAAAACAGTGAAAAAATGATGGATCGTGCTTTTTTACTAGTAAAATATTGCGATAAAACATTTTACTGTTTCAAAACAACAAAAAAACTATTTTTTTTGTCAAAATCTATGCGTTTCAGTGAAAATCGTATTATAACTCTCCGAAAAGGCTGACTATAGATACATTGGAATATGGTACTAGGCATAGTTTTTGACGCTGAAAAGTTTAAATCAGGTCTCATACTCCGCCCGGTACCGTATAATGACAAAAAAACAAAAAAAAAATTTTTGATTTTTTTCCCTTTTTTTCTCATTTTTTACATAAGTTGAAAAAAATCTGAAAAATAGGAACAGTAGTACCTTTAAAAGTTCTACATTAAAGCTTCAAAATGGCCCAAAGTTTGTCCATTTTCATGATGTTTAAGCTGAGTTATGAATTTTTGAAAATGAAGGCCATTTTTCAAATTTTTCTGAACAAAAAATTAGGGGGTCCCGAAATCAGGGAACAAAGCCTTGCCTTGCAAAATCCCTTTGGGGTTTTTCCTACTTTTGGATATGGACAAAAGTCCACCTAGTCACAGCTCGAATCACTGTATCACTAAATCGATCATTCCTTGTTAGAGAAACGCGATGCGTTATGTCTTCAAACAATTTGCTTGTCAAATTCCAATTGCTGATAATATCAAAATACATATGCTTTATTATGGATCAGATACTGTCACACCATTGACAGATGCTGATTTTGTGGATAGTCCAAAGATTGGGGATAAACTGGAAGCAACAGTGAACATTAATCGAGATGATCCACGTGTTTCTAATTGCAATCGTTTGAAGAATCAATTAAAGGAATTCAAAGAACATCAATTTGTTCAAAAGCAGCTAAATATTCATTATATCTTTCTATTCGAACCATCAAAAATATGTATTGATGTCATTGATTATAAAAATACATCTATTGTCATTTTTGATACAACGATCGGTTTTAGAATTATTATTGACAATCTGGTGGAAATCTTCCCCTCAAGTGAGTTTATTGATTTTATTGACTATATTCAAATAGATTCCCGAAAAAATTAAAAAAGAGAACGTTATTTAAAAATTTCTTTTTTTTCAGATTCCACGTCAAAACAATTGGATGATTTCACCAAAAATATGTAAGTGATATCAATCAATATTTATCAAAAATTATAAATTTTTCAGTGTCTCTGATATTTTCGCTTCAAAAAAACCACCACCACCTCCTGAAGTTGTCAAACCAAAAGAAGAGGAGAAATCGGATTGGTTGAAATTGGTATTGATTGCTATCATGGTTGTTTTGATTGTTGCATTAATTGTTGAATGGACTTATTATGGCTTGATGATGAAGAAACATAAGAAGAAGATGCTTGAAGAGGAGAAAAAGAAAGCAGAAGAAGCGGCGAAAAAAAAGAAAGCAGAGGAAGAAGAAGCGGCGAAGAATGCTCCAGAAGAAATACCACCAGATGCAAGCTGGGTAGAAGATAACGACGAGGACGGTCATTTTTTAGGATTGAAAAGAGCACACCCAAAAAATGCTGAAGAGGCTAAGATTAGAGTTTTTTGAACTCGATATTATGAATAAAAATTTGATGTGGATTGTTTTTTTAAATGAAAATATAGAAACATTTCCTACTTAAGGCAGTCGAAAATCTGGAAGTTTCAGCCTCAAAACTCACACCAGAGCCATGAAAGTTCAACACAAAATGAGAAATTACCTACGAAACACTTGCTTTTCTGACATACCAAGAAAATTGTCCCGAATTTATTTGAGCCCTAGATTTTTTTTAATGAAAATTGATGCTCCAATTTCAAAGGTCAAATTATGCTCATTTTTCGCTCGAAAAAATGTGGCAAAAATTCTTCGAACACGAACCAAAAATCAAAATCTATTTTCGTATCATCATTGGAATTCTCGCAATTTTTCATGTCGTTTTGGGAATCGCTTGCATCTTTCAAATTTATCGAGAACAAGCCGAAGTTCAGAATTACAATGAAATCACATTTGACGCATTGATAAAAGCTCAAAATTCAATGAGAAACACTGAATTCCTACCATTTGTCATATTTGGATCATTGCTCATATTTGCCATTTTCCCATTTTATCCCAATATTGTGCTAATTATTTCAATTGGTATAGCTGAAATCATTATTTTAATTTTATCTAAAACTTGGAATTCGTTGAATTTTAAAGCACATTGCAAAGAAGTCGCTGGAAAGAAAGAGATAAAACTGGCTTGTGAGAAAATTGAAGCGGTTTTGGGATTGAATGTGCATTTGGTGTCGGCTGGCATCTTTGTGGGGCTTTTTACGATTGGTGTTTTGGTGGCTGTTGCTGTGTGAGTTTTTGGTTTTTGGTTTGACGTTTTTAACTTTTATTGGGGGTATACGCTTAGGTATTTGCCTAAAATGAGCCTTAATGCTTTTGCTTAAAAGCTTAGATTCTTATTTTAGTTTCTAAACCTTAGCCCTTCGTCTTTAGCTTATTGTTAAGCCTAAAGCGTATACCTAGGACTATGTGACTCACGATTAGGTCTCGGTCCAGGAATGGGCCTACAATTAGACCTTTGCTTAGCTCCCATGATTTTCAGCCTATATTTTTTTCCAGAATTCATAGACCAAAATCGGCTGAAAAAATTGTGGAAACCACCAGAAAATCATCACCAATCAACTCGAAATCGGATGTTATTTAACATTTTTTGTGTGAATAAACTTGTTTTTCCCGTAATTTGTAAAGGCTTTGACCCATCTGACCTATAATTTAAAATAGGTCAAAATTTCAGTTGACCTTGAGCCTCAAGCCCATATTTTTCGTATTGCTATATTTCAAAAATGCCAAAAATGCGAATAAAATGCGAATAATTTCTCGATGTCTAATTATTTTAATTGCAATTCCACAATTGATTATTGCAATTTTATGCTATAACCGAATTGAAAAAGAAGATGAAGTTGCTCTAAAACTCGTTGAAATGGTCAAATATGTGAATACCATGAAACCATCTGCGACATCGATGGAAAATACAGGATTCCTACCCGCGGCGATTTTTGAAATTTTAGGCTTCTTCGCAATTTTTCCATTTTATCCCAATATTTTTCTGGTGATTCTGATGATGTTGGCTGAAATTGTTTTGCTGGTTTTCTCGATTTTTCGAAATTTTGCCATTTTCGAATCTTGGCAAGATGAATTTCAATATAAATTCTCGCAATACAAAGGGCAGATGAGAAAACTAGAGCGCAAAAAACTCAAGAAACTTATACGAACTCGTTTCAACCGGGGGAAATTTTTGAAAAGTTAACCCCCCCCCCTAACCCATTTTTTGCTGATTTTTTATTGCAAAAAGCGTAAAATACCCAAAAATTTTCTAAAGTTAAGCCCCCTATCGCTAAAAATCCACCAGAAGCTAACTCCCCTCCCTTCGAATTCGGAGTCCCAGTTCATGTATGATCAGGCCTGTTTTCAAAATAGGCCGCTTTAAGCTTATATTAGTTTTAAAAAAAAGTTCACGTCAGATTCATTTCCGGAAATCCCAATTTTTGCCTCCCTTTTCTCACAAGGGAACTGTTTCAACTTGCAATCTAGATTTGTAATAAGATATATGTTTTCTAGTAGTTTTCGACCCGCTGATCACGATGCCGCAATTTAAAACTGCAGAACTCAACTCCTAACATGAGTTTAAAAAAATTGCGACTTTAGGAGTTCAAAACTTGGTTTTCATGAAAATTTAATAGTATAGGGTTGTTCAGGAAGGTCGATTACATAAGTTTAGAAGGTTCATACGAAAATCCAGAAGATTTTTCAAAAAAAAATGAAATCTGCAACCAGTGACCTGAATTGAATTTTTTCACCGAACAAAAAAATTTTTTCAAAGTTGATCACAAATTGAAAATGTGAAGTTTACTTAAGTAATCGAGCCTCTTGAACAACCCTATGCCATCAGATTTTTATGAAAACCATTTTTAAAGCGAGTTTTGACCTCCTAAAGTCGCAATTTTTCGAAATTTTCGAACTTTTCCACGTCATAACTCATGTTAGGAGTTGAGTTCTGCAATTTTAGATGGCGGAATCGTGATCAGCGGGTCGAAAACTACTAGAAAACATATATTTTGTTAAAAATCTAGAGTGAAAGTTGAAACAGTTCCCTTGTCAATAGATCTATGTCATCGAAACGTGTGACGTGAACCAGAACACGTGAACGTGACACCCCACTTACGCAGCACCGACCTGAGATAAGATCTCGCGAAAATCACGGTATGAAAGGCGCGCAAAAATCCGAATCCATCATTGTTTCAACCAAAAAAAGGAGAAGTGAAAAAGACTAACAAAAATGGGATTCTTGCAATCAATCGAGTGGAAGAAGAGGATCAAAATGCGTGTGTACATCAGAGCCGTCATTGGTTTGATCGGAGTCCTACACATCGGAATGGGCATTTGGGTGGCGATTCAGGCGGATGCGTGAGTTTTGGGGCGCCTTGAAAACGTTTTCCTGCATTCTGTAGATCAGGAATTACCTCCTAATCATTTGTTTTTGCAGTGAAAGTGTAGCGGTTTCACCAATCGAAGCAGCACTGATGAAGCTTGGTGAAAAAGGCTATACAGACCACAATTCCCAAGCAAAAGCTGCATTCATGCCATTCATCGTCGGCATTTTTTGCCTCATTTTTGCAGTCACCCAATTCTACGTCATGTTCTATGTCCTATTCATTCTGGTTTTGCTGGAATCGATATTTTTTGTCTGGTCGTTAGTCTCTGTTGTTGCCATCAATAATCATCAAAAAGCACATTATGATTTGATTAATTATACGGCCAAAGCAATGTTAAAAAAAGCAAAAGAAGAAGCAGAAAAAAAGAAGAGCGGTGGTTCCTCCTCTTTTCTTGACGGAATAAGACAAAAGGTTATTAATCTCGCAAATAAAGTTGGCTTGGGAGACCTTGTTGAGAAGGCTATTGACTTTGTTGGAAATTTCAATATTGCTGGCTTCAGTACTCAGGAAAAAATTAGCGATGGTACCGAACCTTATCGGCCCTAGTACCGAACTCATTTTGTCAAAGTACCCGCCCCGTCGCTGCACCAGGGCAAAAAGCGTACGGCACCCGAGCAAAATATGTTCGGTACCAGTGCATTCGGGTTTTAATGGATCCGCACCGGTGCAAAATTAGAGCATTTTGCATTGAATATACGCAGGATAAAAGCGGCTCGCCTCTTGAAAGTGAGCTTCAGAAAACAGAAAAAACATTACACAGTGTGAAAATAACATTTATTGACTGTCAAATACAGAAAAAATGACGAATGAAGGCGCCTTCGTTCAGGTTTGAAGTTATTTGATGTTGATTGCAGATTCCACGTCACGTTTGAGGAAATCTGTAAAATATAAGTGATAAATCAAAGTCTGAAGTTACTTTCAAAATTGTTGTGTTGCTTTCAACCCCTTTAATATTTTTGAGGAAATTTCGAAGACAATCAAAAATCATAGGAAATTCGTTGTAAAAATAAGGAAACTAATCCTCACAACTCAGAGAAGTTACTTCTTTTAATAAAGAATATTTCCCACGTATATATCATACTTTCTAAGTAGATTTTATATAAAAAACACTCACCGTCTAGTTTTCTTTGAAGATCGATCACGATTTGAGCCATTTCCATTGCATTGCGAAGTTCTTCAGGGTGTTTTCCTCGTTTCGTTTCTTTTTTTGACTTCTTCGTTGTTACACATGATATTTCAATCGTTTCGATCTGAAATCAATCATTGAACCTACGGTTTTTCTGAGTTTTCGAAAGACAATACATAAAAATCAAACCTGAAGAGAGCGCCAAACATGTGTTCCTTCAAATATGTCGTCTTTTCGCCTTTTATATCTGAAAATTGTTGGAGCACAGTTTGTAAACTGTAATTTTCCTTGTCGAATAGCAATTTTCGACTATCTGAAAACAAAGAATTACATAGAAACCTAGAAAAACACACGAAAAAGCGTTGAAAAGAAACAAAACAAAAAACCAAAAAAACATGTTTTTTCTGCTTCTGCGTACTACACACACAAGTTTACGCGCAATTGCACACTTTCTTGTGTGACCCGAGATGGCTTTTTCGTTTGAGACTACGAAAAGTACGGTTTTCATGAAAACTAGCGCGATATTCGGAATGAGAATCAAGAATCGAGCATAATCATATGTAAAACTTTTTCGAAAACACATTTCAACAAAGTTATTGAATATCGGGGTGAAAATCATCGCTTTTGAGAAGAAGTTTATCGAAAATTGTCATGATTTTTGTTCTAGAAACGTATGATAAGATTTTGATATTGAATTTTCGATGAAAGCATTGAGAACAGACGTATTTCCCTATTGAAATTGGCGATAGATGAATTTGATGTTGAATTTTCACATTTTCATAGGAAAAATACCAAAAAACATCACAATTTTATTTTCCAATGGAAAATATAACATTTTCTTTCATTCTTCATTCTTGAAATGTCGAGTTTTTCTCTTTCTTACGTCGCAAAAACTCCAAAAGTAGAAATGAGAAAACTATGTGAAAATTGACTGGCACACGCCGATACTGTGCCGCTAGACATTCGAAGAAATATATTTTTTTCAAAAATTATGTCAAAGATTAAAAGGGTTCTCAACGTTTTTCGCTTCAGTCGTATACGACACACCGCACTCAAAAAATCGCTAAGTATTTTTTTGCACAAGAGCGGAACTTTAGTTCGGTACCAGTGCATAACCCTATTTGTGTAATAATCACTGTTGAAAATTTCGCAAGGGTACCGAACTTGTTCGGTACCAGTCCAAAGTGCAAAAGGGTTCGGTACCAAGGCAAAAAGGTATCGGTACCGTCGCAAAACGTCGAAAAGTCGCGGCACCGTCGCTAATTTTTTCCTGAGTATTAAGGATATTGCACAATTTGGCGACGGTATTCTCACTATTGTAAGAGGTATATTACCGATCGATTCGTTTATACAAGATATTACGAAGGATATTCCATTTGTGAAAGATATATTCGGCGAAGCAGATCTTAAGAAGGCGGCCGAAATCCTCAGCGAAAAACCGGAGCTTCTCAAGAATTATGTTCAATTGAAAGAAATTCTTGAATTTGGAATGGTTGTGGCTGGAACTGGACTTGGATTATCTGTTGCGACATTGCTTATTGATATTGGGTTGATTTTGTGAGTTTTTTAGAGCAAATTTTATTGAGCATTAAAGGTTGCTGGTACTTGCGGAGGAATTTTCGCAGATCAGAATCTAGATTCTCTAAAAAAATATTTATATTCAATATTTTTGTTGCAGCTTGCACAAACCTGGTGGCAAGTTCGCCGATCCGACCGAAGGCGATTCGCAAAAATCGGACGTCAGCTCGAAGAACAGCAAAAAATCGACTTTGGAGAGTGGAAAATCTCCAGCTGGCGGCGGAACCGCCATGAACAACTATCCACCACCACCAATCAATAATTATCCACCACCGCCGGTCAACAATTATCCGAGAGCACCACCGCCGCAACGAAAATTCAATAATAACAACAACGCCAATCACAACAACAATTTTGGCAGAAGACCACCCGGAAATCCACAATACAATCCATATGTTTGAGAAAATGAGTCGGGAAATTTGGAGCTTTTTTTACTTGTGATTTTTCTACTTGTTTTCTTTCAATGAAAGATTTTTTGAAGCCTAGAAGCCTAAAAAAGGCATTTTTCAAAATTCTACAAATCAGTTAACAATAATTTATTTTCCGACGCAAAAAATCGATAAAAATCCAAATTCAGAATACAAAAAAAATCTAGAAATTCTGAGAAATCTCAAAAATCCTTTTAGGTTTATCATACGTCACGTTCAGCGCGAAAAATTCACGTTTTCACGTGCCTCTTTCCTATTTTCAAGGTCAAACAAACAACATTCCCAAATATAATGAAAATGAAAATGAAAATCGAAACGAATATGAAGATCAATCTAATCATTCGCATTCTTCTAATAATTACTGGAATTATCCAAATTATTCCGGCAATTTTACTAGTTATTGAGAATTATCGACAACATCCGATTGTTGAAGAATTCAAAATGGTGATTCAAGATTATTACGAAAAATATGATGAATTTCAGGTAAGCCTAAAACCCTAGTCCAGTCTCTAGAAACATAAATTTTCAAGCTAAATTCGAGCCTAAATCTAGATGAGCCTGATATAATTAGGCCTGCATTTTTTAAGGGACTTTGAATTATTAGACTATTAGTTTGTCAAGGCCATAATCAAAGGTCTTTTTAGGCCTATTTTTTTCAAGCCTAGGCTTAGTTCATTTCACCTTCAGAATCTCCCAAATTCCAGGCCACATTCTCCAACACAGCATTCCTTCCATTCATCTGCGCGGCTCTAAGCCTCTACCTGGCCATTTTTCCATATTTTCCAAACATCATCATCATTCTGCTAATGCTCTTGGCCAATTTAGCATTCCTCATTTTACCACTTGTGCGGATTTTCAAAATGTCCAACAAACTACCGACACTTTGCTATATTTCCGATTTACCGCCTGAGCCTCAACCAAAAAGACGAATTTTTGGAATGAGGTATGTTGTTGCGATGATAGACCCCAGATACACTGCGTGGTACGAAATGAAAGAGTTGCGCGAGAAAAGAATCGCAAAATTGAGAGGGCCTTGCGAGAGAATTGCGGAGATTTTCGAGATCGACAAAATTTTGCTCTACACTTCTATCACCATTTTTGCACTCGTTTTTGTATTTTTCCTGTTCCTGTGAGTCAACAAATTGTTATTTTTCTCAATTTTTCCGGAAATTTATTTCAGGATGATTTACACACTCGCAAAGAATTACCCGAAAAAATCGCCGGAAAATTTGGAATCGCAGAAAAATATGAAGGAGACTGTTTGATTTTCGAATAAATTTGTTGTTGCAAAAAAGGGGCGTGGCTTGAGAAATTTTTTTAAGTTTGAAAAAAATTCCATGCCACCTGGCAATTTTCTTTTGCTCAAAAAAGTGGGCGTGGCTTCCGGTGCTTTTCCACTTGGCTGAATTACAACATTTTTTTTGACTCACAGAAAATTATTTTTTTACGATTTCTCATGTTGCCAACGCTTCAAGGTAAGGTTTATTAAACTACAGTTTTCTCTAGGTACAGTAATCTGTACCTATACTATACTTACAGTACCCTCCAAACCCTCCTCCTCAACTCGCTGGCATCGCTCAGCTCGCCGTCTCTCACCAGTCCGCCTCCCACCAGTCACAGTAACCCACCCGCCGGACCCCGCTCCATCTACAGTACCCCTCAAAACTACCGTACCCTCCCTATGCATAGATAACCGGTATTTTGAGGGGTACTGTAATAAGAGCGAGAGTGAAGAGACGCAGACGCAAATGGAGAAAATGTGCACGGCGTTTCGGAATTTTGCGCGAATTCATGGTGAGCTTCACAGAAAACGACAGAATTATTTTGAGAAGCGCGGACTGGAAAATGCGATTCAGTTGTGAGTTAGACTAAGTCTGGGCCTAAAAATAAGCGTAATTTAAAGGAACATCGATCAACAAAATGCGAAAATTGGACAGACTATTGAATGTTTGGCGGTTTGTGAGGAGATCACCAAAAAGGTAGGGGATTTCTAGGCCTGAAACTTTGAGCCTAAAAACAAGCCTAAATTTAGGATTTCAGTACAATTGCTCACTAACAAATTCCTTCCAAATTCTCATCGACGAATTCGCCGCCAAAACTTTTGAACTCACCAGTCTAACCTCTCAAGTTCACCTAACTTGCCCCAATCAAACAACAGTCCCGCAAAGTCGCGAGAAATCTCGGAAAATTGCCGAAATCGAGTGGCGAATTGAGCGCGAAAAATCGCGGATTCAAATTTTGGACGGCAAGATTCAGGAGATTTTTGACAAGAGGAAATGAGTGGGATCTAGAAATTTTTGAGAGAGTCAGAGAAGTAAAGAACGTCACTGAACATGAGAGATAAAAAAAATGTTTCACGTGAAAAATAACTTATCAAAACTAGGTCACGTTTTCACTATAAAAAGTATCCGCAAATTCATTTTGATCATTTTGTTTTGTAAAATAGAAAAATAGCTAATCATGGTGGTCAAAGTCGGATTGAGCAAGTTTTCCAAGGTGAGCTACTGAAACTAGTACTGTAGGATACAGTAATCCTGAATTTTGCAGTTCGGAATAATTGGATTGGGTGTGCTGGTATTGCTGGCTGGGATTATGGCGGTGGTACAGTGTGTGAGGTGAGAACTGTATCTACACACAATTTAAAATCAATCAAGGATTTATTCATTTCAGAGAAGACTCTATGATAAAAGAGGCCACCAAAGAAGATTCGAGTGTTCCACAAGGATCTGAGAAATTTCTGAAGCCTCCACCTACAGATATAAAAACAAATTCAATGTTACCATCAGTATTCGCCCCATTTTTCATCGCAATTTCCTGCCTGCTTTTCGCATTTCTCCCAATTTATTACATCCTCTTTCCAATAGCTGTTTTATGTCCGATCGGAATTGGCTTATCAATTTGGTCCATTATAATTTGTATCCAACATATCAAAGAAACCACAAAAATGTTGGAATTATCAGCTGTGATTGAAAATTTTGTTGTAATATTTATAGATATGTTGAAATATTTAGTGTAGATTATTGACGTAGATTATTGACGGGATGATGTTGACAATGTTTTGGATCACTGTAGCTCTAGGACAAATGACAAAATCGACTATACATATTCCTACAATCTAGCAACTAGAAGACTTGATTACTTTTATTAATTTTTCACAAAAATTCTTGATCGATTGTTCAATTTTCCGGGCTACTATATGAAATCATGATGCTTACAAATAATGTTTTTCAGAGAAGAACTGATGCTACCCTTCTTTTTCAAGACAATAAAGTCACATCCCGTATATATAAACGACAAAAGTGTGGAAGAGAAATATATAAACCATTCAGTGTTGCCATCAGTATTCGCCCCATTTTTCATCGCAATTTCTTGCCTGCTTCTCGCATTTCTCCCAATTTATTACATTCTTTTTCCAATAGCTGTTTTATGTCCGATCGGAAATGGCTTATCAATTTGGTCCCTCATAACAATGACAAAAAAATTAATTTTCAACTCAATAATAATTATAGCGTTTGAAAAATTTGTCCAAACTCGGGATGTCAAAGGAGACAAAGATGTTCTTGATCTTTCAAAAGACTTAGAACTTCTTTATATTATGAATCTAGTCATTATGATTATTTGTATTATTTTGTGTGTTAAAGACACAAAATCCACTAAAAATGAACAAAAAATGAGTTTGTTACTCATTCATAACACCTTTCAAGTAATCGAAATTCATAAAAATCAAGGAAAAATGTTGAGTCTGGCAAAAGTGAAAAAAACAAATTAATTGTTTTTCAAATCGCTCAGCCGACGGGAATTTCTAAATTGTGTGCACACAACGAAGCAATAGAGCGCACATACTGTTTTTGTCATTTGAAAATAAATGCGGGAAATCTGTTTTTTTCCAGTGGCTGATGTGTCTTTAATGCATTTGAATTGGCTGCACTCTTCATTTTGTAAGTGTTTCACAATTTTCATTGCTCATAGAAAAAAAACATATGTTTTCAGAAAGAATTTACCCTGTCTTGGTAGTGGTAGAACAAAAACTGGCGCTGCAACGTCGTCTGGATCACCAAGTGGAACTAGCGCAGAATCGGCAACTGTTTATTAGAGAAATGAACTTTTCGAGAAAATAACTTGCTAACTTTTATGGAGCATCTTTGACTACTGTGGGTATAGTAACTTAGTTTTTGTGAATAGAAATTCACATTTTTCTGGCCACGGTACCTACAAGCTTTTTTTAAATGACATGAAAAACCGTACCATGGATGTCTACGTGGAAACCTGTTCATTTTCCAGAAGAGAAAAGACGCCTCAAAAACAAAAATAAATTTGCAGAAAATAAAAAACACTGCATTGCTCAGGTTTTAGAGACATTGCTTATATTATACCACATTTCCCATATTTTAAAAGTATTGCTCACCCTTTAAAAATCTTTCTAACATATAAAAATCCATCCCAAAATAAACTGACTTGAAATTCACGAAATCGACCAAAAAATCTCAATTTTCCATCCAAAATAATCTTGATTCACTCGAGAAAATCTGGAATGTGAATAATTTGGGTAAAAAAAATGTTTCATTTTGAGAAAAAAAGCGGACACCGCCCAAAAACACCAGAACCACAAAAAAATGATTATTTTCTGCCTCTCTTCCCACTATTTCTCTCGCACTCTCTCACTTTCCTACACTGCCTCGTTGCCAATGTTGCAAGTGTGCTCCACTGCAATTTCTATTTTTTTCCGGTTTCGCTGGGAAATCATTCAAAATTTCAAGTTTTCAGGTGAAAATCGAGTGGAATTTGATAGTGAAATCGAAAAATGCACAATTTTTGAAGGTTCTGATGGAAAATCCGGTGAAAATGGTGAGCTTTTGACGTCATTTTGATCACTTTATAGAATCGCGTAAGTAGAATCGAACCCGTCGAAAATGCTTACAATGAATTGATTGGAATTCATTTGGTGAGCATCGTACGAGTAATTATCAAAGAAAATACTATTTTTTTCTCAAATTTTTTTCGGTCAAAATTTGAAATTCTGGAATTTTCGAGCCGAATTTCTAAGATAAAAATTAATTTTAATATTTTTCTAACTGTTTCCGCCCCTAGTGGTTTCTTTCAGAAAATATTTGAAGAGATTTTTTTGAGAAAAACAAAAATACTCACCATTTTTTCGCCATTTATCTGCCATTCCCAATTATTGTCGAGCCTATTTTGATCATTCTGCAAAAAAACCATTGTAAATAACGTTTTCTCAGCCAAAAAACAGAAAAAAAGAAACTTTCGAAAAAAAATAAAAAACAAATGTTTGTCCGAGAGAAGTCCACAGACGTGTGGTTTCCTAGGCCACGGCCACACATTTGTCAGCAAATTTCTCTTTTTATCGAAAACTGTTTGTGTTTTCACGCATTTTTCGCTGCGAATCTCTGGAAAACAGCTCGAAAATTGTTGTGAGATCCAGAAAGCCGTCAGAAATCTATAGAAACAGAAATGGAGTTAGTAGAACTCATGAAAAATTCAAATTTTGTGATTTTCAGCTTGAAATGTTGATGAACAATTGGATTTCAACGTGGGAAACTTTAAGGATTTTGGATTTTGAGTGGGATTTTCGATGATTTTTGAGTGATTTGAGGAATATAAAAGCGATTGGTGAGTTTTTTGGGGAGGGGTTTCGGAAAAATTGAAAAAATCGATAAAAAATTAATTTTTTAAAAAATTCTGTAAAATTTGAAAAATATATGAAAATTATGAAAAAAATCTTCAAAAATTGAAAAAAGTTAGGCTAACTCATCAAAATTTAGTAAATTTGAGTGAGTGAGTGATAATATTGAATCGTTGGAGCTCCTTGTAATTGTGAGCACTTGTAGTGGTGGTGGTAATCGTCTTAGAGTCAAGAGTTTGAAAAAACATGTTCAAAGAATCAAACATCTTTTGATATTCAAATCATACCACGCCCAGGGTGAGGCATATGCACGACGCCAATAAAAATTTACGGAAATTCACCCCGCCAATTTGAGATTTTCTTGAAAAACAACAAATTTTTGCTTGTTTTTCCGTTAAAAAGTGGTATTTTTCAGTCGAAAAGGTTGTTTTCACCTCGCCAAAAAGTTTCAAAACTCACACCGCCAATTTTCAAAGTTAATTTGCACGAAGCTGGGCGTGGTATGATTCAAATTTGAAAGGTTTCACTGTAGTTTTTTGAGCAATAAACGTTGGGAACTTTTTTTTCTCAAAAGAGCATACATTATTTCTTGCTCAGACTCCACCTTTAAATTTTTTTTTACGTGAAAAAAAACTTGTCAAAACCAGGTCACGTTTTCTTCTCAACAAAAAAATGCCCATTCATCATTTTTTGAAACATTTTTTGTAACAAATATCAAAAGAAATGGTCAGACTCGCCAAAGCCCGCATTGAATTAAACAAAATTCTCAAAGTGAGTTACGAAAAAAAATAATGGTACTATAGGTACAGTAATTTTGCAGTTCGGAATGATTGGTTTGGGAGTGCTGCATTTTGTGGTTTGGATTTTGGCAGTGGTGCAGTGTGTGAGGTGAGAGATAATGAAAAAGATCAGAGGTTCGAGGTGAAGCTTTGTTTTGCAGACAAGGAATATTGATAGAAAAACATACAAATATAAAAGATGGACCAGTATTATCCAATGTAATGTTCCCAACTCCATTTGCTCCATTTTTCGTCGCAGCAGCTTGTATAGCTTTCGCATTCCTCCCGATGTATTTCATGATATATGTGCTAACTCTTCTAACAACAATCGAAATTGGGCTATTCATTTGGCCACTTGTAGTAACTGTGGCCAACATGAAACTTCTTTCAGAAATCGTAGAGTTCTGGAAAACGAACATGGATAGAACCAGTCAACAACAGAAAAAAGACATTTTTAAAAAAGCCATTGATTTTTTGAATAACGAATTAGAACCGCTTTACATTATGGATTATGTTGTTTTGGGAATCGGGTTATTTGTGGGTGTTTTCACGATTTTATTGATTGGATTTCTTGCATTGTAGGTTCTTTTGGGTGGGAAAAAAAAAATTTTTTTTTTTTTTTTTTTTTTAGCACAAGTACACCTAGCGCTGGCGGTGGTGGATTTTTTGGCTCGAAACCTCGTGCAGCAAAGTCGCCGGGAACACCGAGTGGAACTGCGACTGATTCGGCGGCTGTTTAGCATAGAACCTTTTTTTCTGATAATAAAATATTTCAAGAAAAAAAGAACCCACAGTAATTCTGGTTATTACTTCTGTACCTAGTTTTGTGATCTTTCTAAAGACCAAAAATTTCAAAAAGTCTGGTTTTCGCGCCAAAAAAATAACTAAAACTAGGTCACGTTTTCACTATAAAAAGTGCCCCCATCGTCAGTTTAATCAGTTTTTCGTCTTCAAATAATTGGGCAAATAAGAAAGTGACAGCAAAAATTGGAAAAGGATGGTTGCCAAAGCGGAATTGGGTAGTATTTTCAAGGTAAGCTAGGGGTACTGTAGAGTACGGTAATCATATTGATTTTTTGCAGTACGTCATGATTGGATTGGGTGTGTTGCATTTGTTGATTGGGATTTTGGCAGTGGTTGAGTGTGTGAGGTGAGGATTACTGTAGAATTGAATCGGCAGGGTACTGTAGATCAAAGTTGAAAACTGAAAAAAACTGTAACTCTAGCTTCCACGTAGTTCAAATCTAGCAAGCAATTTCGCCCAAGCTTAATAATATTTTTTTCAGAGAAGGAATAGCAATTAGTGATATGTTTCCAACATCCACAGCTTCTTCTGTTTATAATACAATGCTTCCATCACCATTCGCTCCATTTTTGGTTGGAGCAGTTTGCCTGGTTTTCGCATTCATCCCAATTTATTATATCCTTTTTGCCATCATTCTTCTTGATCTAATCGAAATTGGACTTTTCGTCTGGCCAATGATTTCTGTATTGCAAATGGAGGATAAAAAGACTATGTCGGGGATAAAATTAGTTGTTGCTTTTCAACTGACTATCTCTGGTGCCTCTTCTGCACAGACCACTGCGGCTTCAGAGGCGCTCAAATCATTAGAAGGCATCTACGTGTTCAATAAAGTGGTTTGTGGAATGGGAATTTTTGCGGCAGTTGCAACAATTCCAGTTGCCGGATTCCTTGCTTTGTAAGCTTTTTTTCTGCTCTGCAAGTTCCCCGCAAACTGTTTTGTTTTTTAGCAAAAACAGACCAGGCGGTGGTGGTGGATCGTTCAGCTCAACTCAAACTTCATGAATCGATTTTTGAATGAACATTTTTATCATGGAAACTTTTTTAGTCTTGTCTCATTTGCTAGATTTGTGGTTATGGTAGTTACAATAACCTAGACCGAAAATGTTTCCCAATAAAATTTTTCTTGCGTGACCCTATTTCTCCGCCATTTTTTCGCCACTATAAAACCAAATTCCTCAGCCAGTTTATTTATTTTTCAAGGTTTTTTCTAGATTTTCAACTTCTGGCTAATTATCGATAAATAAGATAACATCAATAATGAATGCAAAACCTGATGTACACGTTGGATTTAGGGTAATTACCGTACTCTTGGGGTACTGTATATCCTTCTAGCTACCGTAATATTCGATTGATTTTTGTTTTGCAGGTTGGAATGTTCCTTTCCGCCGGTTTTCATTTGTTGATCTTGATTGCTGTGATCACCGAAATTGCGAGGTATGAAGGGGTACTGTAGCTACAGTAATCCAGAGTTCGAAGCGCTTTTTGAGTTCTGATGCTGAATTTTATTGAGTTCCTGCGAAGATTGAAGTTTTTTGGTAGATCATTTTAGGGTACCATAGTTAGCATCTGGGCTACTGTAGCTACAGTAGTTCAAATCTAGAAAGTTCGCTGCGCCTTGAAATTTTGAATAAGACAGTGCCTAATTTACTGAGCTAAGGGTCACAGGTTCGAAGGGTGCCTGCGAAGATTTTTTTCGTATATTATTTTTGGGTACCCCAATTTAAAACCGGGTTACTGTAGCTTACACTAAACCAAACCTAGCACATTTGGGTATCATTCGATGCGCCTTGAAATACGGTATCCAAAAATGTGAATTAAAAATTTCAGAGAACACATAGCAGTCAGCGAACTAGAAGATATGGTGATTATCAGAAAGAAGGGAGAGAAAATCTACCCGGTGATATTTTATCCGGCCATTTTCCCGCCCTTTCTCGTCGGCCTCATAACGCTCATCTTCGGATTGTCTCGAATCTATTTCCTACTCTTCATCATTCTCGGTGTATCGATGATCGAGATTGGCATCGCCATTTATTCGCTGACAGAAATCGCGGATGTTCGCGAGAAGATGAAGCCGTTCTTCTTGCTGGCCGACCTGGTTCGAAGGGGTGAAAATGAGTTTTGCGATTTGTTGAAAGATTTGGAAAATATTTTGCTGGTCAATTCGATTGTTTGCTATTTTCAAATTGCGATGGCAATTGCCACTTGTGTCTTGGTGATTGTTATTGCGATTATGAATACACCTGGCAGAGGAATTGGTGGGGATGAGAAAAAAATGGAGGAAGGAGAGGAGAGTGAGGAAACTTGAGAATATGTGTCTGATCTTAAGTTTTCACATAAAGTTTTGTGTATTTTCAAAAAAAACTTTATTCAAGCTTCACTAGAATACGTTCCAGTTTTCTGACCTTTCCTTGTTCTGTATTTGAAAGCGATTATTCCGGCAAATAAAACACATCCAATCGTCGCAAATAATCCAATCGCCGAAAATACAACATTTGTGATATAAATCGATTCAACATTCCCAACAACCTCACAAAATTCATTCAAGCGAAAATCGCGATTCTCCTCACAAACATCAAAAACCAGATTGAATTTGGGAAGTTGGTTGAGAATTCGAATCACGGCAATTATAAAGAGGACTTGTTCCAGAATTGTTGAACCAATTACAACCAAAATCATGAAATATTCTTGCATGAAAAATGTGAATGCAAACGATGCTCCAGTTACGATGAATGGGAAGATTAGCAGCGAAATAATTGTGGCCGTGTATTTGAATTTGATTTTGTCGATTTTCCAGCCATATACTTTTTCGAATTCTTCTAAAACATCATTGACTGCGATCGCCTCCCTAAAAATATTATATTTTTGTTGAGGATACCCCAATTTGCCGTAGTTAGACTACTGTAGCTACCGTAACTCGGGCTCACCTAATAGATTGTGCCAAATATATGAAGCCAAGCACCAAATGAACTACGGCCACAACGACCATTCCAATCTGAAACAAAACATGTGGACTACCTACAGTAGTCGAGGATACTGTAACTCACCTTAAATCCTTTTTGTAGACTAACTTTCTCAAACATCTTGATGTTATCTTATTATCGATTTTAGTACGGTTTTCTGGGAAATGAAATAGTAAAACTGAATTGGAACTTGATTTTATAGTGAAAAAAATTTCACGTGGCATAGAAACAACAATTTTTGGAACATTTTTGTTTCAATGACCTACAGTATATTCATTAGACATTTTGATTATCAGAAAAATTTTGGATCAGGATTGTCTTCGAGCCGGGCACATCATTCGATGAAATTTCTCAAACAGAATGTGACAGTGACAGTGATTCATTAAAAAGTCAAAATTCCATTTAAAAAATTTTATTAGACATCTTGCTCATCAGAAGTGCCACTGGTCCTGGCAGGTTAACCAAAAATTGACCAATTTTTGGCCAAAAACCAAAATTAGTCGAATTTTGACCAAAAATTGATCAAAAATATTTATTGGCCAAAATATGGTCAGAAATTGGTCAAAAAATTGGTCGAATTTTGTCTAAAAATCAGTGAAAATTTTAATTGTGAAAAATTTCGAAAATCTTAATGTTGCTGGGCAGACGTGTCGTTTTGCGGCTTTTGGTGAAGTTAGGTTGATGAATTTCGTTCTTTTTCTACTTGTTAATCAATAAATAGGAGTAAAATACTTCGTTTGGTGAATGTTGGCACCACTCACACCAATTGCACCATTGGCGCAAATTTTAGCCCAAAATCTTCAACTAAAATCAGTTTTGACTTATCTTGGAGCTGTTTGATACCAAGCAGAGACCTATATAGAATCTATCAGTTGCATTGATTGATCCTTGATTTATCAAGACCTATGTAGGGCTCATAGAAATCAGAAGTATTGGGTTCAGGGGCAATAAATTCCATTATTTTTTGGAAGAATATTGTTGTGATGGATTTTTTCCCAAAAACGTGAACTCAAAAACTTCTACAGATAGAGATGATTTTTATATCATTTTACTCAGCGTGAAATTCTGAATCGAATGGTTCGAACTATTTATCACCAAACACTACTAATTGGTGCGCGAAAACAAGAGATTAAAGGCGCACATATTCATGCAATGTGGTCCTCTCTCTCCAGGTGTGATTTTTGTAGGGCTGATGGGGCGAGGGGGCCGCCCCATCGTGAAGCTGCAAAGGATTTCACAGCTGGAAAATCGTATTATATTCCACATCGTGCGGTTATCAAGAATGACTCGGCTACAACGAAAACTCGGATTGTGTATGATGGATCTTCGAAACAACGCGGATGTTTATCACTCAATGAATGTGCATTCGCTGGTCCCTCTATTCTACAATCAATTGTTGGTATACTTTTACGAGCAAGGACTAGGAAATTTCTTGTCACGGCTGATGTGGAGAAAGCATTTCATATGGTTTCTCTACAGGAGCAGTGCAGAGATTTGACTCGGTTCTTGTGGTTAAAAGATATCAACAAGCCGCCGACATCGAATAATATTATCACTCTTCGATTTGCTCGAGTTCCATTCGGATTGACTTCTTCTCCATTTTTGCTGGCAATGGCTATCACTTGGTATTTGGAGAGAAATCCGCATCAGATCAACGAGGCAGACATGTCGCTGCAGGCCGGGCCGGCCGGGCTCAGCCCGAAGTAAACACAAAAAATCGGGCTTTTTTCAGCCGAAGCCCGCTTTTAACATGTGCGGCTTTCGCTGGCCCGATTTTGGGGCCCGCTTTTTTTTTCTTCGATTTTTTTTCATTGAAAAAATGCGTTTTTCGTGGTCAAAAAGGAATTTTTAATGAATTTCAAACATTGTAAAGAGTAAAAATAGTAAAATAATATGTGTGTGGAAGATAATTCACTTGAATTTTGAAATTTTTTTATTTTTCGATTTGTTACTTATTACTATTTTTATAAGCAAAATATCACATTCTAATTTGAGTTTTCACTCATATAAATACAATCCAACATCGAAAACATCAAAAAAAAATTCTGAAATTGGCCATTCAAAAATATTGTTTGGGCGAGGCCAACCCGGCCGCTTTTAAATTTTCATAAGGCCGGGCCAGCCGGGCCCGTGATAAATTGAGCGGGCTGTAGGGGCCCGAATTCAGCAAAAACGACATGTCTGAACGAGGAAATTCGAAAGAATTTGTATGTGGATAATGTTATTATGACTTGTGATGACGAGGTGGAACTTATGGATTTATATCAGAATTCGAAGTCGACGTTTGATGGTATGAAGATGAATCTTCGAGAATATCAGACAAACCATCAACCGACTTCGGAGCTGATTCCTGAGAAAGATCGAGCTGTCGCTGGACCAGTTAAGCTTTTATTGTTAGGGCTTAAGTGGGACCCGATTACCGATCAGATCTCCATTAAGATTCCACTTTGTGATTTCGAACATCCATCGAAACGCCAATTGGTTGCCTTTTCTGCATCTCGATTTGATCCACTCGGAATTATTGCACCAGCGATGACTCGTATCAAATCGTTGATTCAAGATGTATGGAAAGAAAATTGCGCATGGGACGAGAAGATTCCAATCGATTTATTGCCAGAATGGAGAATTATAGTGGAAACCGATGTTGAACGAGAATTCGTTTTACCTCGGTGCCCTATTTCTACACGGCCTTATCGAATTGTGATCTTCTCGGACGCGTCAAAACGACACACTAGAAAGTCTCTGGAAGATCTGGAATCGCGATTATTTGACACAACTCGCCATCAGCTCCAACAAAAGTCAACGATATTCAAAAGGAACACCAACAGTTGGACAAGTTGTATTGATCACGGACAAAACTCCACGTCACACTTGGAATATGGGTCTTATTGTCGAACTCGAAACAAGCAAGGATGGAGAAATTCGAAGTGCTCAAGTCAAAACACAAACTGGAATATTCAGAAGATCGATAAATCAGCTTATTCCACTCGAAGTATCCACCAAAGATCCAGAAAATCTAGTGAAGAAGTCACCAGTTCCAAGAATTCAACCCAGTCGAGCTTGCAAGGAAGGAGTCAGCTGTTGAAATCCATGAAGATGAGATTGTTCTCCGTAAAATTCTGGTTTGATTGATATATAGATGACTGAAATTGATTGACAATGAGCTGAAATCGATCGACCTAAAAAACACCAAGTCTCAACTTGAAAATGTGTGTTTGCCACGTTGTGTGCATTTTCCCTTTCGACGCCTGTGCCTCGTCGGTTTCTCATTTTCATGACTATCTATTCACAGCGAAATGACCAGTTTTAGACGGGCTTTCAGATGAGCGCAAGACATCATGATGAAATTGGCGTTCTGACTCATAAACCACGAACAAACGAAATCCGCGAAAAAAATTGAAAAAAAAGAAAAGAAAAAAAAATTGTTTTTTAAACTCCCTCCAATTTGTATACGGTAGCTGCGAAAAGTGTGCAAACACCGCCGCTCTTCATTTTCGGGGAAGAACAGTATTTAGACACACCAACAACACTTTTTTACATTTCTGATTAAAAAAACAAAATGTTCCACAAGAAAATAATTTATTTCTTTCAAGTTTTAAACATTTGATCCTTTGTTTCCTTTCTTCATGTTTTTTTGTTTGCTAGCCTTTTCCATCTTCTTATTTTGTCCATTTTCAACTGAATGATTTTGACCGATTTTTGCTTGTTTCATTTTTGGCCAAATGAAGAATTTAATACCAATTCCAACACCAATCAAAACTATAATTGATACAATTATAATTACAATCATCAAAGTATTATCCTTTTCTTCAACATGACTTGTTTTCTTCTCTTCCTCATCTTTTTTTCCTTTTTTTTCTTTTTCTTTCGGTCCATCAATATCATAACATCTTCCTTTTCTGTCTCGGGGAACACAATAACTTCCGCCGGGGCAATCCCAATTGTAATAACAATTTTCTAATTCGCGATACTTAATCTTCAAGTGTTTTTGACCGAGTGTGTGGTAGTATCCATCTTTGCAAAACATTGTATATTTATTTGAGTGGTCTGGCCATGTTGCATCACATCTTTCATTAGTTTTGAAAATATGATCAAGAGAGATACCGGGACAGCATTTACCCTGCAACAATTCATATTCTGACAAAATCACCTTTTTGGCTATTGATGAATTCGAAAATATGTATGCGATCCGCGAAAGAGAAAACCAAATAGCAGCTGCTATTATTTTGGTTTTTTTGCAAAGATTCGAAAACTTTCGGGTTGGTATTGATTTCAACTTTTTTTAACGAATAAACTTTTTTAAAGGGGGGGGGGTAAGACGACAAAATGTTATTTGCTCAATGAATCGGGCTCCCTTTGAATAGTAAAAGCCCCAGGGGATTTTTTCTCGAAGGGCCTAAAAAGGTCCGAAAAAAATATTCCATGAACTTTTTTCAACGTATAGCGTGGTACCTAGTTTATGGAACATTTTTTCTGGGCGTTTCCAGAAAAAATCCCTTGGAGGTTTTACTACTTTTGGGGAGCCTTTAACTTTGCGACAAAAAAATTTTGTCGTCTTACCCCCCCCCCTTTAAATAAATAAGTACAGGGTGACCCATAATTATTGTCGCGTGAGTTGAACTCGTTAACCTGAGTTCTGCATTTTCAAAACGGAATTAGATAAAGTTTGATTTTGATAAATTTTATCTTAAAGGTTATATAATGAAACTTTTGTATTCTATTTTGATCATATTAGCTCTGCTGGGTTATAGTGACAGCGGTAAAGTAGAGATAGATTTCCAAAGATAATTTTTCAGAAAAAAATTAGTTTTTGGGACTTTAGGTGTAAATTTTATGAGAATGGTGAATACTGACTATGCCCAAAAGCTTTTATATCCTAAATTCGGTCCCTGAAATGGGTTTTTGCACAATACCAAAGCTGGAAATTATCAGAAAAACATAGGGACCTTCATTGTAGAAAACGCTCGAAATTCATGGTTTTGGGAGTTTTGCTAACTCCAAGTCAGATTCGAGCTAAGTTTCAGATCCCAAAATACTTTGTTTTAGTGCATAGAATAGGCATGTTCACAAAAAGTTCCACTCAAAAACTCATACACGATCTCAGAATGGATTTTGCTGTTTTTCTTGATTTTTCTCGATTTTTTTTTGAAATTTCGGAAAAGACGCTTGACTTTGGAGCCCTGAAACAAGTGAGAAGCGGTAAACTCTTGCAAGATATGCTATTATATCTTGTTCAGGACATCAAAAAATGTATTAAAACATAATTTCCAAATACATATGTTCAGTCTGATTCATTTCTGGAACTTGTAAAGAGAAAAAATTGGCTTAAAATCGCAAAATTCAAAGTTTTTGGGGTTGGTGAAGGTGGTGGGTGGGAAAAAAAATGTGTTGTCAGTATAGTTTTGAAAATCTGTTAGTAATCATGTTTTCTAAAATAGCCGACCTTAACATTGTTAAAATTCGAAATCTTGTTGTACCTACAGAGGTTCAAAGTGGCGACAATAATTATGTGTCACCCTGTAATGTTTTGCGAATCCCTTTATAAGAACACATACCTTGTGACACACTCCGATTTCATTCCATTTCGATGTGCAGTCATCCCCATGGACGTCACACTTATCTTGAAACTCAGTGGTTATCCTATAAGATGGACAGTTCGGAAAGTCGTCATCCGCGTAAATTAGGAGAGAAAAAAGAAAGACAAAAAGAATAGTCGCTTTCATTCAAGTTTTTAACTAAGACTGATTTTCCGTTTTGTTTTGGACTTGAATTAGTTATAAACTAGGCCACGTAACTAATTCATAAATAATTTCTGTCTTAACTATTTTTTATTCTTCGGCAACGTCAAAGTCCAAAAACGGCTCTAGAAATATACATCAAAAGTTTGTTAATTTCGAAAATGTTCTCACTCAAAGCAAGTACCTACAGTAATACAAGGCTAACTATTTTAAAAATCAGAAATTGCGTTAAAAACTGTGCAATTTTTGATTTTTAAAATTGTTAGGCTTTTATTACTGTAGGTACTTGCATTGAGTGAGAACAACTGGGAGTTACTTATGCATCTATTCATTTGCGAAAAAAACCGAAAAAAAATGTATTTTTTTACAATATTTTTCTATTCATCAAAATATATACTCAGAGAAAGTCTGGCTTGAACGGCGCGGTCCGCGGACGATTTTTCCCAATTTTTGAGTGAAAATCATTACGCGGATTCAGCGAAAAAAATTTCGCGGACAGCGAAACTTCAGCCAAAGAGAGTCTCATTTCGCGCATTCTGCGAAATTTTTTGACTTGGAAATTTGATTTTTTTGAGTTTTTCGCGGATCCGCGGATGGACTCGAGAGGGAGGGTATAAAAAGGATAGATTGTATCGCGTACGCGACAACGAGGATAGCGCAGCGAGGAAGATGGATGACTACAAAACGACAGGATTGGGATCGAGGCCGGGTTGGAACTACAAGTCACTACTAACTTCTGACACGTCGACCCACTAAAGAACAAACTGCTGCAATGGGTGTGAGACTGAATGCATCAAAATGCAAGAAAACTACTGAACCATTTTGAAAACTGATTACATATTCGTGATCAGCATGTTAAAATCCATGGAAATAAGAAGTTTCATGAATTCTAGTCGAGCTTTTTTCTCGTAGCACTCTGCAGAAAACCCGAAAAACCGTACACCCATTGCAGCAGTTGGGTCGACGTGCTGATAATTATCAGGGGTAGTGAAGCATTTTTATATCTCGAGAGTGCATTGCGCGGACGTTTCGCTAACAGCGGAGTATAATTTCGCGGACGTTTCGCTAAAGTTCTTGTGTCAGCCGCGGATTGGCAGATTTCTGGGTTTCGCGAACCGCGCCGTTCAAGCCAGACCTTCTCTGAGTATAACTTGTACGTTTCCGACCAGTGTTGAAAACGGCCAGAAACCACTCGAAAACCGGCCGGTTTCTGCTCAATTTCAACAAAAACGGCCGAAAACCAGTGAAAAAACACGGCCTACTGGTCAATTTTGAAAAACCGGTCAGAAACTGGCCGGTTTTTGAGTTGTTACTGGCCGTTTTCAACACTGGTCGGAAACGTACAAGTTTCGGACCGTTATTCAATTTTTGGCAAGTATCCGGCAGTTCTGCATCTGCCTGTGAATAGTGTTGTTGGTATGTCCAAATACACTTATCTGTGTTTATGAAATTACACCATACAAGCCGTATTTTGCAGAATTCAAATCTATATTTTTTCCATTTGAAGTTTTTTTTACCATTTGAAGTTTTCGACCCTTTCCCCTAAATTACAGAATCAGTTTCAGGTCGAGTTATTATGTGGAATTTACTTTATTAGGGTGGTACTGTGTGTCTGTTAAAATAGTTGGACTTGTGTTACTGTAGGTACTTGCTTTGAGTGAGAACATTTTGAAATTAACAAACTTTTGTTGTATATTTCTAGAGCCGTTTTTGGACTTTGACGTTGCCGAAGAATAAAAAAATAGTTAAGACAGAATTTATTTATGAATTAGTTACGTGGCCTAGTTTATAAATAATTCAAGTCCAAAAAAAAACGGAAAATCAGTCTTAGTTAAAAACTTGAATGAAAGCGACTATTCGTTTAATCCTACTTCTTTCTCTCCTAATTAACGCGGATGCCGATTGTGAAAATTATCCTTACCTAACCAGTAAATTTCAAGATAAATGTGACATTGATGGGAATGACTGCACATCAAAATGGAATGAAATCGGAGTGTGTCACAAGGTATGTGTTCTTATAAAGGGATTCGCAAAACATTACTTATTTGGAGATTTAAAGAAGTTTATTCTTAGAAATCAATACCAACCCGAAAGTTTTCGAATCTTTGAAAAAAACCAAAATAATAGCACCTGTTATTTGGTTTCCTCTTTCACGGATCTCATACATATTTTCGAATTCATCAATATCCAAAAAGGTTTCGTTGTCAGAATATGAATTGTTGCAGGGTAAATGCTGTCCCAGTATGTCTCTTGATCATATTTTCAAAACTAATGAAAGATGTATTGCAACTGCGGAAAAACCTCTAAGAAGAGATATGTTTTGCAAAGATGGATATTACCACGCAATCGGTCAAAAACACTTGAATATTGATGATGAGAAGTTAAAAGAATGTGATCGCAATAAGGATTGCCCCGACGGAAGTTATTGTCTAGAACGACATCACATAGGAAGATGTTATGATATTGATGGACCGAAAGAAAAAGAAAAAAAAGGAAAAAAAGATGAGGAAGAGAAGAAAAGTAATGTTGAAGAAAAGGATAATACTTTGATGATTGTAATTATAATTGTATCAATTGTAGTTTTAATTGGTGTTGGAATTGGTGTTAAATTCTTCATTTGGCCAAAAATGAAACAAGCAAAAATCGGTCAAAATCATTCAGTTGAAAATGGACAAAATAAGAAGATGGAAAAGGCTAGCAAACAAAAAAACATGAAGAAAGGAAACAAAGGATCAAATGTTTGAAACTTGAAATAGTATAGTAGGTTATAAATTATTTTCTTGTGGAATATTTTGTTGTTTCAATCAGAAATGTAAATAGTGTTGTTGGTATGTCCAAATACACTTATCTGTGTTTATGAAATTACACCATACAAGCCGTATCTTGCAGAATTCAAATCTATATTTTTTCCTCCATTTCAATCTGATTCGCTGATTTTTCGAGACATTCAAAAAATGTTGTCGATCAAAAAAAAAAAAACACAAAGAGCAACCAACAAAATGTTGGTTCTTTTTTGAAGTCAATCGAAAAATCGCGAAATATTTTCGAATGATTTCAAAAAAGAACCAATATTTTTCGGGATAAATGGAACTTTTTAAAATGGCAAATAATCCAATATATCTCAGGAGATTTTTCGCAATTTTGCTGACCAGAATGCGCGATTCTGCTTGCTAAAACACGCGGTTCGGACTAGTTTGCCGCGGAATCGCCTATTATAGCAACATACCACGCCCAGGGGTTAACAAATGCACGGCGCCAATATTTTTTTCAAAATTTTGATGAAATCCACGACGCCAAAATTTTTTTTCTAACAAGGGAACCTTTTTTACTCAACACTTCAAACCTTGATGAAATTTTGTCCAGAGACAGCTTTTGGGGTCATAAGAACACCCTAAAAATTTAAGTTACCCAATGGACCTATGAGCCATGTTCTGGGCTCTCAAAAACTCAAAAAAGGCCTAAAAATGGTCATAAAAGGCATCATAGCTCCATTTCAAAAATTTTTTTGGGAGAAATGAAGTTTCAGATATTGATCAGCATAGTCGATTACCTAAAAGTACATCAATAAAAAACATTTTTTCGAAAAATTTTGAAGTTTTTTTATTTTTGGGCTGAAAATTCATGAAAATTCATATGTGCCCCTGCTCATTCTTTTTTTCCAAAATCAAAATTTTTTCTGAAAATTTGATTTATTGATGGTTTTTGGGTAAATCGACCACGTTGATCATCATCTGCTACTCAGTTTCTCACAAAAATGATCGAAAATTGAGTTATGACGTGTTTTATGAGCCAATTTTGGCAATTTTTGAACTTTTGAGAGCCCAGAACTTGGCTCATAGGTCCATTGGGTAACTAAAATTTTTAGGGTGTTCTTATGGCCCTAAAAGCTGTCTCTGGACAAAATTTCATCATGATTTGAAGTGTTGAGTAAAAAAGGTTCCCTTGTAAGTGAGGGGATTTTTTTCATTAGCTCTAGAACAAATTAATTTTTACAGATTCAAACGACTACGGCCCATTTCAACTTCAAGTTCTCAAATGAATTTTAATCAAAAATTATTATTTATTTATTTCAATTACCACTAATAAAACTTATACATTTGAAAAAATCGTTCAATTATTGTCTTTTTTTCTCAGAAAAATTTCAGAAAACGGAAACAAACTATATTTTGAAGACATTTATTATCAAACTCAAAGCCATCATCTGTTTTCTACAGTGCCGAAAACATAAAATATATCTTGGCAATCGCACCTTCTTCACAGGCAATCCGCAAAGGATCCTTTAAGGACGCTTAAAGGACCGTTCATCCTTTAAGCGTCCTTTTTTCATCCTTAAATTTTAAAGGCCGGAAAAGGGGTGGGCCAAAACGGGCTCATTTCATGCTCGTAGTGATAATAAATTGATGTCACACACTCAAAAGGCCGAAATTGTGTGTTATAATCATGAAACAATACAAAATTCCAACAAAAATGTAACCTTAAAAAAGTATCCTTTAAGGGTGCTTCAAACGATCCTTTAAGGAAGGCAAGCTCCGCCCCCTACACAAAAAATAACAGAGCGCACAGCTCGCCATGTGGCCGTCATGCAGATTATATAAATAAATTTTCTCTGCAAAAGAGTCAATTCAGCTTTATTTCGCAGAAGTCTATATTTAATTGAAGTTTCGGACTTCTATTTTCGTTTATCATCTGTTTAACAGATTTATCACCAAAATTTTTCAAAATTTAATAAAAGGTCCATTTTTCATCCATCCTTAAACCTTCCTTAATTCGTCCTTTTTGATGTACTTAAAGCCCCCTTTTGTACAATTTTGGAAGGATCCTTAAAGCGTCCTTAAATGATCCTTTGCGGATTGCCTGTATTCAACAAAATGTGTGGTAGCTCAGTCGGTTAGGCGCGCTCTGGTTTTGTTCCGAAGACCCCAGATCAACCTCCGCACTGTGTTTTTTCCTAATAGAAAAATGCAATTCCGAGGAGACGCAGACAGTGAGAGAAAGAGGCTGGTCTCGACACGCCGTGTGTCTGCCACACACTATTTCTCTCCCTTTTTCGGCGAGAGATTTGTCTGCACACGTTAAAGTCTGCGTCTCCCCCGAATTGCAAAAAAAAATACAGTGTCCGTCTCCTGCGTAATTTTTTATTTTGCTCTCGAATTGTCTGAATTTCAGAGTTTGGTATATTTTCGACATTCTGACTGATTTTTTTTGATGAGATAAGGTTCTAAATGGCCTATACCAGGTGGAAACAAAAACTGGACAGTTTTATGTGCACATTGAAGAATAAACCCCGACCGTGCACGTTTTTTTGCACATTTTCAAATAGGCCTACACAGACTGCACCAATCGCTTCGTTCTCGGTCGCAAAACGTGCACGTGCGAAAAATAATACGAATTCGTTTTTTAACTTCCACTTTACGAGCCAAAATAAGGTTTTTATGGTCGAAAAGCTGATTTTGAGAAATCTCAATTTGCACGGTCGAGGATAATTTGAGTTTGAGAAGGTTTCCGTCTGAAATTTTTGGTCAATTTGAAAGTTCTGCTCATTCTGATATGTATTCACTCTTGAAACAAAAGATTTGATGTCGTAGGACATGTTCTTTTCAGTTTTGAAAAAAAACAGAAATTGTCTTCTTTATTCATCCATTTTCTGATGTTTCCACCTAGTTATGGCACTGGAGAATCTCTAACAACAATATGTGATAGAATTGGACCTTTGATTCTGAAGTTATTCTCCAAAAACTGATATCCCATGCAACAACAACGTCGCTGTTGTACACACAAAAACATCGAACTTATCAAGGCAAACAAACAAGGCAGTTAGCAGGTGTGTGTGTGGTCTATTGGATAATCTTTTGACTTTCAGTCTGACGACCAAAGTTCGAGTTCGACTTCCAGCGAAATTTTTTATTTATTTTTAATTTTTGTCTTGAAGTTTTTGAATGGGATAAAAACACATATTTAAAGGGAAAAGTTGTGATGTGTCGAAATCTGTAAAAAAGAAACATCCAGAAGTTTGTGCAAATTTATCGACCAGTGATTGATTTCAAATTGTGAGAACGTTGAGGTGAGATATACAATAAGCAAAACAGAGACAAAAGCAAAATCGTGCATTTCAAACAAAAAATATCACAAATGAAAGCATGCAAACAATACATTAGAATTCATACATGTTGTTGGTCCGGAAAAGTATAAAATAGGGTCGTTAACTTTTTTATTTTTCATGAAAAATAGGTCCTTAACTTTTATGAAAAAAAATTATTATTAATTTCTCAACTCATGAAAATTACCTCTGCATCAACTTCTTTTTTTAAAGAGGAGAAGGGTTTCCACAAAAATTTCGCCTTGATTCATTCTGCATCACGCGAAATATTTCAATATCTCTCATGGCCGACAGTTCGCTGGTAGCGCCACACACCATATCTCTCATTGCACCTGGCTCCGCCCACATCGTTTTTTTTCGTTTTTTCACAGACATCTCAAATCAAAAGCAAAACTTAACAGCTTAAAGGCAACCAAATGAGCTAAAAATTTTCACAGCTCTACTTCAAGATATTTCGCAGGGTTCGAAAACCTAAAACTTTCAAATAAAGACCGTTTTAAGGGAAATAAAGACCTATCCGGAAAAGTATAGTGTCATCCTAAAACAGCAAGTCGCCGAACAAAAAAAAATTAGAGGTTCATTCTTTTTTTTATTATGAAAGACAAAGTTTGTCGAGATCAAAATTAATTTAGTTCTTGGTGGTACTGTAGCATTATAATGCCATAGCAATAAAAATACCCTTCAATAACTTGTGGAGATGTCCTCGGGACCAATTTATAATTATTTTCTGCCCGACAAAAAATGAGTTTTGCCGATTGACATGCTTTCAAAAGAAATGTTCCGCCCACTATCCATCTCAATAAAAATGGATCCAGCAAGAATTTCGCAACTTGCTGGACCAAATTCATGACACAAATTGCAACCTAAAAATGCAGCAAGGAGATAGCAAGTTGCGAGAGGGCAGCAACTTGCTAAATCGTTGCCCAAAATTTCCTGAGTAAAGTCTGGACTGGAATTTAATGAATCTCATATATCTCAGGAAATTTTGGGCAACGATTTAGCTGGATCCATATTCATTGAGATGGATAGTGGGCGGAGCATTTCTTTTGAAAGCATGTCAATAGGCAAACCTCATTTTTTGTCGGGCAGAAAATAATTATAAATTGGTCCCGAGGACATCTCCACAAGTTATTGAAGGGTATTTTTATTGCTATGGCATTATAATGCTACAGTACCACCAATAACTAAATTAATTTTGATCTCGACAAACTTTGTCTTTCATAATAAAAAAAGAATGAACCTCTAATTTTTTCTCGAAATTTGTTCGGCGACTTGCTGTTTTCTTGCCGTTTACGGAAAAAAAAAATTTCGCTTGCTATAATAGGCGATTCCGCGGCAAACTAGTGTCCGAACCGCGTGTTTTAGCAAGCAGAATCGCGCATTCTGGTCAGCAAAATTGCGAAAAATCTCCTGAGTTTACGTTTTTTGACAACTGTTGTGATGAGGAAGATTTGCTGAATTCAGGCATAAATTTCTGACTTTTTTTCCTGCTGGCTCCGCCCCCTGCCACGATTACACGTTTCACGTTTTTTAAATAATTTTTTCGATTTCATCTTTTTTTCTTCATTAAATTTCGAAATGCAAAAAATCAGAAATAATTTTTGCTTGAAAAAAAACGTGCCGCACCTTGCCAAATAAATCCCGCCTCCCGATTCACGCGAGAAATTTTTTTTTCTGCGACAGGAATTTCTGAATTAAAAAAGTCAAGAATTTATGCCTGTGGCTGAATGGAAGTCGTCGCGCTTGAGACAATTAGCCGCAAGTCCGCAAACACCGACGCATTACCGTATACCAGCAAACACGGGCCACTGTGTTTTTTTCTAATAGAAAAATGCAATTCCGAGGAGACGCAGACAGAGAGAGAAAGAGACTGGTCTCGACACGATGTGTGTCTGCCACACACTATTTCTCTCCCCTTTTCGGCGAGAGATTTGTCTGCCCACGTTAAAGTCTGCGTCTCTCAGAACTGGCAAGAAAAAATACAGTGGGGCGCTTCAGGGACGTGTTGTTTTTGTGTGGAGTTTTCGGGTAGCTCAGCCTCGGGCTGACTACGTATGTAAGGCCGTTTTGGCCACTTAGGCGATGATGCAGATTAGTTTCTCCTTGGGGCTAATTGAGGAGAAAGAGGAGAAACGTTTTGCACGTGGAGGCGAAACAGTGCATTTTTTGAATTTCGCCCCATTTCTCCTCATTTCTCCTCGTAGGAGAAACTCATCTGCAACATCGCCTTAGGTTTTAGATCTATTTGGGTCATTTTTCTGTTTTCTGTTTTATGTTTATTATTCTTTTTCTTCTAATAAATAATGTTATTTATTGCGCTCGCTCATCGGTTATCAAATGGGCTTTCAAACCCTCAGAATATTTGAAATGTATAAAATAGTTATTCCTGTGAGTAAAATCGCAGGAATACAACAACAACTTTTTAATATTTTTTCGAAAAAAAACGAAAGAAGGAAAACTCCAGCGTCACGTGACCCAATTTTTTCTGCAAGATAAGATCTCAAAATTCGCCTATAAAATTAACTCGACAATGGCACTTTTATAACTTTTTGTAATTGTACGATTGGAAAAAAAAAGTGGAACAAGTTTAACGATGGGGATGGATGGAGTTATGATGAGCGTGCGTAAAAAGCACAAGATGCATTCGTTTTCGAAAATCATCTTTCTCTTGGTTGGTATTGGTCATTTGGTGCTTGGTATTTATACGGTGATTCATTTGGAAGAGTGAGTTTTCGAGTCACGAGGTGATTCGCCTGCTAGACTCTGAACGCTGGGGACCAGTAGTTTGAGCCTCATTGCCTGGCAACACCTTTTTTCAGAGAACAGATGGCAGCCGCTCCAATCAAGGCAGCTCTAATAGAATTTGGTGACCAAGGTTATACAGAAAGCAATTCTCAAGTCAAAGGTGTATTCATGCCATTCTTTGTCGCCTTATTTTGCTTGGTTGTCGCAGTCATTCCCTATAATGGAGTTCTATATTTCTTATTCATTTTGTGTTTATTGGAAATGGGCGGATTTATTTGGGAAATGGTGGCTGTTAATAAAATCAATGAACAGCAAACCGCACATTATATTCTGGTGACACAAATAGCGAAAAGACTCAAAGAGCATAAAGATAAACCCCACGGAAGAAACAAGCGTTTTATTTTGGGGGTAATCAGTGCTGTTAAGGAAGTTGTTTCATTTATTGCAGAAATTCCAAATGTAATTGGTCAAGCTATAAATTTCGTTGACAAAAAAATTGATACAAAACCGCGCGAAGTAATTGTAGGTATGATAGATCCATATTATGGTTTACAACAAAATCGAATGAAAAATTTCAGAACATTTCGGTAAAAATCAAACGATGGAAATTGTCAACACAATCAGTAAAAATCCGAAAATCATGAAATTTTATCTTAGATTGGCAGAAGATCTTGAGACAAGTAAATTGTTGTCTGAAATTGGACTTGGAGCTAGTATTGTCACTGCGGTTCTTGTACTTGGAATGACACTGTGAGTTTTTTTTTACAGTTGGCGGGGAGTACTGCTTTTTGTTAAAATCTAAAAAAAAACTCTTTAATTTCTGACTTTTTGCAGCTTCTATACATGGGAATACAAAAAACAGCAAAGCGCGATGACATTCCCGCCATGTGATCCAATACCACCACCACACCACTCTAAACCGTCACCACATCACTCTACACCATCATCATCTCACTATAGACCATCATCTTGTCACTCTAAACCGTCACCACATCACTCTACACCATCATCATCTCATTATAGACCATCATCTTGTCACTCTAAACCGTCACCACATCACTCTAAACCGTCACCACATCACTCTACACCATCATCTTGTCACTCTAAACCCTCACCACATCACTCTAAACCGTCACCACATCACAAAAAGCATTATTCTTCGTACAACGAAACCACAATGTCGCCAGTCTGAACCAATAAAGTATTCGAATGTGAAATTGTTGTTAGTATTTTGTATTTTTTTTTGCAAAATGAAGCAAGGCGACAAGAGTTCACGCAAATAATAAAATAAACTTCTCAGGAGATTTTTCGCAATTTTGCTGACCAGAATGCGCGATTCTGCTTGCTAAAACATGCGGTTCGTACACTAGTTTCCCGCGGAATCGCCTATTATAGCAAGCGAATTTTTTTTCGTAAACGGCAAGAAAACAGCAAGTCGCCGAACAAATTTCGAGAAAAAAAATTAGAGGTTCATTCTTTTTTTATTATGAAAGACAAAGTTTGTCGAGATCAAAATTAATTTAGTTATTGGTGGTACTGTAGCATTATAATGCCATAGCAATAAAAATACCCTTCAATAACTTGTGGAGATCTCCTCGGGACCAATTTATAATTATTTTCTGCCCGACAAAAAATGAGTTTTGCCTATTGACATGCTTTCAAAAGAAATGTTCCGCCCACTATCCATCTCAATAAAAATGGATCCAGCAAGAATTTCGCAACTTCACATCATGTCAGCCCAATGAAAATTGGCAATCGGTGAGAGTGAAGGAGACTTAGAGAAAAATAGATCAAAGGTACATTGAAAATTGTGGGTCTGAAAATCCATAATTTTTGAAATTGCGCTTGCTAAACATATTTTGTTGCGAAAAAAATTGAGGATAACGTTTAGTCGCTTGGCACAGTGAAAGTTCAAGAATCAATTCTTAAAAATCAATCAGAAGCCTATTTCAAGATTCCACAAATCCTAGACCCACAAATTTGACTCGCTGTAGATCACGCGCGATTTCAATATCTTTTTCGTCTCTTTCACTCTCACCGATTGCTTTTTGACATGTTGTGACTTGCTGGACCAAATTCATAACACAAATTGCAACCTAAAAATGCAGCAAGAATCGCGCGAGTCGCTAAAAATGCAGCAAGGAGATAGCAAGTTGCGAGAGGGCAGCAACTTGCTAAATCGTTGCCCAAAATTTCCTGAGATATATAATTGCATTCTTTTTCTCTGATTCTCTTCCTCCTATTGCATTAGCTAGTGTAACCACTGCCATCATTTTTCAGACGTTTTCTGATTGTGAGTCGATGATCATTACAGTAGTTCAATGTTTATTGATATGATTTTGAGAGGATGCAGTGTTTGAGCGAACTATTACAAGAAAAAAACGATCAATAAAAAGACAGATTTAATATTCTTGATGGTGTAGAATTAAAGATCTAGAGAAAAATCCAGTTGTGGTTCAGAGTTTTGAAAACATTTCCACAATAGAATGTGATGAAAACTCTAGATTTCTGCATCTCCAGATTTTCTGTATGGTCTTACTGAAACCATCAGTAAGACTCTTTCAATCAATGACATCCTCATGCTAATGTTGGAATCGACAACTAGAATCATCATGAATTCATAAATCGATGCAAATTGTGACAAATATGCTGATTTCTCATTTTTCAACATAAAAACAAAAATAAAACGCAAGAAACAGGTTTATTATCTAACTTCACATACATATCGAAATACTCCACATAACTTCAATTCGAATTTTTTGAGTGGTATTTCAGTCATAATCAGGAATATCATCAGTGTCCGGAAATATGTAGATCAGTACATGAGTAGTGAATGAAATGAAAATAATAATAAGAAGAGTAGTTGTTTTCATTTTATTTTTTAATAAAAACTAAAATGACTTTGATGACTTTCTGATTTTTTGATAACTGTTCCAATTTTTGCGGAATATCATGATGCCCGGATTATCAAAAGCTCATTTTATTGAGCGAAAGGCCACAGGTTCGATTCCTGCTGCTGCGAAATTTTTTATTTTTTAAAGAACGTTTTAGAGCCGAAAGTCTAGCAGTTTTAAGCATCGAAAGAAAAAATCAAACACAAAATCGCTTCAAAAAAGTTCATTAAGATTTCAAGCATCTTGGACTTCACAAGTACTCTTCTTTTCGGATTTCAACTCATTTCCACCAGAATCACGAGCCTCACCCCAAGGCCAATAATAATATGCGAGATATCCAGACAATCCGAGCGATGCAAGTGTGAAAAAGAATCCAATGTAAGCAAGGGCAAGATTTCCACTCAAAACTGCGTCGAGCGACTTCAAAGTCGCAGCAAAATCTTTTGGTGGTTTTTTTATTTGACCATCGATATATGTTCCGTGATTACCGAAAAACCCATGAATACGAGCCAAAGCGACAATATACAAGATGGCGGCGAACAATTCGGCAGCAATTATGATAAATATGATGAAAAATCTTGAGATAAAAGCGAAGACAATACAAACTGCACCAGCTACCAATGGCAGGAAAAAGGCTGGAGCAATTGTCGCTTCTTTTCCAAACCCCTTGCGTTTATCACCTGGATACAATTTGTCATGCTTGTCCATTGTATCTGCGAACACAATAGCTTCTCTGAAAAAACATCGAAATTGTTTACATGAAGATAGCTTTGAAACCTAGATCTAAGCCCTCATGAAAATAGTATATTTTTGTATAGTATTTCAAGGCGCATATAAAGATATCCTTACTTGCGAGATTACGATAACTGTAAGTCTACTAGCATAGGCTTGAAAAATGTTACCCAAAATTTTTCAAAATTTAGTATGATCTTGTACATAATTTCTTAAACATACCTGATGGCTTGAACCAACGCGGTGAAACCAAAAATCACATGAATCACACCCACAGCGATAATAGCAATCTGAAAATATGTGACTGTATCTACAGTACTTTTCTACAGTACCCCCTTACTCACCTTAAAAACAAGACTCAGTTCAACATTCGAATTCATTTCCGAATGTTATCTTATTATCGTATTTAGATCTATTGGAGATTCTACCAGTTCCGACTTCTAAGAATGAGCTGAAGTGAATTGGAACTCAATTTTTATAGTGCGAAAACTAGCAGAAAAAAATAGATTTTATCTTGTCAGAAACGTTGACGTGGCAGCAGAAATGTCACGTGAAAATTTGTTTTTTTTGGTAAAGTTTTGGACTTTTTTAAAGCCTAGATTATTACTGTAGATACTTAAAATTTACGACTTTTTGTTAGTGTCAAAAGATGCAGAAACAAAATATGACTGAGTTTGAAAATCAAAAGGTTTCTGGTTCAATTCATGCTGCCTGCAAACTTTTTTGAAACATTTTTAAATTAATATTTTTTCTGGACTAGTGATCACTGTAGGTACCGTAGCTCAAACTTGGCAATTCGAGGAATAGACGTAATCTAGACACAGGCAAATGGGGACCAGTTGGTAACTCTCAGTTTACCAGCTGGTTTTTCCTAGATGGTAACTATCTGTTTGTTGACAAGATTCCAGCTGGTAACTAACTGAGATACCAGTTGGTAACTATCGAGCGCTAGTTACCACTTGGTTTTTCATTTTTTTTTCTCTTTTGTTATTTTACCCAATGCGAATTCAGTTTTTATTTAAAATTTATTGAAAAAAAAAAGAAAAAATCAAAGTTATCAAAAATAAGTGAGCATTGTGAAATGGCGGACTTCTCGTTTGATCATCACACCTTCCCGTCCTCTTGATATAATCTGGAAGAAGTTGTTTATTCAAGAGCATCAGTCTATCCGGTTGGAGGATTTTTTGAGGTGTGGATCCCCATACTTCGTTAGGAGATTTCCGTGTTTTGGCGTAGTTAACTGTTGGCTCGCAACTCAAATATAACGACTCAAAACTCAAAATCCAGAGTTCTTTTCTTCCACAAGGAATGGTTCTCAAAATTACCCCCTGAAAAAGTTGTTTCTAAGGTAAAATTTTGTTCCCAAATTTCGGGAGTTGGTTTTTGGAAAAAAAACATATAACACCAACTTCCAGCATCTTTGGGATCTGGATACCCGGCAATTTTAACATGTTATTATACGTATCTTTTCGCGTAGAGTTCGAAAATCGATACTTGAATACTTGAAAAAATTTCTAAACAACTTTCAAAAAAAGTCGAAAAAAACAATTTTTGAAAAATTGTAAAGGAGAATTTTTCAAGTATTCTAATTTCGATTCCCAAACTCTACGCGAAAATTTACGTATAGAAACATATATGTTATCGCGCAAATCTCGCGGTAACTATCTTGAGATTCTAAAATTCACGGCTATTCAGGTTCCCAGAGATGCTGGAGGTCCGTGTTTTGTTTTTTTTTTCAAAAACCAACCTCCGAAATTTGGGAACAAAAATTTACCTTAGAAACAACCTTTACAGGGGGTAATTTTGAGAACTATTCCTTGTGAAAGAAAAGAACTCTGGATTTTGAGTTTTGAGTCTTATGTTATATTTGTATGTTATATTTGAGTTCCGAGCCAACTGTTTTCATACGGGAATTGAATCAGTTTTGAAATAATTTTGAAATTTACTACGGTGATAAAATTACCTAATATATTTTCTAAATGTTTACATTTCAAACGTAATATCTAATATCTACTATATACTAATTGGGAAAATTTTTTTGGCAAGAGTCTGTCCGCGGTCCGTTCTCAAAACTGTGCGCATAAAAATTGATGATCAAAAAAAGAAAAAGTTTCTAAATGGTGGCACAATGATGCGCGTTTCAAAAAATTCTCCATCAAAATGTCTGTGGGTGCGCGGAGAGTGAAAAGTTTGAAAACTCCAATGTATTTTTCGATTTTAAAATGTGTCGCTCGACTTTTCTCAATTTCCAGAAGGCCATTTTTGATGGGACCTTCACCATTCTATCCCAAATTCTTTCCCATCGATGCGCTAATATTCAATTTTTCAAAAAATGCGCGAGTTTTCACGTGAAAATTCAAAACTTTTTTCATGCTAAAAAGAATGATCACGTTTTTATTCGAAAAAAATATTAGGACACGTTTCTTATCTGATCGTTCTATTCTCTGAAAAAGTCAACAATTTTGGGCATTTCTCAATGTTTCTCTTTTCCTGACCGGAAAATTAATCAGTAAAAAGTAAGTCAAACTACTGTAGATGGCGTTAGCCAGCGAAGCCCTTCTAGTATTTTCTAAATGTTTACATTTCAAACGTTTCCTTGCTCAAATTTTTTCCCATCCAAAAATTGAAACTCACCAATAAGAATCCCTGAGTTTTCGTAAATCCTCTTTGAAACTTCGAGTCGTGCTTCATAATACCGAGCATCAGTTTCGATGTCTAGCTGAAACTTTAAAGTATAATCACTCAAACAAATGGGAAAACAGAAATCTTACTTATGGCATTGAAGTCACAACCCATATATTCCGAGCCTGGAGTTGGTGGGGAAAGCCTCAACTAACCAATATTTCGGCATCTAAAGAACACATTTCATTTGAATGTCGTGAAAGAAACTGGGAAAAATTAGAGATATAAAAACTCGGTTTTTCATGGAGTGTAATTCAAATAACATAACGTTTTCTCCATCAAAAATGTTCGAAATACTAACATTGACACTCAGACTGAATAAACAGCAATAGAAAACCTACTGAAACTGATTATTCTGTAGGAAATGGGCCGAAATGGGAAAAACAACAAAAAATGAAAAAAATATTTTTTCTTGGATTTATCTTACACGGCCATCGCGAAAACTAGTCCGCGACCTGAAGAACGCTCGAATTTTAGAAAATTGCATTACCAACTGGTAATTTACAAGGTACCAGCTGGTTTTTCACCCCCTCGTTGGTTACCAACTGGTCCCCATTTGCCTGTGGATGTGCCTTCAATTTCTCCATAGGCCTGTAATATTTTTATTGATCATACTAACAAGGAATGGTTTTCAATATTCCCCCAAGGAAAAAACCGAGAGTATGTGGAATGTTGAGGGTTCCCGTGGGTAAGAAAAACCCTAACGGGAATAAGGAGAAAAATGCCTTATTCTCGAGAAAAAATGTATTTTAGGTCGATTTTTAGAGCATTTGTAACTCGATTTTGAATCTATTTCATGAACTTTTGAGTCGTGGAAGTTGTTCAGAATGGTCGATTACGTGTTTGTGAAACTTTTTATCAAAAAACAAAACATTTTTTTGAAATTTGGTTTTTTTAGTCGGGGTTTTTCTGATCAAATGGTCACCAAAAAACACAAAAAATAATTTTTTCCATTTTCAAATGAACGGAACTTGAAAAATTTATGACGGTCAACAGACGTAATTTGGTCCGTAGAATCCAAAAATCATAGTCTCGATTCACACAAACTTCTCCTTCACAACGAAAACGTTGATTTTCTATGAATTTTTCAAACTGTATTTTTGATTTAGTGGACTTTTGGGACCAAAATTATTTTATTCCTAATTTTAGTCGAAGTAATACTAAAGTACGCCGTTTGCGCTACAAATGGATTTTTAGATTGACATTTTTCACCAATTTTGAAAAAAGTTTCGATTTTTCTAAAAAATTTCATGGCAAAAATCAATAACACCAAAATTTTCTAAAACAAGGCATTTTTCTCCTTATTCCCGTTAGGGTTTTTCTTACCCATGGGAACCCTCAACATTCCACATACTCTCGGTTTTTTCCTTGGGGGAACATTGAAAACCTTTCCTTGTAAGTCACAGGTTCAATTCCTGGTGCCCGCAAAAAAAACGATGCTTGGAAATAATGTTTTTCAGAGAAGAAGTCCCCTCATTATAATGACCGAATATTTAATGTTCAACTCAATGGTAGTTATGGCGTTTGAAAAATTCGTTTCATTTCAATACCAATAAGGACACTTTTAAAACTCAACAATCTTTTAGAAAATTGTTGTTTTTCCGATGTAGACTGTTTTCTCATACCAAAAACTTCTCGAGAGTGAAAAATTGAACTACAGTGCTCCTTGGTGTACTGTAGACAGGTACCTCTCAAGTTCACCTTTCCAAATCAAACCACAGTACAGTCGCGAAAAATCGCCCAAGTCGAGTGGCGAATTGAGCGCACAAAATTGCGGATTCAAATTTTGGATCACAAGGTTCAGAAGATGTTTTAATAAGAGAAAATAAGCCAGTGGAATCTAGAAATTTTTAGAGAAACTGCGAGTCAGAGAAGTAGACAACGTGATTGTAAGAAGAAAACTGTCCCGCCTGGGGGCTAACAGCCCCTAGTCTGCCCTTTTAATAATCAAAATATAGCCCATTTTGGACTTTGACGTTGCCGAAGAATAAAAAATAGTTAACAAGGGAAGTGCATAGGGTTAGGTGTTGAACTTTTGATGAAACGTTCAAAATAAACCAAATCGACCATGCTGATCACGAATCCGAAGTCAAAAATTGCCACAAATGTCTGTGAGCACTTTTCTGGAGCTCCAAAGTTGAAATCGAGTTTTGGTTTTCGTCCATTTTCACCATGTTCCTGGGTGGAAAATCAATTTTTATAACACGAATAAGGTTGTTCTTCACATTCGAAAACCTATCAGCTTTTCAGTTTATCAAAAAATATAAAAAACCAGGTCAAAACTGTAATTTTCGAAAATGCACGAAAAACTTTGAAAAACGTGTGTATTTACGTGTGATTGTGTGTATTTTCAGGAAATTCTTGAAAGTTGCAGTTTTCAGCTGGTTTTTCATATTTTTCGAAGAACTGAAAAGCGGATATGTTTTCGAATGTGGTGAGCAACCTTATTCATGTTATAAAAATTTATTTTCCACCCAGGAACAAGGTGAAAATGGGCAAAAACCAAAACTCAATTCTAACTTTGGAGCTCCAGAAAAGTGCTCACAGGCATTTGTGGCAATTTTTGACTTCGGATTCGTGATCAGCATGGTCGATTTGGTTTATTTTGAACGTTTCATCAAAAGTTCAAAACCTAACCCTATGCACTTCCCTTGTAAGACAGAATTTATTTATGAATTAGTTACGTGGCCTAGTTTATAAATAATTCAAGTCCAAAACAAAACGGAAAATCAGTCTTAGTTAAAAACTTGAATGAAAGCGACTATTTTTTTAGTCTTTCTTCTTTGTCTCCTAATTGATGCGTATGACAAATTTCCGAAGTGTCCACATTATGATCTAACCACTGAATTTCAAGATAACTGTGACGTCCATGGGGATGAGTGTACATCGAAATGGGGTGAAATCGGAGTGTGTGATAAGGTATGTGTTCTTATAAAGGGATTCGCAAAACATTACTTATTTGGAGATTTGAAGAGGGTTTATTCTTAGAAATCAATATCAACCCGAAAGTTTTCGAATCTTTGCAAAAAAAACCAAAATAATAGCAGCTGCCATTTGGTTTCCTCTTTCACGGATCTCATACATATTTTCGAATTTATCAATAGCCAAAAAGGCTATTGATAAATTCGTTGTCAGAATATAAATTGTTGCAGGGTAAATGCTGTCCCGGTGCGTCTCTTGATCATATTTTCAAAACTAATCAAAGATGTATGGCATCAAGTATATTTCCCAAATTTCGTATGTTTTGCAAAGATGGATTTTACCACACAATCGGTCAAAAACACTTGACGATTGATAGTGAGACGTTAAAAATATGTGATCGCAATAAGGATTGCCCCGACGGAAGTTATTGTGTAGGATATTACGATGGAAGATGTTATGTTATTGATGAACCGGAAAAAAAAGAAAAAAAAGGAAAAAAGGAAAAAAAAGAAGATGAAGAAGAGAAGAAAACAAGTCATGTTGAAGAAAAGGATAATACTTTGATGATTGTAATTATAATTGTATCAATTGTAGTTTTGATTGGTGTTGGAATTGGTATTAAATTCTTAATTTGGCCGAAAATGAAACAAGCAAAAATTGGTCAAAATCAATCAGTTGAAAATGGACAAAATAAGAAGATGGAAAAGGCTAGCAAACAAAAAAACATGAAGAAAGGAAACAAAGGATCAAATGTTTGAAACTTGAAATAGTATAGTAGGTTATAAATTATTTTCTTGTGGAACATTTTGTGTTTTTAATCAGATGTAAAAAAGTGTTGTTGCCTCAGGAAATTTAAGGCAACGATTTAGCAAGTTGCTGCCCTCTCGCAACTTGCTATCTCCTTGCTGCACTTTTAGCGACTCGCGCGATTTTTAGATTTTTTAGACATTTTTAGATTGAAATTTACAGGGTGATAACAAATTATAGCGACAAATTCCACTAATTCTGGTGACTGTCGTTGTCGAAGAACTAGCACACGAGGTGGATTATTACATATTTATTGCATCTAATATTATCATTCGAGCCAGCCCTTTTATAAGAACTGTCTCTCATATCATTAAGAGAAATATCATACAAAATCAAGAGAAATAGTATTCCTGCGGCCCACGATCTCATGGGACACATTAAATTCTAATTCGATTATTGCTTTTTGTAGGCGAAATAATTCGTAACTATACTATTTTGATCTTACAAACTAAGATTCAAATCTTAGGATTTGACAGTCGTACTTAACCGATCTTTATGAAAATTTTTTTGAGACTTTCCTGACTATCCAGGGGCCGAATTCACTAAAGTGGTATATCAAAAATTAATGAAGAAAAAATTGGGCGAACCAAAAATTGCTGAACAAATTTTTTTGGTACACCAAATTTTTCTTCATTAACTTTTGGTATACCACTTTAGTAAATTCGGCCCCAGGACCACGCAGAAAAAATATCAAGAGTTCTCGGAAGGTTCACAATATTTTTTCTGGCCCTTGAAAAGTTTTGAAAAATATTTCCGCACTCGCTAGATACTTTGTTCAACAAAAATTTTCCCTGGCTGATAAATTTCATATTTCTCGCTCAAAATAATTTTTCTAGATCACTCAGGAAATTTTCGGCAAGGATTTAGCAAGTTGCTGCCCTCTCGCAACTTGCTATCTCCTTGCTGCATTTTTAGCGACTCGCGCGATTCTTGCTGCATTTTTAGGTTGCAATTTGTGTTATGAATTTGGTCCAGCAAGTTGCGAAATTCTTGCTGGATCCATTTTTATTGAGATGGATAGTGGGCGGAACATTTCTTTTGAAAGCATGTCAATAGGCAAAACTCATTTTTTGTCGGGCAGAAAATAATTATAAATTGGTCCCGAGGACATCTCCACAAGTTATTGAAGGGTATTTTTATTGCTATGGCATTATAATGCTACAGTACCACCAATAACTAAATTAATTTTGATCTCGACAAACTTTGTCTTTCATAATAAAAAAAGAATGAACCTCTAATTTTTTTCTCGAAATTTGTTCGGCGACTTGCTGTTTTCTTGCCGTTTACGAAAAAAAATTCGCTTGCTATAATAGGCGATTCCGCGGGAAACTAGTGTCAGAACCGCATGTTTTAGCAAGCAGAATCGCGCATTCTGGTCAGCAAAATTGCGAAAAATCTCCTGAGGCATAGTACACACTGTTTCACAGTTATAACAATACCTGATGTTCAATTCCTGATGTTTAATTATTAACATTTACATCAGGACAAGGATATCGTGATTGCGGTCTTTTCAATCCACGACCTGCAGAGAAGTCGCCGGTGAAAAATTTGCGGAGCTTCATTGTTTTGTTTCCGAGCTGAATTTCTTAACATTCTATTTATATTTCTGAATTTTTTCATACCTTTAAAGTTTTCATGGCTTTCAGTTGTCGAAAAAGTTCTGGACAATATTTCGCCAGCTCTTTATATTTGTCCTTTCCGTGAAATGTTACAAGAATTAGGAAATTGTGTGGCGAGTTCACCAATTTTTTCTTCCGGTTCATAAATGAGACCATTACTTTAACAGAATCGTCTCCTTATCGATTCCAACTTTAGGCCAAATCTAGTCTTCGAAACCAGGAATTTTTGTGATCATATCAGCTGTCAAGTCTTGAATTGTTTCAGCAACATTTTCTGTCTATAAAAAAATCATTATATATTTCAACTCTTGTCTTTTTTTACCACGGCATATCCATGATCCTCTAATTTGACCCCCACTTTTCCAGAATATGATGTCTCCGTTTGAACCGTTTCAAAACCGCTTTTGATTTCCATTTTCTTGAATTTTTTCTCCTTGATTTTTTCTTCATAATGATGATTAGAATTCGAAAAATTTTCATCGCGATGTTCCAATTCAGTCACCAATTTTCTGCGTGCATATTCCGACACATCAAGGAGATTAAACATAAACTCTTCCGATTCTGTTATATTTATAAACTAGAAGGGCTCCGCCGGCTAACGCCGGCTCCTCCTTCTGGATTGTCCCGGCTTCGCGCGTAGTTTTCTTTAGGTGTAAACAGAAACATGTTTCGTCTTAAAATACGACAGAGTTGTAGTTTTTGAAAAGTTGGAAAAGATTCTTTCAACAAAAACCGAAATTTTGATTTTCGTTGAATTCTTTCTCCGCTAGGTATGATTTTTAAAATTTCTGAAGAAAAAATTTTCTACGTCTCAGAAACTAAAGCACAACATTTGGCGGAACTGTTCCGAAAATCTAAAATCTATATCCAAAAAATCTATATCCAGAGAGAAAAGAAATGCTGCCTTATTTTCTGAGTATAAGCTTCTATGTTCCATCTGACATTTTCAGAGCCGTGGAAGATAAAACCAAAGTACAGTAAACTCCGCCGCCCTCTGATTATTTTCATTGATTCATTCGGGCCGATTTTTTTTCATCCATTTTTTTTTTGAAAAACCTCGGTCCGATTTTTTTTTTGAAAAAACTCGGGCCGATTTTTTTTTGAAAAAACTCGGGCCGATTTTTTTTTCATCCATTTTTTTTTTTGAAAAAACTCGGTCCGATTTTTTTTTTTGAAAAAACTCGGTCCGATTTTTTTTTGAAAAAACTCGGTCCGATTTTTTTTTGAAAAAACTCGGGCCGATTTTTTTTTGAAAAACTCGGGCCGATTTTTTTGAAAAAAACTCGGGCCGATTTTTTTCATCCAATTTTTTGTTGAAAAAACTCGGTCCGATTTTTTTTTTTGAAAAAACTCGGTCCGATTTTTTTTTTGAAAAAACTCGGTCCGATTTTTTTTGAAAAAACTCGGGCCGATTTTTTTTTGAAAAAACTCGGTCCGATTTTTTTTTTTGAAAAACTCGGTTCGATTTTTTTTTGAAAAAACTCGGTCCGATTTTTTTTCATCCAATTTTTTTGAAAAAACTCGGTCCGATTTTTTTTGAAAAAACTCGGGCCGATTTTTTTTTTTGGAAAAACTCGGGCCGATTTTTTTGAAAAACTCGGGCCGATTTTTTTTACATTTTTGGATTATTCCAAATCTGTAACTTTTTTTTGAAAAATCTCGGGCCGATTTTTTTTTGAAAAAACTCGGGCCGATTTTTTTTTGAAAAAACTCGGGCCGATTTTTTTTCATCCAATTTTTTTTGAAAAAACTCGGTCCGATTTTTTTTGAAAAAACTCGGGCCGATTTTTTTTTTGGAAAAACTCGGGCCGATTTTTTTCATCCAATTTTTTTTTGCAAAAACTCGGTCCGATTTTTTTTTTGAAAAAACTCGGGCCGATTTTTTTTTTTGAAAAATCTCGGGCCGATTTTTTTTGAAAAACTCGGGCCGATTTTTTTTTACATTTTTGGATTATTCCAAATCTGTAACTTTTTTTTGAAAAATCTCGGGCCGATTTTTTTACATTTTTGGATTATTCCAAATCTGTAACTTTTTTTTTTGAAAAATCTCGGGCCGATTTTTTTTTACATTTTTGGATTATTCCAAATCTGTAACTTTTTTTTTTGAAAAATCTCGGGCCGGTTTTTTTTTTGAAAAAACTCGGGCCGATTTTTTTTTACATTTTTGGATTATTCCAAATCTGTAACTTTATTTTTGAAAAAACTCGGGCCGATTTTTTTTTTTGAAAAATCTCGGGCCGATTTTTTTTTACATTTTTGGATTATTCCAAATCTGTAACTTTTTTTTTGAAAAATCTCTGGCCGATTTTTTTTGAAAAAACTTTCGAAAAAAAAAACTTATTTAATTATTTTTTGAATTTAATGTACTCGTAAGATGTTAAACAAACGAATTACAATTGAATTTATCAAAAATTTCAAATTTTTTGATCGAAAAATGACTCGTGGCAAAATCAGGAAGGCTTCCTAATTTTGCCATGGATGACGTCATCGATCAATTTTTACTCAATAAATGCTTAACAAATGAATTTCAATCAAATTAAGCCTAAAATATTGAAAAATTGCTTCCATGTAAAAATGAAGTCGATGAGTTTTTTTCAAAAATCTTACAAATGAATTCCAATTGATTTCATCAAAAATTTCAAGTTTTTTGATCGAAAAATGACTCGTGGCAAAATTAGGAAGACTTCCTAATTTTGCCATGGAAAATCATTTTTCTGTATTAAAAGTACTCGATAGGGGCTGTTAGCCCCCAGGCGGGGCAATATTTGATCAAAAAATAGAATGTTCTTTAGACAGTACTCAATAAATGCTCACTAAAATTTTTTTCTGACAATAATTTTTTTCTGAAAAAGACTATTTTTCTCACGTCAAAATTTTTCTTCGAGCTTTTCTAAGCGAATTAGTGGTCATTTCTTGTGTCAGAAATGGTCAAGTGGTTAGATCACGTGTTTTTTGTTCAGAAGGTCCAGGATCGGATCCTTTTGGACGTTCGCGAAGGTATGATTTTCGGAAAAAATGGGAAATGTCGCAATTGCGACATTTCAAAAAAAAGAAGAACAGGGGGACCCCATTGAAAAATGCTTCTTCCATCTAGACACCACCCAATCGGGATTTTATTAAAAAGGTAGATAGAAAAACTGATTAAATTGACTTTGTAAGCACTTTTTATAGACAAAACGTGACCTAGACTAGTTTTTTCACGACAAAAATGTTTGTTTTTGTCTATATATCTCATATCTTAGGGAATTTTGGGCAACTATTCAGCAAATTCCTATGCAAAAGTTGCCATCATATATATGCAAGGTTCAGAATTTTCTTCTGAAAACTCATATTTTTGATTTGATCGGAAGCCTACAGTGTAATTTACCATCCGAAAAATTTCACGCATTTTTTGAGACGTGAAACGATTCTAGGAGTGGAACTCTGAATCAATGAAAGAGAAAAATTATTTTTGATCTACTCCAAAAACTATTGAAAAAAAGCTCTAGTGATATTAAGACATTTGTCAAAAATAATATGAAGAACGTAATTTTGGCCTGTTTTACACCATAGCTTAAAAGTTGTCTATTTCTTTTTAAAAAAATGAGGTAGTTAAAAAACCAGAAAACCCCAAGAATAAAATTGACGTAGTTATTTTATTTAATTTTTTTTTGAAGTTACGTGTTCTAGTTTCAAAATGACTCGACTCATCGAAAAGTCATCAAAATCAGTTTGTATCAAAAAATAAAATGAAAACAACGACTCTTCTTATTATTCTTTGTATTTCTTTCACTATTCATTTGCATACTACAAATCTATTTCCATACAAAAATGATATTCCTTATGATGATGAACAAGATGATTGTGATGCCCCTCGAAATTATTGCGAATCAAAGTTTGGAAGATTTGGAATATTTTAATAAATAAATTTGTTTCTTGCGAAAATGTTTTTTTTTGTTAAAAAACCAGAAGGGCTCCGCCGGCTAACGCCGGCTCCTCCTTCTGGATTGTCCCGGCTTCGCGCGTAGTTTTCTTTAGGTGTAAACAGAAACATGTTTCGTAAAATACGACAGAGTTGTAGTTTTTGAAAAGTTGGAAAAGATTCTTTCAACAAAAACCGAAATTTTGATTTTCGTTGAATTCTTTCTCCGCTAGGTATGATTTTTAAATTTTCTGAAGAAAAATTTTCTACGTCTCAAAAACTAAAGCACAACATTTGGCGGAACTGTTCCGAAAATCTAAAATCTATATCCAAAAAATCTATATCCAGAGAGAAAAGAAATGCTGCCTTATTTTCTGAGTATAAGCTTCTATGTTCCATCTGAAATTTTCAGAGCCGTGGAAGATAAAACCAAAGTACAGTAAACTCCGCCGCCCTCTGATTATTTTCATTGATTCATTCGGGCCGATTTTTTTTCATCCAATTTTTTTTTGAAAAAACTCGAGCCGATTTTTTTTGAAAAACCTCGGTCCGATTTTTTTTTTTTTGAAAAACCTCGGTCCTATTTTTTTTTTTGAAAAAACTCGGGCCGAGTTTTTTTCATCCAACGAAAAAACTCGGGCCGATTTTTTTTTGAAAAAACTCGGGCCGATTTTTTTTTTTGAAAAAACTCGGGCCGATTTTTTTTTTTGAAAAACTCGGTCCGATTTTTTTTTGAAAAAAACTCGGGCCGATTTTTTTTTTGAAAAAACTCGGTCCGATTTTTTTGAAAAACTCGGGCCGATTTTTTGAAAAAACTCGGGCCGATTTTTTTTTGAAAAAACTCGGGCCGATTTTTTTGAAAAAACTCGGGCCGATTTTTTTTCATCCAACGAAAAAACTTGGTCCGATTTTTTTTTGAAAAAATTCGGGTTTGTTGTTTGGGCTTAAAGGGGGGTTAAGACGACAAAATTTTATTTGCTCAATGAATCGGGCTCCCTTTGAATAGTAAAAGCCTCAGGGGATTTTTTTCTCGAAAGGCCTAAAAAGGTCCGAAAAAAATATTCCATGAACTTTTTTCAACGTATACCTAGTTTATGTACCTAGTTTATACGTGGTACCTAGTTTATGGAACATTTTTTCTGGGCGTTTCCAGAAAAAATCCCTTGGAGGTTTTACTACTTTTGGGGAGCCTTTAACTTTGCGACAAAAAAATTTTGTCGTCTTACCCCCCTTTAACTATATTGGGATTCCCAAACACATCAAAACTCACTATCAAACATTCACATTAAAGTATTTGTTTTTCTTCTTGTAAAAGAAATTATCCAATATCTGAAAGTTCGAACAAATTATAAATTTATCCACTGTAATCTAACTCACTTTTTTTCTATTTATTTTTCAAACCGATTAGGAGTAGAGTAATAGCGAGAAATGATTAAAAATGTCCCCCTCTATGAATGAAATAGAAAGATCAGATAAGAAACGTGACCTAGCCATTTTTCTGATTAAAAACGTGATCATTCTTTTTAGCATGAAAAAAGTTTTGATTTTTCACGTGAAAACTCGCGCACTTTTTGAAAAACAAAATATTAGCGCCTCGATGGGAAAGAATTTGGGATCGAATGGTGAAGGTCCCATCAAAAATGGTCTTCTGTAAATTGAGAAAAGTCTTGCGACACATTTTTAAATCGAAAAATACATTGGAGTTTTCAAACTTTTTGTGCTCCGCGCACCCCGACTAAAATTCATCAAAAACAGATGGTATGTGCACCAAGGTGCCAAAATTTGCAAACTTTTCATTTTTTGATCATCAATTTTTATGAACGTTGAAGACCTGAACGGATCGCGGACAAACTATTTTCGAAAAGCAGTTTTCAATTAGTATATAGTAGATCAAAAAATCACACAGCTAGAAAAAAGAAGAAAATACATTAAACACTTTAGTTACGGACTTTCCCTTTTTTCCGATGGAGGAAGAGAAAATTGTTGAGGAACAAAACATTAGAACCGTTGGGCACTGACGAAATCAATCGATGACCAAAAATGTTTCGAAACTCTCTATTTTTCAGTTCCAAAAACTCTTTCATAAAACTTTATTCATTTCCAATTTATTTCTCGGTCTCTACAACTGTGGATCTAGCAGACATAGTAGATTCAAATGTACTTCCACTCGCACCAAAACTTCCACTATCCGGACTTTTTTCACTTTTCTTACTGCTTTTGTTGCTTCTACTACTTCTCTTGCTACTCTTACTACTTCTTTAAACTATTTTTCTACTGTTCCTACGATTTTCAGCTATTCTTTCTTCTTCTTCGGGATCTTGTGCTTTTCCTTTGCAGCAAAGAAGCTTCGAGTAAAGGACACAATCTATGATTGCACAAACACTTGCGATAAATGATAATGCGGTGTAGACATGGAAATTGACTGGAAAAATGCAAGATTTTCAGAAGGGATCAGATTTGAAATGTTTAGTATGAACCAGAACTTGGACCAGATTTTTAGAAAGTTGGAATCGGATAAATCGAATTTCGAACATCCTAATGGGGTTTCAAAAATTGTCCGAACGGTATTTGAGACCCTGATTATTCTCACTTATATCATCCTTGTATTCTTTTCTCAATTCCTCAATAGCAACGACCATCACAAAAACACAACTCATCAGAATACAAAAACCTGCCAAAAATACTTGATCAACGAAGCTCCAGATAACAATACATTTTCGTGGATAAACCGCCACAATTAGTGTCATAATACCCGAACAAATTGTTGATATCGCAATCATCATTATATGATTGGCGGCGACAAATCGGAAAATTGTGAATATGTTTTTAATTTTCAAAATCAATACTAATTGTAAACTAACCCCATTATCAGCCCAATCAAACCAATACAAATCATAACTCCGGCGTTCATCAACAAAATAATCTGAAAAGGAAATGTGAACCGCAGAACACTGTTGTTGTAACTCACTTTGACAGAAGCACAGTATACTTTTTGACCCACATCCAATTTTTCGCACATATTTTTCTTTCATTCAAAAAACCAAATATGAAGTGAACGATTTTTTTGTTGGAAATTTTTTTTAGCTCACGTGAATTTTGAAATGGGAAAATTTAACGTTAAATTTCAACAATTAATTTTATGAAATTCAAGTCTTGCATGTTTTAAACAATCTAAAACTATCAAAAATCACCGAAAAAAATTCAGAATTTTCACAAATTTGAGAAAAAAAATATGAAAAGTTTTTCAAATTTTCGAAAAAATTCAAAGGCGCATACCGTACCCCCAAAATTTTTTTAAGGTCAACATTTTGTGTGGGTTTTGTCCTGGGTATTGTAGCTGTCAAATACTTAAAAATTTTCACATTTACAAAAAACGTCATCTTCTTGTGTAGAATCAAAAAAATTTATTAGGCATCTTGAAGGGTTCTCCTCAATTGTTTTCTCATTTCCACCAGGAGCACGATTTGGATAATATTTGAAAGCAACAAATCCAGCAAACACCAAACTTGCTTCTGGAGACAGATGAAGACAAGTGCAATTGTGCCAGTCACAAATGGCATGAAAAATGCTGGAGCAATTGTGGCTTCCTCGCTCACTCCACTTCCAACCTGTTGTTTTCTCAAGTCCTTTCGAAAGATCTTTGTAGACAACTGCTTCTCTGAAAAATATTGCTAATACAGTAATTCACGAAATAAAAAACGTTATTTAAACGTTTTTTAACGTAAAAAAAACAAAAAAGTGATTCACGAACGGTATTTTTATTCATTTTTTTACCATTTTCTTAACACATTCCCAACTGAATAAAGTGAAGTCAAAACGCATTTTTGTGTTTAGAAACGGCATCTCCCTTTCAATGAGCCTGGAGGACAAATCGAATCTTCAAAAGTAAATTGTTGATTTTCGAAATTTTTCGAAAATCACCAATTTCATTCTTTAGGAGATGTGAGACTTGATTTGTCTTTTAGGCTGATCTGATTAGAAGGTCTTGAAATAGCATTTTCAAACACTAAAATGCGTTTAAGCTTCACTTTACTGAGTTGGGAAAGTGTTGAGAAAATGGTAAAAAAGTGAATAAAAATACCGTTCGTGAATCACTTTTTTGGTTTTTTTAACGTTAAAAAAACGTTTTTTTTATTTCGTGAATTACTGCATTCGCACACAATGTGTTTGTGCCTTCTTCTATAGATTCAGTCCCAAAAACTCACCTAACGACTTGAACTAACACAGTGAAACCAAGCAATAAGTAACACACCCACGACGATCATACCGACCTGAAAAACACAGAATTCAGTTTTCACACCAATCAATTGAAGCATCTAGTTTCTAGTAAAAGCCTCTGTACAATAGCACAACTCACCTTAAAACCAATGTTCAACTCAGCTCTCGAATTCATCTTTGAATGTTATCATATTATTGTTTATAGAACTATGAGAGACCTAGGGGCGATGCCCCTAGGCGAAACAATCTGAAAATCCTCAAAAATTCTAAATTTCGAAGAAAACCCTATTTTTCGCAGATAAGCTGACGTGAGAAAAAAATATTTCTTTTAAAAAAGTTACGCCTGGGAATACAAATTGTGAAGTTTAATGAGACATAGATTATAAAGAAAAAAATAAATTCAAAACAAACTGGAAATCGCGTGCATAAAACAATGAAAAATTAATCTACCTATGAATTACTTCATAGTATACCCCTCCAGCCGCTCGCTTAGCCGCTCAAAGCGAGGCGCTCGCTCGAGCTTCTGAGCGCCTAAGCCGCTCGAGCCAACGAGCGGCTTGAATGGCTTGAGCCGCTGAGCGGCTAGAGCCATTCGAGCCGCTCGCTCGCTAAGCCGCTCGAGCATGGAGCCGCTCGAGCGCCTCAGCGGCTTAGGCGCTCGAGCCACCAAGCCGCTCAAGCCGCTGAGGCGCTCGAGCGAGCGAGCCGCTCGAGCGGCTCGAGCGGCTCGCTCCATTTTCAAAAAAATTTTTTTTTTCTATACGAAAATTGTGAAACAATGGTTTTTTTCATAATTTTTGGGTACTTCGAAAATGAAATATTTGTATTGGGACATGGTCCTTGGGTCATGAAAAAATTTTTTTAATTTGAAAAAAAAGTGGGCGGGGCTTATTTTTGAGTTTAAAGCTGAAAACACTAAAAAATCAAAAAATTCAAAATTTACTACAGGGTGCGCCATAAATACCCGGACAGCTATAATTCAATATAATTTTCCAAAATAGAACAGTTTTTTGTGTATGGTTTTAAAAATACTTAATTAGGTCCCTAACGAGTAAATTAAAATCAAACTCTCTTAATTTGGTCAATTCTACGAGTCGGGAGAACATGTAGAACTTCAGGGAAAATTTCATCACGGCACGCAGAACAATGAAAAAGTGGTCTCGCTATTTTTGGATGAAATTATTTTTATTGCGAAGTCTTCATTTAAGTTGTAGAATGTTTGAGGGGTTGTCAGAGAGTCCCAAGAAGCCAAGAAAAAATATAACATTGTCCACCATGTCTCACACCAAGTTTGGGTGGAGATTTTTGGAACAGTCTGCTTCATTGGGAGAAATCATTGATCTCCATTGATTTTGGGGTCAAAATTGGGAGTAAAGTTGAAATAAATGTATTTCTGGACTAACATATGTACCTAAGAATGAAAATCAACCTCGATAACAAACATCAAGTGCTTCAGCTAATCACAGTACACAATAAAAGATAAAATCTCCCAAAATCGCTGTTGAGAAACAGTTTTTTCGATTTGAGCAACGTTTTTAAATTGATGTTACTTTTGTCAGAAACGAACCCATTGCATAATTCCTTTCAAATTAGTTATCAGAAAGGTTCTAGGTAAACCTCCAATCATGTATTTAGACTATACAGAACCTAGTTTTCAAGTATTGGGACAATATGTCCGACAAATGGCAGCGTGCCGAGATGAAATTTTCCCCGAAGTTCTACAAGATTTCCCAACTCGTAGAATCGACCAAATTAAGAGAGAATGATTTTAATTTACTCGTTAAGGGCCTAATTAAGTATTTTTAAAACCATGCACAAAAAACTGTTCTATTTTGGAAAAATATATTGAATAAATAGCTGTCCGGGTATTTATGGCGCACCCTGTAAAAACTTTCTGGTTTTTTTTCAGATGACTTCTAGTTTATTTTTGAATGTTTTTGACTATAAAAAACACACAAAATTCTCAGATAACTGACGATTTTCAGCTATTTTTTATCGAAAATCTGCAATTATGTGTTTATTTTTTTGATATTTCAAGCCGGAAAAAAGCTGAAAATTGTCAGCTATTTGAAAATTTGAAGTGTTTTTCATCATCAAAAGCATTAAAAAATCATCTAGAAAAAAACCAGAAAGTTTTTGGTAAATTTTGAATTTTTTAGTGTTTTCAGCTCTAAACTGAAAAATAAGCCCCGCCCACTTTTTTTTCAAATTAAAAAATTTTTTTCATGACCCAAGGACCATGTCCCAATACAAATATTTCATTTTCGAAGTACCCAAAAATTATGAAAAAAACCACTGTTTCACAATTTTCGTATAGAAAAAAAAATTTTTTTGAAAATGGAGCGAGCCGCTCGAGCCGCTCGAGCGGCTCGCTCGCTCGAGCGCCTCAGCGGCTTGAGCGGCTTGGTGGCTCGAGCGCCTAAGCCGCTGAGGCGCTCGAGCGGCTCCATGCTCGAGCGGCTTAGCGAGCGAGCGGCTCAAACTTCTACATTCTTTTTTCTCAAAATCTTCGCCTATTCTTAAACTTACATCAGAAACTGAAAATTGTGGATTTTATGGGACCGCTGCATTCTGTGACTGTTGTCTCTAGAAAAAATAAGAAAATTAAACAATTAATAACATTTTCTGCTCTAAAAAAACCAGAAAAATGATTCAGTTCGAAAAAAAACGTTCAATCAATATATCCTTTTCAAATAAAAAACATATCTCTCTCTCTCTTTCTCTCTCTAACCCTCTCTCTATTTCCCACACTCTCTCATCTACCCTGCAAAAAAACAACAACAAAAAGTAAACCCGCTAAACAACAAGCACAAGGAGTATCGTTGTTTCGCTTTTATTTTTTTGTTGCGCGTCATTTTTATTTTTTGCTTTTTTTCTGGTTTTTGAGTGGTTTTTTTCAGCGCAGAAAACGTTAGTAATGGGTTGGTTTGGTACATTTTTCAATTTTCTTATTTTTTCAGAGACAACCGTCACAGAATGCAGTGATTTTTTCCATAAAATCCACAATTGTCATCATTTTCTTATGTAAGTTTAAGAATAGGCGAAAAGTTTGAGAAAAAGAATGTAAAAGTTTCAGGCTTCCGAACAAGAAGATGTTTCGTTTGGAGAGAACATTCAAAAAGATCAAGATCAACTTCTCACGGAACGAGCGGCCAGTCAAGTTAGTTTATTTTGAGGTTTGGGGGGAGGAACATATTCATTAAAAGTGCCTCATTTCTTATCTACACGCGTGGTGTAGTGGGAAAGAGCTCTGTTTTTTATTCAACCCGCCTAAATAACACTAGAAGGGCTTCGCTGGCTAACACTCTCTACAGTAGTTTGACTTACTTTTTTCTGATTAATTTTCCGTTTAGGAAAAGAGTAACACTCAGAAATGACTAAAAATATTCGACTATGGGAGAAATTAGAACGATCAGATAAGAAACGTGGACTTATAATTTTTTCGATTAAAAACGTGATAATTCTTTCTTACATGAAAAAAGTTTTCATTTTTCACGAATTTGGGATAGAATGGTGAAGGTCCCATCAAATATGGTCTTCTGGAAATTGAGAAAAGTCGAGCGACACATTTTAAATTCGAAAAATACATTGAGATTAGTTGAAAAATAGAGGATCTCTCTTGGAAAAACAAGAATTTTGTGAACTTCAAAAAAAAATTATAACTGCCTCTACTTTTTTGAGGAAATTGTCAGCATTTTGAGCGTGTTACGAAAATTAATCAATGATCATTTTTCTACAGAAACGATCTTTCATTATTTGTCTCAATTTTTTCACGAGAACCGCAGTTCAACCGATCTCAAATACTCACAGTAAATTTCGTCATGACTATAACAATTTTAACAAAAAAATTAACGAAAATAATTTTATTACTCTAATAAATCGACGCTGATTTTGTACCAGTGTCGCTTGGGGATCTTAGCGATTTCGAAACAAATGTTTTCGAATCCTCAACTTCACGGCTACGATTACTACTTTCCTTACGACCACAAGGTCTGTGCATGCTAAAAAAAATGAGAAAAAATATTTGCGCAAAAAAATTGTAAACTTACAAAATGAGAAATGCGATATATCCGAGTGCAGTAACAGACAAAAAAATATTGACTCCCAAAACGACTTGATGAAAAATATTAAGCGATTTGAAGTCTGTCAAAATCCCAATAAATTCATTCATTGTTCCCATCATTTTTTTCAATAATTCAATAGCTTCCAGTACACCTGCTTTTGTTCCTGGGAAACCAGTCTGATTTTCAAGTTCTTTTTTAATTTCTTTTACGAATAGTTTCAGCACTCTAACACAATTTTCGCAATATTCCAGACTTATTTCAATCATTTGTATATTATCGATGATTCTTACAATTGACCATATTGTTAATCCAATATTTATTGGAAATAAAATAGCTATTGGAAAAAGTATGTAATAAATTGAGAAAATGGCAAAAAGCAGGCAAGCAATTGCGATGAAAAACGGGACGAATACTGATGGTAACATTATATTGTCTTTAAATTGGTTAAATGGTTTCACAGTGCTCGATTCGGATTTTCCAGTGGTCATCAGAGGTATTTCATTCGTCGAATATAAGGTTTCATTGCTCAACGACCAATTTTTCTTCATCAATGTTAATTGAAATTCGTAGAATTCATCCATATTTAATCCTTCCCTGAAAAAAGTGGTTTCAAAATTTGCAATCTAGAAAAATTCAGTCAGAAATTTACCTAACACACTGTACCACCAATAAAATTCCAGCCAAAAATAGCAGACCACTCATTCCAATCATGTCGAACTGCAAAATTTTGAAATTACTTTACTCAACAAATTTACTTTTCTACCTTACTTACCTTGGTTTTTTTGCTTAATTCGATTTTTGTCATCATTTTTCTATTTTCCGCCGCTATATTTCTATTCTACAAAAAATGTGAAAAACTGATCAGACTGACTTTGGAAGCACTTTTTATAGGCAAAACGTGACCTAATTTCAAGTGTTTTTTTAAATTTAATTTTTTTAATTTTTAAAAAAATACGTTAATATATTTGCCTTCTTGCCGAACCAAAATTAGCGAGATTTTTCACTTAAAATAACATTTTTACACCAACTTGCCTGATTAAAAAGGTAGATTCACACTTTTTCACTTGAAAAAACGCTGGTCAAGAAATTGTGGGTGTCTCTTTAGAAAAACAACATTTTTGTACTAAACGAGTTTATAATCTACTATACCGTATTTTTTTCAAGTTTTAAACAATTATGACTTTTTTTCCTTTCTTCATATTTTGTTTGCCAGCCTTTTCCATCTTCTTATTATGTCCATTTTCAACCGAATGATTTTGACCATTTTTTCTTTTCTTCATATTTTTCTTTCTAGGTTTTTTCTTATTTTGACCATTTTCAACCAAATGATCTTGACCATTTTTTGCTTTTCCCATTCTTGGCCAAAAATAAAATCTAACACCAATCCCAATAACAATTAAAACTACAATTGATATAATTATAATTACAATCATCAAAGTATTATCGCTTTCTTCAACATATATTGTTTTCTTTTTTTCTTTTTCTTTTTTTTCTTCCGATCCAACAATAACATAACATTTTCTTCGTACAATCGGTTGACCAACACAATACTTTCCACCAGTACAATTTTTATTGACAATACAATGTTCTTTACTTTCCTCATTGTTTATCCGATTCTTTTTGCCAACAACAAAAATATGTCCTTTTTTACAATATGTATAATCTCCATTTTTGAGTCCAATTGATTCATTACATTTTTGATCTGATTCAAAGTCTTCGGATCTGTCTGGGTCGGGACAGCAACGCCTAAAATCTTCTCGGTATAATCCATCTAACCATGCTACCTGGAAAACATTTTTTGACGTTTTTTTTGAATAAAAATTGTCCAAAGACATACAGTACCGTGCAATGAGGTACAATTTTAGTTTTTGTCAAATTTGGCGCCAAAATGATGTAAAATGTGTGAAAATTTCTTAGGGGTCATTTTTCATGCTTATTCTGACTATCTACTATCTATACTCAGGGACTCATGGGCCAGGATTGGGCGACTCGCCCAGCTATTTTTTGAGCCAGACCGCCGCTTACTTGCCGCGGTGTCTCATTTCGGCTCAATTTTTATTCTGCGACCCGCTCAACCTCCGGCGGAATGAAATTGCGCGTCGCCCAATCCTGGCCCAGTCAAATTTGATTTGATTGCGAAAAAAAATGAATTTAGGCGGAGCGCGAAGAAATCGCTCAAATAACTGGATTGATCGAGGGCTGAGCGTATGGCGAAAAAATTGGGCCAAGACAGGGCGAACCGCACAATGCTCGCTCTTCGCCCAATCCTGGCCCACAAGTCCCTGAGTGCAGCTTATTATTAGTCTATTATTGAATTATTTCGAATTTTGGCTTATTATAGGCTAATACGGTACATATTATTAGTCAAAAATCGATGCAATTTTCTAAATCTAGCCGAAAATTAGCAAAAGCTGCTTTATGATCAATTTGAAAGTGAGAAATAAGAAATTCCATTCATCTAACAATTCTAGAGTTCAATCAGCCGTCCAGAGATCTCTAAAATTCAGACTCATTTTTGACTAATAAGTTACTAATAATTACTAATTAGTTTGTTATTAGTCAAAAATGAATCTGAAGATTGGGGAAGTCTAGGATTGTTAGATGAATGTAATTTCTTATTTCTCACTTTCAAATTGATCATAAAGCAGCTTTTGCTAATTTTCGGCTAGATTTAGAAAATTGCATTGATTTTTGACAAATAATATGTACCGTATTAGCCTATAATAAGCCAAAATTCAAAATAAGTCAATAATAGACTAATAATAAGCTGATCTGTAATTGCCTGTGATTACTGTATGGCAGATGGCTTGTTTTCTTCGTAGGACCCCGAAAAATTATAGTAATTCACACACCCATGCGTCGACTACATCTAAATCCAATCCAATACACCTTCCGTCAGCAAAATCAGTTGAGCAATCGCTATCAAGTGATGGACATTGTGGTTGTTGACGATAAACAAGACCCCCGCAATACTGATTATTAAGAACTTCGATCCAATCGCGTGTAAAAACAGGCTGTAAAAAGAGTTCATGATTATGTCATTTTAAAAACCGCAAGTGTAAAACCAACCTCTATGTAAATAGATGTTATGAATAGAATGATAATAATATTCGCCGTTTTCATACTAGTTTTCAGTTAGAACTGATTTTGATAACGTTTTGATGAGTATTATTATTTTCAAACTATGTCACGTGACTAAACACGTCAATTTTTTTTGAAAACAAGAATAAAACGACCGACGAATCTTCATGCTCGTGCTTGTGCTCATTTAAATGTTTTTCAAGTGGAAAATTTGTTTTTGATGGTATTACTTGAAATCAGAGTTCCGAATTTATCGAGCTTTGAAACCTTATGCTATCATTTTAAAGGGGGGGGGGTAAGACGACAAATTTTTATTTGCTCAATGAATCGGGCTGCCTTTGAATAGTAAAAGCCCCAGGGGATTTTTTCTCGAAAGGCCTAAAAAGGTCCAAAAAAATATTCCATGAACTTTTTTCAATGTATATATATATACGTTGTCCGAAAGTTTATGGAATAATTTCAACGTACTACGTGGTACCTAGTTTATGGAACATTTTTTCTGGGCGTTTCCAGAAAAAATCCCTTGGAGGTTTTACTACTTTTGGGGAGTCTTAACTTTGCGACAAAAAAATTTTGTCGTCTTACCCCCCCCCCTTTAAGGTTAAGCTTTATCCCAGAAGCTGTTATCAGTGATTATCAATGAAATTTCAAAATTATCTGAATGAGCTGGGAGTTGAGAAAATGATGTTTGGTATCACCATGATGACATTTTTTATAAACGTAGATGACATATTTGATAAACGTAGATGACATTTTTGATAAATTTAGAGCTTCATCTCAAAAGCTCTTATCAAATATATCACTGACAAGGGAGCCTTTTTCACTCAACACTTCAAATCTTGATGAAACTTTGTCCATGGACAGCTTTTGGGGTCATAAGAATACCCTAAAATTTTTAGTTACCCAATGAACCTCTCAGCCAAGTTCTGGGCTCTTAAAAGTTCAATTGCCGAAATTGGCTCATAAAACACTTCATAACTCATGATCAGCGTGGTCGATTTACCCAGAAAGCTTCAATAAATCAAATTTTCAGAAAAAAATTTGATTTTGGAAAAAAGAATGAAAAAAGAATCCCTTGTGAATTATCTGATAAGGCTGAAAATCGGGATTTTCCGTTACCTTGGGTGAAATAGTTATTTATGCTTGATTCATGCCAGAGGGCTCTTTTGAATCCATTTAGAGTGCAGACAGAAAAATTGGCAAATACGGAATGGGTTTCCAAAAGGGGTCACATTCCATATTTAATTTTGATTCTAGAGTGATTTTTCACCATTTTTCCATGTTTTTCTCAGGTCTTAAGGTTTTACGGTATGCAGCGGTGTTTGCAGAAAGGGGAGGCGTCGCCTTTTGCGAACAAAAACAAACACACAAAAAACTGTGCGGCAACAAAAAACACACGCGCCGCACAATCAACATATGGGCACCGCCTACTTTTTTCTTTTTTTTTCTGGAAAAAAGGGGGAGTCCGTAACTAAAGTGTTTAATGTTCTTTTTTTTTAGCTGTGTTTTCACAATTTGTCTGTTTTTAGATTGACGACAGCAACGATGAATTATCGAATATTTCTGATGATGAGGCAAAAAAAAGAGGATCGACACAGGTAAAGCGCAATAGGTCTGAAATGGGTCTCATAAGTCTCTCGCGTGGCGCCCATAATAGGCCCATTACAGACCTATCGAAAACAAATTTTCGATAGGTCTGTAATAGGTCAATTATAAGCTTACAAATCATCGAATTTTGAGCTATTTTTTCTGCAAAATGGGTCTATTGTGGGCTCACAGAGAGAAAAAATCGACAAAAATCACGTCATCCAATCAGCGATTTTGGGCGGGGTTTCAAGAAATGGGTCACGCGAAAATTGACGCGTTTGTTGTTTTTTCCTGATGCTTTTTTTATTTTTCGAAATTTTTTTTGGTTTTTCAGTTTTTTACAGTTTTTCAGCGAGAGAAGAAAAATTTCCACAATATTTTTTATACAGATTGTTAGGAATCCCCTAAGGATCATTTTCATATGTAGATTGTTATACAGTGCGTTTCATAATGATAGGTTCACCCCCAAAATTTCTGAAATCAGCCGAGGTGTGAGTTGTAATAACAATCCGAGTTAAAAATAAAAAAGAGCACACAAAATTAGCTAAGAAAACTCAATTTTATCTGAAACTACCAAATAATAAAAAAATAAATGACCGGAGTTCAAAAATTTCAAAAATTTAGCGTTTCAAAACGATAGGTTCACCCGCAGTAGTACTGTAGTTATGTTTCGTGGTAGGAGTTTTATCGAATATTCTGGAAAATACGAGTGATATTTGATTATTTTAACGTGTTTCTGTTTTTGTTCTCGTTTTTTCACGTCATTCATCAATGTCGCGGGGAAGTCATCTTACAAAAGAGGAACAAGCTCAAATTAGAGCATTCAAAATCGCCGGATGGTCCAATAGAATGATTTCGTCAAAATTGAAACGATCTCTCAACTGTATTAATCAATTTGTCAACAATCCGGATCACTATGAGCGAATGAAAAACACTGGAGCTCCCAAAAAACTCACGGAGAGAGATAAACGAGGGATTGTTAGGTTGGCTTCGAACACAATGAAATCGTGTAATGACATCAAAAACGAGCTGGGTTTGAATATCAGTAAGACTACAGTTTGGAGAGCCATAGACCAATCCCCAGAAATCGTTCGAGCCAAATTGGTGCCAGCTCCGCGTCTCACACTTCGCCACAAAGACAACCGTCTTACTTTCGCAAAAGCCAACATGGCCACAGATTGGGATAAGGTAAGTAATTTTTCTAAAAACATCAAATATTGATGTTTTCTTGTTCAGATAATTTTTTCTGACGAAAAAAAGTTTAATCTTGATGGTCCGGATGGTTACAACTCATACTGGCATGATATCAGAAAGGATCAACTTCGCTTCCCAAAGAGAAATTTTGGAGGAGGACGGGTTATGTGTTGGGGCGCATTTTCTGCAGCTGGAACGTTAAAAATAGCTTTTGTTTCATTCAAGATGGATTCGTTAGATTACCAAAAAACCCTCCATGACTATCTTTTGCCATATTTGAGGCGGTTCCGGACCAGAAAGTTCACTTTTCAACAGGATAATGCTGCCATCCACGTCAGCCAATCATCAAAAGATTGGTTCAAAAGCCACAAAATCAAAGTTTTGGATTGGCCAGCGTGTTCTCCTGATCTTAATCCGATGGAAAACGTATGGGGGAGCTCGTTCGCCGAGTTTATGCTCAAGGAAAAAAATATGATACTGTGGACCAACTCAAAGATGCCATCGAGACGGAATGGAATAAAATCGATAAGAACTACCTCAAGAGACTTGTTGACTCGATGCCAAATCGTCTCTATGATGTCATTTCTAAACATGGAGGTCCAACTAAGTATTGATTTTCGATTATATGTCTCCAATGGGAATTCTGGATTAGGTGAACCTATCGTTTTGAAACGCTAAATTTTTGAAATTTTTTGAACTCCGGTCATTTATTTTTTTATTATTTGGTAGTTTCAGATAAAATTGAGTTTTCTTAGCTAATTTTGTGTGCTCTATTTTATTTTTAACTCGGATTGTTATTACAACTCACACCTCGGCTGATTTCAGAAATTTTGGGGGTGAACCTATCATTATGAAACGCACTGTATAATTTGAAAAACTCACAAAGTTATAAGAAAAAAACATGATTCCTAGTTCAAGTTTTGCATTTTTTCGATCTTTTCATCTCCGATATTCATTTTCTGATTCATCTTCTTATGAAATTGTATTATATAAGTGATATTTTAGCAAATCGGAACGGATTTTCTCGAAATTTGAAGAAATCAGATGTGGATGTGATAAACAGTTGAAAACGACAAAATGAACGGATTTTGTGCAGAATTTGAGGAAATGTTGACATTTTAAAGTTTTCTTTTGAAGATTTCGATAAAATCGGGTTTTTGATGCTTCTAATCCAAAATTTGACCCAAAATTCGACCATATTTTTGATGTTTGAAATATTTCGAATAAAAATTCATTGAAAATGAAACCAAGTTTTACATAAAACTTATCAAAATGAAAAAAAACAGCACCATATCAACTAAGCGTTGCAGAACCATCGAGTTTTGACAAATTATCGGGGTAAATTCATATTTTATCCGCTTCTGTTCAACATTTGGTTCGTGGGTTCTTTATTGCAAAAACTGCCTCGATATCAACTTTAAATCATCACATCAGCTTCTACAATACTTTTTGAATGCTTCCTGATTGATTAAGACAAGAATTGGTATCCGAAATACTGAAATAACAACAATTATTGAGAATTTTTGAACAAAAATCGTTAAAACTTTCGGAACATTGCGAAACAAATAGTTATAAAGCGATAGGAATTATTATCTATACGAGTTCTAAAAACTGTATAAAAAATTTCAGCAAAAAATCATGATTTTCAAGGAAAAACAACAAAAAATAGGCCTGGCGACCAAAAAAATAAAATAAAATAAATTTTGAAAATGAAAAAATGAAATGGGCGTGGCTTATTCACGTGGGCCAATCAAAAACGTAGACAGGAATTTAATGAAAGGCTGTCGATTTTTTCTCTCTGTGGGGCTTATTATAGGCCTACAGTGCATCCTACATGAAAATCAGCAAAAGCTGAAACCCTATTCTATCAAGTTCTACTAACTCCCAATGATATCTTACTGACTCTTATATAGCTCAATTACCCTAACTCTATAACCCCAAGACCCCAACTTACTTGATTTCCTTTGTTTTTGTTTCATACTCTAGAAAAAGCGCGCCTCCAATATATAGGGTACATAAATCTGACAGGCGACGGCTGCCTGGGCGCGCACATCGCTATGTTTTGTGTGGTGAGCGCGTGAGTTTTGTGAGTGTGTGTGTGTTTGAGCACGCGTTTTTAAAAAATAAAACAAAGTCTATGATGCAAATCTCTGTAATTCTTCACAAATATGGAAGTTTTTTCTTATGAACTAACATCTCCTAACTCAGTTTGAGCTTCTGCTTCGATCAAAGCTGAGTTAGGCTATCTCGGGACCTCAGTTTTGGTGTTTTATTAGAGAGGAGTTTGTGGTGAATTAATCAAAGTCTATGGAACAAATGACTAAACGTCTTCATAAATATCGCAAATTTTAGATATGAGCTAACATTCCCTAACCCAGTTTGAGCTTCTGCGTTGGTCAAAGCTAAGTTAGAAGATCTCTGGACTTTTTTTTTAGTATGTTTCTAGGATATTTTTTTAGTCAATGAACTAAAAAGTATATGGAGAGAATTACTGCATTTGTTCATAAGTTTAGCGGTTTTTTCATATGCTGCTGACATTCCCTCAATGAGTTCGAGCTTCTGCTTCGATCAAAGTTGAGTTAGACCATCTCTGGACCTCAGTTTTGTGTACTACTTGAGAACAATATTCTGCAGAATGAAATAAATTGTTTGGGGCTGAGTAATGTATTTTTTTCAGAACATAACTAATTTTTCATATGAATTGAGCTCCCACAGACATGCTCAAGCTTCTTTTTCGATCAATATTGATTTTATGATAGTCTAGCTATGAGTTTTCAAATTGAGCTGATAGGCGTCTAATAGGCCTATAATAGGTCTCAAATAGCTGTTGAAAAAAACTCAAAAAACAAGCGAGAACATCGCTGTGGTATGAAGAAATTTGTTGGTATGGGTTCCTATGTACACTATTTCTATCAAAAACATGTTTATAATTATGTTTTAAGATTTTGAATTTTTTTGATTTTTCAAGTGAAATTTGATAATTTTTCGATAGGCGTGTAATAGGCCAATTGTGGGCGCAAATTATATTTTATGCCTATTACACGCCTATTATAGACCTATTGCGCTTTATCTGTGGATTTGAAAAACCGAAAAGAAGCGAGTAGTAAAGATTCAGAGAAAAATGGTTCGAGCAATGAAAGCAACTCGGAGGTAAACTGATTTTTATTCAATTTTTTTTTGATTTTCAGATGATTGCTCGAAAAACAATTTATTTTTGCAATGAAAGAGAAAAGAAAAGAGAAGAACAACTTCAGCGTCACGTGAGCCAATTTTTTTGCAAGATAAGATCTCAAAATTCGCCTATAAAATTAACTCGGCAATGGCAACTTCTATCACTTTTTGTAATTTTAAAATTGAAAAACAAGTGGAATAATATTAACAATGGGGATGGATGAATTTATGATGAGCGTGCGTAGAAAGCACAAGATGCATTCGTTTTCGAAAATTTTGTTTCTTTTGGTTGGTATTGGTCATTTGGTGCTTGGAATTTATACTGCGGTTCATTTGAATGAGTGAGTTTTTGGGTGGATTTTAAACGATAGACGTGCTATCAACATTTTTTGCAGGGAGCAGAAGGCAGCGTCTCCAATCAAGGCAGCTCTCGCACAATATGGTGAAAAGGGATATACAGAAAGCAATTCTCAAGTGAAAGGTGTTTTTATGCCATTTTTTGTGGCCTTATTTTGCTTGGTTGTCGCAGTCATTCCCTATAATGGAGTTCTATATTTTCTGATTATTTTGTGTTTATTGGAAATGGGTGGTTTCATTTGGGAAATGTTGGCTGTTAATGCAATCAATGAACAGCAAACTGCCTGGTATCAAATGGTGCTTAAGGTGGCAGAAGGTTTCGGAAAATCGCAAATTTTTAAAGATGCCGAAAATGGTCATAGAAAAAAACGTTTTTGGGCATCACTAATACAGATTGTTACAAGAATTATTCCATATATAGAGAAAATTACTCCATACTTAGCGAAAATTGACGTTGTTTTATCCACTTTGGAGCCAGTGATGGATACTCTTAAAGGTAAGATGTTTCGACCTTTTAAATAATCTGGAAGATTTATTAAAATTGAACGAAAACATTTCAGGGTTTTTTGGTACAAAGGAAAAAGTCGAAAACGTTGTCCACAAAATACATGACGAACCGGATATCTTGAACTTTTATCTGAGATTGGCGAAAGCTCTCGAGAAAAGTCAATTATTGTCGGAAATTGGACTTGGGGCTAGTATTGTCACTTTGGTATTTGTTCTTGGAATGACACTGTAAGTTCTTTTGAGTACACCCATTTGTCTGATATGCGGAAAAAGTATTGTAGTTTTTATTTTGCAGCTTCTACACATGGGAATACAAAAAAAAGCAAAGTGCGATGACATTCCCTCCATGTGAACCATTACCACCAAAATGTGCCACAACAACTACACGACATCACAAAAAGCCGTCTTCTTCAAACTATGAAACCACAATATCGCATATCTAAACGAATGAATGATTTGAATATGACTTATTTTTGAAATGCAACAATTTAACTTAATTTAATTTATTTACGACATTGGAAGAACACCGTCAGAAAGAAGAAGATAAATAACAAATGTAATTTTCAAAAACGTAGATAATTATATGACACAGTTTGTTGTTGACTATACATGTTAGCTTGAGCAAAAAATAGAAAAAAGAAGAACAAAAAGTGAGATCATGCGAAAAGGTAGTAGAGATTGTAATAAAAAAAGAGGGGGGAGGGGGGTGAGGAGTATAAATAGAACGAAACAAAACAAAAATATGAGGGATATGTTGGGTGGACTAGGTGTAGTTGCTTGTTGATTGATTATAGATATTTGGATTTGCTAAAAGACTACGATCCCAATCCATTGAAAAGGTTGGAATGTGAAAATTTCAGTTGAATGTGTTAGAAACCCAAGAATCTGGAAACAAATACGAGAGCTAGAAAGAGCTGGATTTTGATATTTTCATTTTTTTTTTTTGATATTTCAATCAATCTTTGAATTTATTTCTAAAGTTTTTCTGAATCCTTAAAGACACGTAGAAAACTAGAAATGTGTGTTCGCAATCGTAAAAAAAATGAACGCGCGCATTTTTTCAAAGTGGTGTGTTGTTCATTTCATAACGGAAAAAAATGCACACATGTGCGTCAAATCACGAACATTTGCTTCACTTTATTCAGTTGGGAATGTGTTGAGAAAATTACTGCATAAAAAAACATGCAGAAAAATAGTTTGACTGAGTTTAACGATCAAAAGGTCTCGGGTTCGATTCCTAGTGCCCGCGAAAATTTTTAATTTTTTTTCTGAAACAAAATTGGGTCATTTTCTCAAGCTGGAGTTTTAATATCAAAAGATACACCTTAAATTTTTACACAAAATACTTAACAAAAATTTCAAAAATAATTTATTAACCTTTTGAATTTTCGGATTTTTTTGAAGTCGATTTTCTCGAAGTCGATTCATTCGATTTCGATGTAGATTTTCGCGAAGTGGATTTTCCAGATTTTTCAGACGTGGTATTCGTCTCAACATCCAAATTTTCATCAGAACGCCGTCGAGAAGGTCGATAAATGCTGAAACGTTTGAATTTTGCGCGAGAAAAAATTAAAAGAGAACTTACAATCCAATAATTCCATTCAAGACCATCGTGAGGATCGCAACCACAATGGAAATTCCAATCAAAATTAAATTCCACAATAAAATCGTCTCCAGTTCCCGCAAGAGTTCCTTGAATTCAGGTTTCAATTTGAGATGTTCTTTCTGCTCAAAAATCTTGATATCCTCAAACATTTTCTCCAAAATTTCGCGAGTTCTTGCAATTTTCAGCCAAGTTAATATAAACAGAACAACTTCGATGAGAGCCATCAAAATTGTTAGAAAAATTAAGAGGAAGACTGGGAAAAAGGCAAAAATCAGGCAAATTATAGCGACTAAAAATGGCTGATAAATTGCATAATTTAAGGTTGTGATATAGTTTGAGATGTTGTATTTCATGTTGGTGAATTCGACTAAATTGACAATTTTGAAGGATTCTCTGGAAAAAATATTGAGCTGAAAATTTGGAGCGGAACTAATTTTGATTTACAGTAACCCCAAAATCCAACCAACCTCATCGATTGTGTCACAATAGCAATACCCAGCATAAAATGAGCAACATCGCCACAATCATTGCAACCTACAAAAAACATCTACCATAATTACAGTACCTCCGGATTACTGTACCTTAAATCCAAAATGCATTTGAATCCTTCGAATCATTGTCTTGATTTACTTTCTTTTAGTTTTTGTTTCCATATAAAAAATGAGAGTGTTTGGGGAATTTTGGGGTTTTTATAGGGACCAACGTGACCTAACTTTTTGCCGAGAATTGTTTTTTTTAAAATTTTTGGCGAAATTTTTTCTTTGCGTACACACATTTATTTGAAAAATGACATAAATACAGTAATCCAGAAATTGCCAATCAAGTTATTGGATCAAAATTTGTTAGCTTCAGATTTCAGAGATCCACCGTAATCTAGTAAATTTAAAGATATTGTAAGTTTTCAGAAAACAAAACTAATATTTCATTTCTGTCAGTTTCTCTAGATCAAAGCCGGCCTCCCAACAGCTACATTAATCAAATGAAAACTCTGAAAAAAAGTGCATATCAAAATTTGATCTGCTTTCAATTTTAGAAATTTGAGGTTACTACAGGTTGGCCGTTAATTACCCGCACAAGCCAAATTTTTGTTGAACCAGCTCAGATTCTTATCAAAACGTCCCAAACTTGTTACCGTAATTATAATTATTTAGTTTCACCTATTAAAAAAAATAATCGAAGTCTCATAGTGATTCTTCATGTTTGAGCCAAGTTAGAGGGGTTGTCCGGGACAGTATGAAACGCAAAAACAAGATTTTTTGCACGCTCTGTTTTTTTCGAGTGATTTTCATACTTCGCGTGATAAATTTGAAACAATTTCGGAACTTTTAGAATCATAGCAGAATTTAATGATGTTTTTTGGGTATTAAAAAAGAAATTTAGCGAGATTAGACCCTCTGAAAAATTATTGAGATCATTTCTGGTCGTGTTTTTAAAATTGACCGTTTTTTGATAGAAATTTTATAAAATGAGGTCAAAATCGAAAATATTGTTAGGTGTGGGAAATGTGAGATCTGTATAACCAAACCAAGCCTACTAGTTACATTTAACATAAAAAAATACCATGGATTTATCTCACACCACGATGGTGAACATGATAAATATTAAAAATTGAGTTTTTGAGTTGAAAAATCCGTTTTGAGAGGTTCACTTTACTGTTCCTTATTCTTGTTCCAAAAATTTTGTGAATCATTTCCGTCAAGGATCAAGCACGTCTAGGGTTTATCCTAAAATTCTGAACCGGAAACATATAATTTGAAACTATCAATGAGTATAGAAAGCTCAATCATATCAAAAAAAGCAGCGTGCCTGATGCGAAATTCTGAAATTCATTCCCGATATCCCAGCTACCCTTAGACCGAATTTATGACAAGATTCTATGTTAAAATGATGAACACAATATCTGGGAATAATATTTGAAACCAGAAATCATATCTACATTTACTGTTCAAACTTGGGACCATATTGCATTTGTGCGGGTAATTAACGGCCATCCTGTATATGGTGTAGCGGTTGTCGTTTTGATTGCTGGTGCAGTTGCATTTTATTGTTATCGTAAGAAGAAAGCTGCAAAAAACTTGGGAAACAATGCGCATGGCAAGAAAACAATGTCAACTTCAAATTCAAATGATAAATTGTCTGCAAAATCGCCAACAGCAAAACCAAGTCCAAATGGATGGCTAGCTAAAAATCCATTCGTCTAATCCAAACTTGTGTTCTATTTTTATTTACTCGTTTTTTGATGTTTCCCAATTACTTGTTGTTGTCAAAATGAACATTTATGATATGAATGTAAAAGTGTTCTTTAACATCCAATTGCGCTTTACCGCGAAAAAGTGTTTTGAACTTCATTTATTTAATTGAACAAAAAAGCTTCAAATCCCGTTCCTTCGGTGTGTGTTTCAGTGCAGTGCGGTCTGATTTGCATCAAACCTAGACCTGGACCGCTTTCTGACAAAACATAGGAGACGGACCCAAAAAAATCGGACTATTAGCAGAAAATAAATGATGCAAAAAAAAATCGGGAAAAACTTGAAGATCAAAATGTATTTCATAAAAAACATGAAACGACTGGCTAATTTTGAAAACGACCGGCTAAGAATGAAACGACTGGCTAATTTTCATTCTTGCTGCTACGCAGCCTTTGGCTACATGTTTTTGTCCGTATCTTACAGTAATGTCTCATAAAGTTTTATAAAATTTTGTCAATCAAAAACATACGGTTCGAAAAATTTAGAAAAGTGAAATCCCAGAGAGTGTTTCTTGATAAACAAACAGGAAAAGGTTTCCATTTTTATTTTTAAAAAAAAGATTGAACAAAAAGAAGTAGTTTCTTTATGGGGTGAGTCAATTTTATTTTTTGACGATTAATTGACACAAAATGTGAGTCATTTTTGTGCGATTTTTTCACGTTTTTGTCGATTAATTCCATCTTTTTTTGCAATTAATTGCATTCAAAAATGAGGAATTTCAATATGAAATAGAATTTATTTGACCTCTTTTTTGAAACGTGTCCCAAATTCACTGCTTATTTTTTGAATTCATTTCGAAATGAAAGAAAATTGAGAGAAGACAATTTTTTGTTGATAATTCCAACTCATATAGGTCACGTTTTAAAATATAGGTCAAATAAATTATATTTTTTATGCAATTAATCGCATTTTTTGCCAAGAAATGAAAGCGAGGAATTGACAAAAACGTGAAATTAATCGCCCTAAAAGACTCACTTTTTTTGTCAATTAATCGCAAAAAACACGTCGATTAATTCGATTGACTCACCCCATTAGAAACTAAAAGATTTTCAACAGATGATTTAATATTAATTTCAGATTTTGATAAGCATCTTTCTAGACAAAACACCTTTTTTGCTCAATTTTCCTTAAAAAATGTCGATCCAAATTTTTACTGTTGCAAATTTCTGTTAGAGCTAGGTACCGAATCTCAGAAAAACAAGTTCATTCAAAACAAATCACAAGTAAAAAAAAATTAATAATCTCCAGTTCCTTCTGATTCTGCAGGTTTTGGTTTCTTTTCAGTTTTGGGCTTATGTATTCTGAAAACAAAATATTAAAATTCGATGTTCATGAGCTTAAGAAAACTCACATCGCAAAAACCATCAGAACTCCAATAGAAAAAACGGTATAACCAATTGCGATATACACAAATACTTCATTGAAATTCAAAATTTCAAAAAGCATACGGAACGAGTTTGTATATAGTTTTTGCACTATTTTGATATCTTCTAACTTTTTCTGGGAAGTAGATTTCAATAAACTGGTATATATGCTTTTAGATTTTTCCATTGATTTAGAAATGCGGAATTTCGACGAATCAAACTCAGAAGCAGGTATGATGTATTTATAATCATCCTGCAAAGATTCCCGGATCTCTGAAATTCGAAAAATCGGAAAACTCAGCATAGCAACTTGCGCTAGCATCATCAAAAGCACCAGGAAAATATGGGGATAGAATGGAAAAATAGCAAAGAATCCCAGGAATCCAAAAATCATCAGCGGTATTATTTCAGTCTTTTCCATTGAAATTTGAAAATGGTTTACTGTTGGATGCAAGCGCACTGTTTCTATCATTGATAAGAGATCTTGAGCTCGCTTAACTTCGTTTTCAACTTGATGGATGCATATAATTCCAATGATTAGTTGTGGAATAGCGATTAGAATAACTAGACTTCTCGAAAGAAATCGCATTTTGATTCGCATTTTTGGAGGCATTCTGGAGGGTAGGAATGAGGAGAGCATTAAGCAAGGGTTCTGGATCTTTCACGTTTCTGGGGTCAGGTTAACACGTAAGACTGACAAGGTGAATTAACTGTTTCATCTTTGGTTACTGTAGAATCCACAATTTAGATTAAATTTTGGTTCCAGAATCAATTTTGCATCGAGTTTTGGGCAAAAAAATGAAAACAATACGAGACCAAAACTCGTATTGTTTCAGTTTTCTGGAAATCCACACTAAACTCAAAAATAAGATTTTTCCTTAAAGCCTTGAATTCAACCAATTTTTTTCTGAAAAATGAAGTTTAAAACATAGTGCACCTTTTGATTCACATAAATGTTCATTTTGACAACAACAAGTAATTGGGAAACATCAAAAAACGAGTAAATAAAAATAGAACACAAGTTTGGATTAGACGAATGGATTTTTAGCTAGCCATCCATTTGGACTTGGTTTTGCTGTTGGCGATTTTGCAGACAATTTATCATTTGAATTTGAAGTTGACATTGTTTTCTTGCCATGCGCATTGTTTCCCAAGTTTTTTGCAGCTTTCTTCTTACGATAACAATAAAATGCAACTGCACCAGCAATCAAAACGACAACCGCTACACCAACAGCAACAATTATAATAATCATTGTTAAACTGAGTCCTTCAGCATCATCTTCAGAATTTTCCACTTTTTTCAGGCTAATATCATAACATTTTGAATCTTCATCTATTTTCAATCTAATACAATAACGATTTGGTCCGCAATCCGAATTTATATTACAAGTTTTATTTGCATTTTTTGCATCCAATGTCTTTTTTCCAGCCGCAACAACAAAACCGCCTTTACAATATGCTTCGAGTATAGTTATTGGTAGTATTTGATTTTCGTCACATTGTGTTCTTGACACGAAATCTTCAATCAAACCAGGACAACAACGAAATATCGGTTTCTGCAAAATTTTCGAATTCTATTCTCTACATATTGGTTTGTATTATATTGTAATATAACCAATGTAACCTGACTGTACAAAAATATTTAGAGAAAATCATTGCACACCCCAAAATATCCGTTTAGTTTCAAAGTAGTTAAAACGATCTTTTTGGAAGTAAATTCTGTAGCTACAGTGGAGTGAATTTCTCGAAAAACAAAGTGTAGGTACAGAGTTCATTCATTGTATTCACATTTTATTAATTTGTACAATCAGGTCACAGCGATGATTTCTGACAACTCACGTTGTACAAACCCTCTTTGAATTTTTTGCAAACTCCAGTATTTTGATGACTGTTGGTACACGTTTTACCTTCTTCTACACAATTCTCTTCATTAAGCATAACAATACCTTGTTGACCATCACAAAAACTGCCTTCACTCAAATCTGAAATGTCCTAACATAATGTTTTAATTGATATTTTGTTTTTTTTACCTAAACAACATAATCCACTTTTTCTATAACAAAAAGCACTAAGGTCATCTTGATCTTGGAAAGCTTTGTAATATTTCCCCTCATAACAATCTGATATTTGTGAACATGTTTTATTAGTTTTAAGAAATGGGCATTCTCCGCTACAAAATTTTTCAAAATCCTTACGACATTCTGAAAATTTGAATTTGATCTATCAAATAATATATATCAATTTTCTCAGAATACTTACCAAATATTTGCGGCTTTATTAAATCCGGAATGGAAATACAAACACATCCTGATGGGAAATTTATATATATTATGAGGAGAAGAATAATATAGATTGGTGTTTTCATAGTGGAATTTTTTCGAGCACTGAATCTCAAAAATCTGTGATTTTCACAAATCGGAGCAGGCGTGTTGAATTTAGACTGACGTTGTCTTGTTCAAGGTCAGTTCACGTATTTAAACGTCACGTGACCTGAAACGTCATTTTTTTCGGGAAAAAATGGCCCAGTTATTATAACTAGATTTTTTCCCAGTCCTCGGGTTTCTAAGATTATTGATTTTCAGCTTCAGAAACTTCAAAACTTTTAAGTTGCAGTACATTTTAAAATCTGAAATGGTTAAGATCAAGTGAGTATTTTTGCTAACCTTGATTACAAAATTCATGTCAGGATTGGACCGAAATTTTGAAGAGTTTTTGAATATTTTGTAAAAAAAATTAACGTCAAAAATTTATTTACTTTTCTTTTTTGAAACATTTTTTCAAAGAATTTTGGATATTAAAGATTTTGCTCCCCGTGCATATCCCAAAAAATGTATTCAACGTCATTTTAGCGTGACATTTGGCGTGATAGTGACCGTGACCGTGTCACGGCCCCCACGTCACCATGAGATAAGATCTCAAAAATTAGACTATAAAAAGGCTGCGCGAACATTCAGTATATGAAAATCAGCGGATTGTGCAACAAGATTAACAAAGAATGGGCGTCAATTTTACAAAGAAGATAAAAATAAAAGGAATGGTGAAGATGCTGATCGGTTTGGTTGGAATCGTTAATTTGGGAATGGGCATTTATGTGGTGATTCAGATGCAGGAGTGAGTTTCAGGAAAAAAAAAAGAACTTTGCGCCTTGAAATTCGGCGTATGTGTGTACTCTGAATTTCAGCAGAACCTTGTTGTTTTTGGTGAATATTTTATTTGAAACATTGTTTTTTTTTTCAGAGAAACCAAAGCAACTGATCCAATCAAAAGTGGTTTATCAACTTTTGGCAACAAAGGTTATACAGCTGGAAATTCTCAAACGAAGGGTGTTGTTATGCCATTTGTTGTAGCCCTTGTCTGTTTTGCTGCTGCATTTATGCCAATGGCTGCCGTCTTCTATTTACTATTGATATTGGTTTTAGTAGAGATTGGTGGTTTCATTTGGTCAATGGTGGCTGTTTCTGATATCACAACATATATGCAACCTCATTATTTGTTGGTCAAAGATATGGCTGAAACTGCAAAGAAAGAGAAAGGAGGACGTAAAAAGCGTATAGCTATTCCAATCATCGGGCCAATTCTCGGAGGCATCGTCAAGTTAGCTAAACCATTCTTTGAAATGTTTGGAAGCATTTTTGCAAAAGCTCTAGATTATGTGAAAGGTTTCGTAGGACGAATTCCGGGTGTTGGTAACTTTATCAACGGTTTGTGTTTTTTTGGGATCCTAATAAAATGTGACCTATCTTTCAAAAATATGAGTGCGGGTGAATTTTTCGAATTAAAAACCATTAATTTTGCAGGCTTTTTTGGTGGCGAAGAGAAGACACAAAAGGCAGTGGAAAAAATCAGAGATAAACCGCAACTTATGGAACAACTTGCTCATTTAACAGAAGTTCTTGAGAAAAGCAAATTGGTGGCTGAAATTGGGATTGGAGTTAGTGCGTTGACTGCTGTTTTTGCCGCTGGATTGGTTGTGTGAGTTGATTTATTTTGACCCAATAGATTACAAATTGGGTTTTGCGTCGTCATATATTTCCAAAATTGTTTTTCAGTTACTACACTTTGAGCAACAGAAGAGAAGCAAGATCACAAGCATCGCGCTACAACTCCACATCTTCAACTGCTGAAAGTGGATATTCAATTTCACCAGCCACTCAACATCATTCACTCTCACCTCATCATCATTCCAAATCACCATCAACTTATCGCCCTAAATTACCTTCAACTCATCATTATCATTCGAGTTCACCAACATCTCATTATTCCCCAACAACTCACCATTCGCCAGCTACTCGTCATCATCATCATTCAAGACCACCAACATCACGTTATTGATGAGCACTTATTGTTAGCTCTTTTTTTTTTTGGTTCATCCCCTTTTTTTACTTGTGATTTTTTCCTTACTTGTGTTTTTAATAAGAAAACAATGAATTTTTTTGAATTGGAGATCTTCTTTTGACATGATAGAGGTCATAGGTTCGATTCCTATTGCCTGCAAAATTTTTCTGGAATTCTATGAATGATATTTTTTGAATCTAGTGATTAGAAAAAAGAAAAAAATAGAAAAAACATATGAATCAATTAATTTGAAAAAAAATTTCACGAAAGTGCAATTCACGAAACGACAGGAACAAGCATAAAAATAAAAAGGAACTATTGAAAAGATACGTGAGATGAATTGTACCTCTAGTTTCACATCAAAAGATTCACACCCAGTTGGAAAAAATGATCCTTTAAGGATGTTTCGCCCTTAAAGTATACTGTTATGTCCTTAAAGGATACTTTGTGAGGACACTTGAGCCCTGAAGGATATTTTCGGCATCCTTAAAATATTTTTTTCAAAATTGCGTGTGTTGAAGTTCTGCACAAAACTTTATTGTTTGGGGTTGCGGGTTCGATTCCTACTGCCACCGAACTATTTCATGGAATTATATGAATGATATTTTTTAAATCTAGGTTACGGTACCTACAGTAGTCCAGACCTAGCAAAACCCCTAGTTTTCACATCAAAAGGTGCACATTAAAATTCTATGATATTTTTCTCACAAAACTATAATACTTTCCAAGAAACAAGGTACCAGAATAATCCGAAAAATATGAACATTTTGCAGTACTATAATGTTTTTTTTTGAGTTAGAGTAGCAGGTTCGATTTCTACTGCCTGTAAATTGTTTATATTTTTTAGATTATCCGGGTATGGTGTTAAAAAAAGACCTATACGTCAAAAACGTGTCCTAGGTTTCAAAACCTGACCTCAATTTGAAATAGGTGACCTAGGGTAAAATTGGCAAGGGTCATCCAAAACGTCAGCAGATTCAGTTCTAATTGAAAACAATTATGAAAACGACTTTAGTCTATCTTCTCATTCTCTACACAATTCGTGTTCATGCTCAATGTCCGGACATTCGAATTGATGAAAGCCTTCAAGATAAATGTAATGGCACTGCCGAATGCAAATCGAAGTTTGGAGGAACCGGAATATGTTTCTGGGTATGCATGTGATTACTTTTCCCTCTTTTTTGACGATTGTTTTTTTCAGGAAAATTGCTGTCCGGATCCCACTCTTGAGAATGCCTTTCAAACAAATACAAAATGCGATGAATCACGGCCTCCTGATTATTATTATTCATTCTGTAAAAATGGTTATGTTCACACAGTCGGCCAAAAACAATTGAAAACTGCTCATCAGAATAACACTAATTGTTTTCTTAACTCGCAATGTCCTGGTGAAAACAGCTATTGTGTAATCATGACAAAACATGGGGATATAAGAAAATGTTTTGTTATTGAATCTTGGGAAGCGAAAAAATTAGAAAAAGAGAATGAGAAGAAAGAGGAGGATAACAAAATGATGATGATTATAATTGTGGTTGGAGTTGGTGTAGTTGCGATTGTTATTATTGGAATTGTTGTTGGATGTTTGGTTTGTAAGAAGATGAAAAAAGGAAAAGTGAATCATGGAGATTCGGCGGAAAATAGTAGAGGAGATAGTCAAACTGAAAAGATAAAGGGGAAAACGAGCAAAGAGAAAATGAAGAAAGGAAAGAAGGGATTTGATGTTTAGAACTACTTGAGAGAGAGATACTGATTTGTATAATTGGTTATAAACTTGTTTGAATTTTGACAATTTTTGGAATTGCTAGGGGAAAAATCAGAGACTAGCTAGTTCTACAGAGATTTACTGTATCTCAAATTTTACTGATTTTTTTTATTTGGAGAAGGAGGCACTCTAAAATTACACTAACCCTGGAATACTATTTCCGAGGCTCCTAAAACATCTTGGGAATCAAAAAGGGAGAAGGATTACTGTAACTCAAAATTAATTGATTAATTGTTTTGAAGAGCTACTTCTTTAGCTACACCTACATATCTTATAGCTAGACCTGAAAAGTTTATTGAGCTGAGAGAGCTTCTGGGTAGAATTACAGAATTTCAGCCTTCGATAGCACAATATCAGAGAGCTTTTAGCTTCAGTTAGACCTAGAGAGTTCAAGGCTTTTTACAAAAATTCATTACTTCTAAAAAAATCAAAAAAATTTTCACCCCAAAAAATTAAAACTCCGTGACCTAATTTTTTTGTCACAAGATAAGATCTCGAAAATCGCCTATAAAACTGGACAACGAGAAGTTAGAGGAACATATTTGTAAAAAAGTGAAACGAGATTAACCATGGGGTTTGGACGAGCGATGAAGAGTGTTCGAAAGAAGTACAGAATGCATACGGCTTCGAAAATCATTCTTGCTTTGGTCGGAATTGGGCACTTGGTTCTGGGCATTTATACGGCGGTTCATTTGGGCGAGTGAGTTTGAGCGATTGACTAGATGTCCGAAGCTAAGGAGCCGAAAAAAATTATTATTTTTGTAGAGAGCAAGACGCAGCAGCACCAATCAAAGCCGCTCTCGCACAACACGGCAAAAAGGGCTACACAGACAGCAATTCACAAGTGAAAGGTGTCTTCATGCCATTTTTCGTCGCCCTATTTTGTGTGGTCGCCGCAATCATGCCCTATAACGGAGTGCTCTATTTTCTGTTCTTTTTGACTTTGTTGGAAATTGCCGGATTCGCTTGGGAAATGGTGGCTGTTGATAAAATTAATGAACATCAACATGGACATTATGCATTGGTGATTGCGGTTGCAAAACAAGTACAAACGGAAGGAGAAAAACCAACAACACCCGGTAGAATAAGAAAGAAACGTTTTGTTGGGGCAATATTTGCTGCTGTTACGGCTGCTCTTCCATTTATTGACAAAATTACAACGTTTATAGCGGACGCAGGGACTTTTGTAGCAACAACAATTAAAACTATTGCGCCACATTTGGTTAGTACTATAAATCGTAAGTAATTTTGAACACTTCATCAAAATCAGACTCAAAAATTGCAGGTCTTTTTACTAAACAAGAGTCCGAGGGTCTTGTTAAGACAATAATCCACAATAAAGACCTGTTAAGGCAATATGCTACTTTGGCAGAATGTCTTGAAACAAGTAAATTGTTGTCGGAAATTGGACTTGGGGCTAGTATTGTCACTGCAGTTCTTCTTATTGCAATGCTTATGTGAGTTCAGCCGATTAGATTTTTAGGATTGTAACCTCCTTTTGCAGCTTCTACACATGGGACTACAGAAAATCGCAAAGTATGATGACATCACCACATCATTCGCCACATCATTCTAATCCATCGCCTCATCGTTCACCACATCACCAAAAATATACTTCTTCGAATAATGAAACTGGAACCACAACTTCGCCAACTCCTGGAGTCAAATCACCATATACTATGTTTTAAAGCAATAAATGATTAGAGTGTACATTACAGTGCATATTAAATGAGCCTTGAAATTCTGAACAAAGCCCAGTTCAATTTATTGAGGGTTAGATTTTCTGGAAAAGTTTAGAATGTGATTTTTCAAGTGCTCAGCACTGTAGGTAGAATACTTGGAATTCATCAGTTGGGTATTCAAAAATGTGCTATAAAGTTCTACCATGCCAAATTTGATGGGTAAATAATGATTGAGACCACATGTAGACATCATAGAGCTAAACATAGGTAGACTAAGAATTTGTTATTCTTAGGCTTAATTAGGCTAAGGCTTTGGTCTGAACTTGGTAACTGTGGTCCAATTGAGTGAAAATTTCAACGGGGTCTCATTCATGACGAGTTTGTTTTCTTAAAAACTTGAAAATACACAATAAAACAACATACATATTTCTGTGACGTAGTTATTATTTTTTTTTCAAGTTACGTGACCTAGATAAAATAAAAATGACTCGACTCATCAAAACGCCATTAAAATCAGTTTGAAAAGAAAACTAGAATGAAAGCAACGACTTTTTTCGTTCTCCTCATAATATTTATCATTCGTGTGTATTGCAATTCGGAATGTCCGTCAACCTTGATTCCATTCTATGAACAAGATGCGTGTAATAAAAGTGAGCCGCAATGCAAATCGTCATTTGGCGAAGTAGGACAATGTGTTGAGGTATGTGGTAAAGCAATTTTTCCAACTTTTCTACATTAAAGCTTATTTTATTTTTAGGAATCCAGATCGAATGAATACGGTCGTTGCTGTCCTGACAAAACTCTTCCACACGTTTTTCAAACCAATACAAAATGCGATGAATCACTACCCATTGATGATGACTATGATTATACATTTTGCAAAAATGGAAAAATATACACAATTGGTCAGAATCACTTGAAAGTTCCATATGGGAAGAACAAGGATTGCATTCTCAATTCAGATTGTCCCGGTGAAAACAACTATTGTGTAACAGTCATAATTATACAATCTCGAAAATGTTTTATAATCGAATCACCGAAAAAAAAGGAAGATAGTAACACTATGATGATTATAATAATCGTTGCAGTCGTTGTGATTTTGATTGCAGTTATTGTTGGATTGGTTGCCACGTTTTTGATTTGTAAGAAGAAGAAAGGGAAGGGTGGACAGAAGAGCTCGGCTGAAAATACTAGAGACAGTCAAGCTGAACAGAAGAATAAAGGAAAAGCGAGTAAGGAAAAGGCTAAAAAAGGAAAGAAGGGATCGAATGTATAGAAATTGATTGAATTATGGTAGAGTAGATTATAAAGTGATTTTTTGTGTGAACTTGTTGAAAAATCGATTATAGAAGATAGAGCAGAATTTTCAAACTTTTGTTTGATAAATATATAGTTATCAGAGTTTCACGTGACTCAGATAATCAGAAATAGAAAAAAAATCTGGTCCAAAATTGAATTATTTCATAGTTTGTTTTTCAATACAATCTGGAAGCTGATCCTATAGCTTCAAGTGTAATTCAAAGCTTCATCTAATCATTTAAACATAGTAATTTATAAACAACTTTCCTTTAACATCAATAGTAATTATGGATAAAAAACTTTTTCAAATCTCACCTGTTAATTTTGCTCCCCCCCCCAAACCTCAAAAGAAACTAACTTGACTGGCCGCCTGTTCCGTGAGAAGTTGTTGATCTCTTTGAATATCCTGTCCAAACAAAGCATCTTCTTGTTCGGAAGCCTGAAACTTCGACATTCTTTTTCTCAAAATTTTCGCCTATTCTTAATAAACTTACATAAGAAAATGATGACAATTGTTGATTTTATGGGAAAAACCCCTGCACTCTGTGACGGCTGTCTCTGAAAAAATAAGAAAATTGAAAAATGTACCAATCCACCTCATTACTAACGTTTTCTGCGCTGAAAAAACCACTCAAAAACCAGGAAAAAAAAACAAAAAGTAAAAATGACGCGCAAAAAAAAATAAAAGCAAAACAACGGTACTCCGCGTGCGCGTTGTTTAGCGTGTTTATTTTGTTGTTTTTTTGCAGGGTAGATGAGAGAGTGTGGGAAATGGAGAGAGGGTTAGAGAGAGAGAAAGAGAGAGAGATATGTTTTTTATTTGAAAAGGATATATTGATTGAACGTTTTTTTTTCGAACTGAATCATTTTTCTGGTTTTTTTAGAGCAGAAAATGTTATTAATTGTTTAATTTTCTCATTTTTCTAGAGACAACAGTCACAGAATGCAGCGGTCCCATAAATTCCACAATTGTCATTATTTTCTTATGTAAGTTTATTAAGAATAGGCGAAGATTTTGAAAAAAAGAATGTAGAAGTTTCAGGCTTCCGAAAAAGAAGATGTTTCGTTTGGAGAGAACATTCAAAAAGATCAACAACTTTTCACGTAACGGACCAGTCAAGTTAGTTTATTTTGAGGTTGGGGGAGGAGCAAAACTAACAGGTGATATTAGATCTTCATTGAAAAATATTGGGTAAAGTTGTTAATTCATAATTACTATTGATGTTGAATGAAAGTTGTTTATAAATTACTCTTAATTACACTTGAAGCTACAGGATCAGCTTCCAGATTTTATTTAAAAAGAAACTATGAAATAGTTCATAGGTAGATTAATTTTTTCATAGTTTTATGCACGCGATTTCCAGTTTGTTTTGAATTTATTTTTTTCTTTTATAATCTATGTCCCATTAAACTTCACAATTTGTATTCCCAGGCGTAACTTTTTTTAAAGAAATTTTTTTCTCACGTCAGCTTAGCTGTGAAAAATAGGGTTTTCTTTAAAATTTAGAATTTTTGAGGATTTTCCTAGGGGCACCGCCCCTAGTCTCCAGATGAAAATCTCAGAATGATATATTTCTGGAAATCTTCAAACAGTTACAATTCATTCATTAATAAAATCAGTCAATATACTCATCATCATATTCATCTTCTTCATAATCAATATTTTCATCACTATCTTCATTTTCATCATATTCTTCACTACATAATCCAGATCCATTTGCACTACATCTCATTCTATCCCTAGCACAATTGTCACAAGCCTGTCCAGCTTCATAAACCGATTCACCAACAGTTCTCGCCTCATTCCAAATACACAAAAAATAGGTGTTCTCGCCATGTTTTTTTCTTCCCATTTCCTTCCAATTTTCATCAATCATAAATTGACCAGCACATCCCAAATGTGTTGCATTTGCCCAGATGATTTGTAAAGCATCGCCCGCGATTTTGTTCGTTCTTCTTGACAAAGCTTTAGATGGTCTGAAGTTGTTGGGAAGTCTGTTTAGATATCGGATTGTTTTGTCCCAAATATATTTGATGAAGAAATTTCGGTTTTGGATAAATTTTGAGTAATGGAAGACGAGAATGCCTAATTGACGATATACTTCATCGTTCGATGTTGGTTTATATTTCCTGATTATCCTAAGAGCAACATTAGCTAGATCAGTGTCGTATGTCTTTAAAAAAAGGCGTGTCTCAGGCTTAGGCTCACCTTAGGGCTGTTTTAGGGTATCCTAGTTAGGATATGTGAACTCGCCCCTAGGTTATTATGACGTGGACAAAACTCACCAACTCATTCATATTCGACGCATTTTCCCCTCTAAAACTCCCAAAAACAAGTTCACTTCTCAATCGATTATGCACCGCTACAACATCTCTTCCAACTTCATCCCAATTAAATTTCGCATTCAACTGATCAACATTGTATTCATCATATATCTCCTCATAATCATCCAGTGATATTTCAACACAAAGTCCACTGCTTCTCTCACATTCCATTCCAAGATCATTTGAACATTGCGAACATTTCGGGCCAATTTCATAGATTTCCTGCTCAACCCGCGCAACTTCATTGTATTTGCACACCAGAACCGTGTGCTTTTCACCCTCTTCATCACGCCAATATTCGCCGGCGCATCCGATTTTCCTTGCTGTCGCCCACAGAATTTGAATCGCATCGGCAGCCACATCAAACATATATTTGGAATATCTATCAGGTGTCCAGTCAGATATCGCAGTGATTTGGGAGAGTTTTTCGCGCCAAATATCTTTTGACAGAACACGCAAATTGGTGACGAATCCGGGTGAGTAATGAACTAGTATACCTTTTGCACGATGTTCGGGAGTGGTGAATTTTGGATGGGTTTTTGCGATTGATTTGGCAAAGTAGGCTAGGGTAGGCACGTGCACCTGAAACAGATCAATCGTTTTTAATGTTTCATGTTTTTAAAAATTTAAATTTCAAAAACAAAAGTAACTTCGAGTCCGATTTTCTAAAATTTTAAAAATTATCTTCATTTTCTCTTCAAATCTAATCCGAAATATACAAAAGTCTTTTGAACTTTTGTAACATATACAAACTTTTTTCCAAATTTAAACCATTGATGCATAAGTTTTCACAACTCACCAATTTATTCATATTCGCCGCCGTGAATTTCTGAATCCCATTTTGTGCCACAAAACTTCTCAACTCATTTTGATATTCCACAAGTTTTTCGATTGTTTCTGACCAATCCGCTTTAACTTCTCGAGATTCACCTGAACCATCGTGACAAATGAAACTTGGAATGAAGAGGAGAAACAGAAAAATCATTTTTTGAATTATAGAAAAATGAAAAAAAGAGAAGAATAGCTTGTCTGGAAATCGTAAAAGTTCTGAATTTTCCATATTTTTTCGCTAGAAAATAAAAAAAAATAATAAAAATTCAACGTCGCGCGGCCCTTTTTTGGCCAAGATAAAATCTCGAAATTTTTCCCATAAAAGGCTGGTTTCCAGTCAGTTTAGACATTTTTTAGGGTTCCATGCGATTCCCAAATTCTAAATATCGATAATAAGATAACATCAATGAAGATTCAAGGAGTTAGTGTTCAAGAAGTTATGGTAAGTCATAGGGTTAGGGTAGGAGATGCGGTAACAGATTTTTTTTCAGAATTGTGTATTCTTGGCGAATTTTATGATGAGTAGAGCTGCAAGAAGATTCAGGAGAATTTGCGAATTCTTATAATCTCAAATAAATTTTCGTGGTTTTTTGTTTTTGCACATTGTACTTACAGTAACTCTTGAGAATTTCAAAAATTAGATTTTCATTTTCAACCACAAAAATATGCAGACTTTCCTCATTAAAAACGTGAAACGAATAATTTTCCACGTGAATTGCGTGATGATTTGGGAACATTTCATTTTCTGATTATTTATTTTCAGTTTCTTAAAAAATGAAAAGTGAGTGTTTTTTTCAAGGAGCCTGGCAAGTCTGGCACTCTTTTCTTGAGTAAACTATAATTTTGTGTAGAAATCAAAACGAGAAAAATTGCCTGGATTTTATTGTCGATTTTTGTCACAATTACTTGGATTTTTCTGTGCGATTTTGAAGGTTGGTATTTTTTTTTTGAAAAAAAAAAGATTAAAATAAAACTATACAGACTCCGATTACCTTTCCGATCCGCCATGCAACAAATCGATCAAAATCTTCACAGCCACTGGATTTTTCGGCCAAAAAATTTATCCAAGGTTTTTATCGCATTGCTCAGAAGAAATTCGGAATTATTGTGGAATCACGAGAAGAAAACCTGATTTTGAGAAAGCTGACGCGGTTGTTTTTCATGCCAGAGATTATAGTTATTGGGTAGGAACTTTTTTAAAAACCAATTTTTTTCGATCTACGAATTTTCTAGAAATCTCGATGGTTTTTCTCCAACAGAAATTTCACAATTCCCTATATAATTTGGACCATGGAATCTCCGATTTCCGAGCAAAATTTTCCAAGTTCTATGAACTTGACAATGTCCTATGATAGAAATTCGGATATACATTTTCCTTATGGAAATTTTCGACGACATCAGAAATCTGGTGAAAATTTGGAGGAAATTTGGAAAATGAAAAGAAAATCGGCTGAAAGTGGAGCTGAAATTGCATGGATGGTTTCGAATTGTGAGACAGAAAATCGAAGGATGGAAATTGTACAGAAATTGATGAAATTGGGATTGAAGGTTAGTAGTTTTGAAACATCTGAATATTCTACAAAAACAACATTTTCAGATCGATATTTTTGGAAAATGCGGAATTCCCCCCAAGAAATGTTCGATCTCAGAAGCCACTTCAAAATGTGAATTCGATCTAATTTCTCCCTACAAATTCTACATTTCAATTGAAAATTCGAATTGCAAAGATTATATAACTGAAAAATTTTGGAGAAATATCAGAAATCGATTTGTTGTTCCAATTGTTTTGGGTAAACAATTATATTTGAATGCTGGAATTCCGGAAAAATCTTTTATTGCTTTGGATGATTTTGAAAATCTTGAAAGATTCAAGAATTTTATAGAAGATATGGCTGAAAACAAGACGAAATATCTGGAATTTCATGAATGGAGAAATGAATTTGAGTGAGTAGAGTGTAGCCCGAAGACTTCCGCAAAATCTGAACTTTTCCAGAATTGACGATGTTCTTGGCGAAGGTAGTGATAATCATGGATTTTGCAAATTGTGTCAAGATTTGAGATCTAAAAAATATTCAAAATCTTATTCAAAACCAGTTGAAAATTGGCATAAATTAGAAGACTGTGATTATAAATTAGGATATCGATTTTTGGATGATTATTGAATTATGGAACACAATTCAAAACTGTTTGTTTTTTTTAAATGAAAATTGAAAATAAATAGTTTTCGAAAAATTGTTGCATTTTGAAACAAAAAAAAAGTAATAGATCAAAATTCAGATCAAGTAGATCAAAATTTTCTACTCAATTTTCAGCTACCAAAATTACTGCAACTCTGCGAAATTTCCCTGAAAACTTCCAAGATCCACAAAAAATCAATAATTTAAAGGCACACACGACAAGATTTCGAAAATATACACGATTTGCAGAAAATTAGGGGAAGGAAAAATAAATTAGAAGTGGTAGATCAAACAAAAATTATCTGAGACGGGAGAAAAATGAATTTTGAAATATAAAAGAAAACATTTCAGAGGGAATTTTGAAGTTGCTTGAAAATATTGTTGGCATGATTTATCAAAAAATTGTTTTGGTCCGGATTTGATTGACTGAGAATTGTTGAAACCGATGAGACAATCTGAAAAAAATTCAGCATTTTTTAAATTGCCACGTGGCAAAATCCACCCTGAACTCACCATTTTCACCATATGTCGATAAGTGTCAAATTCCTCATTTTTCTTATCGATTTTCGTCTCGAGTTCCTGGATTTTTAGCCAACTTCCATTGCAATCCTTACATCCTGGCTCGGAAATTCGGCCTGAAGTTGTGGATGAGGAAGATGGTGAGACTGAAGATTGACTCGATTCGAGGCAGGATTCCAATTGGAGTGGCGATGCTTTTTGAGGGCTGGAAATTTTTTTTGGAATTTCAAGTCTTGTAGAGCTCAATGAGCTGAACAGAATTTTGTAAAAGGTCGCGGGTTTTTCTGATCAACAGAAAGAAAACATATTGACCAAAAATAATATTTGTATGACAAATCGTAATGTTCGACTGAAGAATGTGTCATTACAACAAACTATGCTAGGAAAGGAGAACGCTGAATATCATTATTGTTTTTTGTGTTTCTTTCTAACTAACATATATGTATGTATGTTTTTTTACAAATATTACTATTATAAATATTAAATTTATACATACGACTATTATGAACCGGGTTGGGATTTGACAGGTTCGATTCCCCCTTGCGCCTATTTTTTTTTGAATTTGAGATTTTTTGGTAGAGGTTTTCCTGACCAAATTAAAAATCTGAAACTCAAAAATCAAATTTTTATGCTCCAAAATTGAAAACCACAAATTCGGTATCTCTAAGGCATTGCTCATATTAAAAACTCGATTTTTGTTTTTCCATATGATCATTGAAAATTTTATCTGAAAAATTTTTAGCTGAAAAAATTTGATCCACGGTAGTTCTAACAATATTTGTAAGCTATTCAGATTTTTTGAAAATTCACTCTACAGTAACCCTAGCGTACCTTGAAGCACACGATGTATCCGTCGCTGGATCCACATCCGATCCATTTCCACTTCCCAAAATCGCTCCAGGACCAACTACAGTACTATTACTACCCAAGGCGGCTACGGTAGTATCCAAAACCGGTGGGGGTACTGTAGTCAAATGATGCATATAAGTGTGGATGGCAAATGCTGACTGATTGGTGAAGCTCGATTTGCAGATCACACAAAATAGCGGGGCTGAAAACTTTGATTTTGAATTTTTGATAGGGGGAAAACTGCGCCAGGCTTGCAGAAAAGGGGCGTGGCCAACAACTCACGGGGTATCAAATTATTGTTATTCTGCTTGTTCTGCTCGATGAGAAGTGACGTAAACGCGGAGTTCTGTTGTTGTTGTTCTCGCAAACGTTGTGCCATTTTAGCGATATGATCTGCGGCTAGAACGGGATTGAATGCGGAAGTTGCGGAAGTTCCGGATGAAAGTGAACTTCTCGATGGCGACGATGGTTTTCCTTTGCATTTCAGATGATGCTCGTCGAGCATCACTTGCTTGAGGAAACTTCGACCGCATTGTTGACAAGAGTAGCCGCGTTCTTGGTGGATTTTCATGTGGCGATTGAGGTCGAACTGAAAAAAAATGAAATTTGGGAGGTTTTGATTGAAAAGCTACTTATTCTCCAGGGAGAATTTTAAGTTATTTAGAGATGTCAAAAATCTCACCTTAAAAATAAAAGTCTTGTGACACTGCTGACATTCGTGCGGCCGGCCGCCCGAATGAATCATCAAATGTTGTGTGAGATGACCTTTCTGCAAAAAATGAGGAGATATTTGTGTACTTCTCTCGGAGAAAAATAACTTACCTGAAAGAACGCCTTGTTGCAGTGTGGACAAACGTGTGATCTTTGGCCGGTGTGCCACATCCAGTGTTTTTTGAGAAGTTGACGGGTTCCGAATTCTTTGCCGCATTGAGTACACTGCAAAAAATAATGGAATTAAGTTAAGCCAGCTCCCATAAAAATGTCTAAGTCATTTAGGCTGGGCTTCTAAAAAAATATCATTCCTAATTTTTATAATCAATCAAAATGATTATTTTACGTGAACGTGTGACGTGGTTTGGGAAACAACACACAACCGCCCTTATTTTTATCATTTTTAGTTTTGTTGCGTGCATTTGATGGTTTATTTTTAGTCAGTTGGTTGTATTAAGTAAGTTTTTCATAAAGGTTTCTACATATTTGTGTAAACTTATTGTAACTATTGAACATTTCAACTGATAACTAAAGAATCTTTTATAGAATAGATTTTTGCAGAGTTTCTTCCCAAGTTTATAAAAAATAAGAAATGCGTCGTGCCAAACATGAAATTGTGTTTCATGCCAACACAAAAAGGAGATGTGGGAATATGTTCTTGTTAATATTGGCTGTAACTTTTTCAACCTTATTATATTCGATTGTCGTTTTCGAGAAGAAGTCGAAATTTCAATACACATTAAATTTATCAAACAAAAAAGCTGAAAAACAGCCAGATTGTTATTGTAAGTCAAAATTGAATCCGGATTTGGTTCATAATTTTTGCTATATTGATCCACACGATAATTCATCAATTGGTGAGAAATTCGATTGTTCAAGTTTGTCGATTTTAGAAAACTTAGGTGAGTTTTTTTTCTGTCCATTTTTCTATTCTGTTTTGTGTTTATCTAGGCACATTCAATTTCACTCAACAATTTGTGGATACAACGAAATCTTTTCGAGACCCTCAGGATGTTGTGTTCCTATCAGCTTGTTCAGATGATCATGTTATGGATGCTGAACAAACGGTAAATATGGTCTTAATTTTAATAATTAATCATGACTCATTCCAGTTCGCTACAGTTCAACAATTTTATCCAAATCAAAAACATATTCTATACGATATTGGAATATCCGAAGGAAATCGCAAAATGTTATTGAATAAATTCAAAAATGTTGAAATTAGACAATTCAAATTTTCCAAATATCCTCAATTTGTTGAACAATTATTGACTTATCGTTGGAAACCATTGATAATTGCGGTGAGTTCAAAAAGATTATTGAAATAATATTTTTGAATGATCGAAAAAAGTTGATTATTGTACATTTTAGGAAGTTCTTCGAGAATATCCGAATATTTGGTGGATGGATGCTCATATTATACTTATCGGAGGAGACTTCACTAATATCACATACGAGGAAAGATCTATTGAATTAGTGAACTCTGATATTATATTTTTCAAGCAGACAGGTCATAGTAATTTTGCAACTCTGTTTCCCAGTAAGATTTTATCGTACTTATATTGTCGAATAATTTTAAATCCAATTTTTCAGAAGTTCTGGAATATATTCCATCTGGTTCGTCTTCTTTATTGAAAAGCGAAGAATTTGGAGCTCAACTTGGCGCCAATATTTTCTACGTTTCAAGAACTCGCCAAACACTTGATTTGTTCAAATGGTGGCTTCTTTGTGCTTTGGACGAGACTTGTATGAATCCACCAGGAGCTAAAGTTCATTGTGAATTCGGACCTAATCGATTTGATTCTTTTGCGAATTGTTTCCGCTTTGATCAATCGGTTATTAATCTTCTTCTACTTAATCAATTTCAAGATTATCATAAATACACGGGAAGTGCTGGCTATCAATTTGAACGGAAATCCGTTTCTCGATTTTTCGACTTCAATTTTTTCGGTTATTTTTTTTAGATAAATGGTTATTTTTTGCTTCTGATAAATAGTGTTTTTTTTCATGGTTTTTTTCTATTGAATTCATAATATCACTCACCATATGCGGCATTTCTCCACTATGAATTCGTTGATGTGTAGCCAACTCCCTTTTGACAGTAAACATCTCATGACATTCTTCACATTCATATCCGCCAGCCGGATTTTTGAGACTCCTAGATACTGTGGATTCGGTGTCCGAAATTGGATCATCTTCCATTTTCATGTCGATTTCCTGGAAAAATGTTGCTTGTTGGTTGAAAATTCACAAGTTTTAGTGGTAGAGGATTTTTCGGCCCAAATCAAAATAGAAAAAAGCACGGCATGGTACGAAAACAGTACTATTACAACACGCAAAAAAAGTGAGACAAAATTTTGTGATGAAAAAAAGCCGCCGCCGTTTTTTTTCGTCTTTTAAAAAGCCTACTTGGTGAGTGTGTATGAGCAAAAATTTTATGATGAAACCTGGATTTTTGGAAGGAAAATGATGTCAGAAAATCCACGTGGCAAAAATTGAAAATTCAAGTGAAATTCTGAACTTTCAAGATTCTAAAATCTGAAATTTTCTAGAAATAAAAGTCACGTGGCAAATGTTCAAAATTGTCTTGAAGTTTTTTTTTTTCAAAAAATGCTAACCAAAAATCCACGTGGCAAAAATTTGGAAAATCTAGAATTTCATTTGAAAATTCCAAAAAAAAAAGAACAAAAGTTTTCAGAATTTTCGTGTTCAAAAATAGCCACGTAGAAAATCTACTTTAGATTTTTCAGTTAAAATTTTGAAAATGTAACGTGGCAATTTCTATTTCTGGAATTTTTGAGCTCTGAGATCGGGATTTTCTGAAACTTGAAACTAAAAAAAAAAAATAAATTGTGAATTCAAAGAATTTTCCGAGCTCAAATGTCAGCGCTCCAGAAATCCCAAATCAGAAAATCTAACACACATCTGCCAAATACCAAGAAAAACGAGAAAGTTATTGTGTGTGAGTGTGGCATGGCAGAGCCAAGAAAAAAAAGAAGAATATGCACATTGGGATTTTAGTGTAATAAATGTGTATGTGTATGTGTGTGCGCGATGATCCACCGGGTGGTGCCAGGGAAAAATAAATGATCACCATCGCCGATTTTCACATAGGCAAAAACATGGAAGCTTTTGGAGCTCGGGAGCCAGAAAATCTCTATTTTTGAGCTAGAAGATTCTAGAACTCTTGGAAATTATTCATTGGAATTGAAACTAAAGCTGAAGTATTTGGAACTTTAAATTCATGGTTTCAGAGCTGAGAGCCCGCTAAAATTGAACAAAAAAAATCCTGAGTTTTAGCCTAGAAAAGTCTAGGGCTTCTGGAAAACCTCAAAGGTTTATAATGGATGAAGCATAAGTCAACAAATTTTTTTAATAATAAAAAAACAGGGCACATTTTTTGTCCAGTTTAGGTCTAAACAAGAGTCTAGGCTGGAACTATTTTCAAGCTTGAAATTATGGACTAGAAGAAATTGAATAGGCTTGAAGAGGGTCCTAAAAATTGTGCTCAAATAAGCCTCAAAGGCTTTGTTCTAGATTTTTTCTCTACAATTTTCGGGAGATAAATTAGAGCTGACCCCCTCAAAACCTACCGTACAATTATCGGCCTCTTCATCTTCAACCACATCGACTGCCACGTCATGTTTTTCAGCGGTATGCTGACACAATTGCTCATGACTAGCGAAAGACGACGAGCATTCGGAGCACAAATACAACGAGCTCATTTAGCGGGGGACCTGAAATTCATTTCAGGTTGAAGTTGTTTCGGGACCATCAAAAAAGTGTTCTCAAGTGCTTAATTGAGGTCCCCCTCAAAAGAGGGGGTCAAAAGTATAGCGATTACAAAAAAAGGCCACCCGGTCGTTAAAAAAAGAGCTGGGGGAAGGAAGAATGCACAAAAAAAGTTTTTTTTCGAGCAAATTGAACACATGTGAGGAGCCCATTTATTATCACGAACTCTTTGCCATGAAAAAAACTTGTAAAAAATGTTCGCTGGCACTGGGGATCGAACTCTGGTCTCATAGTCCAAAAGCAGACCCTCAATCCGCTAAACCATTCAAAATCTCATGAAAAACGAAACGAAACGAGTTTGTTGGCTAGTAAAACTGGTAAGAAGCAAAAAAAGAAGATGGGCGGAGCTCACTTTTTTCGGGTACTGTACGTAGAGATGAGAAAAGGGCGTGATATGCTACTTACTTTTTGCGGGTCATTTTTTTTGTGTGTGTGTCGCTTTTGTATGAGAAGCAAATATGGGGAGGAGAAATGATGAAGGAGAAGCCAGGTAGCAAAAAACCATTCACTATGAGTATTTGTGATGAGTCAGAATTTTTGGCGTCAAATATCGGCTATTTTTGAAATGTTGGCTAGATTTCGAATTAAAGAGGACATTTCAATAATTCATGAGATGTTAGAGACGCAGAGGTCTAGAGAAACCAGATTCAGAAAAACCGGGAAGACAGAGCCCAGACTGACAGAGAGATAGGGATGCAGACAGTTAGACACCTAGAACGTTAGAAACTGAGAGAAACTAGGCAGGCGAAGTCATAGATGAGCTAGACGACTAGAGGAAGCCAGAGACGCAGAGAAAAGTTAGACATGTAGTGAGTGTAGAGAGTTTGAAGAGAAATTAGACAACCAGCGTCAAAAAGATGAAGCTAGGCTACCAGGAAATGTTAGAAACGCAGATTAACCTGATTAGATAGCTAGAAAATCGCCAAACCTCAGAATCAAACAAAGTCAGAGACGTAGATTCGAAGCCCCGCAATCAAACAGTAGCCCCTTCATTCAATAACACACACAAAAAACCATCGAGGTAAACACACGAAATAGTTTAGAGATTTGAACTGTCTCTGACTTCTCTTTCCCATCTTCTTCTCCTTCTTCTAAAACACACTGTTTACCTCAACAAACAGTTCACATTCAATGATGATGGTGGTGATGATCAAGCTACTGCTTGAGCTATGTCAAGTCAGTGTGTGTGTGTGTGCCTCAATTTTTTGTTTTGTTTACCTGCTTTGCCCCAAAGACGTGGGGAGGGGACAAAAAAACACACACAGCGAGAGGGGGAAAATGTGCTCCGCGCGCGCGCGGAGCACACCAACAAACATGAGAAAAACTACTGTAGGCGATATGATTGGGGTCAAGTGACGTTTTTGTGACCAAATCGGGGGAGAAGATGGAGCTAGGGGTTCAGGAACTTCAGAAAACCAACTAGAACTTCAGATAGCTAAAGCCTAGAAATTTTAAAAGCAAAACTGAAGAAGCTGAGAGACCAGAGTGGGAAAATGTGACAAAGTTTGAGCTAGGAAGTTCAGAATTGCAGCAAAAACTTCAGAAGCCTAAAACTGGAGGATCGGAAGTTTTTGAGCTAAAGGTTCAAGAATTTGAAAAAATCCAGCCAAAACTTCAGATTTTGAGATCTAGCTTCTAGAAATCTTGAAGAAGCTGAACCCAGATGAGATTTCTTAGAAGTTTTCGAAGTTTTCGAAGTTTTTGTTCGAAGTTTCGATAGTTGTAGACTTTGACGAAGTTTCAGAAGTCTGAACATTCCTGAAAATAAAGCAGAAGCTTCTGAAGATCAAGAAGTTTGAAAAAAAAGTTTGAGGAACCTTGAAACCCTCAAAAAATATAGGGATTTCAGAAAAAATTCAAGTCCAACCAAGAAGATTTCAGAAACTTCAAATAGTTTCAGATATTTTCAAATGTTCACAAAAAGCTTTAAAAAAAACCCAGAACTTCTCAGAAGTCCTCAGAAGTATCTGAAATTTCTAGAACTTGCTAAACTTCGGAGAACATCAAAACCAAGTTACAGTATCTTCCACAAAACAAACTTCTACCTTCTAAAAAGAAATCACAAGTACTTTCCGACCTTTCATGACCTCCAAGCCTAAAAACCACTTGACTCGCAACACAGTATCAATTACAAAGAAGCGCCTCTATCGAAAAAAATGTGCACACAATCTGTGGCCTCCAAAAAAAACACATCAAGTTCAGAAATGAGCATGTGGTCTCGAGTTGAACTTTGGGGGCCAAGCAAAGGTAACGAAGGTATTTTCAATTTTCCAACAAAAAAAAAGAAGTTTGTGCGCGAGACAGTTTTATTTGTCCAATCTCAAATATACTGCTGCTCAGTTTGCTCTCTCACAAACCGCGCATGTTTCACCCAGTAGCCTAACTTATTTTAAAAAGGGTTTTTTGGAACGGGGAGCGGGTAGGAGAATATTGCAACTATTTTTGAAAGCTTTGCAAAGAAACCAGGAAGCTTGTCAAAAATTTTCGAGAAAGTTCAAAGGCTGTGGGATTTTTCAACAGGTAGGAAAAACTCGAAGCGATTGTTTACAGCCTCAAAATTTGGAATAGGATATTCAATAAGAAAAATCAGAAGTAGGAGGAGATTGCAGTGATTATTGACAGCCTTATAAATATGTGATTTTGAACAAGGAAAATTTAATGCTCAAAAGTTCAAAAAATATTTCGCAACATTGATTTTTTCAAAAATCTAAAAGCCAAGTAGGAGTTTGAGTATAGGATTTTCTACAAGGATTTATTGAAGTAGGGAGATTCCGACAAGATTTCTGACAACCTAAACTCTGATAGGAAATGAAGGATGAAATTTTCTATGAAAATTTGATCTATGCATATAGGTATGTAGGTAAAAAACTGTGTGATTTATGGAGCAGCAAACCAAAACTCCAAAAAAAACCTGACACATGCACAAAAAAACAAACAATAAATATGGGGGGCTACTGTTGAAAACGCTTGCTGTTTGCTCACGAACTTTTTTCAACACCACAAAAAAATGAGTTGGGGTAAATCTAGAAAAACCAGGATGCCAAAAACTTAACTTATAGGTCAAGCAAAAAAAAAGAAGAAGAAGATGAGAGCAAGGAAAAAGTTTTGGGCTGGTGGATTTTGGGTGTCTGGTGACCTGTTGACCAGGCGAAAATTGTGTGCGTGGCACATGTGTTTTATTTCTTCGCATTTAGATATATCTTTTTTCGATGAGCAGGAGACGGATGAGCAAGGATTACACCCAAAAATCCACCAAGAGTTGGCTGGAGCAAAAAAAAATAATAGAGGGCGAGGGATTGGTGCAGAAAATCTAGAATTTTTCAGAGCCAAAAGCTAAAGAACAGAAAAATCTAATTTTAGTGGTTCAGATTCGTGCTACAGTAAGTAATCATCTTCAAACATTTGTTGGCGCCTAAATCTACAGTACCCTTTCAAGGTCCAAAAACTCAATTTTTTTAACACAAAAAACCAGCTGCGCGACCTCACAAAAAATTGTGTGTCTCCAAAAATGTGATTTTTTATGAGGCACCTGAAAGATATCTGCGCGCGGGGATTACTGTACCTCATTTTTTGTCTGGCTGATCACCAAAAATATATTGAATGTACATGAACATCTGTGGGTTAACTCGAGAAAAAAATTCCAAAAAATTTTGATTGGAAAAATGGCCTTGGGGACAAATTGGAAGAATTTCTAAACAATAAATTGAATTCTAAAAAATGTGTTGCGCAACTTTTTCTTGCGCACGGACCACCCAAGACGGAAAAGTTTTCGATCCAAAAGTTTTCAAGGCAATGGGGATGAAGGTGGTTTGTTAATCCGCGAGCCGAAAAAGTGATCTGCTACATACCGACAGGAAATTACGTAATCTCATTTTTTCAGGAGGACCGAAAAAAATGACCTGTGCAAATATTGTCCGAGAGAAGTACACAGTGTTATTTTTTGGAGGAATTCAGAAATTTAGGCCACGCCCCTAAAACCAAACCATTCAAATTTTAAGCAAAAATGTTCTAACCTTGAATCTAAGCTTAAGCTGAACCCCTAAATAATTTTTTTAAAAAAATTCTAACCCTACACCTTACCAGAAGCCTGACAGGCCTAAAAAATGTTCAAGCCTAACAAGCCTAAGCCTAGCAAGCCTAAAAAATTCGCATGATAAAACTCAAGACAATGAAAACTTTCTCTCAAAAAAAAATTGAAAAAGCAGAAGGTCATTGTTGTGTGTGTGTTTTTCTCCGCATCTCATCATCATCATGTTTTTGTGCCAGGAGCACAAGAAGTTACCCGGCGGGAGCAAGACAAAAAGGACAGCTGTACCTTTCGGCTCGGCGAGCAGCAAACTTTTTTTGCTGCTCAGAAGCACCTTCAAAAACACCAGCGGTTCCAAAAAGCATGCATTTTTCTCTCGGAGACATCAGAAAAATGAGAAGATGAGATTTTTGTTGCGAAAAAAACGAGGTGAAGATTTTTTGAGTGACCACGGGTCACTCGTTTTTCGGGCACTTGTTTAGAGGGCACAGTTTTGTGGGCGGGGCTTGGTGAGAATTTTGGATGACGCATGATTTTTGAGCTCGGCTTGAACGAGCTATTGAGCTTGGCCTAGAAATTAATGGCTTTGTTTTCCTAGGCCACAAAAAACCATTTTTGTGTTTCCTAGGCCACCAAATTCATATTTTTGGGTTTCCTAGGCTATAAAAATCATATTTTCAAGATTCTGACCTGAAAAATTCAAAAAAGTGCAAAAATGTTTCCAAGTTCCGAAAAAACAACAAATATTTTTCAAAAGTGTAAGAAATGCTCAAAATTATTTGAGTGACCATGACAAGTGACATTTCGAAAAATGACCAGAACAAAAAATGAGGGCGTCAGTTGGTGCTGCATGATACTGTGGCCTTTTGACCATGTCCCTTTAAATTCCTCCACAGTAACCTGACG